GGACCAGGTTCGCCAAATTCGTGCCCAGCAGACTTGCCATGGGATGGGGATGAATGTAAAAGGCTCAGGTCCTTACCGGGCGGAACTGAAGAAAACGACATTGCCATCTTGAAGTTATCAACTCCCATCGAGAAGAGCGACGCTATTGAGTACGCCAGGCTTCCTCTGGTCGGTGGGGACGCCGTGGTCAATACCACCGGGATATCGGCAGGCTGGTAAGTGCCATAGCTCATCACATGCATGTACATATGCTAATTCACAGGGCAGGGGCACGCAAACCCCTATAGGGCTAAATAAGGGTAAAGATGGGAAACGGAAACCCGTCGTCGAAGTTGAAACACTCAGCAAGGTCGTTCTTGATGTCCACGCACGTGAGGTCTGTGCCGCCAAGGGCAAGGACCAGCATATAACTGACAGAGATACCTTTATATGCGCGGGTGGACAAGGCAAGAACTCATGCAGGGGGGATAGCGGTGGTCCTCTTTTCGTCCCGGAAACACAGGTGTTGCTTGGTATCGTGTCCTGGAGCATCAAGGACAGAAAGGCAAATACTTTTTGCGGCGACAGTCCCACCGTATTTACGAGAGTTGGCAGCTATATCGACTGGATCAACGAGACCAGGAACAGGCTTGCTGCTATGGAATAACTACTGCAGGCGCCCAGAAACTGACCTGATCCAGTGCTATAGCGCTTTGATGTACTGCCAGGGTCGTGAACTGAGCCCTGACGCGTCGGAGCTGGAGCTCCTTGAATGCATCGACAGAGTACAAGTATGCGCGGACCAAAATTTGCGCTCAGATCAGTGCTTGATCAACGCAAAGCTATCCAAAGAACAAGAGAAGTTGCCTGTGGGGGATCTGGTCAACCTTGCTCGGTGTGCTAAGAAGGATCTTTAGATAAGAAGCATGTAGTGTTAGTGGTACCGACATTTATGTACGGTACTTTCGCGCCCTTGATAGCTGAAAATCTGAATAGAGTTTCAAATGAGCTATCCCCCCTTGGACTGTAAATTACAGTCAACAGTTAGAGCTCTTACTACTAGTTTCAAAGCATTCGTGGACCGAATCACCACTTCTGAGATGGCCAAGCACGATAAAACGGTCGCCCCGGCGCCTGGTGTGTCAGGCACGCCAAGCAACAATATAGCAGAAATTTGTGATGAGCTCAGAAAATTGGCGACTATCTTGAGTGCAAGCCGCCGGCACTGCCGCTGTGCTTTACCCTTGCGTACATGCTCGGCCAATCTACGGGGTCTGCAAGGCTTGGACCCTCCTGTGCTTTGCTTTGCGACTGTCCAACCCGTGAAAGTCTGACATGAAGGACGCCCGACCCCTGCCATTTACTAGCCAGATTCTCAGGACAATCTCGACTCATGACTCTTTTGGCGATACATGTTCAGGTCGGTCTCGACGCCTGACTGTTTTGACTATACATGTACTCCACAGAACTAGTTCTTGAACCCTTGAGAGGTGTTGAAGATGGCAATTCAACGCGAGAACCCCTTGCATGGTACCACCTGGTCACTAAGGCCGAAACTTACGAAAAATATCATGGCCATGTACATCACCACAGATTCCAAGGCAGCACGCATTCAAGGAGAAATAGTGGTACTAGTACTCCATAGTTGTGCAGCTGATTACTCCACAACGAACTTGATGCGGCGATTCAGTCAGCTGCGATGGGTGCCGATCGCATCGACAACTTTAGGATAATTCGTAAGGTCCGCGCAGAAAAGGGGCCACATCAATGTAGCTGAAATGTCTAATCCTGCGAAGCCAGAAAGCCTTTCTGGACTGGGCTTTTTCGGTTCGAGATGTAGGGCCAACTGGGTTTGACGGCGGCTTTGACTGGCGTCTGATGGGGGAAAAAAAAAAGAAAGGAGGGGAAAATCGCGCAATCGAAGCGAAATTAATACGGACGAGTCTACTCGGGCCTTTGTCGACCCGGGATGTATACAACCAGCTGGGATGGCTGATATGGCCTTGTTGGAGTCGGCGTTATGGCTGCTTGCCCTATAACTCGGGGAGCGGATTTCTGGGCATCAAGTACGTGAAACGTAGCAACATACGAAATATATGTCAGTAGCCTCAGTTGACTATGGTTTGTAGGGTGATTAATTATTTAGTGGTTCCATTTTCCCCATCTGCTCCCGCGGCTCATGGGTTTTTGATGATATCTTTGTTACCCAGTATGAGGACCCAGTAAACTTGCTTCCATCCTAGCTGAGTGTACAGTTTTTGTCCATCCGGCGAAGCTATGAGCCATCCTGTCTTGGCGCCTTTTGCATATGCTTCGGCGGTGAGCGTTTGCATCACCAGCGTCCCCAGACCTCTTCGTCGCATGCCTTCCTCGGTCTTGATTCTGTCATAGACAGCCATCTCCTTGTGAATGCCGACTTGTCCTCCCGCAGCAGGTTTGCTGCCTTCTTCCTCTGATGCAGTCACCTTGAGCCGGCAGCGCGTAGCGATGCCCGCTTGTGTTGTCTCCAACTCGTTGACAAAAGATTGTTTCTTGTCCGACGGCAAAGGTAGCTCCGTCAGGCCCAACGTCATGAGCGCTTCCTCGGCAAGAATGTCAAAGCCATGCGCGGTGCCCATTTCCCGGTATTTGGCCATGTCATCTGCAATGATGGTAAGAAACCTCTGCTTATCTTGTAGGGCAAGGGCGGCAGCAGCGCCGAATTGTTCCTTGGTCGGCTCGAATCCAACGTACTCCCAGGTGCCGGCGGGCATGTCGGTTCGCAGCACCGCTGGAAGGCCAATTGGCAGTGTTTCAACGACATAGTGACGCATGGCCGCCCACACATAGATTTGGTGCTCAACATCCTCTCGGGTAGGTTTACCGACAGCCATTTTAGTTTTATACGCGGATTTTCAACGAAACCAGGAATAACGGCCAGGTTATATTATGTCGCTGAGTAGATCAATATATATATGGTACGCTGCAGAGCCGTAGAACGTTATGCTTCAGACTCGGCGTTGTGACTCATCGTGAACGATTTGACAACTGTTGGTGATGGCGTAATAAGGCTGGTTAGTTTCGGGCTTGCCCCATTTGGCTGTCAAGCCGGATCTCGTAGCCGGAAGACCATGACGCGGCCAGCGCAAGCCATCTAATATGAAGGGAGAAAAAGAAGGTAATTTTACAATATGAATCAAAAGAAACACCCTGCTGAGTATCAGTTGCGTAATTTGCGTTGTGTACGTCAATTAGTTGCATCTTGTCCAATCCTACCAACCACGACCATCTTGATCCATCCGTTCGGTTGACTTACGTACCATACCACAAAGCGGTTAGCTTGCTTCTCATTTTCTCGGAGAGATTCAAGCAGGTGTGCATGTACCCTGACACGCGGGTGACAAAAAAAATGGCCCATAACGAGAGTACTGAAGTTTAGCTACCTGTATTTAAATAATTCTTAAGAAACCCTAGAAAATGTCTATCTAGCTAAAATAAAGACGAGATTAAATTTTAGTGCCTAAATTATCTCTCGTAGCTTTTATTAACTTTTTAAACATTTTCTATTATTTTCTATTCTATGCACCTTTCGTTAAGTATGATGCGGACGCCTTGCGAGAAAGGGCCAGCTTTTTTGTCACCCCCTTGCCTGAGACTAACCAGCTGGACAAGCTATCTTAGTCTGGAACTGGCCTTGCTGGAACAGACGAGACTCTCCGAACCATCAGACAAGTTTGTAATATGGGTCACCAAGGCGCGGATCGAGTAATGACCAGACTTGAAGCGACTTTTACTTGCACACTCTGCGCATGTTGCAATTTTGTGGCTGCCCCGATTTGTGGCACTTTTGCTTGATGACACAGCGGCGGCAGCAGAGGCGTGCTGCCAGCTGCCAGTTGCCATCCAGCGCCGGCTACCTTTCCTTCCGTCTTGCCAATCTTGACCTGCAGAACTCGAAAGGCATTTACGAAACTTCCCTACTGTATCCCGGTTGCCTTCGTGGGCATTTGCTGACCGAGCAGGTAACTCTATTCTCCATTACGCGGCTATCTCTGGCAAGGTAACTATGGTTGACTACTTGCTGCGCACATTCCCGCCTCTGATCGAGGCGCGCGATATGTTTAGTACAAGACCCTTGGACCTTCTGATGGAAGCTTCTAATGAGGGAAAATTCCATCACATGGCCTCAGCCTCAAATTGCCCAACTGGGCTTATAACGTTTGCACCTGGGTATTGAAATATATCAACCAATCGAATTGGAGAACATCAGTGTGCAAACACCATCACTGCCCATGCTCAAGACCATGAATGCCGAATACATCAAGACAATGACCTCGCACTACGAATAATCTTTCATTGCACATGTGGATCCTGCATACTTGGCACCATTAGCCCACGAATGTCCTATCAACTTCTCTACCATGTCAGGAAGGCCGCCATGACCTGGTCAAGAACACTAGGTGCATCCGATTCTGTGGCGGCGATCCTTTCTCACACATTTCGTCGACGCACAAGCTTTTTTTCGGGGCATATGCAAACCACTGTGGAAAGGGAATGGACTCGCTTCGCGAAGCAGTTGACATCATTGTCAATTGGTTCGTCCGCTTCTTTACGGCCGAGCTGCTGTCGCGTGATGGCACCATGCGTTCCACCATTCTATCACAAGTCCCTGCTGCAACCCCCGAAGCGGCACATTATCTGCAGCGAGACCAGCTAGAGCAAATAGTAGTTTCTTCCATTTTCAACAAAGCGACGAAGACTGATGAATGGGCGGGAAATGAGCAATTATGGATGAGTGTGGCCGAGATATTCGGGCTCTGCCGCAATGCCGGAACGATTCAGAGTATCACCTTGTTTACAATTGATTTTTGTTCTACCTGCAGACAGTTGAGCGGAAACGTCGGGTCTAGGCGCGAATTCGAGCGAGCATACTTTGGATTCCGATAGATGACATGAATAACTCTTTTATAAGTTGTATTTCTCACAAGCCACTATCGGTCTTTACAGCTCCTTGACCTCTTCGCCCCCGATTGTAGACGAGACTCCGCCCGGAAGAGCCGGTGGAAATGGATCCCGGTAATGATCGTCCACGCCTCGGGAGTTGGTTCCCACAGGATACGTCAAACGTCCCGCGTCAACGTGGACGCGCCATCCGGCCATGTCGAATGTGCGCTTCATGGCCTGGACGAGCATGACGTCGTCACCCTTGGCGCCGATAACCCCAGCGGAGAAGGGCACGTAAGCGTTTTCACCAGTCTCAATGGCAAGTTGCGCAACTAGAAGAGCGTGTTAGTAGCGTTGTACCCGTCCAACGCCTGAGTTCAATGGGGGTGACTTACATGGTGCCGACATCTGCGGGGTACCTAGAAGGGCTGCGAGAATATTGGGATCAAGTCCCTTGTCTGAGTCAAATTTCCTGCAGAGGTGTCAGATTCATATTTGAGGGTTTGCAGTACGACCTTCCTACAAAGAGGTTTGTCCAAGGACAGGAACAATGACGGCGGCCTTGGCAAGGGCATCTGCGGTGGTAGGCACAATGTTCTTGTCGAACCAGGCAGAAAAGACCGCAAGCCTCTTCGCCGCTGCCCGGCCGTCCGTCTTTGCGCCAATAGCCCTGTTTCAGTTAGCTACTGGGTTGCCTCATCAATAATGCTCACTACAAGGGAGGGTTTCACCATTCTTCTGCCACGTTCGGCTCGAGGTAAGGCGCCTCGCCAAACTTGGTCTTGAAGGCAGATCGGAACTCGTCATAGTTGTGGTAAAAGTCGTGGCAAAAAGAGTAATACGCGGCCTTTTGCTGCCTCAGTATTGAGATTGTTTCAGTTGGGGGACAGCCGTTTCTACTTACGTGGCCAAGATAATCATGCAGCGTCTGCTTGCCGGCTTCCGACGGCGGGTTCTTGGCCCAGGCATCTACCAGACTAATATTGTCCGCCTTGATGCCGAGAGCCTTTTCCCAGGCAGCGACAAACTCGCCCATTAGATCTTGCTGTTTCTTGGAGAGGAGGGGAGCAAAGTCGGTGGGATAGACGATGCGCTGCGGCCTAGCGGTCGCTTGCCATGGAAGCTTGAATGACGGTGCAATCAGATGCGCAAGATCTTCTAGACTGCGACTCGAAATTCCTGTCGACTGAAATTTTCTAGAAAACTCTGTCAAAAAAAGGTCCGAGGTTGAGTAGATGATTAAATAACTCACAGAGAGCTCACGCGCACTCCCTGCTGCGAGGCGGTTTCAGCGGTAACGCGCAGTGTAAACAAGCCAAACGCAGCGGCTTGGGCCAGTGTGCCGTCGAGTGCTATGGCGAGTCAGCTTCAAAGGTTCCCGAGATGTGACGGCCCGCACGACAGATCCTACCTCCTTGACTGATGGAGTTATCCAGCCAGGTGTAGTTGCTGAGAGCAGAGCCTGCGCCAGCGGCCGCGCCGCCAACAGGCTGCTTTCCATCGCCGCGAGGGTTGACAGGCGCCGTCGCGTCCACCCACGACGTGCCCTCGGCAAACTGCCCATCTTTTGTCTTTCCCACAATAATTGCGCCCTGGTCTAGAAGCAACTGAACGTAGTCTGCGTGTTTGGAGGCAGCCTCTGAATGGAGAGACGTCCAATTTTGGCTGGACAGAGTGGTCTTCAGACCGCTCACATCAAAGTCTTCCGGGACGGCGTAGCGAAGGCCAGAGAGCGGCTTTTTGATGGACGGACCCGAAAAGTACAGCCGCGACGGTACAGCAATAGGCCGATGGGTTCCATTTTGAAGCGCATCACCGAGATCAACGAAACTGCGACAAGGATTAGCCAATTGTCTCGGATCAAAGGGGAGCGGTCCCACCGGTCAAAGGCGTCATGCTTTTCAGGCACGATGCCTGCTGAAAAAGCACGCAGCTCATCTTCGTATATTCTGTACGCTTGGTGAAGCTCCTTGCCGTGCAGAATATACGGTCCCGTGGGCAGGGTGGACAAGGCCGACGCCTTGGCGCGCGCGTTGGGGCGGCTGTCGGTGACCTGCACAGTGTAGGTGTGTTTGCCGGCCACAGATGACCGTCTGGCGTGACTTGTCTCGTTGGCACCTGGCTTCTCTACCAATGCAAAGGCGAATTCGCTCGAGTAAACATCGTCAAAGAGCTCGAGACCCTTGAGAAAATCATCAAGGTTGGGGCTGTTGAGCTCTTCGGTGCTGATGAGCGTGACGGGGAGAACGGCATCTGGGTTGATATCTTCTTCAATCAAGCCCTGCAAGAAAAAAACACAAGGAAACAATTAGCATAGGGATATATTCGGGGTGAACATGTCTCAGCATCTAGGAGAGCGTGGCTTACCAGAATCTCGGGGTGAAGGAGGTAGTTGACTCCGGCAATCACTGCAGTAAAGAGCGGCTTCATGTTGACGGTGCTCACCCTCGCAGTCTTTTGAGTCTGCGATGGAGATGGGAATGGAATATGAGGCACATGAGAAGGGGAAAAGGAGATGATTGTGCTCGACGTGCGTCGTTGGGGCAGCAGCTCGTCCCGAAGCTGGACTAGCCGAGCGTAATGTCCCAGACAGTATTACTCCGGACTGGCAAACCGGCGGCGATGCTGCGCTGAACGTCATCCTGCAGGTACATTAGTGGAGAGCATCGCGTGGCGCACAGCATAAATTTGTTATTATCTTGAACATTTCTTCTGCGTGTCTGCACCATCATATGAAACTTTTTTTTTTCCCGCCCAGCAGAGATATCATCAAGGCCGCATCACCCAGCTGCCAAATATGACTGTTTGCAGTATCCGTAGGTCGAGTCAAAGGCAGCAAGCAATGCGCAATCTGATCTCGGCATGATGATAAATATGGGCCTTTAATCCCCTGTCCCTCAGCATTACTCTTTATAGCCATGTATCTGAGACGGCATGAATTCCTACGTTTGTAACTTTTTTTAAAAAAATTTGAATGTAGTATAGCTTTATCAAGCACAGTTGTTGATGCTCAGACGGATGTGCGGTCCGTGCTTGGCTCTGCCGAGTGCAGCTTGGCTTGAGTTACGCTAACGTGTTTTGCGTGGGAAGGCTCTAATTGCTGACGAGGACGTTGAATGAACGAGGAGAAGCAAGATTGGGGGATTGCAACAGTATCTCGAGGCGAAAAAAAAAAGCACAAACTACTATCTATCAGAATAGAATATGTTTATAATGATTTTGATTTTCGCTTCCTTCCAAGGTGATTTTAATAAGTAACATCTCATGTGCCCGCATCTACCTAATAATAAGTTACTTGATCTTCCGCCCGAGTCGCGAAACCCCACGTCTCCAATGCTCATTATCGATAGCGGCTGCAGCAAAAGAAAAAAAGTTGTAGACCGACATTCCCCCACCATCACAACGGCGCAGAAATCTGTCCCAAATCACAACTTTTTTACAATGGCCAAAACAAAAGGTACGTCCCAGCATGGCTCCTCAAAGATCCTTCACCAGCCAACACACGCATACCGCTGACCTTTTGCCTCTCTCCTATCTCTAGCCCAACCCTCTAAGCGGTCCCGCGCCGCGCGCCGCGCCACCTCACCCAGCATCGACACGGACAAGTCCCTCAAGACCGCCGCGCCACCCGCGCGCGGCAAGCCCACCGAGAGACCGTCAGTGCTCGCGGTGCACCACGCGGCGGGCGTACAAAAGAGAACGAGCCAACGCAAGGCGCGCGTGTCGGCTAAGGCGCGGCGGCGCCGTGAAAAGGGCATGGAAATGGCCGAGGCGGTGTTGGAGCGCACGTCGAGCAAAGTGAAGCGCAGCTGGGACAGGCAGCGCACGGTGGATAAGAGACGACAGGGCTGGGATGCGATTAATAAGGACGTGGTTGAGGAGGAGGGGGAACAGAGCGAGGCGGAGGGGGGAGGTGAGGGGGCTGTGGCGAAGAAGACGAGGACGAAAAAAGAGAATGGAAAGCGGGCAGAGCGGGACGAGGACGAAGGCTGGGAGACGGAGGAGAATGCAGAGGCAAAGCCGGCACAGACAGCTGTGGACGATGATTTGGACGAAATCATGTGAGGCTTGCTTGCATATTTGCTTGTTTTCGTTACGACATATTGGCGTTCGGGGGTTTTCAAAAGCTTGCAAGACAAAAGGTGCTCGAATTTTCTAGATGACTTTACTTTACATGATGTTGTTACACACTGTGCTGTGTACTTGGCACCGAAGCAAATACAAAGATGAGCCTTTCCATACTCAACCGCATGTTCCATTTACCATGTGTTTGCCGGTTCCTCACGTCTGCTTCTTGACCACGCCCTCGAAATTCATCCTCATCGTCCTTCCCAGATCGCCGTTTGCGGCAGTCACCTCGCGCGCGCCCAGCGCCTGCACCTCATCCCGGATCTTGTTCATCAGCGCCTTCGCCGTCTCCTCGTCCACCTTTCTCCCGCCCCTCTTGGTTCCGAGCACCAGCTGCACCTTCATGCCCTTGTTCAGGAACCCCGCCAGCTGCCGCAGCTTGGTCTGCAAGTCGTGCTCCGAAATCGCCCACGTCAGCTCCATCTCCTTTGTCTTTGGCCTAGCGTTCTCCTTCTTCAGCTGCTTTCGCTCCTGCTCCTTTTGAAAGGCTTCCTTTTTATTCACAATCTCGCACAGCGCAAATTGTTCCTCCTGCGTCGTCGGCGCTGCCGCCTCCCCGTCCTCGCTGCCGCCACCATCCTCAGCCGTCGCCGCCGCCGCCTTGCCGCCCTTGCGCGGCAGCGGCGAGCCCTTGGGCACGTACGGCCGAATCATGCGTAGCGACTCCGTCTTGACGTTGAGCTTGCTCAAGACGAATTTTGTCGCCAGCGGCCCCGCGATGGAGCCATTCTCCAGGACCATGATCTTTGGGTCGGTAATTTCGAAATCCTGCGGCATGCGGTCCTTTTGCGACCGCTGCAGGGCCGCTGCCGTCGTGTATAGCGGGCTGTAGGGCAGGCCACCGTCGACGCGGTCGGCCGAGTCGGCGAGATGTTGCCCGCGCGGGCCGCGACGGGAGGGGGGAACGGCGTAGGCGCGTGCCTGGTGGTAAGCGGCCGCGGCGGCGGCGGCGGGCGGCGAGAGTGAAAAGACCCTCTGCAGGGCGGCCCGCGAGTTGAAAAGACATCGAGAGTTGCCAAGTATTGTCATTGTCGCCGTGTCTCAACCGTCAGTGGAAGAAAAGACCCAATCGAGAGGGTATCTTGTGAGTATGGAGGAGGAAATGAACAAGTTTGAGCTTGACATGGATAATGGGGAGCTCCGAGAGCTCTCGCCGCCAGTCACCAAGTGCCCCACATATTGACTCGACCGTAAATCACACCTAAACCAAGCCCCCGATTCCTCACCTTAAGCAACTCTGATAATCTCATTGTGAGGCCCGTCTTCTCAGTCGTGGTCGCGACTGACCCAAGTCACAATGAGCTCCCCAATGCACTCATAGCCCTTGAATTTTCCTTAGAACACACACATCCACACCCACCACACACCACCTTTGCCCGCTTCAAACATGCCATCCCGCCCACTCGTGGCGTCTCGTTTCTTCCGCCGCCCCGGCGTGCGACTCTTCCTCGGCCTCACCAAGGCTTGCTTTGCCTGGCACTTCCTGCAGACGCACGGGTTCCAGGTCGGCCCCGCCGACGGGCCCTCGATGCTGCCCACCTTTTCCACCTACGGCGACTGGATCGGCACCAACATGCGGTGCCGGCGCGGCCGCGGCGTGCGCGTCGGCGACCTCGTGCTGTACAAGATGCCATTTGCAAAGTACGACATGGGCGTAAAGCGCGTTGTTGGTATGCCGGGAGACTACGTGTCGATCGGGACGCCGGGGAAGCACGGCGAGGATACCATGCTACAGGTAAGCTTGAATGCTATTTGCCATGCTCGTCATCTTTCTGAGAGCGGCTCACTTATTCTTGTACAGGTTCCAGACGGCCACTGTTGGATTATCGGCGATAACCTCATCGCTTCGAGAGATTCAAGAACGTTTGGGCCGTTGCCTCTCGCCCTTATACAGGGCAAGGTAGTGGCAAAGGTCTTGCCCTGGAGCGAACGCCAATGGTTCAAGAATCCGCTACAAGAGGTAGAATAATAGTCTATTGCCTGTAGTGATCATCATCACTGTGCAAAAATCACTAGGGATAAAAGCAGCATATTCGGGTATACCATGGTAGCATCGCATTGTTCAATTACACCATCCTTCAACTGTGCCATCGCAACCTTGACGGGCTCATAAAATCGAAAATTATAAAATGCTGGGCTAGCAGCAATAATGCGCTGCATATGCTTTGTACATGATGAATAGGAGAAAAGAGAGCTGAACTGAGACTGTCAAGGCTCAGAACCTCTACCTGCCACTGAAACTCGGCAGTGGCACGCAGGGCGCCAGCATAAGCCACCGACCAAACAAAAAAACTCCGGACACGAAAAATGAAAAGTGGCTTCAAAATGTGGGCAAAGCATTGCGCTTTCCCTCTGCCGGTTGCGCCTCAGACTCAAAAGACACGTTCAATACCAATCACTGTCCGCAGTTTTGCTGCGGCTCTGTTCGAAGGACCATCACAATGCAATGTGACTGTCACCCTCCAACTGTTCCAAGAGTAAAATCAACCTTCAATGTGAGCCTTGGACATGCTTTGCCCAAGCAGCTCCAAGCAACGCTGAGCCAGATTGACAACTTCACCTTCGTCTTCTTCCTCAAGGCCGGGCTCCGTGTCAATTTGGCGGTTTGCAATGTTTCGAATGTGTTCGATAATGTCATTGGCCTTACCAATGAGGCCTATAAGTGTCTTGTCTTCTGATTCGAACAGTTGGAGCAAGGTCCAGACAGCAATGTGTTGAAAGGTCGCATCACCAGACTGAAGAAAGCGGCACAGGTAGCCGTGAATGCCACCATTGGGTTCGGTCCAGTTTTGAATGAATATCGAGTAATCACCAACTGCAGATGGGGCAGTTAATGTCTGCAAACTATCAACAAGGAAAGGGCACATACCTTTAGAAGAGAGGTTGCCAAGAGCAGCAGCACTATTGCCCTGGACTTCAATACTCGGCGAGTGTGTCAAGGGGATCAAGATGTCGCAGACGCCAAGGTTCAACAGATGAGACTTGAGATCATCACTAAGAGCCAGCACAGCAATAGCGGCAGTCATTTCAGACTGGACAGTAACGGGTACGTCCAGCACCAGCTGTTTGCATTTTTGTACGGCACCGGCATCCAGAACGAGGGCCTTGTTCCGGTCCGAGCTGGCGGCCAGGTTTCGAAGAGTCGAAATGGCATGGCATTGAATTTCTTCGTTTTCAGTCGAGCCGAGTAAGTCGACAAGAGGCTTCAGAAAATTGGCTTCGATGATGGGAGACTCGTTCAAGGGGTGGATGGAGATGTTGCGAATACAAGCGACGGCAGAGAGGATTAATGGGAGGTAGGATGATTGGAGGAGACGGTGCAGAGGCGCCAAGCCGTTGGCTCGGACAATGTCGAGTTGGTACTTTTCGTCGGAGGCCAGGTTTCGGAGAGCAAGGGCAGCCTGGCACTGAACCTTGGGTGAGGACGACTCCATGAGAGCAACCAAGGCTTGTACGAGTTTGGCCTCTGACGAGGCCAACTTTCGTCGGTTATTGGCATCAACGGCAATGTTACTGAGAGCGGTGGTGCAGTAGTACTGAACGTCAACATCGGGTGAGGCGAGGAGCTGTACCAGAATTGGGATGGCACCAGCGTTGACAAGTTGTTGGCGGTTTTCATCTGGCATGGTTGTTAGTTTTGAGTATCACACTGAGCAACCATTTTGAAGAGCAGCGTACCGGAATGAGTCATGTTCAGGAGGGCACCGGTAGCGTTGCGTTGAACGCGCATGTCTCTTGACTTGGCCAGCCTGGTCAGCGGTCCCAGAGCACCAGAACGAGCAATCTTGGCCTTGTTCTCCTCATGTGTAGCAAGATTGGTGATACAGCCAACAGCGTTGCATTGCACCTCGACATTTGGTGACAGCATCTGTCTGATCAACGGGGTGAGGCCACCGAGCTGGACGATGAGAACCTTGTTTTCAGCTGCATCATGATTAATGAGTCATAATGGTTAAGGAATTTGAAGCTAGATCATACTATTCACAGCTAGATTGCCGAGTGCAGCACTGGCGGCTCGTTGTACCTCAACATCGGAGCTTTGGAGGAGGAATAGAATAGGTTCGAGGGTGTCCCGGTCGACTTCGCGGACATCTGAGACTAAAATCAGCAGGCAGCTTCTAGCAGCAGAAACGGGTAGCAAGCGTACCGCGTTCGGTAATCTCGGCAAAGGTCAAGCTTGCGCTGCGCTGAAGATCTATGTTTTCGGAGAAGACCAGGGTGCTGAGTGCTCGGAGGGGCTCGCCGGAGAAGAAGTCTGTCTCGCCACGCTATTCGGAGGATTAGCAAGGTCGGGGCGGGCGGGGAGGGTACAGACATTTTCGAGAAACTGCAGGAGGTCGGCGACAGCTTCACGTTCGCTGTCGGCGAGGACGGGCTCGTAGAGACTATCTCGGGATCGGCCTGTAGATGGCAAGTGTCAGGGAGTGGGAGAATGGCGATAGCGGGAGGGCCAAACGAGGCCGTGCACGGCCGGGTCGGGGGAGCAAGACGGACCTCGACAGCACGTTGAACTACAGATACCCATGGCTGGCGCGATGGCCGTGGCGGCGAAGCAAATTCCGAAATGTCGATGGCAGAGGTAGGTGGTGTCGACGACGATGGGTTGTTTTGTTGAGGTTTTGGTCTGCGTCGGCGCTGTGATGGCCTGGTGGAGAATCTCGGGTGCAGGAAGGCAGGCGAAGCTCAGCAGGAGGCTACTAGATTAAAGCTGCTTTGGCGCGGCGTCTCGTTCCTGCTGCACCGGGAATGGGGCGTGTGGGAAGTGGCACCAGAGTGAACGGGCGTCGGAAGCCAGGCCAGAGAGACGATGAGATGGTCAGTCGACAGCCCAGCTGCTGGGTAGTTGATGGAAGGAAAAGGTAATGGAGATGAGGTGTGGAGGGCCGCGGATGAGGGACAAGTCCGGAAAAGCAGAGCGCTACCTTAGGTAGACTCCATAATCTGTACGTACCGGTGATTTATTAAGGTAGTTGTTATCTGCCCAGGTAGGTATTTACGGGCCGACGTAACCAAGCAACGGCAACCAATTCTAAATTGCTGGAGCGATGCTAGATGGCGTGGGGCTGCCCAGCCAGGGCTTAAGGGGGTATGGGAGGTCATTTTAGGAGCTGTCATCAGCTTTCTACAGTAGTGTTACGGGCCAATCTGCCACTGCCAAGCGCCCTGTGCCTAATGGCAGCCCACAGAGACTCTACGCTCCCCTGTCATCTAGCCCAGCATCGCGTCATAACATAAATTTGACTCTTCGTGTGCTGGGTAACCAACCATTCAGAAAGAGGTTTACCTAGTACATACGGCAGAGGTCAATATCCAGTAGACCTGATCATTCGCCTTATCGTATGTAAACAAGCAAGCAAATCACACGACTCCATATACACCGAATCAACAGCCCTTGTCGTCTCGTACTCACCTCAATCGCATCTACTTCGTGCCAACGCTTCACTTTCCTAGCGCCCGGTACCGCCACTAGGTAGCCTAGCATGCCGACATGGAGAGAATAATGCGTTACATCCCCAGGCATTTCTCCCATCGCGTCGCGCATACACTCCCTTGGCTCGTGTCTTGCTCCATCGGTTTCTCCTACCCCTCCGAATCCACCATCACCATCGCTGCAAGCCATCATCTAGGTTGCACAGCGCGGCTTGTGCAACCTTCTCAGAACGCCTCTTCTCAGGATGCGAATACACTTATACATACATGCCAAATTTGGCTGCTCGCGTCTTCACAAGACTCCGTGCCCCGTTGCATTTCTCAACCCTGTCGTCTCTGTCTCTGTACCATGTGATGCTACCTGGTGTGTCACCTGCACACCCGGCCGGCAGTCCATCATGATTCTAACCCGCTACAGCCAGTACTTATGATGGTGTCAAGTCAAACATTTGATTCATTTTTTGCCAGAGACTACCGTTTTTCTGCCCACTTTGAGCCCTTTACTCGTCCTTTCGCTTTTCACCTGCCCCATAACTACATTGGCGTTACTCTGTACTCTGTACCTATTGCGGTATCATCACTCGTTCATCGCTTTTCGGCAATGATCCAATGGGTGCACAACCACACGCTTCTATATCCAAGACTTATGAGCGCCTGATATATGGCGTCCAAGTTACACGTGAAACCACCGCTGGGAAACTAGTATCGAATAAAGCAAGACTGAAAGTGTTCAAATTCAAAGTCTTTTCTCAAGCTCACGTCGACAACCGACAAAAGTAAGAAGAGCCACTAAACCTACTCCTCATCTATCCAGATATTCTCTTCCTCGCGATGTATTAAGTCTACCGCAATCATTGTTGTTCCTTCAATTGTTCCTTCATAAATCTAGCTTCAAGTGTATCGATATTTAGATTTGGACTCTTCATGGACGCGACAAGTCATTTTCTGCCTGTGACTACGATAGTCTCCTTCAAAGCTGCGTTCATCACACCCAGGGCTTGCGCAAAAGTATTCTGACTTCGAATGCCTTCTACCAAGTCTGTAACCTCTGGTATGAATCGGTATACTCCCTCGCAAGGAAGGGATCTGCATGTGTTCTTCGCTCCTACCAAATCAGTGGTCTATCACGAATTAACCCTCTCTCTGGTAACTCCAGACTTGACAAGCTACTTTCTCTTCTACCATAATCATTCGAGTCTCCGTGATTCAGCAATCGACTAGATTAAAGCAGAATTACGTGAAGCACGCTAAGCGATGGGGTCTATTATGATTGTGATTGATGTGAAACTACAACCCACTGTAGCTTGTTAGTCGGTGCTGAAATCATCGAGACCTTTGTAGAAAACCTCCCAACCGCAATGAGGAAAGACTAAAACTGTTGTCGATGGCTGTTTTCTGTTGTGACTCGGTCATTAGTCTACCGTTGGTCGCGTAGCTTGACTCGCTATAGCTCTTCTATTAAGCAAGCCGTACAAGTTGCAATGTATGTGTGATGTAAAACTTCCATACTTTGGGCTTAACGATTTACGAGAAAAATTTGAGCCATTATTGCAAACAAGACGAGTACGATCAGATCGATCGGAGCAATGACAAGGAGGGCGGGTCTACTGCGTGTACGAGGATCTCGTTGGGGCTGTTAGTGAGGCCCTCTGCAAACGCCCAGACAGTGTGACACCGCCTCGAGTAACTGCGATGAAGGCAAGTTCGTTGAATACATCGCTAATCAGCTCATCGAATCTTACAGTCGCAACTTGTGACCATTCTCGATCCATTAAAAGAACTCTCAAAATGATGGAGAACAGCGGCCTGGCGCCGCCGAGCCCGGAGTGCCGACGTTCTGGCTGCGTATGGGTCAAGTAAACAACAGCCGAAGCCATTGTCCGAGTGCGCCAATCTACAGAGTATTTCCCATCGAATTTAATTCGATCTTCAATGTGATAGGCTGTAAGCCATTACTGTCTCGTATAGTGAAGATTTAGATTCCTACGGAAGATATGGTAAAAGAAGGCAACGGATGCAAGGGAAGGGAAAAAAGAGGAATGCATGCAAGAAAACTCAGAGGAGTAACTTGGATAGATAAATCACAGAGGCAATATGATTCGAGTCGTTGAATACCGACTTTAGTACGTAATACAGAGGCATTCATCAAAAGTTAACACTCGATGCCTTAGCACACGCACTGTGGGCATGCAAGCCTCTGGCTCGGGGCTGAAGCGCTGTTGCTTTAGTTAGATACCTTAGATACCTATCAGTGTTAGCTCACTCTGCAGCTCATCATTATTGACGAGCCCCAGTTTTCCACTGAAACCCTCTGCTTTTCTGCCTCTGCGTCTTGCTTCTGCTGCCGCTTCCGCTCTCGAATTACACTGTGCGCCAATCTTCAACCCCACCTCTTCCCCCTCCGTTGACCTTGACCTCACGATCGCATTGTCCGTCAAGTGACTCGCGCCCTCGAGCCTGCTCCCGTCCTCCCTGCAGCCTGAAATCCGCCCAAACGCCACGCCGGCTACCTACCCGCCCATCCTCCCGTCTCGTTACACATGCCACAATGGAGGGCAGCGCAGATTCCTCTAGCGCTCACATGGCCTATGCCCCCGCACATGCCGCCGCCGACCAGCAATCTGAGCCTGCTGGCAGTCCCGGCACCGGCGCTCGCTTGAATTCCGGAGGGCCCAGACCTGCCGCTACCGACGATGCGCCAGCTCTGCCAGAGTTGACGCTCCCTCCCATTGTGGCCCCCTCATCCTACTTGCGCGCTCAAAGGCCATCCACCCCGACCGTCATGGCTTCCGCGCCCGAGAACAAGACTCCGAGTCCCCTCGACCGCGAGCAGCAAGAGGGCCTGGTATGTCGGCATCCCTTTCTCTGCCGCTGCGCCGATCGGCCGCTGTCTGCCTGGATCACTGACCCTTTTCCTACTTGTAGGAAGCCATCCGCGATTTTCTCAAGGTGCGCACCAGCTACGACGTGCTGCCACTGTCTTTCCGCCTCATCGTCCTCGACACCGACCTGCTCATCAAAAAGAGCCTTAATATCTTGATCCAGAATTGTGCGTTCATCTTGGTCCATGCTCAATATCGAATCCTCCGCTGACTGCTCCGGAAGCGATCGTGTCTGCCCCGTTATGGGACTCGCAGACATCGCGATTTGCCGGTCTCTTGACCAGCACCGACTACATCAATGTTATCCAATACCATATACAGTATCCCGACGAGATGAGCAAGCTCGATCAATTCCGACTCCGCAGTCTGCGTGGTGAGAATTTCCTCCCGAACCCCTCATTCGTCTACCCCGCTCAGGCGCCAACTAATACGTGCCCAAGATATCGAAAAAGCAATCGGCGCCGTCCCAATCGAGACTCTCTCCGTTCACCCGTCGCGACCGCTGTTCGAAGCATGCAGGCAGATGCTCAAAACCCGAGCGCGCAGAATCCCGCTCGTCGACGTCGACGACGAGACGGGCCGCGAAACACTCATTTCTGTCATTACACAATACCGTATCCTCAAGTTCATTGCCGTAAACAATGCCGACTATACTGTCATGCTCAAAAAGACTGTTCGAGAAATCAACCTCGGATCATACAACAATCTTGTAACGTCTACGATGAATGCCACAGTACTTGACGTCATCTGGCTCATGGTGGACGGCAATATAAGTTGCATTCCTATCCTCGACAGCGAAGGCCGAGTTCTCAACGCATTCGAAGCAGTTGATGTTATTCCGTGCATCAAAGGCGGCGTGTACGAGGATCTCGGTGGTTCTGTTGGAGAGGCCCTCTGCAAACGCCCAGACGACTCGCCAGGCATCTACACCTGCAGCGAAGATGACCGACTCGACGCTATATTCGACGCTGTCCGAAAGAGCAGAGTTCACAGGCTAATCGTGGTTGATGATGACAATAAGCTCAAAGGCGTCATCTCGCTCTCGGATATCCTGAAATATGTGCTATGTGGAGAAGGTGAAGATGAGGTCAAAAAGCAATAAGCCTTCCCACGTGGAAGCTGGTAACGGAGTAAAAGACGGGGTCTTGGGAAAGGCGCATTGCATTATACTCGGCGCACGGGATGGAATCTACGGCAAGACTGTTGTTTTCTTTTGGCATATGATTCGCCTATTCCTATGATTTATAGACAGCAAGTAGAGCTGTGGTCATCGATACCATGGCACGTGGATGTTCTCTTGTCACGAGAGCTCAGAATGCTTTATTTTTCCCGCGAATGAATATGCCAGAATCATTCACAATATCCTGCCCTACAAATTGTGCACCAATTGGGCACCTGGCCACGTTGACCTGTCAACTGCATGTTTCTGTGCACTTTGTTTGGTCTACTGTGATACGCGCGTTTGGCAGGTGTCAACTGCTGCCACCAGTAGGCACCGCACACTGCCAATTGGCAGGGGGCGTATCACTTCTCCCATTCACATTCGTATCCATCATCTCTTGCGTCTCGCACCATCATGCGTGGCTGATCCGACTCGTTAGGTTTGGTCATGGCATCCCAAGCAAGCACGTCTCTGCGCACACAGTCCCTCAACCCGCCCCTTCTGGTGCTTCCCGAAAGCGCCTTCGACAGGCCGCTGCCTGCGAGCTCGACATTCCATAGTCTGCTGCTGAATGACCGACCTCTATTCAGTAGCCATACCTGGACCTCCACCAGCGGCGATCTTGGTCTCCTCAGAGACGCAGACGAGGTTGAGAATCGGGCCATCTTTGTGCAGGAATACAATCGCTTGGCCAAAAAGGTACGGAGCAATACCGTAGTGTCTGGGCTCGTAACTAACAAGCAAAAGCATGGAATCAGGCCACTAATATTGGATGATTTTGACCCAAACAAACCAGTAAGCTGGGTTCCAGCGCGGTTCTGCAGGCATATGCTAACCAAGGCAGGTTGACAACGAAAAGTCCAAGCGCGGATGGTTTCGTCGCATGTTCTTGTCTAGCTCAAGGCCGCCTTCAGATTCCAAAGACCGAGACTCTCCAAAATATCGACACCGACGAAGTGCATCGGACTTGGCCTATCTAATTCACAGCAGAAGGGAAGCTCCAAGTGTCTTAGACCTTCAATCCATGGTGCGCCTCAGCGGCAAAAGCTCCCTCTACCTGCCTACAGAGTACGCGCCGTGTGCTTTGATTTTACCGACATGCATAAGGGCAACTGCCCAGTATGTGTCACAGTATGCTAACACACGCGGCATTTTCCGGATTCCTGGCTCTATGAAGGTTGTTGGTGCCCTGTTCGACTATTACTGCCACATGGACAAAGGCGGCGCCGACATATCCGGGACTGTACGATCAGCAACGTTACCACTACATATACAATACTCTGTTCATGATATTGCGTCTACATTGAAACGATTCTTGTCAACACTACCCGGTGGTATACTAGGTTCCCTCCTCCTATTTGATTCATTCATAGCTGTTCAATCGCAGCTCAACGCAGAGCCCGAATTTCCACGAACGAACCAAACCAAAGTCAGAGCGAGATTGATCGCGCTAGCCATTGGGACAATCGAGTCACAATACCGAAGAGAGCTAATCTGCGCAATATTCGGGCTGCTTAGCATGATTGGCCGCATTGCTGAGCTGGCCCCAAGAGAAGATGACGCTGGCTTGCCATTGCCAACAACAGACCTCATGGGCTATGCCGCGCTCAGCATTTGCTTCGGACCGCTGCTTGTCGGTGATTTGCTTTCGTCTTATACAATGAAAATTGCCGCTCCAGGTTCTGGCCTCGTTGTGCTGCCACCAGCTACACAGCAAGTCCGCAAGGACACGCGAAAGAACAGGCCTGGAAGTAGCACCAAGAATGTTCAGCCGGCCGTTGACAAGATACTCATTGCCAATAGAGTAACGGAAATGCTGATTTCCAACTGGAGAGATATTGTTCGACAGATGAAGTCGCTGGGCACGCACAGACGTAGACATACGTCTGGTGGCAGCTTCAGCAGGCCATCGCTTCGGCCGTCAGCCTCGGAAACATTCTTGACAAAAGTTCCAAAAGACTTTTCGAAGATACGGCCAAGCTCGGCGATTGTTACCAGAAACACGACTGAAGATGCCGAAAATGAAGTTGCCGCTTTCCCAAGATCTACAAACGCACCCAAGCGTGCTTCGGGCTTTCTGAGACAAAAGGCCAGCGTTAATACACTGAGCCCTACCATGGAAGAAAGCCCTAGACAGCCACACCTCGGTGATAACGCTGTGATAGAGGAAGAATCAAAGCTAAAGAGTGTCTTTCCGACAATGGACACAGACAGCCGAGCCCAAGCAAGCTGTACGACCATGACGGAGGAAACTGAAACGAAAACAGACTCCCCAGTGAAGAGAAAGAGGCTCACGGTACCGCCTAGACAATCATCCATTGAATCTCAATCTCAAATTCAACCGGACCCGGCTGAAAAATGTCCCAGTCATCTAAGTAGCAAAGAAAATGCGACAGTGGTGGACGAAAACCAAGAATGCCTGGTACAAGCGCCAAAGATACGCGCCAATTCAGGGCAAGGCACTCCGCCTCAGTTTTATTCACCCGTTGAGCCTCGAGCAATTTCATCACCAGACGGATTACCTCGTGAAGCTCCTAATGGCCAGACAGACAAGATCTACGGCACATTGCCTAATAGCGTACTGGGCGCCGAGGTCAAACCAGGGAGAACTGGGGCACAATCTCCCGCAACAGATTCGAAATATCAACTGAAGCGATATAAAAGAAGACTGCAGGAGCCTCTGACTGGTAGCCCAACAAGAGCTAGTGATTTGCGCAGCACCGGAAAGATTGGCACCCACACATCTGGTCTAGCCAGTACCCCAAGCGATATTGGAACTGCAAGTGGTCTGCCCAAGTCTTCGAAAGGAAGCCATCCGGGCAGCCCAGTCAAAGCTAATCCGAAAAAGCTCAAACGAGCTAGAAGCGGTCCACTGACGGATTTGACTGCACAAAACGATGATGATGTGTTTAAGCCGAGTCAGCGCGCCCTGGTGGGAGTTTGGAGAAACGGGGTACCACAGAAGAGCCCTACGGCCAAGGTGCTGCGATCGTCAGTCAGCGACGGAGTCTCATTGAGAGCTTCTGCGATACGAAGCTTGATCAATGCGGGCAAAAGCCGAATAAAAAACTCTCACATCAGTAATGAAAAGAAAAGGCGTCCGTACAATGATGAGGAGGAACCCGATTCATGGGCCAAATGCTCCCAGGATGGTCTGCCCGCATATGAGGATACACAGTCCATCATTCGTCATTTGAACATGTATCACGGATGCGAAATATCACCCGAGTCAAGCCAAGACTCCGAGGCAGTTGCGGCTCTATACCATGTCATCATCTCTCTACATGATAGGCTGATCAAGCAAGAGATGGAGGTCACCCTGCTGCAAAGGGGGGCAGACGATAAGCGACGAGAAGAAGCTAGCAAATTGAGACAGGATGTCGGCATATGGCGGCGTAGGGCTGAATCTGCTGAGAAAAGAATTCTAGTATTCGAAAGATTCACTGAGCGGCTAAAGGGCATTCGCGATGCGGCGATTGCATCAGAGCAAGCTGGGTCGCAAGGTGGCGAACAGCAAGGCGATGTTTCAGCAGGCAGCCTTAAATTGGATAATGATTATGTGGCTGCAGCGGCTCGAGTCAGGTTTGCAGAGGTCGATGGCAATGGAGAACAGGCTACTCTTTGGGGTGAGAGGAGTTCTGGGCATCGCACGAGCGCGGAGAGTAGACGAAGCAAGCCTTGCATGGAATGCGGCGAAGAGCAAAACTTGGATAGAGGAGCAATTGGAAACCGAGAAGGCGAGCTGCGTCCGAGGCCGGCCAGCATTGACGAGGTAGCAGAGCTGTGGATGGCAGCCAAGGAACTACTTGACTCGAACAAAAGTGAGAACGAATGAAGCAGGTGGAGCGACGAGGCCACTACACGTGCAAGACTAGAGGCGTTGTTTGATTTTGGTTTCTCAGAGTAAAGAACTTGTAATGAACGAAGCAGAGTTTGAAAGCACGAAATAGAAGCATCAGTTGCGATTGGCCGTTGCCGTCACACTTTCTGCTTTACAATGTTATATCAGAAACACCTTGCAAGATGTCGTCGAGGATGCCTTGTACTTCTGAGTCGGCATCAAAGTCTGACCAGGAGTCAGCAGAATCCAAGAGTTGTCGAACAGGTGACAGCGGCGTCAGCGGACCAATGCCCGAAGCGGGCTGCGAAAAGGGATAAAATACAGGTTGCGCAGAGGGAATGTACGGAGATTCGACAGAACCATGTGCCTCCAACGCTGGCGACGAAGACTGGCTCCATGCAGCAGCTCGATCATAGTTATTGTCATCGTTGTCATCGTCATCGTCGTTGTCGTCGTCGTCGTCGTCGTCGTCGTCGTCTCCGTGTTCATCCTGGTCATTGCAATCCGTCGCCGCTGTTGACGGAGTATATTCTAGCGTCCAGACGGGAGGAGCCACAGTCGTGGCCAATTGTTCGGCAGCGCTGGGCGGCCAGACCATGGCTGTGCGGGTCGGGGCGGCGACGGCGTTAGCATGGTTGACCAGGAGACGACGGCGGCTTCAGTTATCCGTGCCGCCAAAGAGGGCCTTGTGGCACTGAGCGACCTCGGCGACGCGGGAGCAGAGACCCATGTCTGTTGTTGCGCGGGAAGGGTTAGATTAGTGCCAAGCTATTTAGAAAAGGAGCAAAGATGATGCATACCAATGTTGGCGCCGACGTCGCGGGAGCTCAGGGCCTTGATGGAGAGGTCCGGGTTGACCTTGCCGATGAAGAGGGCGGCGTTGCCGTTGGTGAGGTGCGCTTCCTGCAATTCGTCCCTCCGTCAGTATCAGATTGTGAGAAGAGCGGAGAAAGAAAAAGAATGAATGATGAATGAGCTCCTAGAGGGAGAGCGGCGAAGGTGAATGTTGTGTACCCGATTCAGGAGAATGGTGACGTTGCCGTCGGCGTCAATGGTGGCTTGCTCACCGCGCAGCTGGGTGACCTTGCCAACGATGCTGACGTGCTTGTTGACAAAGGCATCTAGGTTGGATGCGGTGATGCGAGGCGCGGCAAGGTGTTCTGACATGATTGCGTGAATGATGACTTGATACTCGTGTTTTTTTCTTGTTGAAAATGATATTTTTCAACTTTTTTTTTTTTCGAGATTGAATATGAAGTACAAGTGGTTGATGAGCGGCGCGCGACGAGGCGCGTCTCGAGAGTGGGGGGTGGGGCATGACGTGCACTGACGCGAGGTCAGGTGACTGCGTGTCTATTCCGGATGCAACAAAGCTTCGCGAGGTGACTCGACGGATTGTGAACTACATTATCAGTGGAATACCTGCTTTCTGGCGATACAAGAATTTGAATCAACAAGACAGGATTGAGGAAGATTAGCGTATCCTGCTAGCCGGCGTCGCCGTGATGCAGCTCTTTATACATTAGAGGAATGTTGAGACTTCTATTATAGTGTGATGATGGACTATTGAAACCTGGTACTTCCTTAATACGCTGTCTAGTGGTTGAATATCACTGACCGCCGCGGAAACCTTGGGTGAGACTTTCCAGAAAACAGGACAAACATGCGAAACTAGTATGCAGAACAGAGTGAAAAGCGTCCCTGGCTTAGACATGCGTAAAATGCAGTAGTGTATCATCGTCTTTGCAAATGGGCGAATTTTACTGGTAGGACGGGCTTCGAGCAGGGGTTCACGTGGGTGGCGAAAACGTCGCGTTACAAGTGAGTCTTGCAAAGCGATTCGCCCTGCCCGATGACGTCTGTGGTGCCTGGGTGTGCGTTCGCGGGGAACATGGCCATGTACCTACATTATCTATGTCGGTCTAGTTTCCATAAATTGATGGATTTCGTCATTTTGCATGCGCGAAAAGTCTTTCTCCGCCGAGGGAAAATGCAACAAAGAAATTGATTGATCAATACGAAACGGCGTACCAAAGATCTCGGAGGTTTTCGTCCACTTGTACGCTGTTAGCCGACAACAAGCCCAAAAAACCCCTGGGGATGGTGGCAGGACAGCGCGAGCGCTTGTCAGAATCGAGACAGATCGTGGCCGATTACGTAGGACTAGGTCCGACGTTTTGCTGGTTGGGGAGAATTATGACGAGCAAAGAAAGCTCAATTACACCAGGGGTGCAGGGGATTACTTTGCGGCGTGTGGCACTTGCGGGTACCAGGAGGGAACCAAGTGCCTAGATGTTTTGCCGGGGATAGATTACGCGAAGAACTACCTAATAAGGTAGAACCAGCAGGGCAGAGATGGGACGCGTCCAATGACAGGACGAGTGGGTGACGAGGCCACGGTGATGATGAGGTACCTATAGAGCGGACGAGACGGAGGTGGTAGGGAAGAAGGAGTAAGATTGACAGTTTTTAGTGGAGAGAAAAGAAAACGTCCTCGTTACATGGACGCAGCAATACGGGACTGGCTATGCTAATTTTTATTCATCTATTTTTTGGCATCTTAACAGTTACTGAGTAATAAGTGGTACCGGCGGGAAGAAGCTCCAGGCTAGCTGTACAGTTCGAGGGCAAAGCATGTGTGGCGCACTCCGCTAGTGGTACCGGAGCAAAATGCCCGGGAGCGGCGGCGATCGCCTACCCAATGCGGCCAAATGCCATTCGTTCCCCTCGTCACTACCTACCTACCCAGCTCCCTCTAGAAAATAACAAGCAGCCAGCGTTCCAGCGTTCCAGCGTTCCAGCGTTACAGCGTTCCAGCGTTCCAGTGTGCCAGCTTGCCAGCCAAGTAGGCTGCCAAAACCGACGGGATGTGCACCATTTTTGGGGATTTGCATGCATCTAGAAGAGGTGATTGCTCAATCACTGGGGAATGGCATACGTCTAAAGGCTTGATTGGCTTTGCTCAAAAGCCAAAGTCAAAGCTTGACGCACACATGCTCCTCGAACACGCAGCTTTGCAGCCTTCCAGTACGTTCCCCCATATTATGATGATGCCCGTGGGTTCAATATTGTCCCTCACAGTGCCCCCAGTCGACGTTTTGAGCAAGTCATGGAGCAGAGCTTCAGCCACGGCCCAATCGTACGGATCCTGCACCGCATCGCTGGCGTCGATTGGTCGATTGCACAAGCTCGGCACAAAGTACTGCAATTTTTTTTATCTTCCCTCCCCCGTAGCTTTGTGCGACGCTTCTTAAACCGGCAAAGTGGTAGATTTTTCGCCTCATGAGCTCCCAAATGCATGCATGCAACACAAACGGGCGAAACCTCCCGGATATTTCTTGGATTCTAAATTGTTAATAGCTCAAGAAAATAAAATCCAATAAACCGTTGCTACTGCGACTTTTCCACCCCTCTTTTTAATTCTACGACAGCTTACCAAAGAGCCGGGCTTCGTTGTAAGACCCCAAGCCAAGCTTTTTTTCAGAGTGTGGCACAGCCTAGCACCGTGGAGGAAAGACGCTCATCAGCGACAAAAAGTCGATGAGACTCTGGGATCGCCGATTTGGGCTCCTAAAGACGCGGCCGTTATTCCTGGCCCCATGAGTGGCTCCCGCTTTCCCCTCCTCTCACCCCTTCCCCACCCAATGATGGCAGTGGCTCAGCCAGCAGGAGTAAAACGTCCATCTTCCCGGTTATGTCGTTTGTGCTTGGGACGCCTTTCTCTTTCAAATTTGTGCCAATTGCCAAAAAAAATCCCATATATACTTCTACGCCCCAGCAGGTGTGGCTGAGTTTCCGGCTCAAGTGTTCAACCACAAACGCTTAGTTACCACCACCATTCACTCATTCACCTCACACCATCACCGTTTGCATTTCGCCACTTATTCACCACATACAAAACTAATCCCGCTGCTCCAACCAGGAGCTCTATTTTCCCTCGGAAACATTGCCGCCACTGCAAAAACAAAAGAAACAAACTCAATTCATCACCAAGACAAAACAAAGCTACAAACTTGATTCCTCATCAAGACGTTAATGAACCCTTGAGCACATTCGCTTTATAGCTACCAACACAGCACTCCACACCTCTCCCAACACTTCAACATCACCTCTCGCTCTACGGGTTATGAACAATACACAACTAGACCCCGGCCTATCCGCCATGCTCGCGTCAACCAATCTATCCATCGACCCGGGCGCCCTCTTGCAGCAGCAGCAGAACCAGTATCAGCAGCAACCGCTTTTTGAAGGCGACACATCCTCCTCCCGCACCACATCCACCTCGTCTGTGCCGCGATTATCCACGCCCAACACGGAAGACGACGAGGACGATCTCGATGAAGAAGCAGAAGAGGACGACACCTCGAAGAAGCCCAACACGAGAAGCAAAACTAAGATGCCCGCCGCATCCACCAGGTCCAAAACCACCAATGCCACCACATCGTCTACCAAGTCCAAACGGGGAGGAGCCGGCGCTGCCGTGGGCGCGGCCGACAAGCGTCGCAAGCGCAACCTCGAGCGCAATCGCGCCGCCGCTTCCAAATGCCGCCAGCGCAAGAAGCAGTGGCAGGACGGCCTCGAGCGCAAAAAGATGGAGCTCGAGACGCGCTACAAGGCTTTGCACGGCGAGGCTAAGGATCTGATGGAGGAAGTGGCCCAGCTCAAGAATTTTGTCATGGCCCACGCCGCTTGTAACGACGCCAACATTGACGATTGGATCCGCAACGAGGCCGACAATTTCGTCCGCCGCATGAGCGGCGCTCACATGCACCAGGCGAGTCAGAGCGCATCAGCCGCCGCGTCCATGGGCCAGATGCGCTCGCCTACTCAGAGTGTCCTGACGGCGACACCCCCGATGAACGGTATGTTTTAAACGGCCCCCGAGAAAGGGTGGTTTCAAAAAAAAAATAGCGTCGAGCCAGTGCTGATGATTTGACAGATAGCCTAAATGCCATGTTTGCACCCGGGGGCTCCAAAGCGCCATTTGACAGGGCCCCCCACACCCAGCAGCCCGATCTGCGATCCGGCGGCGCCACAGACACCTCCGATCAAAACAGCAACATTTTCAACCAAGATTTGCTCATGTTATCATCCATGTAGGCATCACGAGCTGCTCCTGTCCAATATTTCAACTCCAAACCAGTTTTGTACCACCAATTCCTTTCTTTAACATCTGATGACTATCTTGCGCTGTTATGTAATGTTTTGGGCGTTGGTATTTCTCTGTTTTTGTCGAGATCTCTTATTCCCCCCTTGTCAGTTATCATCTTGGACGCGATCATGACCACCAAAACAACAAAAGGCGTACGAAACGGGCTACTAGCACAGTGTATTGGCGGGTTTTGCACTATCTGTTTGAAAGCGGGTTTCTCATCTCAGGGCTCTTTCCCCTTTTCTTCTTCTTCTTCTTCTTCTTCTCGTTCATACGGAAATTTGTGGCGTTTGAGATGGAGTCTCTATATTTTTTTCTTTCCAGCATGATTCAACACATTCACGTTGACTCCTCGGGGGCTATTCTACATATGGTACAATTTGATTCGGCTGCAATCATGTGCTGCAACTTACTCTTCTTCAAAAATAACAAAAATAGAGTATGCTCGTCTACAACCAAATCATACAAAGTTGAAACTACTGCGCATCTCGTCTTCCTGTACTGCCTAGATATGCTGACAAGTAATTCAATGACACGAAGAAGAAAAAAGCAGTAATATTGTATACATGACGAAAAGGGTTTTGGTGCTTTATTTGCTCCCTCAACGACGCTTTGTCCACCCCCGCGCGTTGGAGACGCCCTTGATGCGTTTCGTGTACTTATCCAGATGGCGGTACTTGCCGCTCTGGTGCTTGGCTTCCCAGCCGCGCGACTTGATGAGCGGCTTGAGGCTGTAGACGCGCTGCGGGCGGAGCTCGACGTCGGCGCCCGCGATGCCGTGACGCGCCATGACATCCGCCGTCGAATCATCCCACTCGCTGCGAAACATGGTGAAGCCGACGGGCGTCAGCGCAAACTTGTCGCGAAACGACTTTAGCGAGAAGCGGTCCCGCTTGTCGGCGTACAGCGTGCTCATCTTGGCGACGTCGACGGTCGCGCCGGGCTCTTGCTCGAGAATAAAGACGGCGAGGCGGTGGTAGGGCGCGCCCTTGGTGGCATGCGGCGGCAGCCACGGCACGGCGAGCTGGCCGTTGTCGCCTTGGGCGGCAGTGAGCAGCGGGAGGGCGACGGCGGGCAGGGCGGGGCTGACGGGCACGTTGGCGGCGACGTAATGGCAGCGCTTGAAGAAGCCGTTGGCGTCGACGTCGGGCACGTCGGCGTCGACGACGACAACGGTGACGAGCCGCTCTCCCCGGTCGTCAAAGGCTTGCACCTTGAGACGCGGCACGCGCTCGGAGACGTAGCTAGGCACGACGCTACCAGGCGAGATCTTGGCGCGGTCAAAGTACAGCTGCACATCGACGGTGGGTTCCAGCTTGGGCAGTATGTCGGGGACGATGTTGAACTGCTCGATGCGCTGCTTGATGAGCTTGTAGTCGTATGAGCGCCACTTTCTCTCGGCGAGGTGGCGGTAGATGGGCTTGGTCATGTCGCCTGGTTCACAATGTTAGTTGCCAAGATTTTCCAAGTCATGAATGGAGAAATGAAAGAAGAAAAACGTACCGAGTCCGTCTTCAAATCTTCGCTTGACCAAAGGATCATTGATATCTGCCAGAATCGTCAGACGATGCGCCTCCTTGCGCAGGCTCCGCAGCCGAATCTGCTTCATCGTCTCGCCGCCTTTGATTTCCGCCGCATCCTTGGCCTCGAGCGCCGCTACCTTGTTCACCGCCGCTGCCAAGCTCGCCAGCTTGACCTCGCGGTCCGCCGCGAGAATCTTGCGCGCCTCCTGGAACGCCTGGAACGGCAGCTGCTCAAACGGGAGGCTACCCGTCGTCCGGATCGCCTCGCGCCGGCGCCGCGAACCAATCGGCATTATGCCCTGGTCCAACAGTTGCTGCTCGAGCTCGCGTGGTACGGTATTGGGGTCAAGGTCCGCCTGCGTCAATGGCGGTGTCGTCGTGGTCGTTGCTGCAGGGTCCTCCTGAGTCGTCGTCGTGGTCGTCGTCTCTGAGGCGCGGACGGCGCTGCTGCTAAACGTCCGGATGACACATCGTTGTGCCAATTGCCTCGTCAGCGGCCGTGAGACCGCGCCGCACCCTGACATTGTGATTGTCAAAATATGTGTGACTTTTTTCCGTCGACTTTTGAGGAATTGCTGGTAGACGGGAGTTCGGCGCAAGTATTGCCAAAAAAGCTGCTGCACTCCAGCGCCCCACTCAAATTTGCTGGCGGAATCAGGCCGGCCCGGTTTTTCTTGGTGTCACGGTTTTCTAACTAGACGTTTGCTCCGAGTTGCGACAACGACATCAATTTCATGTGCTCAGCGGTCACTTGGCGTCCATTGTGTGTTGAGACGGCGTTCAAGTTGCCTTGAAATGGCGGTCAGAACTACAGGGTGCCTCTCCGAGGCTCTGGCAGCGCTGAGGATATCAACAACCAAGGTCCGTTCCCAACTCCTATTTGCCATCTTGCGACCTGTCTAACCATTCCGCAGCCTATCACCGTTAGCAGGACCTTCAGCCGATCGATGGCTACCGAGTCGCCTGCGTCCAACATTACGAAATCTGCCTCAACACCCCAGACCATAATTCAATCCTGGAACCCAAGTACGCCAATATCAGAACTGCATCGCCTCCGCCATCTCCCAAACTAACCATAGACTCTTCAGTTGCTACCGTCCCCGTCACCGTCCACAGCTTCCCCGCGCTCGAGCCGACCTCTCTCGAGCAGTGGTCCGTCAACCACCTGTACCTCCCCCTTCGGCGGGACCTTCTCTACAGCGCCGTCGTGTACGAGGGCGACAACACGCGGCAGGGCACCGCCTCGAGCAAGACGCGCTACGACGTGCACGGCTCCCACCGCAAGATTCGCCCGCAAAAGGGCTCCGGCCGTGCCCGCCTCGGCTCCCGACAGAGCCCGTCCATCAAGGGCGGCGGCAAGACCTTTGGCCCACACCCCCGCGACTTTGGCACCAAGCTCAACCGCAAGGTCTACGACAAGGCCTGGCGCACCGCTCTCAGCTACCGCTACCGCCGCGGCGAGCTGATCGTATGCGAGGACGGAATGGAGCTCGCCGTGCCCGAGGATTTCGTAAAGGTCGCCCATCACTTTAAAGACGGCCTGCGCGAGGCGTACCTGGCAAAGTATATGCGCGGCGTCCTCGCGGCGCTGCGGCTCGGCAGCACAGACGGCCGCACGCTGTTCGTTACGGGCAATCGTAGAGACTGGCTGTACGGGGCCATGGAGCAGTTACCCTCTGAGGGACGTGCTCTGGACCTGCCGGATGTGGATGTCAAGGATTTGCTCGAGACGGGCAAGGTGGTCATGGAGAGGAGCGTGCTCCAGGAGATGATTGAGCAGCACCAGAGCGATTTAGTCAGTCGTATCGTGGTTGGCGGCTTGCCGTTAAAGGGGCCGCAGACTGGTGAGAAGGTGCTATGAGTGTGAGACGGGCAAAAAGCCGCTGTGTGTAAAGCTGCGCACATTGTACCATATCAAAACTCATGTAGAGTGAATCTTATACCAAATCTGTATACTTGACTTGCTGTCTCGGTTCCTGGTCTCCGCCATATGTACACGTCTATTCTATGTCTAAATTGGGTATCTTGCCTTCTCTCGCGGGAAAACTCTAACTGGCTGTGCTACAAGAAACGACATACGACCATTTATTCGTCTTACAATGCGCCACCAACGAGCGACACAATCCACATGGCGATGCGCACCTTGAGGCCGACCCTGCGCTCATTCGTCGCAAAGTCGTCCCTCGTCATCGCCCGCGCGTGCTCCTGCAGCCACTCCTGTTCGTCCTTGAGCCTGCGCTTCAACCCCACATCACGCGTGACGATGAGCGCGCCGACCTCCAGATCGTGCGAGTAGCTGCGCTTGGTGTAATTTGAGCTGCCAATGACGCTCATCGACGGGCCCACTGCCTCGTCGCCCGGCATGGCTACCCAAAGGCCCTTGGCATGGTACGTCCAGCCGCCCAGATGGCCGACGGTGCCGTTGCGCCACTCTTTCAGGGTGATGTCGGCGGCGCGCCCGGCGTGGTGCGCGGCGTGCACGAAGCGCTTGGCGAGCAGTGTGTAGGCGTCGGGGAGCAGGCCCGAGACGCCGGGGGAGCGGTAGAAGCCGTTGGCCTCGGGGGCAGCGGTGATGACGACGTTGTGCAACGAAGACGCGGTGGCGAGGAGCAGCTTGGTGAGAGACGGCGCGGGGTTGAAGTAGCCGGCGGTAAAGGTCCACGAAGAGGCGGCGTAATCCGGGTCGGCGAGGCGCGTGAGAATGCTGGTAATAACGGGCAGCTCGGTGGCCGGATCAGGCGAGGTGGTGATTTGCGTCATTTGCCCAAGGAGGTAAACGCGGGTGTCGTCGAGAGTGCTGAGGGAAGGTGTTGGGTGGCGTCCGGACGGCTGCGGCTGCGGCGCAGTGAGAAGAGGGCGGAGGACGGAGGTGGCACCGCGGACAAACGCGGACGGATCGTCGAGGGGCGATGGCGTGGCGTTGGTGGCAGGCCAGGAGAGGATGAAGCCTACGGGCTCATCAGAGGGTGCAACGAGGAAGCTCAAGGAGGAGACGCCGTGGTGAATGTTGTAAAAGTGGTCAGTGACGCGCTTGGACTTGAAGAGGTGGTATCGGTCCTGACGGTTGGTAAAGTAGTCGGTGGATAAGTTGGCTCTGTGTCGCAGGTTAGCAGCAAGACTCGTATTCTTTCATCCGTCAAAGACATACCCAGACAGGATAATCTCGTCGTCCACGCCGTAAAGCTTCATGTGCTGCAGGCCCCAGCCCTCGTTGATGCGCTTGGGTATGTACTTTTTGCGCAGGCCCGTCAGGTTTGGCGTGTGGTACATGCGAATCTCGACACGATCCGCGCCAAACTCCGCTACCAGCGGCGCCAGCAGCGAGGCACAGGAAGGATCAGGCGCCTCGCGCGTGCCGCGGAGGCAGTCGGTCAGAATGCTCAGCTTGAGCTCCGAATTGAGGCGCAGCGCTTCTTGGAGCGTCTCAATGAGCTCGCGCTCCGACTTGCCAATATACAGCGTCGACAAGAAGATGCGGCTTTTGGCATTTCGTATGCGCTCCTACACATGGTCCGGTTCATTAGCTGATTTGTGCCTGTCATCGCAAGCAGCTCATCTCCTTGCCTTGAGAGTTTCGTAAAACTCGCTCGGTGTTTTGAGGATCTGAATCTGATCACCACGTAGATCGACGCTCGGAGCGAGCTTGTCAAGCTCATTCACAAAAGGCGCCAGGATGCCGGCTTTGCTGGCCGCCTGCGTGGGCGCACCGCCGGGTGATGTCGCATAGTGCCGGGCCTGAGCTCTCGCAACGGAGAGCTGGGCAGGCCGCGATTGGAGGTGTGCGCGAGCAACGCATCGGCAACAGCTTCGCGCAAACATGCTGCCTTCTGTATAAGTAGGAACTATCGACAAAGAAGCTTTTCCACCGCCCAACAATGACAAAACAGCAGCCCAATGGCTTCGCGATGATGAAACAATGCAAAAGTCGCCAGAAAGGGTAAAGACCACCCAAAAGGTACGTTAGCTATAGCGCAGCTATGATTGGCTTGTGACAATGTAAAGTGGGGGGTTCGATGCCGAAGTTAAGCCGGCATTTCCAATTGTAGCAGCATCATCTCAACCGGACCTCTCGATCCTCTGCGCACGATTCATCGGATTGCTCAGCCAACACTGCAGCCATGTCGACCATTCCGCGTACGCTGCGCAACATTCGCAAGGTTGGAATCAAGGTATGACGCGGATCTGGACAATGCGCCCGCACAATCCCTCCACTTGAATCGGACAGGACAAGACCGGCTGACATTCAACAGGACTACTTGGTTCAGATGTGGGTATGTAAACGACCTCGACCCGACGACAACACACGAAACGAGATGGAAATATTGGATTGATTGCTAATGAAGGCCTGTTGGGATTTTCGCATCTTTAGTATATCGGTACGGTCTATCCCCCTCCCCGATCCGCCACCGGCGAACATCGACGTTCTGCCGACAGATGGATCGAACCCTAGCTAACAGTAGGGTTCCCTTTTCTTCTTTTCTGATAGGTGACACAAAGGCCGGAACCTATATGGGCAAGGACCGCGCCGGCAACAAGTTCTTTGAAAACGGCGAGGAGCTGCCCCTGCGCACGCGCTGGGTCCAGTACGCCCAGCACGACTTTGACGCCGCCCAAATCGAGCCCGGCTGGCACGCCTGGATGAGCTACGCCGTTGACACCGTGCCCGGCGAAGACCCCCTCCTGACCGCCGGCACCCGCAAGTTTGAGCCCGCCCTGCCGAAGCCGAATTACACGCAGACGCGTGGTGCCTTCAAAACCTACAACACGTGCGTAAATTCCCGACAGAGGGTAGAGAAGAGGGGAGAAAGCTAACGGGGTGGGATATAGTACCAAGAGCAAGCTGACTGCTTGGGAGCCTGTCGCTGCGCCGAGATCATAAGTCGTGATGCGAGAGGAAAGGTTTGTTTATTACCTGGTAGGAGGTGTGTACATATTACAGAGGTAGAGCTGGGACCAAGGACCAATTCACTTTGTCACAATTCATAATGAAGATGCTGTCTTTGTATCGCATGGTCGTCGCAGACTTGTGTGAACATTATGAAAACCGAAACAATGGGCCGAAAAGTACCTAAACTCGTGAAACTAAAACTCGGACAATGCATTGCTCCGATCAAAGATCACCACATCTACTACAGTTTACCCAAGATCTGGCTATGACAGGAAAAGCTCTAGATGGTAAGGAAACAACGAGATCGCGCACTTCTAAATCGCCCGTCATCTACTGCTTGGACTGGAGCGCTGTCTTGATGGCTGTGTATATTGTTAGCATATGCTGGCGGTATACCCAAAGGAGAAGAAACCATACCTTCGCAAGAATCCTTGGCGTCGCCAAACAGCATCTTTGCATTGGGCATGTAGAACATGGGGTTCGGCACATCAGCTGCACATCTTGTTAGCACGTACAGTCTCCAAGATGCACAGCGCACAACTCACCGTAGCCGCTGGCCATGCCGCGCTTCATGATAACCACCTGCTTGCTCTTCCACGCGTGTAGTACGGGCATGCCCTCAATAGCGCTGCCCTTTTCCATGGCAATCGGGTTGACCGTGTCATTGGCGCCAATCACAACCGTCAGGTCCGTGTCGGGAAAGTCGTCGTTGATCTCGTCCATTTCCAGGACAATGTCGTAGGGGACGCTGGCCTCAGCGAGCAGCACGTTGCACTGGCCGGGCATGCGGCCGGCGACGGGGTGGATGGCAAAGCGCACCGTGATACCCTTGGCGCGCAGCATGGAAACGATTTCGGAAATGGCATATTGCGCCTTGGCGACGGCCATGCCGTAGCCGACCACCAGAATGACGGATTCGGAATTGAGCATGGCATCGGCTAACTCTTCGGTCGATGTCTTGGTCACCTCACCTTGTGGTTTGTACTCTTGTACCTCTGTCGGCGTCGACAGACCGCCAAATAAGACATTGGTTAGCGATCGATTCATGGCCACGCACATCACGTAGGACAGGATGGAACCGGACACGCCTATCAGAGCCCCCACCGACGTAAGGAGGGGGTTGTCCAACATGAAGCCTTCTGCCACGAGGGCAAAGCCAGAGTAGGCGTTGAGCACGGTAATGACGACGGGCATGTCAGCACCACCAATGGCAGCCGTGGTAGTGTAGCCCTTGACAAAGCTTAGGACCGCGTTGGCAGTCAAGGCGCCGGCTGCAATCAGCGGCGCGCCGGGGGCCATAGTGACAAAGGCACCCATGGTAGCAATATTAGAGGCCAAGAGACCACCATTTATGAAGTGTCGTCCCGGTAAGATTTTGGGCTTTGAAGACATTCTGCCAGCCAGTTTCATAAATGCAACAATGGAGCCAGTAAAGGTGATACCACCTAGCTACTGTTAGGGGAAACAATGAAGCAGATATAACGGGGGAGGGTTTGACGTACCAATCAAAACGCCAAGGTAACCGGTTACCATGTGCAAGGTGGAAATGTCTGAGATGCCAGCCATGACACTGCCGATACTGGTCAAGACAGCGGCAAGACCGACAACGGAGTGTAGGGCAGCAACGGTTTGTGGGAGATCAGTGGGAGTAATGCGTTTTCCAATCAAGGCACCTGAAAGAGGTCTGGTCAGGCTCGGCTTTTTCTCTCATCATGCTTGTGCAAACTTACCAGCAAGAAGACCAATCGAGGCCAGAGCACCAAACTGGGTCAGCACCTCGGGAGAGAAGCCCACGGCGAGCAAGCTAGCGAGGACACCAGAAGAAACACCAAGCATGCCCAGCATGTTGCCCATGCGGGCAGTGGCTTGCGAAGCCAGGCCAGAAATTGAGCCGATGCAGAGAACGGATGAAACAAGGTAGCCAGCCTGGACTAGGCCGGCAGCACCTGTGGAAGCAGCGGCGAGGAAGCCACCGCCAAACACCACAGCAGGGACGGCATACAGCCATGGGTACTCGGGAGGATCAGTAGGGCCTACATGGCCACGTCAGTTTGTGTAGCAAGGCATTCAAGAAACAGACTTACGCTTAAACATGTCAAGCATGCGCTTGGTGATGACGAAACCACCGCCAACGTTGACAAAGGCCAGCAATACACTCAGAGCACCAAGAGTCTGGGGAATGGTGCCCGGGAGGTAGCCTCCACCGAGAATGAAGAGACCACCAACACCAACCATGCCGGAAATGGCATTGGTGACACTCATCAGAGGCGAATGCAGCGCAGGGGCCACGCCCCAGACGACGCGATATCCGATCAGACTGGCCAGCGCAAACGTAAAGGCGTTGGACATGAAGAGCGGATCGGTAAACTTGCCCAACGCCAGCACAGAGGCCATGCCGGCAGTCACAAACCCGACCTCGCGCGACTTTTGCTGCCAGGGTGTGAGCGCGACGGGCTCGGGAACAACCTCTGCCGCAGCCGGCTTGGCGGGGGCGGGAGGAGGCGCGGGGCGGGGAGCAGGAGGCAGAATCTCGCCCTTTTGGGTGACAATAGCGCCGCGGACAACCTCGTCGGAGAGATCAACGCCGAATGCTTTCTCCTGCGGAGTCATGGAGAGCAAAAACTTGGTGATGTTGTTGGAGTACAGAGTCGACGACTGTGTGGGCAAACGAGAGGGAAGATCAGTATAGCCTGAGTGGGTTATTAGTTGACGTTCTCAAGAGAGGCATCTGTTTGACGTACCAATGACCTTGACGTCGTTGTACGTAACAAGCTCGCCCTGTTTGGTAGCTTCGCAGTTGCCTCCGGCTTCAGCAGCCAGATCAACAATAACACTTCCGGGCTTCATGACATCAAGCATGTCCATCTTGATCAGCTTGGGGGCAGGTTTGCCCGGAATGAGGGCAGTGGTAATGATTATGTCCACCTCCTTGGCCTGGTCCTTGAAGAGTTTCATCTCGGCTTCAATAAACTCCTTGCTCATTTCTTTGGCGTAGCCGCCAGCGCCGGAGCCATCTTCCTCAATTTCGACCTCGATAAACTCGGCGCCGAGAGACTGGACCTGCTCCCGGGCAGCCGGTCTGGTGTCAAAGCCGCGGACAATGGCGCCCATGCGACGCGCCGTAGCAATGGCGCTGAGACCAGCGACACCGGCACCAATAACCAAAACCTTGCAGGGCGGGATCTTGCCGGCAGCAGTCACCTGGCCAGTGAGAAATCGGCCAAAGACGTTGGAGGCTTCCAGCACAGCCTTGTAACCGGCAATGTTGGCCATGCTACTAAGAGCGTCAAAGACCTGGGCGCGAGAGATACGGGGAATCATGTCCATGGCGAAGCAGGTGGCATTGCGGCTAGCAATTTTTTCCACGAGCTCCTTATTTTGCGCAGGCTGAAGCAGCGAGATGATGGTCTGGTTTTCTTGAATAGAGTCGACCTCTTGCAGAGACGGACCGCGGACTTTGAGGACAATGTTGGACCGAGACCAGATGGCGGAGGCGTCGTCGACGAGGGTGGCGCCAGCGGCTTCGTAAGCGGAATCGAGAAAGTCAGCGGCAGCGCCGGCGCCGCGCTGGACGAGGACCTTGGCATAGCCCTTCTTAAGCAGGACCGCGACGTTGGCGGGGGTGAGGGCAACGCGTCGCTCGCCGGGAAAGGTCTCCTTGGGGACGCCGACGCTGAGCTGGGCATATGGAGTAGTCTGCGGCAGGACGACCGTGGAATATCTCTTTGGAGGTAGTGGAATGGACGCGTTTACCGAGGCATGGCGGACGAGGGCGACAGGCTTCGCAGCGGCGGGTACAGAGGCGCGCTGAGCGGTGAAAGCCTTCAAGGTGGTGAGGTATCTGCGGCGGTTGCTCACCAGCAATCTTCCATCTGCGCGGAAGCGTTGACGTTAGCAATTGAAGTAGCAATTGACAAGGGCAATGGTGATGGCTGAGGCATATTTCACGTCTAGCGTAAGTTACGAGAGAAAAAAAAAGAGTGAGCTTCTCCCTCAATTGTCATACCTTGGAGGCCGATGCGCGCGGCGGCAGTAGAGGACGAGGAGAGCTCAGAAGCCAATGGGCGCAGGAAATGGGACGCCATTGCTCTAGACGACACTCATCTGCGGCAGCTTGCTTTCTGTGCGCGAGAAAAGAGGAAGCTGGCGAGGGTCCGGGCCGAAGATTGGTGTAGACGGCAGATGGCCGATGGGGATCTTGAGTCACCGATGGCGGAGCTCCAACTGTGGATGCGATCTCCGAGTAGCTGCCGGAGTTGCGAGGTACAGCGCGCGAAAGGGAAAGAAGCTGGGCGACACAGGAAACTGAGAGAATGGGACAGGGTGAGAAACAATGAACAAAACAAGAGGGAGCAAAAAACAAAGTACGAGGAGGGGACGTTGTCCGGGCCAGGGCGACGAGCCGTCTCGAACGAGCTACTTGTTAGGGCGGCAGAGGTAAATAGAGGTGCTGCTGTACCTACCTACCTACCTACCTACCTAGGTAACTACCTAGGCCTAGGTACCTAATGGAAACTCTGGTGGTGGCTGGCAACTCCAAGTACCTGTCTGTCATTGGCGTGGTTTGTTTGGAGACGGCGTCGGCGCGGTCCCATTCCCGCAAAGACTCATGACGCGAAACTACTGCAGCTACGGCGCCAGCGGTAAGGCAACGCAAGGTTACATGATGCTGGGTTAGGTTGGTACTTTGTCGGAGGCGTCCGAGGCTGCAACCATCCCATTCCAAGACTGCGGCAGCCAGCTTTGCTTCCTTGTCCAAAACTTGTCTGCCAAGATTCAGGCTGTTGTTGTTTGTGCGGGGCTCGAGGCATGATACATTACAGCGGGCTGTAGCGCCTCGGCCGCACGTTTTAGTGCTCTGCCGTCGCTGGGAGGCACCGCAAGTGGGGGGGGACCTGCGGCGCTAAAATCTGGGGGTGGGACACCTGTACCCTTCCCTACCACGCCAAGGGCACGCCTAGCTAATGAAAAGAGGTCATCGTGAACAAGCTGCTTCTAGACGGGCCGAGATGGCATCATCAGGCAGCTCAGCTATTTTTACCAAAATCAGCAGTGGAAATGAGGTGTTTTCTGTTCTCAAGAAGCGACACTGATATTCAGGATTGTATCTCACGGCTGTATTATTAAGCACTACGGCCGTGCTCGGCCGAAGCCGGTGCAATACAAAGGCAAAAGTCACCCTCGATTCGATCTGAAAGCAATAATTGTACGGTCTTCTAACAGGTAGTTACTGTGCGTGCCGCAGAGCTGCGGCGCGGGGTAGATTCTGTTATTAATAAAATTGGCCGTCCGCCTGCAAGTATTCCTTTCTTTAGCCTGGTCGGGTGTACACGCGCCGACGCCACGCACCATCCCACTCACTGTCTCCATGCACATCGAGCACAAATACGGCCGAGTTCGATCAACGCTTGGGTTAGGTAACCACAATTCAGACTTTCTTATCAATAGGTAGAAGGAGCTAAGAATTATAAAGGTCCAGCTCAGTGAGCCAACGAGTGTAGAGAAAGGTAAATGGTGCAGCAGTATTCGTCTCAGATTGGGCTGCTTCCGTCGTAGCAAGTGTAATTTTGAACGTTCCGTTTCGTAGGCTTCTTTTTTTTTCCCAATGAAGCAAACAAGATTGAGCGACGCTCATCTTCCAACTCAACGACACTATTTATGGCTCGCCGAATAGCATGGCGTCTCGCAGCGCCCTCTGAAATCCGGGCCGACGTTGAGGCACTTGTCGCAGCCGCACATGAGGTCCAGGTCCGTGCCGACCTTCTGGTCCGCCTCCTTGCAGAGGCAAATAAAGACGGCATTCTGTACATTTGTCGAAGGCTTGTCGTTGGGGCAGGACGCATTCGGGGTGCTGCAGTACGCCTCCGTGAGTTGCTTATCGGTCCATGGCGTATCTGTCGTAGTTACCTTGTTAGCCACAAACTTCTTGTTTGCACTCCTTTGTAGAATTTCGATAGGGGTCAGACTTACTCATTGCCTTGAGTACCGAGGCGCAGTAGGTGTAGCCGCACTCGCAGGTGGCCCCCTTGGGCTCCGGTCCTGGGCTCTTTGACGGCGAGGGTACGGGCGAAGACGTCGCCGGTGGTGGCGGCGGCGGTGGTGGTGGGGATGGCACCGGCGGCGCACCTGGGGGAGCAGACGGCGTCGACGAGTTTTGGGCCGATGCGGGAGTCTGCGGCTTGCCCAGGACGAGCAGCGCAAAGGGGATGGCGTGCCAGATCTGCATGGTCGCTGCGTGTAAGACGAGAGCCTAGCCGAGTTGTTCTTGCAGGCCAAAGTTTTGGAGAATAATTCTACTCATATTTATACATGGATTTCAATCTTCATCATGATGCGGGACTGTCAATTCTTTGCCATAATTCTAGCTACACAGTACACATGTTCATGAGCTTCCGCTGTGGTCCTTTCGAGCATAGAGAGCCTAGCTAAACCAAAGTGTCGCAAGTAGACAAATGATTGGCAAACATTTCTGTCAGGTTCAACATTGACACAGAGGGAAGAGTTTGCGTTGCGTTGTCCTCTTCGGGAAGTTATACAAGCAAAGAAGAAGGTTAATTTTGACTTTGACCGGTCAACTGCCGTTGATACTTACTCGCCCTGACAAGTTGCTTTCCAAGACGTGGTTTAGTGATGAGATTATTTGCTTTAAAGAATTGCGGGATAAAACCGGGCTTAGGATATCAGAGCTTCCAGCTAAAACATATGCATCTATCTTAGGTCCTGGTTTCTCGGGATTTTCGTCTCTAACATGCGGCCGAACTCACATTCTAGTTGTACTTTTAACCTTCCGGGTAACTGTACCTATTGACTGATGCGAAATTGCCCCGCGCTGTCGGAGCTCCGCAGGTACCCCGCCCCCGCGAGCCACCGACCTCCAGGGGGAAAAAAAATCTCCAACCAACACTTCTTTTCTACGGCCTTCTCAATCGGTGTTCCAATCACAAATAGACACACATACACACATACACATATACACGCACACAGCGACACAAACACGAACCACAGACTCGAAACACAGACACACACAACGCCATGTCAGAGGCACATGCAGGACCCGAGGCCAACGTCATCCGTGTTGGCACGCGCAAGTCGCCGCTGGCCATGGCGCAGGCCTACATTGTCGTCGACGCGCTGCGGGCGGCGCTCCCCTCGCACACGTTTCCCATTGACAGCATGACGACGACGGGCGACCGCGACCAAAACACGGCGCTGTACAACTTTGGCGGCAAGGGCCTGTGGACGTCGCAGCTCGAAGACAAGCTTGTCCGCCGCGAGGTGGACATTGTGGTGCACTCGCTCAAGGACATGCCGACGGAGCTGCCAGACGGCCTGGTGCTCGGCTGCGTCACCAAGCGCGGCGACCCGCGCGACACGCTCGTCATCAAGAGGGCGCTCACTGAGAAGCACGGCTGGAAGACGCTCGCGGACCTGCCCCCCGGCAGCGTGGTCGGCACCAGCAGCATCCGCCGCATCGCCCAGCTGGCCCGGCGCTACCCACACCTCACCTTCAAAGACCACCGCGGCAACATCAACACGCGCCTGCAGAAACTCGAGGATGACGCCGAGTTGTCAGCCATTATTCTAGCCGCTGCCGGCTTGCAGCGCATGGACTTTGGCGACCGCATCGCGCAGTACCTCGACGCTGACGCTGCCGGCATGCTGCACGCCGTGGGCCAGGGAGCGCTGGGCATCGAGTGCCGCGCGGGGGACACACGCGTGCTCGCGGCGCTGGCCAAGTTGAAAGACACGCCCACGACGTTGGCCTGTCTGGCGGAGCGCAGCCTGATGCGCTCACTCGAGGGCGGGTGCAGCGTGCCCATTGGCGTCGAGACGTCGTGGCTCGGCGACGGGCGGCTGCGGCTGCGGGCGACGGTGGTGGCGGTCAAGGGAGATAAGGCGGTCGACGCCGACGAGGCAGAGGTGGTGACGACCGACGAGGCGGCCGACGAGTTTGGCAAACGGATTGCGAGGGACTTGGTTGCGCAGGGCGCAGACGAGATTCTCAACGCAATCAACGCCGGCAAGGCGGTACAGGCAAAGCAAGCGGAACAGGCCGCGTAAACTGCTCAGTAGTGTACGACATGCCGAGAAAAGTTTTCGTGATTTACATGGGATGTTATACGACAAGTTAAGACTTCAAGTTCAGAGATGAAGAGCAAAATAAAAACGCCGTTCATGACCCGACAATTGCTGCTCGAAATGGTCCATCTCCTGCGAGGACGTATATAATAAACATAGCTGGTAAAAAAGAAATGACATCACGTTATGGTACACCACTTTTATTCTCTTTTTGAAGTGGCCCTGCCAGGTTGAACTGCCCCAAACATTTTTTTTATAAATCAATTCCGTGTTGAGCAGAACAAGCAAATGTCAAACCGTTTTGGTTTGGTCGTGGTATCACTCAGTGGTGTATTTTCCGAGCGACAGCCAAACCAAATTGGCGAGATGTGGCACGCAGCCAAAGCCAAGCAGCCATTCAACATTTGTAGAACCTGCTTCTCGCCTCGTCATCCCATTTGCACCAAATGAAGCAAGGCGAACAAAAAAGCAACTCCACCCACTTGGAGTTCTTTTTCCCTCTTTACTCCGAGTCGGTAAAGTCCTTGTAGGCCTGAGCATTCATGAGCTCGTCGGCCTGGTTAGCGCCCGACTCGTCGAGCTCGACCTTGACGATCCAGCCTCCGTTGTTGGAGTCGTCTTCAGGGACCTTGTTGATGGTGGAGGGCTTCTCCTCGAGAAGCTTGTTTCCTTCAGTGACCCTGCAGCGGACGGGGGCGTTGATGTCGCTGGCTGACTTGACCGACTCGACGGCGCCAAAGGCGTCACCCTGCTCGATGAAGTCGTCCGTCTCCACGGGGAGCTCGACGTAGACGACGTCGCCGAGCTGCTCGGCGGCGTACTCGGTGATACCAATGACGGCCGTTTTGCGGTCGGCCGACATCTCAATCCATTCGTGGTCCTTGGTGTACAGTTTCTCGAGGTCTAGCGGGAGTTAGGATTGTGAGCAAGGAGCAAGCACGACGGGACGTGACAGGAAATGGACTTGAGAGAGGGACGAGAGATTGATTGCTATATGAACATACTCAGACGAGAGGTGGTGAAGCTGCGGACGATAGGGCGGGCAGCCATGGGAGTCGAGCGGGCAGCGAGGCGCATAGCCGCGGGACGAGCGAGGCGGAGGACAGAGGCCATTGTGGGTTGTGTGTTTGTCGCGATGAAAGACGAATCGGATCAAGAAGACGATGGCGAATCAGGCGAGGAGGATTGGGAGGAGATGAGCAATGACAACAGCGATGCGATGGTGACGAGAATGTGGAAAAAAGGACCAAGTTTTGGAAAGAAACGAGAGTGGCCTGTTGCGGGTTTGGGATGCGCTCAGAGTTGCCTAGGGCGCTGCAAAAAGGTGAAACCGGTCCCCTCCGGCTTCCATAATACAGGGGGCCGGTCCGCGCTACCAGAGGGCGTTGTAGGCGGACTGCGGAGCGCTGGACTGAGCAACAACCACGGGCTGGTCCACAATGCTTGGGCGATGAAAAGCGGAGACTCGGGGGAGCTGTGTCCAATCAGACAATCAAAAGCATAATTGCCCCGCGGCAGAGAGCTACCTTGTGGTTCTTTTTACACATAGTTTCGATTGAGTAAACTGAGCAGAGCTCGTAATACTTGGCAAAGAGCGGAAACTTGACAAGGGAAAAATAGCTAAATAATAAGTGCTAGGAATTTTGCGATATGCAATGAAAACTTCTCTTTCGTGTGATTTGAAGCCAGTGGTAGGTTCAATTGCTTCTCGTTCACCAGCAATTAGGATATCTGTTGCAGGTCCCCCATGACATTGCACGTACAAATCTGCAGCGACGTCGGAGGTCTCCAGTCGCCTTGCCAATGTTACATATTAACCTATCATGCCGTTACGTACAAGGTACCGCGCGCACCATAACGGCGCCCCTGCCGTTTGCCGAGCATGCGAGCGTAAGCAACGGCATACTGATATCTTATATGGATTACAGGTCAAATTCACAACGTTGCTAGCCTTGTGAGACGACGTGCTAATGATTCGCCTACGGTAGGGTTACAAAAGTGATGCTAAAAGTAGATTTTATACTAAAATATATACTTTTTAAAAGACTATACTAATATAAGTAATACTATTAAAGATATTACTTAATTATAAATAGATATTATAGATTAATTACTTTAAGCTTATAAAAATAAATTTATTAAAATTTAATTTTTTATAATCTTATTTAGATTTTAAAAAATTAAGACTTTTAAAAATAACCTATTTTTTTTATTTTTAATCTTATTAAATACTTAAATATAAATTAATCACTTATTATATCTTATTAAATACTTACTTATGTTAATAATTTACTTTATTTATAAATTACTTATAAGGTAGTTATTTTAAGAAATTTAATAAAGTTATTTTTATAAAGCTTAAAAAACTTAAAAAAGTATATTATTTTTAAACTTAAACTAATAAGTTATATTTTATTATAACTTATAAAAATTATTTTATATAATTAATATATAAAATTATTATATTATATTTATCTAATAAGTTTAAATTTATTATATATTTAAATATATAATATTAAAATATTAGAGTAATCTTTTTTAAGATATTCGAGTAATCGTTAGACCTAAGTAGCTACTTCTAACTAAGCAGGTATATATACTATACGTAGCTTATATATAGCCTGTATATAGCCTATACACAGCTATAAGTAGCTAGTCACCAGCTAGTACTAGCTACTAAGAATCAAGCTTTTACATTGCCATTACTACTACCCTTACCGTTCTTTAAATACGTAACTGTAATCTTTTTTAAAATATTAATACTATATTTATAAATCTCTTTTATTTTTTTATTTTTCTTTTAATTTTAATATCTTTATCTTACTATTATTTAATATATCTATCAATTAGTTATCATAAAAACAAAAAATATTCATTTGCACGCTGTCGCTTTTGACCTCTCACTGGCGGCCCACTCTCTGCTCAGATACATAAAAGACCCCTCATTTTGTCCACTTCACACACTACTGAACTCACCAGGCCAATGCTAAATTAAGATGCTCAGAGCTTTTTATCCGCTAGACAGCTCGGGGGGGGCAGGTCGCGAGATCAAGTAAGCTTGCCTTTTTCGGCTTGGGCCACCAATATTTGACCGCCTTCCAAGAAGTATCATTCCGTTGACCCTTGTAGCGTTGTTGTAGTTCCTGGACTCGGTACAAGACCACCTTCGGAGTGGAAAGACCAGACCGGACCGTGGTTGGAGAAGCTGGTTGATAACTGCGCCGGCCGCGCCCAGATATGGATGTACGAATCAACAAAAGACTCTCGCAATGGGCCTGTCGTCCAGCAACTCGCCGATCAAGGTAAAGAGCTTCTCGACTGTCTTCACACGCTCTGCTCTCGTAATAAAGGATCTCCTTCGCCACCTAGGGCTTCGGGGTCAAATTCTCCTCCACGACAGGGTGCAGCGGCCCAGCCTTTCAGTTCGAGGGCCTCGACAGGTAGGAGAAGGCCCCTCCTCTTCATCTGCCACAGCCTCGGCGGCATCATCTTGAAATGGGTACGTAGCCCTCTTCAACTCCATGGCCGGCCTAGGAAGGAGAGGGCACTGACACGGGATAAGGCATTGTCACTAACTAAGGGCCATGTCTTCAGACATCTCGATGTTGTCGAGGTCATATCTGGTATTGTGTTTCTGGGAACGCCACACTTACCCTCGACCATCGCCGCGAGTCCGAACCTGGTGGAATCAATCTTGAAGCTTCATCAGAGGGGCTCTCCGCGAAAGGATGCCGTCGCGGCCAACGATAACAGTGTCTTGGCGAGGTGTTGTTACGACTTTGAGCTACTCGGAATGCAAGTGCCGATTGTCTCTGCCTACGAAACGGTGGAGTCGCGTGTCCGTTTTGGAATGTTCAAAGTCGTACCCACTTTGGTGAGAAAAACCTTTTAATTCACATCCCCGGATGGCATATGTAGGCTGACCAATGGCTAGATCGTCTCTAAAGAACGTTGCGTTGTCGGGTCACAGCAAGAGGTTGTCATTGCCGCTAACCAGGATCATGAACACATTTGCAACGTTCCAGTACAGAGCAGCCTTTATAAGGCCATCGAGAAGGCCTGGCAGCGTGCACTGGACGAAGCCCCCGGCTTGATATACAAGAAATTCTATAGTAAGGGACAGCTCTGCAGGTTCCCAATAACATGGTCTTTGCCACCCACATGTGTCGGCTAACTGAGTGTGCGTAGCCAGCACTCGCGACGGAGGCGAGATGGACACTCTCCGGAGTCTCACCACTGATAACGGGCAGAACCGGGTACAACTGATCCCAACGGTACAGGGAGCAGCGACGGCTTCCTTGGGTTTATCCCAGATGAGTTCAACCAGGGAAGCAACCTACGGCTCGTCAATCAACCCAAACCAGAGGACCGACAAGGCCATCACGACTTTCGAAGTCGTCAAGAAAAACCCTAGCCTTCCTTGCTTCTCTATGCAAGTTCACAAACGAAAAAGTGATTTCTTTGGGAGACAAGATATCCTCGACCTGATAGACGAGACCCTTCTTCCTGACCAACAGGAAGGCATCGATACTGGCCCATCTTCTGTTCGTTCGTTCGCACTCTGTGGCATGGGCGGCATCGGCAAGACGGAGATCGCAGTCGAGTATGCCTACGCAAGACAGTCCAAGTATGATGCTATCTTCTTCGTGACTGCGGACGGAAAAACCATCCTCTCCGAGCAATTTGCGCGTATTGCGACAGTACTCAACATTGAAGATCAGAGCAATACCAAAGACCTCACGGTCTCTTGCGAGATTGTCAAAGGGTGGCTGTCAAATCCTGTTCGGTCGTACGATGTTGCCGCTTCGGCCGAGAACGAGGCCTCCTGGCTCCTCATATTCGACAACGCCGACGACCCATCTGTTCTAGAGGACTTTTGGCCCTCCACCGGCTCGGGCTCTGTGCTCATTACGAGTCGCGACTCAGTTGCAAAAAACCAAATCTTCACAGCCAACAAGGGTATCGATCTTCAGCCTTTCTCGCCACCCGACGCCGTTCGTTTTCTGGACACCCTCGCCCAGAAGATTCCTAACGCTGGGCAGGTTGAGGACGCAGCCGAGGTGGCAGATCGGCTTGGCGGCCTGCCGCTCCTCATCACTCAAATGGCCGGTGTCATGGCCCGGCTGCGGCTGTCCTACTCCGATTGTCTAGCCCTCCTCGATGACAGCGGCATCGAGCAGATCGGTTCCACGGGGATGATCATGTCGACGCCGGAGCAAGTATATTCGGTTTCTTCTAAGCTAGGCTTTGACAGCCTCGCACCCAACAGCCTCGGCCTACTCTGTCTCATCTCCATGCTCGACCCGGATCGCATCCCGGAGGCCATTGTAAAGAGTGCTTGCTCCAACGCTTCACTAGAGGATTTCCCACAAGGCTTGGCCGCCTACTTCCGGGCGAGGGCACAGCTCCTTCAGACGTCGCTCATCAATCAGAACCCGGAGACGGGTGATATTTGGGTTCACCGTATTGTTCAAAAAGTGGCAAGAGCGAAGCTGGAATCTCGCCGATTAATCGAAATATACAACGTAGCTATTCAAGCCGCCTCGTCTGTGTGGCCATTCACCAATCTGGAGAATCGATTCACCACCGCCCGATACAAGCTCTGCGCCCCTTTATTTCCGAGCATTGTGCGTCTAAGGAACGCCTATGAATTCATTTCGTCGCTAGAATCGTTCCGCCACGAGTTGCCCACCGCGAAGCTTTTCGGCGATACCGGATGGTGAGTTGTCGTCGTATAGAGCGCTGAGGTTGGAGAGAGCTAAATAAATGCCAGGTACCGATTTGAGCGAGGATTTCAAGAAGAGTCGAAGGAGTGGTTTACTCTGGTGCACAATATTTGTTGTGGACTAGAGGATAGAGTTTCGGAAGAGGCTCTATACATGATCCGAGACACTCATCACAACCTAGGCACTGCTGCCGGCGAGACGAACGACGTGAAAAGCTTCCTCCAACACGTGGCCGTATGGCTCGAGATGCTGAAACAAAGAAAGACAGCAGACGGTGACATCGTCGTTGACTACGAACTCGCCATGGGCTACAACGAAACAGGAGTCGCGCACGGCATGGACGGCCAGTACGAAGTGGCTCTTGACTACTTCTCGAAGGCCGTTGAGACATACCAGGCCCTACCACACTACGAGGAGACGATGCTTGGGTGGTCCGCGTCTAACATTGGGCTTATGTATTGGGTTATGGGCAACTATGAGGACGCAGAGCGTGCCCTGCTCGAGATTATCGACATTTTTGCTTCGCACAACGGAGTTGACGACACGCTCTCATTCAAGTAAGTAATAGCCCCACCCTTTAGAATAACGCCAGGTAACCCTTTAATAAAGGACTGGAAAGATGTTGTATGCTCTGGGGAACGTGTACGTCAGTCAAGAAATGTTCCAGCAAGGTCTCGAGTTACACAATCGTTGCCTGAAACAGTATCGTGCGACGCTCGGTGATAGTCATCATCGAATTGGGGACATTTGTCACCGACTGTCTGACGACAATCTCTACTTTGGGAATTATGCAGAAGCCCAGTGAGCGAGCAGTTTACCTCTGTTTTCTTTTTGCGAATGATAGGAGACATGGCTAACACAATAGGGCCAGAGTCCTCATCAACCAAGCTCTGAAAGTGTTCAGCGGACGCCGTCAATACCGACAAGAGCTTGCCCGGTCAACCTACAAAGCGTCGCAGGTATCTCGAGCCATGGGGAATAATAGCAAGGCTGAGGCAGAGCTTCAAGAAGCTTTTCAGCTGCGTCGTGCGCTTTTACCAGGGGATCGCCGGGGCAATGATGAACTAACTGAGGCAGATTTTGACAACCTTGTTGTCTTTTGGTCTCGATGAGTTAACAATGCTATTGTGAAGCGATTGCAAGGGCTTCCGCTGGACTGGGATGGATATGAAGTACAACTACGACAGTCTATTGATGCGAATATGTGGCTAGCGACATGGATAAGTCCTCGGGAAGATGAAATTTGCCTTATACAAGAGCCAGCCCCTGGTTCTAAAGATAGCCGTCTTATCCGGGCCTTTTAGCTGCCAATCATAGTGCAACCAGTTTCTATTCTGATATAGAGCAGTAAATTCATACTATACTTGGTAAATTTCCGCGGGATCCCGCGAGTTCTAAAGTCGAGGTGCCCCACGAACCTAGGGGCTGCCAAACACCACAATTGCCGAGATAACCTCCTCCTACCCTCATTTCATGGGGATAGATGCTAGAGGAACAGAAGAAGAAACGCGAGAATATCCAAAGTACGCAAGACTTCGCCCTAAACACTCAATTTAAACAATAGCCTCGCACGGGCCTTGAACCTCCTTCGAGTGTCCTCATCAAGCCAATACAATGCAAGAGACGGAGTCAGTATCACGGTGCTGGCCACGAACCACGCCCATAGCGGCACGCTCTGCAGCTCGGGAACATTCATGCTGAAGAAGGACGAGACGAATGCCATGGGGACAAAGATAAATGCGAGGAATGTCAGCCTCGCCATGCGCCCAGCCTGCGCGATGGCCTTTTCGGACTCGAGGATGGCCATGCTGTTCATCAGCACCGCGATCTCCTCCTGGCAACGCCTGTAGAGCGTCTCCGCGTGCTCGTGCAGGTGTTCAAAATCCTGCTCAACCTCCCTTCGCGCTCGTTCGGTCGGCTCCGGGTCCGCCTTAAGCCACTTGTTGCGGTGGCCCGCGCTGCTGAGCGCTGCGAGCGTGCTCTTGATCCGCCGTACCTGCCTGTTGAGTACAGTGTTGAAGTACCTCAGGTTCTCTAGGCCGTCGTTATACGGCTTGCCTCCACTGTTGAGCACCGCTCTCTCGAGCTTTAGTTCCATCATGTTGAGGAAGTGCTTCTCCGAGGACGCCACGAGCGTGAAAACTTCGGTAAGGGCGATGAATGGATGCCCAGACGCTAGATTTTGTCGCAGAAAGCGGCCATATCCGAAATGGAGTGACGGTACTGCGCAGTGCTTAGCCAGGAGATGGGAGTTGAGGCCCATCATCGGCTTGTAAACGACGATCGGGAGAAGGGACTCTCTGAAGGAACTCGATAGTCTTAAGGCCTTGGAAAGGGGATTCTCCATGAAATCTGACCCTGCCAGGCTCCCACCATCTGTCCATACGAGAACTATATTCGCCACTGGTCAGCCTCTTGGTCGCACGAGGGCCGCAGCGTTTAGGGTTATTTTCATATAACAGAGACTCACCTGCCCAGCCTCTATGGATCTCGGCAGGCTGGTAGCATATGAAGATGTGTTGCTCAATTGCAAAGTTCATCTCGTCAAGGACGCTAATGTTCCGGATCACCGTGGTTCCTACCGGCACCTTGGCGCCGGCTTGGATCTGGTGATGTTTCTCGGCTAGGACGTTGGATGTGTCCTCGCGGATCGTACGCGTACTGATCTGCGGGTCATACGAAGTACGAAGCCCAATGGTGAGCAGTGATAGCTTGATGAGGTTCCACTCGGAAGAGGGCAATGGCGGCACGGAAAAGCAGCTCAGCCGATCGTTGATGGAGCGAAAGTCTAGAAAGCGGTTGAAGAACTCAGGATCCACTCGGTACCTGGAACCAATGGAGCCCAGCCACTCCGGCGACGGGTATCCTGTGAGGAAGAGGATCTGGCCAGGTGACTCGGCCTGTGAGGGATCCGCATATTGGTGAAATTCGTAGCAGGTCTCGAAGGTGATGCCATCCTGCAGCCTCCATTTCACGCCCCCGGCCTGCTCTTGCTCCGTGCCTTTCGTGGGCTGATCCCTGCTGGGAGCCATCGACTGGGTCGTCCGACAGCTGGAGAACTGCACGAAGCGATAGAGGGTCACGAAGTTCTCCTGGAGGCGTGGTGCTGAGAATCGGTCGCCCGGGATTTCCAGGAGCTTGCCCAGGAACCTTGCCAGTCTCTCATGATGGTTGCCAGTACCGGATGGGAGCACTGAGAACTTGTACACTGCTCTAGCATAATCCGTGACATGCGCTTCCCCATTGTTAGTAGATGCAACGAGAGGCCACTTGAAAGACACTCACTTTGATGAGGGCCACTGCGAGAATGTTGGCCCCGCTGCGCAGCGACGTTTAAAGCTTCAGCTGGCGGATCAACATGGACCTCGAAGCGAAGACGCGCCCTCTCCCCAAGCTCCATCCCTTCTTGAGGCATATCGCAAAGGTGACTTGAATGCAAGGTCAGATTATCACGAACGCCCGGTGATACATGGCGGTATGAAGATAAGAGACATGCTCTATGACTGGCAGGCGATGCTTCGAAGTACTGCCCATTGTCAGGCAGCCAGAGCGACGAGGCTCACCCATCAAACAGAAGTGGCAACGCGGCGGCAGCGGCGGCCCCACTAAGCCACTAACCATTAGTTAGATCGTACTCTTTAAAATGATCTAGATGCCAATGACTTTGACGACTTGCACGCTTCGCATATGCGTGATGACGGCTCCTTCAACCTTGCTGGTAGCGGGACGCCCTCGGTACTTGCCCCACACAATCTTTATTAGTGGCAGACTTGCTATTTTTACCGGGGCCGTGACAACGTCTCTACATAGAAGACGGGAGTGCTTCATGTTTGCGGTTTTGCGGTAAAGCCCACCCCCCCCCCCCCTTTTTGCCCTGGCTCTCTTCTTTCACACCCCCACCCCGAATGCCCTCGTTCAACTCATCCCAGCCATGTTGACCTCGCGCAGCCTGTTGATTATGAATCCTCCCAAAGACCCATTAACCCCTTCCTGCCCGTCGACATGGCCGACTCCTTCTGCTCTCTGTGGCTGCGGCGATAGTTGCCAAACTTCCTCCCGAGCCAGTCGACCGCCTTCCAGGACACGCCCTCCGAGTCCGTAAAGCTGGCATCGTTGTTGGGACGCAGGAAGAAGAGCACCGAGTAGCGGGTGTTGGCGTGCCAGCGTTCCCGGTGCGGGACGACGCGGTGCAGGCTCGACCTGAGCCTGAACTCGGACAGAAAGCGAAGGCTGTCGCCGACGTTGACGACGGCACAGCCTGGGCGAGGTGTCACGTACTCCCACCGCGCGTGCCGCGGCGAGTGCACCTGGAGGCCCCATTCAGAGGCAAAGAGCATCGAGATGCTCCCGGCGTCTGTGTGGGCAAAGTGGCCCTGGCTCGTGTTGGGCGGCAGGTCCCGCACTGCCGGATAGCACTGGAGGACCGCCGTCGAGGTGGATGGAGACTTGTCTCGGTGCTGCGCCTCGAGCCTCTCTTCGCCTTGGAGGCCCATCGAGGTAGAGAGGCTCTCGAGCACGAGGTTGCAGACCGCAGAGCCCTCGACCATGAACTTGGCGACTTTGGACCAGCTGTTCTCTATACCTTGCGGGATGGACATTCGTCCGTCCGCAAGACGGTTTTGCAGATCGAGCGGTAGCTGAGCTGCGTGTCAGAGCTGCCAAATGCTTCTCATCTTGTCTCAGCGTGTACTTACCCGTAGCCCCTCACAGCCGTCCTTTTGATTTTTGACGTTGCCCTGGTCCAGGCCCAGTGGTTTGTAGCTAGACGACGACCTGGTTAGCCGTGCCTTTCAGATGCGGTACATGGCGCCCAATCCGTACCCGCAGATCTGAAAAATATCCTCATTCTCGTGCGTGTCTTTCAACTTCTCCTCGAAGGGCTTCGCGAAATATTCCCGCGCTACCGGCAATAGCTCGTCGACCGTCTTGAGCATCTCCCGCCCGCCGTCCCCCAAATCAAGGTAGAAGAAACCCCACTCCACACAGGCCAAATGCAATCTGGCGGCTTCATCGGCATCTCTTCGCTGGAGCCTGTCGTAGCTTATGACGACGAGGTTTGCGACGACGGAGTCCGTGTGCTCAGCCATTGGGGAGGGTTTATGGCAATATCTTTGACCACTGCTACTGTCAAACTTGAGGACAGCAAGAGGTAGGACATGTCGCGGGACAATAGGGTTGGCTGAAGTCTCCTAATTGAGTGCAGATTCTACTAGGCATACCCTAGGGGTTAGCTAAAGACATCATGCACGTAATTAGTTCAGTCAAATACTCCCTAAATATATAATCCCTCACTAAATCAAAGTCGATAAGCTTCAATTCTACACCGTTGGGAAACTACATCGTATTTTGATAGCGCCCGCCCGAACGGCCCGCAGCAGGGCGAGTCAATAGCAATCAGTACCGTGTAACTGCAATTGCGACGTTAAGCCCTCTACCTCGCCCGTAGTCAAGTCCTAACGGGGCCTTGCTGCCTTCTGTGTTGACATGGTTGTGAGGTCCCGCTTGTCATTGAATGATCCGGTGAGTCGACAGCGGAGATGACCCTACACTATCTGGAAATGATGACACGGGTAGGGACAAGATCCGGGTAGGGACTTTGCCACGTATCACAACCACCCAGTAAGGTAATGAGACTGGAGGGCGCCAGGGCTTGTCACACTGCAGAAGTGGCGGCGTACAAGGGCATATACTCTGCGCACTTTTCTGCCTCGTGAGAAAGAGACAGCTTCCTCAGTGGCCCGCGGTCGTCGAGCGGGGCCTCCGTACGTTGGCATAAAGCATTCGAGGTGATATGAGGCTGACCGGCGAGTTTTGTTGAAAGGCGGAGAGACTTCCCCGTCTTGGCGAGGTCGTTGGCCGTTGGAAAAGAAAGTCTTCGGATAGCTAGAAGCCCCTGGCTTCGCGAACTTGGGCGCAGGACCCTCGACCTAAAGCTTTGTTAGGGGACGTTTATGAGTGATGCCAGTAGAGGATGGAGCTGAAAAGTTCTCTGAAAAGTTCTCTGGGGAGGGCGGGTCTAAATCTTAGGTATGAACAAGAGATAACAGCTTTCATGTCTAGACTAAGACCCTGGTAGCAGACTGGTTATTGTTGCAGGCAGCCTGATCGTAGAAGCTATACACCTATAAGACGTCGTTTAGCTTGATTACAGCTAGGGTCGCTTCTTTTAACTTATTTCTACTACATTATAGTAGCGTAGTTATCCTTATATTAGTAAAGGCACAATCTACTATATAAATCGTAATAAGATTAACTCTAAGGTATAGTTATCTTATCTACTATATTATAATAAGGTTTAGTTTATAAGATTCCTACTTATAACCTATGATAGTGTTTTTAGTACTTCTTTAAGATAAAAGGATATTATATATAGTAACTATATAAATAGAGATATTAAGAGAGGTAGGGGGGTATAGGGGTTTTTACTTAGAATTCTAGGGTTTTCCCTTATATCTTAGTAGTCTATATACTATAGAAGTACTATACGGCTCTATAGGCTAGTTAGTGTGATATATATATATGTCTAGACTACTTGGTGAGGCGGGCCGGCCTGAGTAGATAGACACCCTTAATCATACGCCCTTATCAGCTCTTCACCCTATTTAGGAGCACCTCCATTCTCACCACCAATCTCTTCAGATATGAGCGCACATTGACAGCCTGGGAAGATGCGTTGTAATAAGCCTGAGTACGTTGAGGAATCGACAACTTTTGTATTCGCCGCTGCCGTCCACAGCACGTTTCTACCAGGTCTCAAGCAGCCTGTCGCTTCACAACTTGTCCAACAACCTCGGCCAGGTTCTCAGCCGGCAGTCCAAGCATCTTGTTGCACAGTAGGCCGTTCTTTTCAAAATCTGCTCCCCTGTCCACATCGTCCGCGTAGAGCAGCATTAAAATGAGTAGCTTCAAACCCTCCGAGTAGTCCTCGTTGTCCATATCCGCCGCCTTCTTCAATGCTTCTGCCGAAGACATCTTCCGCACCTCCCACTTGGAACCGGTAGCTTTCTCGAGTTCTTCCAGGACCTGGCGTTGCGAGACAGTGAACGAGGCCACGAAAATGGGCTTGTTCTTAGTCTCCTCGGGCTTCAGAAGCACCTTCACTACAGAAGCAGCGGCCGTGCCGATGGTGGTGGTTGACCAGGGCTTGCTGCCCGAGTCGTAGATAACCACACGCTGCTGCTTCAGGTGGAAATCGAGCCATCCATCCTCCAGGCTCCAGTCAAAGAACTGTCCAGTATGTATGGCCGTCCAGCTGAGGCCGGTTTCTTCCTTGCTTTTGAGATACTCAACAACCTTGGCCTTGTCACCGTAAAGGCTGACGAGCTCTGCGGCGGCGATGCAGGTGTTATTGCCGTACTCGGTGGGAATGTATCGCTTAACGCCGGCTTGGACAGCGGCGTCAATCATTCGAAGGTGGACGGAGTAAGGGCGCCCAGGAAGCGTAGATACCAGCGCATCCTGGCCTTGAAAGGCCTCGAGGAGCTGGCCCAGGGGGTAGTCATCGTCCACTTGGAAGACCTTGTACTGCGCAGGGAAGGTAGACTTGGAGGATTTGCGGGTCAAGATAGAGAGGGTAAAGGAAGATTCAAGGGAAAGCGCTGCGAAAACCTGCGTGCCGAAGAGCCCTCCGGCCTGTGAAATGAGGCATTAGCATTAAATTCTTTTTATGTGGTCAGGGGAAAGATGGTTAAGAAGAGGTGCCTACACCCATCACCATAACGTTTTTGATCGGCTGAGCCATTCTTATAGACGTAGAGTGTGCGGAACAATCAAAGAATCAATCCGTCGAATCAAGGATGGGCAAGAAGCTTTGGGGTTTGAACTTGACCGATGGACTGGAAGGGCAGAGGCTGAGAGAAAAGTTAGGAGAGCTCGAGGGTCGGGTTATGTATTTTAGGGGGGGATGTGAGGAAGATTAGTACTGTCAAACAAGCGGGTGGTTGCAGGGCGTGGCTAAACAAACAAAGCCGACACCGGACGCGCGCCCAAGCTACGCTTCTTGGGGCCTTACAGACATGGGACGTCGGATAAAGAAGGACATCTCTAAATAGAATTTATGACCTGCAGGATGCAAGAAAGTGCGGTGCATGTGATGTTTATATAAGCTACTACTGCGACTGCGATAATAACTAAGCTTAAGGAGGACAAACTAAACGTACGCGATCCCCACGAAGTAACGTAGTAAAAGATCTTAACCTATCCTAGCTCTACTTAGTTAAACTATCTAAGCTAGACTTTACCTAGACTTTTCCCAATATAAGGCTTATACTATTAAAACACTATAAAGTAATAAAAAGTTTTTAATTAATAATAAATTATATTATTTTTTATAATTAGAAAAGATATTAGTTAATAAAATTCTTTACTATAATATTTAAAGAGAATTATAAAAAGCCTATAGTAGTAGATATTATATATATAAAACTATTAAGTTATATATAATACTAGTTTAAAGATATACATCGTAGTGACCAGTTTCTATATTGTTTAATGGCTAGGTAGTACTGGGTTGGTAAGTTGGGCAATGCTTCCTATTATGAGACTAGGCCTAATCAACTGAAGATATCATGAAATGGGTCGTGGTTTGCATCCTAGTTGACTGCAAGTGTTCAAATAGGAGGTTTGACGTTTCCTGAGCACATGCCGTCTGGCTCAAGTATTCTTAGAAGCGGTGATGTTTGGCGTCATTGAAGCCCTCAAGGCTAGTGTCTCCGGGCCCTCGCATACTCAACGCTCAGGGACGACTCGATCAAGATTTAGGAAAGGGTCCAACCTGAAGGTAGTCGCGCACATTGTATCCTGCTGGCTGCATTTCGTCATCTGGACGCGGCGCTTGGCCAGCGCTGCCGGGTCCGGCCCCTCTAAAATTCCGGGTCCTTTTCAGGTCGCGCGCCAGCCCACCGCCCGAACTGCAGTCTTGCATCACAGGCAATCAAAAGAACCCACTGGCAATATTCATTACTCTTGCAGCTTCATTTGTTCTTCTTCTTGTGCATCTCATACAATCAAATTAGCTGCAAATCATTCATCCTCGCCGCTTGTCTCGATTGCGCCCCACGTTTCGATCCTCGATTCGCTTGCAGCCCGCGCGGCGACCCAACAGCCCTCCTTGCACACCTGCACTCTCTCCCCTCCTCTCTTTGTCTTGACGAACACTACCACCACCACCGCCACCACCACCCGCACATAAACAACACCATCACGTCGCCATGGAGACTGATGATGTACCTCCCGTGGCACCCCAAGAAAATCTCGACGATACGCTTGGAGACCTCGGCAGCTCACCGCAGGTAGTAGCCTCATCACACCACCCTCACCACAACAACGGCGCACACGAGCACGAGCCACAATCACCGAGCGGCCCATTACACCAACAACAGCACCACAACGACGATCCGGCGGCCACGCGGTACACGCCTCCTGTGCCCGGTAACAGCGGTGGCAGCAGCGCACCGCAGTCGGCAGCACCCGGGTCGCGAGCTGGGAGCGAAATGTCGAACCAGTCGTCGCAGCACCACGGCGCGCACGGCGACTACGGCGGCAGCCGCCAGGGCTCGGGCGAACCCGCGGCCTCCAACGGCCGCAATCACGTCGTCATCAAGGTCGGCATGGTCGGCGACGCCCAGATCGGTAAGACGTCGCTCATGGTCAAGTACGTCGAGGGCAGCTGGGACGAGGACTACATCCAGACGCTCGGCGTCAACTTTATGGAAAAGACCATTTCGATCCGCAACACCGAGATTACCTTTTCCATCTGGGACCTTGGCGGCCAGCGCGAGTTTGTCAACATGCTTCCGCTGGTTTGCAATGATGCCGTCGCCATCCTCTTCATGTTTGACCTCACGCGCAAGAGCACTCTCAACAGCATCAAGGAGTGGTATAGACAGGGTCGTGGTTTCAACAAGACGGCAATTCCCATCCTGGTCGGCACAAAGTACGACCACTTTGTCAACTTTCCAATCCAAGATCAGGAGGAAATTTCCAATCAGGTAAGAATGCGAATTGCTCGTCGAATCTGATTGTATACGCGTCAATGGCTAACACTATGCAGGCGCGACGTTTTGCCAAGGCGATGCGAGCCGCTCTCATCTTTTCCAGTACCAGTCATAGTATCAATGTGCAAAAGGTAGCTATTCTGGCGCCATCTGAAAGACTTTTGCTAATCCAACGCTCGCAGATCTTCAAAATCGTCCTATCCAAGGCTTTTGATCTCAAGTGCACGATTCCCGAAATCGAAAATGTCGGCGAGCCGCTACTCCTGTACCAATCAGTCTGATTCGACGAGCTGATGAGAGCTTTCTACAACGTAGAGAGAACTGTGACTTCTACGTCGCTGTTCAGCCCAAGGTCGCGTAGCGTTACATGATACTCGAAGCTGTGTTGGCATACACGACACTGCTTTTTTTTCTCTTTGACGCCGATTGTCACAGAAGCAATATTGAACTAGGGCTTATAGAGGATACTGTATATTAAAGGAGCGTTCTCACTGGTGGGCCCTCTAACATGTTCCTCGGGAAGGAACTCAAACGCTTTTTTCCTTTCTTTTCTGTTCTGATTTACTTGACGGCTTGTTGAGACGCCCACATGTCGCTGTCTTGGCGGCTTTCATCGTCGTGGCCACGCGGCCAGAGATTTGCCTGGGGCCCCGAGTTGGACTATAGCACAGACACTGGAAGACGAACCCGAGTGCGTAATAACGAATTGCCGAGGTTGGGGGCAGAAGGCGGAAAGGGTACCAGCTCTGTGTCCGAGAAGACACTTGACATTGGCTGTACCTCGACCGAGCAAAATCCAAAAAAAAATCTAATCAAGTTAAATCGTATAAGCAAAGCCACCGGCTAACGTTATCGGTTGGATATGTGATGCACTGATAAAGTAAAGTGAGTCGGTCCGCTTAGCATATCCCCAGATATGTGCCTACTAGTACGTGTGCCATGGCTGCCAACGTTCACGTATATGAGTTTTGCTCGGCTCACGACTCAAGAGAGAAGGATTTCTCCAGTCTCACACCTTAATATGTCGTGGTTGAACACTGAATAACTCCACCTACACCAACTACAACATTACGAATGGAGCAGCTCGTAGCCACATCTATATCTCCTCCCATCAACAGCTCCTCGTCGGCTTTGCCGTCCGCCCCGGTTTCAGTCCTCTTTCACCGTAGCTATATTATAAGCGGTCGTATAGCATCCGACTGCTTTTCTGGAACATGGCGCAACTTTCGTTTTACTTGATGTGTTTTATTCTCCTTCACCCTTTTGTTTCGGCACGACGCTCAATGCTGTCACCGAGCGCAAAGAAAACCGGCACGTTTGGTCCAACATGCTCTTGATTTATCCACAGCTAAAATCAGACTGGAATTGCCCCGGCAAAATTCATGTAGAACCCCACAAACTTGAATTTTAAGCATTCGGGGTCCTGCGGTCACTCCCACCCTACATTGTTGCGGAAGCCCTCTTGTCTTTAGGGTGACGACAGCTCGCAATGGTCCGAGAACCCTCTTACAAGAATACCTCTTCTAGTTTAGTGCAGCTTAATACGGAGCAAATTCCAGTGTTGTCCTCTCCCGCTAATTGGCCGTGCTGGTGTTGGTCCTGACTCTCAAGAAGGCAGATGGCAGCCAATGGTGATCAACAAGCCTACAATATTGTCGATCCTTCTGTAGTTCCCACGATCTATGAGAATATATCTTCTTGCAGATGGAGCTCCAATGATCAGCTCTTGCTTTTAGAGTCCAGATCACGAAAACCACATAAGTTAGCGTGCGCATCGCATTATACATCAGCAACCTGCACCCACGGCACAGCTTTATCCATAACGAGTTGGATAAGCTCATCAGCTCGGCAATCCCTATGTTTAATTGATTTCTCATCGAGGGAAACATCTATGTCTCCGAAATGGTTAATATGGGTGAGAATTGGCTCCTATGGTGTCTAGTGTAGAATTTGAGCTCCCTCCCTGGGCTCTCGAATTCTGTCTTCCCACCAGGTCTAGCAAAGGCCATCCCGTGCCAGTCCCTCAGTCGGCCCAGTCAGCAATTCGCAGTCGGCACCGAGCGCACGACTCCCTCACTCGGCTCAGACAGCGACGTGTCCGGCTTGGCGCTGGGCTCGCCGGGGATCAGCCCGCGCCGCAGGCCATGCTCCGACGGCCGTCGCGGCCGCTCCCCCTCCCCCCCTTCCTCCTCCGAGGGAAAATTGCGCTCCCTCAAGAAGCTATTTGAAGCTCTGGGTAGCGGCGGGCCTATTTCATCGTCACTTTCCGCTGAGTCGTAGCTGCATTCTTGCTGTGGGAACGGCGCCGCTGCCGCTGGGCCGCAGGCGGTGTCAAGACGGAGCGCCAACGGGAAAGCTCGCGCGGAGCTGGCGGTATGGTGGCGGGGAGAATACGGCGCGGTGCCAGCCTGCGGAGAGGGGGTCATTTGACGAGCAGGAGCGGCGGCGGACTCTTGGAAGGGAGAGACGGCGTCGGGTGTTGGCGAGACAGGAAAGTGGTGGGTGACGGGGAGGAGGGAGGGGGGGAGAAAGAGCGGAGAGTGAGCCGGACTGGGGATATTGACGTTGATGATGTGAGGTGCCAGCTTGGGCTGATTAGCATAGGCGATGAATGTGCGATTATAACGGCTAGTGTCGCGCGACTCGGTAAGGGCCTCAAGACGCAGCCGCGGGTCATGGGAAAAGGCGGCGCTGTAACTGTTGGCAGGGCCAGCCTGCCGGGGCTCAGGATGGCATGCTGTGGAATGCATCGTCTCGGTGTTCTGCAATTGTGCTCCTGTGCGGGATTTGGCGCTTCTGAACCCGACAATGAACCCGAGCTGAGGTTGCTCGAGGAGGTTGTTGGTTGGCTGAGAGTATCAGGCTGGAAATATTGGGGAGGGTTTTCTCGAGCTATATAAGCTGAAATTCCATACTGCACATAGATGATGAGAGAATGGGTGCACATCGAAAGAGCACTCACTCTATGAGAGTAAAAGAGGTTGGACCCGGATGACATGCGGGTGGTGACAAAGCGACGTTTGGGAGCGATGCCCCTCGTCTTTGAGCCGAGAGTGAACGTACGACGACAGCGCATGCGTTTCAGATTATTTAGACTGATTTAAAAATGAGCGAGGTACAGTTTGTACGTCAAAGAAAAGAAAAGAAAAGAAAAGAAAAGAAAGAGGCTCAGCCACCAAAGAAGCGGCTTTCACACAGATGGATGGTGCAAAGGCGCGACAGTCCTGCCTGTACACTACCAAATTACTCAATGACATTAGAGGCCCCGTTCCTTTTGAGAGAGCTTCAGAGAATGCCGCTGCTTGTGACAAGAAGCCATTTGTACTGGAAACATTGCTTCTGACCACACGGAGGACGCCAAACTCACTTACATGGGAGCGCCCAAGCGCCGGGACGGCCCGAACTAGTGTCTTGCGTCGCGGTTCGGACACAAATGTGGTATGCGAGTTGTACGGGAACAACTCCCAGCACGAGTTAGCTTCCACCTCCCGAGGGAGGATGAGGGTTTAGATTGTGAGTCCAGTGTTTTGAAAGCCGGCCGGTTTGCTGGGTGTAAGGTGGCGACCTAACCCGACCAACACGTTGCCCTCTGCGCACAGCTGCTGATAACCAACGCCCGACAAATTCCCCATGCAAAGGCCTATGAATAACACTTTGGAAAACAATAGGAAGAAAAGAAGAGGAAGGACAAGGCAGCCAACTTTTTACGCCTAGGCGCGCGCCCGGCCCGGGGCCGCCCTGTGTCTTGGCTTCCTGCACGCGCGCGTTCAAGGTTACCAGACTGTCGGTGTTCTCTGTACTTGCGGCAGGCAGTTTTTCATTCATGTCTTACGGGCCGGCCAAATGGGTGGCTCTCTTAGTTATCGAGTCATGGCATAGTCAGTGAATTTTGCTGCAGCCCTCCGGTAGTGGAGACTGACCTCTCAAGAATTTTATTCGTTCTTGTCAAACATCAAGAACCGCCGTGTCCAGACACGAATCAGCGGTACAGTCACAGAGACAGAGTAGATAAAGGCCAAGTACGCAGTAGCTGGGGCGGCATGCTCTATTTATGTACTGGCCGCAAGTAGAATGATCCTTTGGCCGTTTCGGCGCGATGCAAGTTCTAACTGCCTCACAAAATGACTTGTAGCTGTTCCATATTGGACATGATGCGAAAACAAACTCCCAAACGCCATAATCTGCTGAGACCCGTCAAGAAAAGCTTGTCTGTATGTACAGAAGCGGAATTAGAAGACGCCCGACCCCGCTTCTTGGCCAGGTTCGCCTGATATCAAATGTGACGAGCATGTCTTGCGTCTCTGGTATGCTGTGTAGAAAAATATTGGCGTGCCCGTCTTCGTGTATAATGTTGAGGTCGTGTAAGATGAAAAATGAACGCTGGCTGCTTATGGGTCTTTCTTGCCCCAAATCGGGGCACCAAGTGGCTTGCTGACGCCAAAGCCAACACCGACGGCGATGCCAATGACCAGGGCAATGAGGAGAACTTTTGCAGCAATCTTCTGGCGATGATTTAGCCTCGACATGTAGGTGCAGCTGCGCTTAATCTTGGCATCCTTGGCCTTATCCTTCCAGTGCTGCTTGCCAGGCCAAACCTGGCACTCGCCATTTCTAGTGACGTGGCAGCTCTTGCGGGTTGTAGATTGGGAGATCAAGGCAGCCTCGACATCCGTGTCAAAGGGATTGCTGCTGCGCTCCGAGCGAGGAGTGGTGGCGTCGATGGGCATCACACAGACAGTGGTTGCAGTCGAGAGGGTAGCTTTTTCGGGGGCGGCAACCTGTAGAGGCTGTGCTTGGGAGATTTTGTTGTCGCTGGTCATTTTGTCGTCGTGTTGAGGTGGATGTAGTTGGTCGTTTACAATGTGCCGTGCGTCAATGGATTCTAGAGATTGAGTCTGCAGAGTTTAGCCCCGGAACAGTGTATAAATATAACAGATGACGGGAAAGCAGGCTACCAAAGCCGCCGAGCAAAGTAGAACAAATGGTGGTTTGACACACGGAGGCAATGCCTTGGACAAGGGGATGGCTTCTCAATGGATGGTGGCACTTACACTTTGTTGAGACGGGCGCTAACTGGGAGCAAAGCAACGCGGGAAAACACGAGCAATGCAGAGCGCCACAAAGGTTGGGCCAGAGCAACGGGGGAAGGCGAAAGGGACAGAATGGAAAGCCAAGGCCGGGATGGGACGAAAAGAAGACGAAGTATGGAAATCAGAAAGGAGGGTGCGAATTCTTGTTCTTGAAAGAGAGGAAAGGGAGAGGTGTAGGGCAGAGGGGGGACCCAGCCACGCAGTAATTTGGGACGCGTGGTGGCAAGTATGGAGGTACCTATGTATGGTCACATACATTGGAGCAAGAACCCTGCCAGTTGCTGGTGTAGCCACTGTAGCGTCGACGAGGGCAAATAGATGTCTTGGCGCCCGGCGAATGGGCCGATAGGGGTTGACAGGAGGAAAACAGCAGAGAAGAACAAAAGTTCTTTTACTTCGATCCAGACAAGGGAAGAGAAAGGAGGTCGAGGCAGGAAGAAAACTCGTCGAGGCCAAGAGGAAGCGTGTTTTGGTAGGTAGGCAGGCAGCTGGCAGCTGGCACGCACAACGCACATAGGGGGGTCAAGTGACGAGATCGTTCCCTTCAAACAAGCAGGTACCCTTTGGCCTTTTGCATCCTAGGTATCTGTAGCGCGCGGGGAGATGTACCGCGATTTCAGGGTGAATTGTTGGTCTCTACGAGTAATGAAGCGATGAAAGCGGGCGCAAAACTGTACCAGTAACTAATACAAGTGGGTAGCGCAGCGAAACCCGGCTGAAAACGTAACATATGGGAAATTCAGGGCTCATGCTGTCATAGATTCGAGGGCTACAGAGATGGAGAAGATGGGGATAGCGACATTGCGGAGACGGAACAGGCGATATTGACAGGCAGGTGGGTGATATTGTGCGCGAGGTCCAGTTTCATCATGCATTTGCATCATCAGCTTTTGATAAAGAACAATGAGAGCTACAAGATACAGAACGTGGTAAATGTATATACAAAGAGATGCATGCAACGGATATCGCTAAATTGTCAGGTTCTGCCGAAGCCATGCGCTAAATTGTACTTGGGGCGAGTGGGTGCGGGCTGCAGCTGCCAGGCACAGCTGGAGCGCTGGAGCCATCCGCTGCACCCTCTGAAGCTAGCGCTGTCAAGAAGACCCAGAGAGGCAACCAGCGCTCCTTGGGAGCGTCATTAGTGGACTTTTGCAGGTCCTCTTGACTCTAGCGCACTTCTTTAGTGGCGGCTGCAGTGGGGCCTGGGCTAAACTTTTTGGGACGGTATTATTTATTTACTGGCCTTACCTTGCCAAGACTTGCTCCAAAGTAATGGTTTTGGCGCTGACCTTTGCTTCCCGTCAGGTTCCCGTGCCTCTTGATTCTGCACACGCGCACCAGACACCAATCCCATCTTCTCGCCCACCCTCCTCCTTCATCTCGTGGCTTGCCCGTATCTTGCCTCCACTACCAGCCCCGAGTCTATCCTCTCACAGACTCCCCTCCAATTGGGCCCTCAGGCGAGCAGGCGAGCACTATGAAAGTATCACTTCTGCATCTTGCCGGGCGCAGCACAGACTCAGCCACTTGCAACTGTCTGCACTCTCGGTATGCGACACCGGCATTCTACAAAGAGACTTAGCACCTGACTAGCCTCAACATTCAGCTAACTCTTCAATCTTGATGTTCAGTGTTTTGAGAGAGCAACATGATGCCCGTCTTGCGCCGCTTTCCGCCACTGCGGGGAAGAGTCACCGTTCGATGGTCGCCCGGCCATCATCCATGCACTTATCAAGCTGCTGGCAGATTATACGATAGTTTATGCCGTCTGGTAGTAAGTTTGAGTGATCTCCTTCACAGAGCAACTCATGAGAATAGAGGGCGCAGTCCTCGACTACATTCTGCTCCACCATCCTGCCTTGTAGGTATTACGCACATCGCGCAGCTTCGCCACCGGCAGCCATCGCTTTTGTTACTGATAGAGAGTCGTAGCGCCATGCCAAGTCCGCAAAGAGATCTGCGAGACCATCGTCTACCGCTATCGCGCGACCTATGTATTATTAGCGGGTTCGCTCAATCACGGCTGCCGCGCACGCATCGACCGCCAGCTCCTCAATCCGAAAACGAGGCGCCTTTGCGGATACTCATATTATCAACGCTTTTATAAGTTCGCGTGTAGGAACTCTCTGTCCTGGACGATCGGCATATCCGAGCACTTCTAAAATTGCCACGCCCAAAATTTACCCGCTCGATAGGTAATAAAGGGATGGTGCGAGATCCACCCTCAACGGCATTGTAATCTAATCCAGACTTTTCGGGTTTCCTTGGGGGTTTTCCCTGGGATATAAGTTATAATCGTTGCTCCTTCATGCTGTCACTTTGACGAGGTGGCGGCGGTTGGGAAACGCTCAAATTTAGACCTACACAGTCAAGACAGCCTCCGTTGTCCTGAGGCACCTCTGCTCGACACTGCATTGCGGTCGCTTTGTATTGTCCGACAAGAGCAAGTCGCGTGGCAATTTGCAAGTCACCATCAACGCTGGTTGGGCGCCACAGCGCTCTCGGGCATTTCGAGTACCATCCACCTTGGAACACCGTTGGCGAGATCGACATTTCAAGCACCCGCCACTGGTGAGTAAAAGGCGCCCATTTTGCCAAAATACTCGCACAAAGAAACGTCATTCTGCTGGACGCCTTTGTCTGGAAAATTTTCCCCGAGTATCTCTCCGTCCTCTTCCCTCTCTTAGATGCTGTAGGGTAGGGCAGGCGTACTCGTATGGTATGTTGGCCATCTTGGCCACCTTTGCGCGCAATGGTTTGTACGAGTGTATGAATAGCACTCTTTTGCATGTATAATCTTGTGTGAATTCTCGAACTCTCTTATCAACTCAAAAGCAACAACCCGGCATCGTATGCTGGCTGGCCAGGTGCGACAATCATGCAATGCTGTCCAGGCTCGCAGCTGGTAACATCGGCACATCAACCTGCACCTGCCATTACTCTATCTGCGAGCTAACAACATTTGCCCATCTTGGAATCCCATCTACTACCTATCAACCAACAACCATCAAATATATTCTGTATCCAATATCTAGTCGGCGTCTCGCCTTTGCTTTCGTTTGCCATCATTTGGGCACATACTGGCTGTCATCATCGCCAATCATCCTCGCCGCATTCCAACCTGGCATCATCAGAACCTCTTCGAATTTTACACACCATCAACACCCGCTTGCATGGAGATGGCATTCGAAACGGAGCGCAGAGGTGAATGGCACTGGCCCGCATCTCGTGAAGAGAGTGGACCCATTCCCCCTTCGTTTGAGGATGCTTGTCTCTGTCCCTGCACCGTGTACAGCCGCAGCTGGGCGCGCTTGAAGGCCGCCTTCGCTGGCCACGACGCCCAGCAAGATCCGAACCTTGGCTGGTGCAACTCGGACTGCTGCTGCTTTGTGGCTTGCTTCCCACGTAGGTATAGTGTGGCTTATTGTGTATGGATCGGCTAACACGGCAAGTCTATGGCTTCACTATTGCCCAATTGCAATCAACTGTTCGAGCAGTCTACGATATCAAAGGCAGTCCTGGGCATGACTCGATAGACGCAGTCTGCTCTCCATGCACAACACTTCGACGAACGGAGTATGAGATCATGATTCGAGAGAAGCATCATCGGCAGCGCCATCGCGCTCATATTCCATCCTATATAAGTCAAGGGTCCTTGGCCTATACAAGTCAAGGGTCCATGGCCTACGCTCACTCAAACGCCGGCACTCCATCGAGCACCCAGCCGGAACAGTCGTACGAGGAACTCAAGAACCCTATCCCTTCTATAAAGATAGATGCAGTTGGAGTTACCGTGCTGCGGTATGTTATCCTCCTTGCTAGCCATGGAACAAAGCTCATACTCTGAAGTCAACCGGCCGATAGAAACATTCCCATGATCAATATTACATCTCCTCAAGTTGTTATCGAAAATTCAAGCCCATCACAGTCAGTATTGTGTGCGGCCGATCCACAAGTTGCGTCGGGCCATATCATTCAGCCAGAGCATACCCTCGAAGACGACCCAACCGTCGTTGTCGCGTGGGGCGGCAAGATCAAGGAGCATCAACTGCAGCATGACCCTCGTTCCGAAACTAGTTCGCTGCAGAGAGCAAAAGAGCACGATCTAAAAGAAGACGTTAGCCATGAAAAACCGAGGCCGAATCCGGAGCATACCCTTGTCGAGTGCACTGACGGAACTATCTCGCCACCTTCGGGATTCGTCCAGACCAGCACAGACTTGTTCTCTATGGAAGAGGTACCAGAGCATACAGGTATCAGCATCGGAGCATCCTGTCTCGTAGACGATGACTCGAAGACGCAGTCCGCTACGAGGCATTCCCCTGTCGTTCCTGCTTTCAAGCCAGGTGAAAGATCAGACAAGGCCAGCGTGTAGTGATGTGCTTTGCACCAATACGAAGACCATTATAAAACTGTGGCACTGCAGATATAGCTTATTGAATACATTTCATATCGCCCAAAAAAAGAGGCAGCGGTTTGGTGACATAAAGCCCGCGAGCCGTTTATCGTGACTACAATGATCGGGTGGGTGGGATTACCACTTGGCGAACTTGCTGGAGGTAATCAAGCAAGCAATTTGCGATTAAGTCTTTTCAGATTATAGGTGACATGAGAATCAATGACGTGACACATGGCATTGGGGCTTGGGTCAACATCTGAAGATGATAGCCTAACATTGGCTTGCCACGGGGTAGAGGCGCTGCTAGTACCAGTGAAGCCGTCACGTTTGATGGCCCAGTGACCTCATTGAGGCGATTGACATACCTCTATATAAGATAGTAGACAATGGTAAGTCAGTGCTGGAGCTGGGAGAGGGGGGGGGGGGGGGTGATTGGCGCAGGCGAATCAGTGCCAGACATTGGCTGGAGTGCAGTCTTGTTGACAGCAGAGAGCGCTTGCCTGTCGCGAGCTACAATCTGGGCAAAGTCCAAGCTTTTGAGTTTTGTGGTTCTTGACGAGGAAGACTGACGGATGTGGGTGGGAAGCGCCTCGAGCTCGTGAGGCTGGCGCATTGAAGACGAAGCTACACTTTTTGAGCCAAGGCCATGCGGAACATCTTACATCATTATAGGCCAGAAATGGCCGGCAAAGGCGGCGCGTAGGAGCCAGGCAGTCCACGGGAGCGCCTAGAGAATACGATTGAATTAGAAGGGGTGGCCATGGTGTGCTGCTCTCACAGTGCTATGAGCGCGTTTTTTTCTTCAGGCCGAGAAAAGGACGCGACGCGACGCTTTAATACTTGAAAGACCGGGGAAACGAGGGCTTTCCTGGGCCGACAGCAGGCTTCTGAAACTCGTTGTGCGTTGGAAGCCATGGAGGAGGACCGGTCGCGATATCTGGCCGGGCGGGGAAGAGGCTCGGCGACGGTGGATGGCACCACGACATCCGCGGAACGCTGGCATGCCTGTCTGTTTGAACAGTGTCACATGACTTGCTATAGATACGAGCATATGCCAAATTTCATTCACGAGGCCACATTTGTCCTTTCGCTTTTGCAGTGGGCTGTGAGAATCGCTTCATTGGCGCCGTACAAGTCGGCGCTGGTTGGGCCTTGGTAATCGTGGTGGTGGGAATGGTCGCGGATCGGGCGACCTAGTTGCCCGTGAGCGAGAGGTGAGGGGATTACCACTGGGCTATGCTACAGACTATTCGGTAGTTTGAAATATTCAGATGACTGAAGAGAAATACCGTGATAAAAGGGATGGATTGGAGAGCTTTGCGTGCAAACCCGCTAGTAGTGAGACTAGGGCGAGCTTACAAGCTGCAAGGGCCAGACAATAGATCAGATGGTAGAGATGCTGGGCAAGTCAGAAAGAAAAAGCGCGATTCGAAATGATACAGTGACGGGTTTCGACGTGTGAGTGGTGATGAAGAGAGGCGGCGTTGACAATGCCACTGTCTGGTATGCCGCAAGACGATGCGCGTGAGTGGATCGCCCCCGCGACGAATGATGGCGCGAGGATCACAATTGATTATGGGAGTGGACATGCTTCGAGTGGCTTTGAGACGTGGTCAAGGTGATCGTTTCTAGGTGGGGGCTCGCGTGGACCATTACAAACGAACGAAGGATGATTTCTGTCGAGAAGATGAGGTCCAGCTAGCTTTGTACATGATGCGAGATGGACCGCTTCTCATGATTCGAGTCACTGCTGTGGCTCGATTTTGGGTTTGCTGCTGATCTGCGTAAGGAGGGGGAAAGCTGGTTAGGAAACGAGGGGGAGGACCCGGAGGAGGGCCAAGGGCCAAGGACAAAGGGGGGGCATGTCGGAGCTATTCTCGCCTTGCAGGAGGATGGACTGTGCCATTGGTTCTAAGCAGGTTGTAGACTGCAGTAGCATGACGGCGGCCATGGTTGCAGTAGCAGCCAAGGTTGAGAAAAAAAAGAATTAAAAATCGGGCTTGCATGTTCGTGTTGGATTCGCGTCCTTTTGCTTTTGGCAAATTATGCAGGGGTTGTGACAATCTTGCACAAGAGTTGTACAGATGCGGGTAGATGCGAGGAGAGGACAAGAGCGATGATGTTTGCGTTGCACATTGTTTAAGAGGAGGACGAAAATCAAGGAAAAGAGGATGTACAGCAGTACAAAAGTACAGAAGTGTAGGAGTAGAGGAATACAGAAGAGGCTATGCAGATGCAAGTGGAAGCCAAAGGGGGCAGTAATGCGAGGAATAGTGCAGGTTGGTGATGCACAAAGGAATGATCAAGTAAAGCCGAGAAAAAGGTGGGTGAGCCTGTGCGAGGTCGACAATGGACAATAGCGCCATATCGTCTTGGTTTTGGATGGCAATCAAACAGCCTCTTTATCGTATGCAGAAGGGCTTGCATAATAACGGCATATAACTAATGAAAGATCATGAAAACGCGCCTGGCCAAGCACCCAAGCAAGGGAGCGCGACGGGCACAGCTGGGCATTGTTGGACTTCCCCACCCACACCAAGTTCTGGTCAGTGGCCAGGCGGCGCCTAGAGGCTAGCGTGCACTACGCCAGCGAAATCGAACGGCGCTGGCTTTCAATGTAATTTCGTTGCGTGTCTGTTGAAGCCGTTTCTCCCTCGACATCATCGTGCTTAATTACTTCCTCTATATTCTTCTCGACTCACTGCTTTTCGGCTTCAACTCTAGCTAAAAAGAGCTGCCCGCCTGGAAAGCAGCACTGTCTCGCTCACTCGCTGCCTAAACACCTGTCCTGCGACCTTCTCAGGCGGCCCACCCCATTGTATTACACGGCCACAGCGTCTGGGACTTGCGTTTTTTAGCGTCCTTGCACCGCAGCTGTTCACACCACAGCTCCCACACGTCCCACGTTCCACCAGCGCGCCCGCGTCCTAAGGTACTACTTTTGCCTTGTCCCACGCTACACTTAACCCCGTTGCGCCCCCCATCCCTCCCATCACTTCGATCTCTCGCTTCCTCCTCCTCTTCGTCCAACCTCAACGCCTCAAATGCTGGGCTGGCGACGACGATTTTGGCCAGATATCGTGCAACGTCAATACAGTATTTATACGACTCATCCCTGGCCCAGTCGACAAAGTATTCTTCACAACGATTAAGGAACGTCAGAACGTCAGATCGATTACAACAGCTCCAAAAGCTACGACTCCACAGCACTCGCCTTCTTTCCCACATACTTGGGAACTTTCAAACTTTTACAAACTTTCTTCTTTTTAAAACTTTTCAAATTTAAATTTAACAACTTGCAAAAATGGCCGCCATCGCTAGACAGCCTTTTGCTCCTCTCGACGGTGCCCGCCTTTCAGGCCTCGTCAGCGGCAAGAACCGCCAGAATGGTACGTCTTCTTGTGCATCACCCACATGTTTAACTTGCGATACAAAAGAGCTTGCTGGTTGCGAGTCTCCTTGCATGATAATCATTTGAACATGGGCTAACAAATCTTACAGCGGTCAACACTGTGAGCAAGCGCAAAGCAGACTTGCTCGCCAACGACTGGGAGAACATAGCCCCAGCCGTTTTTAACAAGCGCAGCAAGGGCATCGCCCCTTGCCTGAGCATCGCGAAGCCTTCGGGCTTCGCTCTCAACACACACTTCTCGTCGGCCACACTGCCCGACATTCTTTCCCTTTCGAGCCCCGCCCGGGTCTCGACCCCCCGCCAGACGCTGATTCCCAAGTCGCAGCGGGCAAAGCTCGATCGCTCCGCGGCCTCCAAGCCGACTCCCGTTGTTGCTGCTGCAACTTCTCCCGCGGGCCGATCGCCCAAGGCAAAGCGCACCGGGCTGCTCTCCAGCCGCCGCCTCCCCGCTGCTTCTCTGACCGGCTCCGTCAAGGCCAAGCTATGGTCCATCGATGGTGCCCTGAAGAGCACCATCAAGCCAGCCAACCGCCACGGCAAGAGCAAGAGCCGTCTCAGCCGTGGCAAGGACATCGGCTCAAAGGCAGCGTGGTTCTTCGAGATCCACGAGGACACCCCGGAGCAGGAAATGACAAACCTGCTCCAGCACAGCACCTGCACGCTGGACATCTCCTCGGACGAGGAGACAAGTGCAAAGGCGAAGCGCGACCGCGATGACGGTTGCGACAAGGAGAACGTCGCCCCTCCTGGGTATGCTGCCCAGGCACCCCCCGCCACCCCCCGCAGCTCGACCAAGCTCTCAGAGCGAACACCGCTGGCCGAGCTGGACCCCCGCGACTTCTACGCGGAGGGTTGCGATGAGACTTCGGTGTTCCTCGTCGACGAGGACGAGGAGACCGAGATTGAGGACAACTCGGCCTTCACAGGTTTCGAGTTTGCGCCAAAGCTCGGCAATGCTTCTCTGGATCCGATCCTGGAGAAGCTCGATGAGCTTGTCGAGAAGCCCGCCGAGGGCTCTACAAAGGCCGCTGTCCTGGAGCCCATCGAGGGCATCCAGGAGAATTTTGAGCTTTGGGAGAGTGGCAGCGCCAAGGACGAGGCGGAAGCGACTGTTTGAATGTGAGGCTGTGACTGGAGTGCTCGCTTGCCTTGTGTCTTGGAGACATGAGCTTTCTTGCACACCGGAAGCACACACATTGAACGGTGCTGACGCCGAGACCTCCGCCTGCCTACACGGCGTCGAGAGCGTTTGATGGAGAAGTCACTGGAGTGCTCGCCTGTCTTGTGTCTAGAGGACATGAGCTTGCCTGCACACCGGATGCATGCACATCAAACGGCATAAAAAAGAAAAAAGCCGACTCCCCTGCTTGCTTTCGGTCTCATGCACGCCGCTTCCCAAGCCTTGAAGTCTTGGGTGGCTGGTGCAAGAGCCGGGCAGTGCTCCGCAGAACGACAATCCGCAAAGCTCGAGGCTTTCGCCGATTCGTGCTCGCCGGCAGTCCACTCGCCATAAAGCAACGCAGCGCCACCTACAGCAGCGCCGCCGCACAGCAGAGCCAGGCTTTGGCCCCCGGGATACTAACATTTACAGGTGACGGAAAGAGAGACGGCGGCCAAAAAAAAAAAAAAAAATGGCCCAGACAGGGCAGGACATGATGGAATGGGACATGCGTGCAATGACGGATCATCATATGCACGGTAAGTTTGAAAATATTTGTTACGACATAAATTGTTACGACAGTCCAAAAAGGACTTGATGGGAATTCGGATGCGCGTGCGATCATGGCCACCATGCGCACGGTAAGTTTTGACATTCGGTATATGGGAAGCATGTTTTTGTTTAGATTTCTTGTTTGGGAACGGTATGGATATTTGGAACGGTTTTCAGGAGTATCTGCACGGGATCATGAGCGAGTTTATCAGTTTACTTAATTGAGTGCCTTTGATACTTTTTTAAACCCCCCTTGCGACACAGAAACCATGTGTAGAAGTACATGTGAGAACGTGACTGTGAATGAGCTTGTACCTAAGGAGATGGCTCTTGAACGTGGCTTAACAAAAAGAGTGCTGCGATAGGCTGCTGAGGAAGACGATGTCGCCAGCGAACAACCAGTAACGCGTGCGGCCCCACTCCACTTTACACATCCCATCGTATCTGGTGGTGCATCTTATACTTTGGCCAAGCAACCAACATTTCATTTGCCAACTTTATTGCAATTGTGGGCGGCTATATGGGCTCTTGACAGTAACTTGCCCGAGCCTTGTAAAGAACAGAGAAACAGCTCACAGCATGTCGGCGACTGATGGAGAAGCAGCCGCGAAGCCGCAACGCGGCGCGTTCATTGTTCTCGAGGGCCTGGACCGCAGCGGCAAGACGACGCAGGTGAAGCTCCTGGAGCAGAAGTTCATAGAGCAGGGCAGACTGGTCAAGCTGATGCGCTTTCCAGGTGAGTTTGCTCCGTGACATGACAGGCTCGTATATGACTGGTGATGGCGTCTTATGGCGCGTTGGCTGATGGCGCTGTATAAAGCGTGACTTTTGAAAAGTTTGACTAATGTCGAAACCTGTAGACCGCACAACGCCGGTAGGTCAAATGATTGATTCGTACCTCAAGAGCGCCGTTCGAATGGACGATCATGCGATTCACCTGCTCTTTAGCGCCAACCGCTGGGAGGCTGCGTACGATTTCCCATTCCGCCCCCCGCATCACCAAGCCGCAAGATTACAAGCTAACACAAGCATGCACATGTAGGGAAGAAATAAAATCACTACTTGAGTCCGGCACCAACATTGTCTGCGACCGCTACACGCACTCGGGCATGGTCTACTCGGCCGCCAAGGGCCTCCCGGGGCTGCGCCTGCCCTGGGCGCGCGCCCCAGACGTCGGGCTCCCGCGGCCGGACCGCGTCGTATTCCTGGACCTTGACGAGACGACAGCGCGGGCGCGCGGGGGTTGGGGCGACGAGGTGTATGAAAAGGCGGCGATGCAGCGGCAGGTCAGGCGGCTGTTTGGCGCGTTGGCGAATGGAGGGAGGGATGGGAACGGGGAGCTGGTGGAGGGGCTGACGGGGGAGGAGGGGTGGTTGAGCGAGGAAGGGGATTTGAGGATGGTGAGTGCAGAGGGAACGGTGGAGGAGGTGGCGAAGAGAGTGTGGGAGGTGGTGGATGGAGTGAGGGGGAGGGGGAGAGTGTTGGAGTGATGCTGGTGGTGAGAGGTCTGCAATGGCGATGGTAGACGGTGGTGGGATTTTCTTTGGATTATCGGGCTATTGAATAGGATAGAATATAGAAAACAAGATGATGTGATTTATGTGCACATCTGAGGACCGAGGAAGAGATGCTGCACGACTACGCGGTCAAGAGCGCAGGTTGATAAGTCACTTTCGCTCCGCTTTATATCAACCAAGATACTCGGAGTGGTCTAGTTGGTTCATGGCGTTCGACTGTAATTGAATAATTGTCATCGAAAAGTCGGCGGTTCGACTCCGTCCTCTGAGATTGGTCTTTTTTTTTTTGCTCCTGCACCATCATTACTCGCGCCGTGGGATGTTGGTGGGAGAACCGAAGGTTGCTGCGAAGCATGGCATGCATCGTGTGTCGTGAGGCTTGTACATTTTTGTGCGGTAAGTTTAGGGACAATCATGTTTACGCCGCCACCTCTTTGGGTTGATGGGCCATTCTAGTAAAAGGACTTGTTTCTGCAAAGCATGTTACACTGTATGCGGCATATTCTTCTAGGCGAATATGACGGCGGATTGTGTGATACAGGAATGCGCATCTGGTGGAGATTTCTTTATGAAAGAAATGTAAATGTTATGCATGCATGGCATATTTCAACACCAAACACCCGTTTCAACGATATCAACGCTCTCTCTCTCTCTCTCGCTCGCTCGCTCTAAAAATACTGGAAAAGAGGATCAAATAAAAACCCGCCACGATGCGCGCCGCCACGCGTCCACCCCCAAAGACTCGACAGCACACCACTCCCATGCCCTTTTGAAAGCTGATAGTACGCCTGCCACGCCGCCACGCCAGCCGCCGCCAGGATGGCGGCCCACGAGAGCCCGGCGGTCAGGAGCACGCGCCGCGCGACTGCGTCGGCCTCGGCGGCGTCATTGGCCCGCGGAAAGGGCATGTCCGGCGCGGGCACGCCGAGGAAATAGGCGAGCGGCTTCCAGCCCTCGTGCAAGTCCATTTCCAGGAAGCGTCCGGGAGGCGCGTGTTCACGTACCCAGTCATTGTGCTTGTCCAGCATTTCTACTCAGCCAATTTCTAATGAGCGAAAGGTTCTTCTCCAGCTACCAATACAATGGGTCAAAACACGTACCTGGTGTGAATCCTTCGCCGATTCTCGTCATCTCTCTGGTCTGGATGTTAGCTCTCGCAATGATGGCATGGTTGACGTGTTTGGGAGCAAGTCGCAACTCACCTCTTGGTCGCCCAACGCAGATAGGTCGGTAGCCAGCGCCATGTCGGGCACGGCCAGAGCAGCACGTCGAGCGCACGCATCGGCACCGTCAGGTTGTTTACGATGGGCGCCATGCTCGCATACCACCGGGCGCGATCGCGAGTGACAAGCACGACCTTGGCGTTGGGGTACAGCGCCAGCAGCTCCGGGAGTAGCATGTAGGCAGGAGCGTCGGCGACGGCGGCGTAGCCGGCGAGGGTGCGGCGCAGGCCCGCGGAGAAGAGAGCGGGATCGCGGCCGTCCAACGAGATGATGCGACACCATTCGCGCATCCATGCTAGTGGAGGTGTATGTGTGGTCAGTGTTGGTTGATTTTGGCGGGTGAGAAGTAGGGAGAAGGGACCGGGACGTACCGTCTTCACGTTGAAAGAAGTGGTTGCCCCCGTGGAAGACGGGGCCTTGGAGGAGATGCTCGAGGGCAATGGAGATGGAGGTTGTGCCGGTGCGGGAGTAGCCGACGGCGATGACCTGGACCTGGCGGGACTTGTCCTGCGGGACGGAGGGAACGCCCCCCATCTTGTGTTGTGATGTAATGTATACAGATTTAGAAAAGCGCTGGGATATTCCACTCGAGAAAGGGTGCTGGTCCGGCGTTGATGAGACTCAGATTATGCCAACCACTAGGAAAGTCGTCGCGCGGAAGACGATGAACGTTTACTATGCTGTGTAGATGGCGACGTAGTACGACGTAAAAGGGAACGGGATGCAACGGCGATATGTCAATTCAGTATTGAACAATGAAAGGAAAAGAGATGTTTACATGACAAGGCCAGACGTTGCAATGAAAAGACACTCGGCCTTTTAATTTTCTGCTTGCGCAGGCTCATTCACATTAGTGCTACAGACAATCCCACATCATTCGCGGGCTCCCGTTGGTCGGTTTCCAAAGGGGGCATGAAACTAAGAATAACCCCACGGTGTCTTATTGGAAAACTTGGCTGACATCTGCTCGCGAGCAAACTGTTTTGCCGTGATTGCAGACAACGGCCGCCAAACACATAACTCGAAGGGCGGGGACCCATGTCAGCGGCCTTGGCTACGGACTCGATCGGGCTGGCGTCTAGTCAAAATTCGCAAGATACCTTGATACATTTCGAAGCGGTCTCGCTGTCGCAGGTTGCTGTCCAGGTGATGTCGGCGATCAATGGAAAAGAGGTTGCAGGGATGGGCTCTGTTACAGGTGGGGGAGTTGGGAGGGAGGCATTGGGGTGCATTCGCTGACGGATGCAGTGCCGGCCGCCATTTCGGGGCTATAAATTCCGCGACTGCCAGCCATTAACCTGTTTGCTTTATATCCTTACTAATAACCGCAGTGAAAGAAAAGAGCACGGCTAGGGGCACGGTCGTGGCCTGGCCTGGCTTACATGAATCAACTGCCGCCGGAGCCTGCTCACAGCCACGTCTGGTCACAAATCTGCCTCGGTTGGAGATAATTATGCCGAACCGGCAAGGGAAAAAAAGGTCAAATCCCGCGTAAATAGGGCCATCTCCAACCGATCTTGTGCTAATAACTAGGACCCTGTACCAAATGCAAGGGCATCGGAGCGCCACCAGTCTTGGCTGACGGATCGACGGTCAAGGGTATCGGACATGTCAATGCTCCACTAAGCTTGTCTTACACCATCAATAATGTTGTTGGGTTGATTTTTTTTTTTTTTTTGAATTCCGAGTTTCGTCTACTGTTCCTGAACTTTGCAGCTCCTTGGACATCCTTTTTGAGATTCCTCACAAGCTTTGCTTACTGGTACATTTGCGTGGCCATCTCGCCCATGCTCAACGGCCATCTCCGTCCAGAGCCCGAGACCCCAACCAGCAAACAATCACTCTTCTAATTAAACACGACCGTCTTGGAGCCATTCAAAAACACCCTCCTGTCCGCGTACCACTTGACGGCTGCCGCCAGCACCTGGCTCTCAATGTTGGACCCTTCCTCGGTCAGCTGCTTAGGCCCCATGCAGTGGTCGACGCGGGTGACGCGCTGCTCGATAATGGGGCCCTCGTCGAGGTCGGCCGTGACAAAGTGCGCCGTGGCACCGATAATCTTGACGCCGCGCTCATAGGCCTGATGGTACGGCTTGGCGCCCTTGAATGACGGCAGGAATGAGTGGTGGATGTTGATGATGCGCCCGCTCATGGCCGTGCACAGCATTGGCGACAGAACCTGCATGTAGCGCGCGAGCACGATGAGCTCAATTTGATGCTCCCGCACGAGTTCCAGGATGCGCGTCTCCTGCTCGGTTTTGGTGTCCTTGGTCACGGGCAGGTGTAGGAACGGGATGTTGTAGCTCTGCGCGAGCGCGGCGAACTCAGGGTGGTTGGACACAATCAATGGGATCTGAAGGCGCGCGCTCCGTGTTAGTTGGGTGGGTTAGCTTGTGTTGTTGCGAGTCGTGGAGTGTATACCTCGATTTGTAGCTGGCCAGTCTTCATGCGGAAGAGAAGGTCGTTGAGGCAGTGGCCAATCTTGGACACCATCAGCAGCACCCGCATCTTGCGCGCTGCCGGGCGGATGTCGTACTCCATTTTGTAGTCGGCGGCCAGCGTGGCAAAGGCCGGATCGAGGTGCGCCGTCGACGTCGGGTCGGCGATGCCCTCAGCAGCAGGAGCAGGGCCAAAATGCACGCGCATGAAGAAGCGCTCCGATACGGGGTCGCTGAACTGCTGCAGGTCCAGGACGTTGTGCCCATGCGAGGCAAAGACACCAGTGACGGCGTGAACGATGCCAGGTCTGTCCGGGCAGGACAAGGTGAGGATGTGGTCGTTGGCAGCCATTGCGTCTGTGCTTGCGGTTCCTGTAGTATCACTTTGTGAAAGAAAAGGAGTCAAGATTGAGAATGCAAAAGCTTCTTGGTCAACAACAGTGGTATATTAATGAGTGTTGAGCCTCGAAGCTAGCAAAAGTCTGCGTAAAATTGTGACACAAAGAACGCTTTTGTCCAACTTGGGTGCCTACGAGAGAGAAAGAGACGACAAAAATGCGGGTGAGGGGGAGCAAGAATGAAGAGGGAATAAGATGGGTTTCGAGGTGAATGACTCTTGTCTTCCGGGAGCGGCAGTGGTGTTTTTAAGCATCTTTCGAGTTTTTGTGCTCCACATCCGGGCTTGAAGCCCCTGGTAGCGACGACTTCGGGGACAATTCGGTGTTTCGGGTTAGAGCAACAGTGTCCGTGTTCATCGGAGTAGCGACGACGACAGAGCACGATAGGGAAAAAAAAAAGAAACGGCAATCAGATAAAATCGACGCCTTTTCGATCAATCATGATTTAGCATCCCCTCGATCGGCGACGCAACGGGACGGCGGCCGCTGTCCAGCTCTGGCGGGGCGCTCTGCAGATTGTTTTACCTAACACTTTTACACGGGCGGCCCTACGCCGGACACAAGGTACCTGGCTCAAGCCAGCAAATGGCATCACTGACAAAGTACCTCACGTCTAGCAGCTGCCAGCTCCCCGGACGAGGCTGCAGCTGGCTACAGCTGCACTGAAACAAGGCGCTGAAGCCCTGCGCCTCGGTGCTTCGCCTGTCACCACTCATCTACCTAACCATGTCTACATCCCGTGGTGGCATTCCACCCTGTCTCCCCCGCACAGCCGTTCCTCCATCGCCGTTTCGGCTTCGTTCATTGTTACTCGCCAATAAGCGCCCTTGGGAGTCAAGTAGAGGAGAGCTGGGCCGCCCTGCGCACGAACCTCCACATGTCTGCTCCGCTGGCCTTCCTCATAGACGACGACGACTTTGACCTAGCCGCAGACGATGTATGGACTGCCGATGACTTCGACGCCTCGGGTGAGAGCTCGCCGCGTTGTGAGGGCTCCCCTCCTCGCGACTTACCCGTTGCCAGCGACGTTACCTGGGGTGAAGGCCATGCGGCGCTGCGTCCCCATACCCAGATCCATCGGCGATGCGGCACGTGTCAGATGCCGTTTCGCCAATATGACCGCATGCTAGCCAGTGAGTAGCTCTATTACTGGGCTTACTTGGGGAACTCGCACGGCTCGTATGCTAACATTTACAGTCACGCGGAGAGGAGGCCGTCTCCAGGTATACGATGCCCAAACGGCCACGGCGCGGCCCTTTGCCAAGCAGTGGTACAAGGTCAAGGCCACCTTTTGCAAGCTCCCCGGCTGCAGCACCTGCCAGATGAGCCACGAGAGTGCCACAGTCCACGTCGACTGCTTCAAGCTCTTTGTCAAGGAGTGCACCGCCCCGGACAAGATCCACCGCCTCTGGCTGGCCTCGATCGTCATGGATCCATGGCTGCAGTGTCGCGACACGGCCTTGCCGTACAATTTCCAGGAGCGCATGTCCAGCGAGGACGCCGCCCGCGCCTGGGGGATGCCCCTGGCTGCACGCTTGCCACCTGAGATTTGCCTCGTCATCCTCGGCAAGACGCGTGATACCCTCTTCACCAAGTACATTGCCGTCATGAGCCGCGCGAGAGAGCTGTCCGAGGCGGCGTCGCCGAGCCAGCCGCCCGTTTCTATGAGCCTCAACGACATTCGGTATTGGTCCCGGGGCATGGCGTGGCCGATGCAGATGGAGGAGCAGACAGAGGATGAGCTCATCCGGATCACAATTGATTCCAGTGGTATTCAGCGGATCGAGCGCCTCGACAAGATTGGCGATCCAATGCACTCGACCCATCTTCGCAAGCTCTTTGTGGTGGAGGAATCATACAAGCTTGAACTAGTCAAGGCATCGCTTTTTGTAAGTCTGATGATCTCATTTCCCGATTTCAACGTACTGACTTATTCTAGGGTGGCCACTGTCGTCTCACCGTACCCGATCATGTCAACCTAATTTTATGGGACAATCCCATGCCGCTCAAACTATACGCTTCACTGCGTCTTCCCCAAGATCACGAGTTCCGCAGGTTTTCCTCAATAGACACGGCCAATTGCTTTGGCCTCACATTCTTCTTTCACGTTGGCCACATCGTTGCAGTGCATCCTCATTTAAAAACATCCTGGGATCGAGATGCACGACGTACATTCGAAACTCTCCCTCTGATGCACCAAAAGGCCGTACTCTGGATATATGTTCCTTTCCCTGCAGGGGAGGAACTCAGAGGATACTGCTTGCGAAATCGCAAGACTAAAGAAGATGATCAAGACATTGGTCCTTGTCTCGCTGTATGTCTTGATTTGCTGAGAACAAAGACTACTCACTAACCTAACCTCAGCTCTACATGAGGCAGCAAGGCATCATTGAAATTGGCTACAGATACCCTCTGGCCGAGGAATACACCATATGCCGCACCAAGAATAGGCCGTTTTTGATCCACAATATACGTACCGGATATCTACGCCCCCATCCGCAGATGATTGAACAGGAGCAACTTTCTGGTGTCGCGGTTGGGGCCACCTATCCTGGCCACTTTCAGCGTAAGACGGCTGAGCCATCTGCTCAAGGGCGGATGGACAGGCTCCTCCGTCCTCTTCGGTACGAGGTTTACTCCACAGCTCGCCTTGAAATGGTCCGACTTGCAGTGGTATATAATGACCCATTGACGCACTGTTGCAGAGGCATCATGTTCTACTACGACTGCGGCAAAAGGCGAGCAGTGGGGGAATGCCGCATTGGTGTCGACGTCGCAAGAAGCTGTGCAAATCCTACCCACTTCATGTACGCAGAAAAGGAATACATTCTTCCAGACTCTCGCACTCGCTATGAGGGGACGGTGCTTGAAATGGTCGATGATGTGAATCGGGCCTATGCGCGCAACCCCGTCATCAACTCCATCTCTGCCGCATGGAGACCGGCGGCCATGTCTGGACGGCTCGAGTTTCGATTTGCATTTGGGTCCACAAACATTCGCGTCTACAGGGAGTAGTCGCCATCGCCGCTACCGCTATGCCAATAGCAGATCCATTAGCTGCGGCGCTTGGCTCACCCAGTCGGACTTGAGGATGCGACCCACGCCCTTGCGCACGTATACGCCGCCCTTCTTTTCTATCCAGAGCACATTGTACGTCTCCATGTTGTTGATGTATGACTCTGAGATGGCGACGAGCTCGCACGAGATGACAGTCTTGGCATCTACGGCATGACTGCCTAGCTTCTTGCACGGGGTGAGCACTCCCACACACTCTCCGGAAGCGCCTACCAGCGGAACGCCCTCGTCGCCATAATACTCCAGGACGTTGAATACGGCTCGTTCTGGTCGGGCATGAAGAAGATGGTGGTGCATGATACCAGTGCCTTCCGGGAATGCGGGCTCGCCTGCAGACACTGGGCCGTCATTCTCAAGACTCATGCTTGCCATGAGCGCCTGCAGGTCTGCCGCCGTGGCGAACTTTTTCTCAGGCTGCTGTTTCTCCAGCGAGAGCACCGGCGACCATTGTTTCACATCGCCGCGGCAGTACTTCCACCGTACGAGCGGCCGCACTCCTTCCTTGGCCGCGGAGAAGTCAGGAAACGCAATGTTGCCGTCATATGCGGCCCACGCCCACGTCGGCGCTATACCGGCTCCATGGCGCCGACGCTTCGGCACGCGCTCACCCACCATGCCCTCATTGTACCATAGCAGAGCCGTATCAAAGAACATGACTGGTAGACAGCACACGAAGCCCCCCAGAAACGTAGTCTGCAGCACCGTGAGAATGCCCGCAAACGCGTCCATTGCGTCCTCCGGATAGCTCAGCCGCCGCCGGTTGTACTGCTTCACGTGGGCCTCGTAGTCACGAAACGTCGGGTCCATGTGGAACGAGAAGCCCTCGGCGACGACGGCCGTGTTGCGCGCACATTGCGCCTCGACCGCCCGCACGCCCTCGAGCCACACGTTGCAGTGGCACTCCCAGGTGACTTCGCTATCGCTGAGGATAATGAGCCGCCGCGAAAAGATTTGCTCCTGAAACGTCCACGCGCGCGAATTCCACGCCGAGCGCTGCATGGCGTCCATGTGCTGACGCACCGCTGCCGCCAGAGACCCCGGCCGACGCACGTACGACGGCGTGTAGGGCGCGCCGCCGCGAGCGCGCTGCATCGGGGGCGTGACATCCTGGATGCCGCACAAGCCGTGGTGCGCGGCGCCGTGAGCAACGACGATGGTGGCGTAGGCGTTGGCGTAGATGCTGCCCATGCGGGCAAGGTGCTCCTGCTTGTGGGCGTCGTCGTCTTGCACAATGCACAGCGCGTCGACCCAGAGGTACGGCTCGTCGAGACGGTCGGCGAATTCAATCACGTCGGCTACGGTGCGGGCTATGGCTTCCAGACCTGCGAGCTTGTTGTCACTCTTACGCGCGCCAGCCTCCCCACTGCCCCTTTTGGCAAGCAACGACGAGGGAGCGAGGGCGCCGTCGCGCTGCAGCGACTCGACGTTGCTCGTCAGCGTCTGAAAGGCGGCGTGCGGGCCCCAGACGTAGCTGAGCGCCAGGTACCGCTGGCCGGGCGTGGCCTCGACGAGGCAGCGTCGCGCAGTGTCGACGAGCCATTTGGGGTGGTGGGCGAAGATGGTCTTGCTCTGCTCGGACAGCTGGCAGTGCGCGGTGTGTTGGGCGTCGCAGTGGTCGAGCCACTGGCGGATGCTGTCGAACTTGATCCACGGCCCGAGGCAGCGCTCCGGCATGAGCTTGTCCCGGAGATCCTCGAGCTTGTCCTCATAGAGAATCGGCGGAGCCTTGGCGGGATTTTGCGCGCGACGAGCGCTTAGGCAGAGGAGAAAACGTCGTCAGTCGCTCTATAATTATACTACACGGGGCCCGGGACAATACTCACTCGTCGATGGCGACCGTCTCGGCGCAGATGCGGTCCGCATGCAGCACGAGGCGCGTGAGCTCTGCATCGTCAAACACCCACTCGGTGATGACGGTCCGGGTCGTGGTGCCATTGTCGGCGTCGGTGCGGCTGCGCGCGCGCTCTTGGAGCCGCACGCGAATCTCGTGCAGCCATGGCGTCGCGGCGGCGAGGATGCGTGTCTGCTCGCTGGGATGGATGGCGGAGCGCAGGATCCAGCAGGTGCGGTCGGCGACGCGCCGGACGCTCGCAGCGAGGAGGTCCGCGTAGGCGCGCTCGTCGGGGCGCGGCGTCTCGAGGGCCTCTTCGAGGAGCCGGGCGGTGTGCTCGGCGAGTTGTCGCAGCGTGGCCTCGCGGTGGACGGTGAGGCTCCGGTCCACGGGGGCGGGCTGGGTGACCATGTCTAGGAGTGCTCTGCAGCCATGGTTTCTAATCTAAGAAGAATATCATTCAAGACTCCTTTTGATTTTTTCCTAGTGTTTTAGCGTGAGCGTTGAATGGTCGGGATCGTGCGCTCAGCCACTTCAGCTCTACCCGCTAAATAAGCCGGGGGGACCAGCTCAACCATAGTCGAAAGAAGCTTAATATTAGTTAGAGTAAGGTAAGAATTAGAAGAAAAATGTTATTTAATATATTATAACTCTAAGACGCCTTATTTAATACTCTTACAAAGTAGTAAATAAGAAAAAGCTTTATATAAATATAATTTAAAAGTTAATTTAAAAATATATAAGTTTTCTTATTTTTAATATATATTTAGTGTGTTTTAAATTATATATTTAATTATATATAAGTTACTTAACTAAGGATGAAGGGACAGAGCGGAGGACGAAAAGAAGTGCGCCGCTGGGCATGTCGCGGGAGATGAGGAGGCTAGCGAGCGGCATAGCGAAGATAGGGGCTTGAGGTGAAGCATAGGATTAATGTGAGTAGCTGACTACTACTGTGAATAAGTCGAGAAAAGGTAGAATGGATTTTATAAGAATATCTAAGGGGTGGATGGCCCGTGTATGCTATGACTCTATTTGTATTTTGCAAGAAATAATTTTACGAATTGGACTTTTGGGTGTGATTATTTGGAGTCTTTGCTCATGACTGCCGGCTCGTCTTAATCAGTGGCAACACAATCTTCTCCCGGGACTCGTCCATTTTACAAAGGAAATCGCCAACGATAGTCTCCATGCCTTCTCTTCTGGCTCTTTCAACCCAGTCCTGCATAGGAATTGCCTGCAGGGGCTCGTGGTTATCTTGGGCGAGGTGTGCACCCAGATCGGCAACTGGGAAGATGGTCTCGCCGGATTCGTGTATATATCTCACGCCCATGCTTCTGCGGCCGACTACTGCGGGCTCATCAAGCGTGGTAAGAACAGAATTGACAATGTTGGACGCAATGGTGTGTCCTTGGATGAGGTCGAAATAGCCGGACCAGGTATCTAGCCGGGGTACAGCACCCATGTGACGCGAATACACGAGTATGTTGTTGACGAGGTCTTTACCCGGATCGCCCACACAGAGGATGTTTGACGGACGGTGGATGGTAACATCAAGACCGAATTCGGTGTGTGCTTTCTCGAGAAAGACTTCACTCACCCACTTGGTCGCCGTATATCCGTCCTGCCCATCCACGGGCGGCGCGTTTCCAGCGGCTGACGCTTCCTCGAGAGGCGCATCGCTCTCGTCATGTTGGCCAACGCCAGCAGTGGATATGTAGTGAAACGCCATGTTGTTCCGCAACGCGAGGCTGGCGAGGACCTTGGTAGATGTGACGTTGACGGCGCGCATTGTAGAGTATGGCTGGGCAAAGGACACGAGGGCACCGCAGTGGATAATGGAGCGGCAGTGTTGGGAGAGGACCGCTTCCTCTGCTGTGGAGAGGCTGAGGCTCGGGTGGGAAAGGTCACCGGTGTAGATTGTGAGTTTGGGGTGGCTGGGGATGGTCTTTGGGTGGCGGACTGCGATGCAGTGGATTCTAGCGATGGATGGGCTCGCGAGAAGCTGTTGGAGGACTTGTTTCCCTAGGATACCCGTTGCACCGGTGAGTATGACTTCGATAGTAGATGGGTTGCTGAGTGGAGTGGTGGAAATGGGCGCCGCCTCCATGGTCTCGAGAATCGTAGTCTCGTCGTCCCAGATGATGCCAGCCCTGGCTTCATGCGATTCCGTAGCAGCAGTTAGGCTTCGGAGCGACTCATTCTTGAAAAGTTTGGGGATGGAGAGAAGCAGACCACTTTTCGTCGCCAGCGAAGCCACCTTCATGGCACTAATTGAATCGCCTCCTAGCGCGAGGAAGCCATCTTCTGCACCAATCGTCGCGGGTTCAACGCCAAGGACCTGTGCCCAGATGGCTTGGAGTTTCTGTTCGGCGTCGGTGGATACACTGTGGTTTGATCGCGGGGCGGTAAATGCGGAGAGGCCGTCGCGGAGGATGCTGGACGTGGCGAGATGCTGGAGGCGCTTGCGGTCGATCTTACCGGACGGTGTGCGGGGTGGGTGCGGGAGAGGAAGGTAAGCGGTTGGGACCATGTACGAGGGGAGCGAGCTACGGAGGATGGCCTCGGCGGAGGAGATGTTGGTACGGAACTCTGGGGTGGATGTGATGTGGATCTCCTGAGTCGGACTGTCGGTAGTGGAAGTTGGGTGTGAGATTCCTTGCTGTGTAGTTGCCTCGCCGGTGACGATGAAGGCGACGAGTCGCTCACTCGGGGCAGGGGTTATGGTGGCGATTGCATCCAGTGCTGTGGGAAACGCGTGGCGAAGATGGTGCTCTACGTCGCCGAGTTCGAGGCGCTGGCCGTGGAGCTTGACTTGGTTGTCCTTTCTGCCGACGAACAGCAGCGCTCCGTCTTCTTGATACTGCACCAGGTCACCAGTCTTGTACATGCGCACCTTGTCAGCACCGCCCGGAAATCGTCCCCTCCAGGCAGGCTCAACGTCCAAGAAATTGCAGGGAGCCTCCATGGGTCTGAGATATCCACGTCCGACGATGTCACCCTCGAGAACAAGCTCGCCGACGGCTCCGATGGGAACCAGTCGATCGACATCAGCAGGGTTCACAACCCAGCATCGGCCGCCGAGCCCACGGCCGATGTTGCGTGGTTCTTGGCGCGTGCTGGAAAAGGCATGGCCCGTAGCGACGGCAGAGCACTCGGCTGGCCCATACAGGTTGCACAGCTGCACCTTGTCAGACCAGTACGCCACGTCGCTCGCCGTTACGGGCTCGCCGCTGAGACACAGGGTTCTCAGAGAGGGAATGTCCTTGGCGCTGAGCAGGCGGGCGACGGAAGGGACGAGATCTGCGTATGTGACGCCCATGGCGGCGGCGGTCGCGCCAAGGTTGGTGCTCCGCGCGGTGTCGGAGGGCATACAGACGCAACCGCCGGCGATGAGGGTGTCGAGGATATCGGTGATGAAGGTGTCGAATGTGCACGAGGAAAACTGCAGCACGCGGGAGGCTGCGTCGAGGCCAGTGACCTTTTGCCGGGCCAGAGCCCCGGCTACGTATCCATGGTGTTCGATTACAACGCCCTTTGGGGCACCGGTTGAGCCTGATGTGAATATGACGTATAAAATCGCCTTGTTAGTCGTTTCTGGGAGACAAGTGACACGGGGCGAGTCTGGGCTGATGAGTTGCGCCGAGTTGGAAGCTAGTACTAGCTTGCCGCTTGAAATCTTCTCTGCCGTGGATAGTAGCGATTCAGACGTGAGGATAAGCTTGGCCTGTACCTGGTTGGCAATCAGCTGCATCCGTTGCATTGGCTGCGTCGAGGGATCCAGGAGAACGAATGCTGCCCCGGCTTTGATTACGGCGAGCATTGCCACCACTATCCACTTTGACTTTTCGATGCAAACCGGCACTATGGACTCTGCTTCGACGCCTTCCAGTATGAGCTGAGTCGCCAATGCAGAAGACAAGTAGTCGACGTCGCTGTAGGAGAAATGGCCGTCGTATGCGTAAATAGCAGCCGCTGTTGGCTTGGACTGGCAGTGGCGTGCGATCAGTTGATGTACCGCGGCAGACTCTTGCGGCTCATTATTGAGTTGTTCAGTGTACCATTGCGCAAGAATCGTTGCATCGCGTGACGTGATGGAGCTTATCTCAGCCACGGGGCGAAAAATATCATGTGAGATTTCATCAAAGATGTACTGGAAGTGATGCAACACCCGCTGCATCCTTGCTTCGGTGATGATCTCGGCGTCAAATGCTGCTTCAACTTGTACGCCAGTATCCAGAAGGGTGCATTGGAGCGTCAGGGGGTAGGTATCAAAGGTGTTGGTGCTGGCTACATGCCTCTCTGGCTGGATCAGTCGCAGGAGCTTGGATGTACTCGAGTCGGGCTTTGGCTGGACGACGAGTAGGCTCTGGAAATTGCAATCATGGCAAGCTTCGTTGTTGAGCTTCTGGATGTTTTGTAGCCCAAACTGCTCGTATGGGATCGACCGCGAGCATGTTTCTTGAATACTGGACAAGATTGCCTCGACCGTCATGGAAGATTTGAGGTTGATTTTGCAGGGCAGAGTAGCGAGCGTCGGTCCGGTTACGTCTTCGATTCCCGGCATGGTGGCGCTTCTCCCATTGGTAATGACGCCGAACAAGACCGTTTCTGAGCATGTAAAGTGATGCAGCACCATGGCCCAAGCGAGTCGCAGCTGCGACGCTAGTGTAAATGCCGAACATGTGTGTCCCGCTGTGAAGTCCATGAAGCAGTGTGAAACCGAAGTGGGCGACGGCTGGTAGTTTAGTGAGGGCGTCGGCGGCCAAATAGCAGCGAGCGTATCTGTCGCTGCGGTTTCGTTGCTCCAGAATTGCTCGGCAAGATGGGCTTGGTCTTGTATGTGCTTGACAAAGGGTGCGTATTGGCGAAGCGGGAGTGTCTGGCCACTGTACGCAGCTTCCAGCTGGTCCAGAATAAGCGCTTCTGACCAGCCATCATACAAGGCGTGGTGAATCGTCACGACCAAATAGGCTGTCGTGCTGTCGTCGCGTGCACTCTCTTGCGCCTTGCTGGGGATAACTGCGACGCGGAGCAGAGGCTCGTTCAGGCCCATGGCTCTACACTGGTCGTCACATAAATACTCGTCTAGGCTATCCCCGGAGGACAACTGAAATTGGTCACGCAGCACAACCTGCACAGTTCCTGCATCGGTTTGGATGATGCGAGTTCGCAGGATGGCATTTGCCTCGTACACTTGGGTCCATGCGGCCTCTAACTTGGCCAAGTCGCAGTCTTTGGCCAGGGAAAATGCATTTTGCGCCACATAGGCATTGTCCTTGCGCATCGTCGAGAATATCATGCCTTGCTGAAGTGGAGTGCAGGGGTATATGTCTTGGATGTCGATGAAATCAACACCTAGTTTCTCAATCGCAACTCTGATGGCATTATTTGCGCTCTCGCGATCCAACAGAGAGAATGCGGGGCATGTCAAAGTGGCCGTGGGCTGAACATGGTTGACATTGCCCTTTTGATCATCATGGTTCGTGTCAGCTCTTGGAACCAGTGCTGCCATGGTTGAGAGTTGGGGCGCGCGGAAGATATCCTGCACGGTTAAAGCAAGGTCGCGCGATCGAGCCAACTGCGCCAGCTTCATTGCGCGCAGAGAATCGCCGCCAATCTGGAAGAAATTGTCGCTCATTCGCAGACTGTCTGGTGCGCGACTGAGCGCTTCGCCGACCAGCGCCAGCATCAGCTTTTCTTGTGGCGTTTGGGCGACGGCGACGGTCGGCTTTGAAGGACATTGCCGGTGGTGTTGCTCCGCCAGCTTCATCGCTTCAGTGCGGAGTAATTTTCGATCTGCCTTGCCACCGGCTGTACGTGGTAGCTTATGGATGGTGAAGAACAAGCTGGGTACCATGTAATGAGGTAGGTGACGGGATAGCTTTAGCTTTACCTCGTCATATAGGGCTTGCTGAGAAGCATTCATTGAAAGCGACGCAGGAATGGGATCGGACGAGGACAATGTTGTATTGCTGTCGTCGCCTTCTTTGCCGACCAGCGCTACCAACATTGCAGGGAAGTGGTCGTCTTCAAACTTGAGCATCTCGACAAACATGTGCGGGAAGCCAGGGAGAGCGTCGTACAGCGCGTGCTGAATCTCCCCGAGCTCGATTCGCTGGCCTCGCAGCTTGACTTGGGTGTCTTTTCGTCCCAATATCCGGATAGAGCCGCTTTTCGTGTATTGAGCGACATCTCCGGTGCGATAGAGGTGTCCTTGTGGTGGGCAGGGAAAGGCGTCACGCCATTCTGGAGGCGAAATGAAGGCTTTTGCTGTCTCTTTCGGGTTGTTCAAGTATCCGCGACCAACAATAGGACCCTCGATTACGAGCTCACCTATTGCGCCGATGGGCGCCAATACCTGCGGGTTTTGCTGGTCTACGATCCACGCCCGTCCTCCGAGGAGGGTTCCAATGTTACGCACGTCGCTGGAAGCGTTGCGCTGCTCGATTGCCGCAGCGTACGCGGAGCATTCTGTTGGGCCGTACATCTGGATTACTCGAGCTGCGCCAAACCAGTGCTGGGTATCCTGTGCAGAGAGTGGCTCGCCGCCGACGAGAATAGTCTTGACTCCAGGAAAGCTGCATGGGTCAAGCCTGCGAAGCATGGACGGCGTGGTAAAAACGTGGTTCACTGCCAACCTGGCTACGGCACCAGGCAGGTCGTTCCATCGGGCGTGCTCGCTGGGGATGCACACGCAGCCGCCAGAGACCAATGTTGTGAGAATCTCTGGCATGCAGGCATCGAAAGCGTACGACGAGAACTGCAGAACTCGCGCCTCGGCAGTGTACCCAGCCGCTGCTCCATGGGCAAAGGCGCTGCTGGCAAAACATCCATGTTCGATGACGACGCCCTTGGGATTTCCGGTAGAGCCCGATGTGAAGATGGCGTAAATGGGATCCGACGGACCTGGTTGAGGCAACAACACAGTATCGTAGCCGGTATCCTGCATTTGCGTCTTCTTGCTGTCAATCTCGATGCATCTGCTGTGCATCCTTTGTGCTTTTTCGCCCAGTGACATCGAGGTAAGGATAGCTACTGCATTGGTTTCGTCGCAGATTTTCTGCAGTCGCGCATCCGGCAAAGACGGTTCCAAGAGAACAAATGCGGCACCCGACTTCATCACACCAAGCATAGCCACAGGAACCCAGACGCATCTTTCGAGATATATCGCGATCCAGTCACCCACGCCGTATCCCATGGCGTTGACATGTTTGGCGACGGCAGAGGATTTCTCGTCGAGTTGGCGATACGACAGACAGCCATCCCAGGCATTCACTGCTGGAGCATATGGGTTGTTTTGAGTCTGCTGCTGGATCATGCTGTGTACGCAGGCATCCACAGCGATGGGGGCAATGCGGTTGAAGTTGTGTAAAGTCGCATGTTGCCAGTCACCGAGGCAGCTGATCTCCTGCGCAGTTTTCCAGGGTGAAGCAACAATTTGGGATATGATTTGGGTGAGGGAGTCTGCCACATTCTTTGCCCTCCAGGGTGACACTGCCGCTGTACGGTACGAGATGTAAGCCTTGTGTGAATTGTCTTTTAGGAACACACTCAGAGCCAGATCATACTGTTAAAAGAGAGTCAGATTAGTTATTCTGGTCGTGAGAGAATGCCACGTACCTCTGTCGGGTCCAATTCTTCGAGTTCTTCGACGATCAATACACTGCTGTGTGAATTCATTTCCGTCGAGTCTTGATATTGGAGAGATACCACAGTGTTGAACAGGGCATCTCCATTCAGCCCCAGCGCAGCTTGTATATCCATCAGCGACGTATGTTGATGCGACATGGCAGCCGCGAGATCCGACTGTGCCACATGGAGAAGCGACAACATGGACAAAGTATCCGCCATCTTTACTCGACAAGGAAGTAGATTGGCAAATAACCCGACTGTTCTCTCAATCTCAGCAACAGGCAGATCGCGCCCGGACGTGAGGAACCCAAAGGAGACATCGTCGCGCCCGGTATAAGCTCGCAGCAGCAGCGCCCAAGCGACGTGGTAAAGGCTTGCGATAGTCACGGCATGAGTTTGGCAAAACTCTCGCAGAGTATCGCCAGAATAGTCAATTTTCACATCAACCCTGTACACGTCGTCAGAGGCAGAGGGAGCTGTGTCGTGGTCGATTAGGGTCGGAAATAGACAGCACTCTGCCTGAGCCATGTATTCTCGCCAATAGTCTAGACCTGAGGTTCTTTCAAGCGCAAATGAGACGTAGTCGCCGTATGTTGTGATGGAATCATCGGACAGGCCAGACTCGTACGCTTTTACCCAGTCGTTGACCACCACTGTCGATGACCACCCGTCCATAATTGCGTGATTGAACGTCACGTCACAGAAAACGGAGCGAGCATCTCGCGTAAACAGCAGCGTGATTTGATACGGGGAGCATGTCGCTGTAGCCAGACCTCGGCGGTATTTCAGGCAATACGCCAACACACTCTCTCGTTCAACCACCTCTTGATCAAATGACTGGAAGGGAGTGGTAGTGAGTGCTAGCGGGAGGGCGCCGGCCTTTAGCACAACATTATTGAACGAACGTTTGGACGAGCTTTCTGGCATCATGACTGTACGCAAGACAGCATGCCGACTGACTACCTGCTGCCACGCCCGACAAAGGGCGCCGATGCTGACACGGCGTCCATGGCGATGCCGAAACTCCAATATGGAGCCGGTTTGGTAGAGTGCAGACTGCCGGGAGCGGCTTAGAAGAATACCGTCTTGCATTGGCAAACATGGGTAAACAGCCTCGACATCTGATAGTGAGAGGTTTACATGATTCAAGGCGATTCCAAGCTCCTCCAAGTCGTCGTAACCCCACCCCATGCCAGGCAAGTCGACCAGTGTCGGCGCGATAGCTGAAGGCTGGCAGAGCTCTTCGCCAATTAATTCCAGGGATTTTTGACATTGTTGCATCCACTGAAGAATACGCTCTTGATGAGCCAGATGTTTTCCGTAGATGAATTCAAACTTTAGACGACCATGGATGATGGCACATGTGATTTCAAATATACCGGGTAGCACCGTCTGCGGCCCGTAGTCTGACGAGGGCTCGTAGTCCCACGTCACCTGCCGAAACAGGCCATCGTTGCGTTCAAATTGTTGAAACTTGCCATGAAAGTTGAATACGATTTCCATTTGGTCATCTTGGAAAGCCTTGATTCCATTTTCATTCAGATACCGCGACGAAAAGTATGGCAAGCCTTTTCCAGGCACCTGTCGCCTGGCGTCTTTGACGCGCCGGACTAAATCCACAACATTTCCCTTGTGCTCATGGTCAAAGTCGACGGGGATTGGCCAGATTGTGGTAAACCAACCTACAGTGCGCGACAGATCAATGGATGCATCCCAGGGTTCTCGGCCGTGTCCTTCGTTGAATATGGTAGGAGGATGGCGCTCTGCAAAGACGGCTAAGAAAGAGTGTAGCAGCGCCGTGTTGAGCAATTCGACAGGCTCGGTACGGAATGCGTCGTTTGCTCTTGTCAATATTTGTTTGGTGAGATGCTCGTCTATCAACAAAGGAACGCAATGCGCATTTCCATACGTGTTTGTGTCATGGCCAATGGCCCAGAACTGATTAGTCATGGTCGCATTTATCCGCGAACATCTGGGAAGCACGACTTCTGGCTCGAGTTGGCGCCGAGACCAATCGGCCTGGGCACGACACCACGACTGAAAACTGATGGCCGCTTCCTGAAGGGCAAGAGATCCTGTGCGCAGATGCTCCTCCAGGTCCTCCAGAACAATGCGGTAAGACACCAAGTCCATTACCGCATGATGAGTGTTAATAAACAGGAATGGGCACGCCTCTCCGGATATCCGAATTAAGCTGAGCGAGAAGATGGGGCCCTTCTTCAAATCAAATCCTTTTTGGACAGTGTTCATTGCTTCCGTCACATCTTGTCGCTTGTTCAACTTCAACTCTTGGCACACAAAGGATGCCTCAATGTCATTACTTATTCTTTGCCTCCAAACACCGTCGGCAGAGCATGTGAAACGGGCTCTCAGCATGGGGTGCCGCTGGACAAGGGCTTTGGACGCATCAAAGACTTGCTCAAGGTCAATATCCCGAGTCATCTCAACAAAAAAGCTCTGGTTAAAATAGTTATCGCCAGACGGGACATCTGCGAAGAACATGCGCTGAATTGGCGACAAGTCGAACAGAACATCACTTTCCATTGCCGACAAGTCCTCTGCGGTGGTCGAGGGCACCGCGGCTGTCGGCTTGGCCACGGTCGCAATCTTGCCGACAGTCCTGTGCCTGAGAATATCGCCAGTTTCTAGCACGAGCCCCTCCTGCCTGCACCGAGAGACAATTCGCATGGCAGAAATCGAGTCACCACCGAGCGCGAAAAAATCGTCAGAGGAGCTAACGCTGTCGACGTTGAGCATAGCGGCGAATATCTCGGAAATCGTATCCACGGCCGTGCTAGACCCAGACGGTTCTGCATTGCCATCTGCTGTGGCATCTGCTGCTACTACCATGTACTCTCTCATCTCTTCTCTTGACAGACGCGACACTTCTTCTCTTAGACGCCGCCGGTCTATTTTGCCACTAGCCGTCAGTGGTAGATGCGTGATTGACAAGAACAAACTCGGGACCATGTATTCGGGCACGGCAGCCTGAAGCTTTTCCAAAGCACGCGCAACTTCATTGGTTACATCAACTGATGGGGTCCTCAGCAGCGACTCAGTGCTTGGTGTCGCATGCATTTCTTGGTCGTGAGCGAGAAATGCGACCAGAGTATTGGTAATTGACTGTCCGTGGCTGATTGCAACCATTTCAGCGACAACGTCGGTACAGGCATATAGAGTTTTGCGTAGATGATGTTCCACCTCTTCCAGCTCAAGCCTCTGACCGCGAAGTTTTATTTGTGTGTCTTTTCGGCCAACGTAGCGAAGAGATCCGTCTGCCTCGTACTGGACAAGATCTCCAGTGCAATAAAGCCGATGCCGATTCTGGTCAAGCCCATCATCTCCCACCCGTCGTATATCCTCTAGCCATTTTGGGGCGCAGATAAAAGCTTTCTGTGTTTTTACAAGTTCATTCAGGTAGCCCCGGCCGAGGTGAGGGCCTTCGATGAGAAGCTCTCCAATTGCGCCAATCGGGCTCAGCCTCTCATGATTGGACGGGTCCACGATCCATGTCGCGCCGACAATGGCCTTGCCAATATTCGAAGGTCTATCAGGCGACACATTCATGCACAAGGTCGACTGGACAGAGCACTCAGCAGGTCCATACACGTTAATCAGGCGAATCTGATTTGCCCACGATTCCACCACGTCGCGAGGAAGAGCTTCGCCGCTGACAATGACGGTTTTTATTGTGTGCAAACCCTCCAGGGACAAATGACGTAGCAGCGAAGGAGTCAGGTCTGCCCAATTTGGCTCCAGTCGACGAATGCATTTGGCGACATCTTGCATCCTCTCAACATCCGAGGGGATGCACAGACAGCCGCCGACTAGAAGGGAATTGAGCATGTCAGAAATGCTGACATCAAAAGCATAAGATGCAAACTGTAGAGTTCTTGTGCTCTTGTCCATTCCCACGGTTTTGATGTACGCTTGCGCGCAGGAGAGAAATGCGTCGTGGTTTATCGTGATGCCCTTTGGCCGTCCAGTCGAGCCTGAAGTGAAGACGGCGTACAGGGCACGGTCGCTTGCTTCAATCGACTGACTCGGAGCTTCCAAAGTGGTTTTTGCCCATGCTGCTTCACGAATGTCGCCATCCAGAGACAACATCATCGGGGCGAGAGCGGCGGCGGCGTCTTCCAGGCCACCAGAGCAAATGATGATTCGCGGGTTCAACTCGTCGCAGACTGAGCGAAGCCGGCTCAGAGGCTGTGATGGGTCCAGCAAAACAAATGCGCAGCCTGTTTTCACAACCGCAATCACCGAAACAACCGTTTTATAAGATTTTTCAAATAGAAGCGGCACATAGCACGGGGTTTCCGCATTTACTCGAAAGCCCACATTCATCAAATGGGCTGCCAGCTTCGACGACAGGTCTTCCAGCTCCGAATACGAAATTGTTCCATCCCAGGATTCTGCGGCAGGTGAACCAGGTTGTCGCATTGCATGATGCCGTATGCACTCCAATAGGCCCTCCCGCGGGCCGTCGAATTGGCCGTCGAGCGCGCTCCATCCCCGCAACTGAGCAACATCTCCCGCGCTGCACAGATCCAATTCTCCTACTTTGATTTCAGGAGATACAAGCACCTGGTGTATCACTGCCTCAAATGTAGCCAGTATGCTAGAATTTTGCACAACAGGTGAATTGGGCATTTTAAACTTCAGTAAAAGGCCGTGCAGCCCCTCAAAAATGGCAGTCGCGCCTACCTCGTGATACTCGACAAATGGATCGGCGCATGATACTTGACTCGACATTGCGTCTTGATCAAGTTCATCGTTTTTGAAAACAAGGGTTGAAGTGCTCTGGAACCAGCTTGAATCTGGCGACGAGGTGCGACTGAGGCCGGGTAAGACTGGGCTGACTGCGGCTGAGGACGAGCCGTCCTCAGAAGATGCCACAAGGTCTCCGGACGACGATGAAATAGATCCAGACGGATAGAAATTTTCAACTGAAAAGGCCGATGTATGTTTTCGGAGAATAGATATATTCTCGCAATGCAGAAGACTGTGAGCGCTTCCCCCATTTGGCAGCGCCCGTGGCTGAAGTTCGCTGACCGGAAGATCAGTATCAACAATGAACTGTATTTTTTGCGCAATCTCAATGTCGTCCTTCGGACAAGCAATGTAGAGAAACTCAACATTCTTCGTGTAGCTGAATGCCGAAACGGTAATAGCCCAAGCCCTCTGGAGGAGCAAGTCAAGACGCTCTGGTTCGCAGGCTAGGTCGGGATCAAGCTGCTCAACTTGAAGCTGGAAATGGGAAGAGACAGAAGTCTGCAGCATGGCGAATGGATAAATTTTAGTCAAACTTGGGTTAATTTTCACTGTTCAGGTTTGATCTTTTGACAATGTTGCTTTCTGTGAAATAGACGTATACCTGGTATATATACTTGGCGCTATAGCAAGCAGAATCTGTGTGACGGCTTTCATCTGGTCAACTACAGGATATTCCGCATACATGTGCGGATAAGTGGCGTCGAGCTGCCATGATGGAGCTTACCGGTTCTTCTGCGTCTGCTGAGACATTGATCACCCAGGAGGAAAATGTTATATTATAAAACACTCATAGGTTACTGCCACGGGTCATCCAATGACAATGAGTGTTAGTCAAAACATTACCACAGTTCTCGAGGCTCTCGCATCTTGGCCGTCGTCAGTGCCACATGTCTATCCGCGGATTCAATTATTTATTACACTAAGACACCTGTTTTTTATACCGGTATCTAGTTAGCGGAGGCGCTAAGAGCTAATTCAATTCTGAGAATTTTAGGAAAAGTAGGTAATCTTTACTTCTTATGACTTACTTATAGCTAAACAACCCTCTTTAGAGAAGTAATATATAAGATATAAAAAAGTAAATAATTACTTTTATTGTTTATATAATATATTCTCTTTTTAGATTTTATTTTAGCTACTTATAAGATAATAATACTAGAGAGTAAAAGTAGTATAAAAGTTACTTTTACCTTATATACTAGCTAATTATATAAGTTATATCTAGATGTGTACTATAGGCTGGTATAAAAGAACAGGGAATAGACTATCCTATTAGCTGTGTTAGAGGAGTAAGCAGGTCAACTTACAGGGGTTTCAGCTCATCAATCCACGCTGATCCGCGGGTACTTCATTTGACTACCTAATTATACTATAATATAAGTACTAGCAGTTCTAAGAGGTATAGCCGGCTTTAGCTTATTAACATCGCGAGCTTTAAGAGGGCTTCGCTAGCCATAGGTGCGTACTTCGCTAGCCATAGGTGCGTACTTCGCTAGCTATAGGTGTGTACTTCGCTAGCCACAGTTGCGTACTTCGCTAGCTCTAAAACTTTGATAGGCGAGGTAATTTAATAATTTCTTTTAGTTAATATAATTATGGTGTGATGGAGGCGTAAAAGTGTCGCCGCTACGAAATCTCTGGCGAGAGCTGCCGTAAGCTGCGTGTATCCATGCTAAGTCTGAGAAAAGTGGGTTGAGTGACCTCTTTGCTCCTTTATTAACACTGCGAAAGGGATAAGTCGCGAGCTGTGCATCTTAGTATTGATATGCATGTCTTGCAATAACTGTGATGTAATCAGCAACCCAGATGAACTCATAGCAAGTGGAGATCTGCAGCTGATCAATATAACGCGAGGAAATAAAAGCACATAACTAGCACATTTTACAGCAAGAAGTCCAGAAAAAAAAAAAGATGATCAAACGATGTGACCTTACATGGACTTGTTGCGACATAATCCGTATAGACACAGGGCTGGACAGCACGGAAGTAAAACTTTTCTCTTTTTGCGGAAATGATTGTCTCGGCTGTGCCGATTTGTAGGCATTCCAGCGGGGCCATTGTTTACTTTCCGTAATGAATATGTTATATATATGAGCTGCTGTCTTAGTTGCGCGAGCCACTGTCGTATATGCGAGCTGCCAATTTTTGAGCTGAACTGTAACATGCATAACAGCTGGCTATCCATCCTAATTGACTGACAAACAGTGGAATAGGAGAACATGTGTCCATAATATTTAACGTGTATCAGGATTCGATAGAGGTTGTGCCCTTGTATCGCAGCTCCAGCCTTCCTAACATCGACACACATATCGTAATTTTCCATTTGGTAAATCATCTGCTCCCCAAACATATTTTTTCAATACTCAATTGACGCTCAAAACAGTGGACGAGGTCGATTATTTCTGTTTGAAAATGGCAATGTCTGCATTTCCGAACATGCCTTCTTCGCGTCCGACATGGTACGAGTTCCGGTCTTCGGAGGGATTCATCACCGCCGTCGTCGCTCTGGCTGCTTTCACGGTATAGTCATATCGATCTAATTTGATGAAAACTTTCACTAACTACTAACGTTAGGACAATTTTCTTTACGGACTGGTAGGTTTGCAAAAGTCGATTGGGCGCAAAATCTGACTCGCCCAGATTGTACCCGTTACCCCGACCGCTCTCGAGCGGCGCGTGGGGACAGATCCCCAAGACGGTAAATGATTAGCTCAATTGTTGCTTCTAACAATTTTCTGATGGGATACGTCGCAGTTCAACGCTTAGTCTCGCTTCTACTGGCGCTTGAAGCGTTTGCCTGGTTGGTTACGAGCCGTACGTGCCTGAAACGATGTTGGCCAGAGACCTCTGCTGATTCTTTAATAGCAATTACGGGACATGTAGCCGATCGAATAAAGTCGCGTCGAACTCCGCTTCTTGCAGGCTTACCTGCCCTTGTCATATCGACGGCACTGCTCTATGTCGGCGACTCACTACTGCTGTGGGTGATCGGCCGCATTCTCATGGGCGTCTCTGCGGCGGTAACCTGGACCGTTGGCCTTGCACTGCTCGTAGACACGACTGACAGAGAGCGCCTCGGAGAGACTCTTGGCTACATGTCTATGGGCATGATGGTTGGGACGACTGCAGGTCCACTACTGGGTGGCGTCATATACAAGGCAGGCGGCTACCACTCTGTCTTTGGCGCTGCCTTTGCTCTGATTTTTGTAGACGCCGTCTTGAGGCTGGCAATGCTGGAGAAAAAGCAAATTCGATCGGCAGATGGTGGAGAAGAGGCTATTACTGAGCCGCTGCTTCCAGCAACGGAATCTGGGAATGTGTCTGACCGCCCCAACTACGGAATTGCTGGTGAGGCTTCTGTTGAGCCTTGCGACGACGCAGCTGATGAAAAATGGTCGTCTCCCATCTTTGTGCTCCTCTCAATGCCCCGGATCCGTATCTGTCTCTGGGCTTACTGTGTCATCTCGATGTCTCTGACAGCATTTGATAGCGCACTTCCGCTGTTTGTGCGTGACACATTTTCCTGGAGTCAGCTGGGCCAGGGCCTCATTTTCCTTCCCCTTTCCGCTACGCAGGTGTTTGATCCCGTCACCGGAATCATCTGCGACAAGTACCCCAACAAGCGTGGATACATTGCCGCGGTAGCGTTTGTCGCTGCTGGTGCGTCATTCTGCACTCTTCGAATCGTCACCCATGATTCCTTGGCGCAAAAGATCGTACTGTGCGTCCTTCTCGGATTGCTTGGGCTAAGTGTGTCATTTGCCGTTCCGCCTATTCTGGTGAGCATCCAGGAGACCTTGGATGATGAGGCAAAGGATGATGTTGGTGCTTTTGGCAGTGGCGGAGCGGTGGCATTGGCGTATGGTCTTGTGAATTCCGCATTTGCAGTCGGTGCGCTGCTAGGGCCACTGATGGGAGGTTATTTGAGAAGTGTGGCGGGATGGGGGACAATGACCTTGGTTCTTGCGCTGGCTAATGGTGCTACGGGCGCGGTGATGCTACGAATGCGTCGCTGAATGGCATATTGCCGCGCGCTGGTCTTGGACACGCCATGGTTAGTAAATTGATCAATCGTTATTTTTAAAAAAATGAAATGCCAAAAGAATAATTGTTCCTTTGTACTACTGAGATAATAACGTTACCTCGAGACCGTACTCATGCGCATCCATTCACCAGCACCGCTCACTTGCCGTCCGCGGACCAGTGTCCCTAGCCCGCCTAGAAGAAACAATCCCGACGCAAGAAGAAATGGCAGTCCCATGAGCGATTCGTCGGCCCAGCCGGTGGCGAGGGCATAGCTGCGGTTGAATATTAGCGGCCCGACCATGGTGCCAACGCTGTCACACAGCGCGATGAGTGTGTATAGCGCTGCAATGTTGTGCGGTGAGACCATGTCGGTCAGTACCGATTTGAGGGCCGGTCCCGCACTCCATCCGAGGGTAAAAACCATTATTCCTTAAGTTTCATTGTTAGCAAAGAGCCAATCGCGACAGAAGGTGTGGACATACCGATCATGTATAGGGCCCAGGTCTGAGAGATGCCCATCACAAGTGCCCCTACGCTCAGCAGAGCGAAGCTTGAACGAGTAATGAGCTGATCAACTTTTGTCGATGGCATGTGAAATCGTTTCTGCAAAAGCATATTCAACAGAGGTATAACCCCTGCTAGAAGGACTAGGCCTTCCATAGTCTGGAAAGTCAAGACACGGCTCGCCTGTAGATCTGTGAGCAATGGGGACTTGGTCTCAGTGGTCTGTACAACTCACATAGGCGAACGAGTTGCCAAATCTCTTTTGCACGTAAAGGAGAATTACCTCGGTGAGGGGGTCTGCCATTTTAGCTAGAGGAACGACTAGGAGCAAACCAAGTCCGCGTGGGTCAGACACCAAGCCTCCCGTTGCCGTCACCGTCGACTTGATCTCCTGCCGAAGCAGCGGCCACGTTATCAACGCCTGACCAGCCGTCATACTACGCATTGACTGCGCGCCACTTGGCATCATGACAACGAGGAGTACTGCAAGAATGCCGAGCGGAAAATTGAGCAGTATAGGCGTGAACAGGTATCCGCCCTCTAGCAGTGAACCCGTTAAGGAGAGGCTCACGGCCTGCGTGAGGAGGGCAGCTGCCAAAAAGAATCCGAAGCACAATGACCTAGGGCAGGGATGTCAGACTTGTGGTAGAAGACACCCGTAGTATCACTCACCTGTGCTTTTTGGGGACATGCCTAACTACAATGACCATGGTGACCGAGTCAAACACCGAATATCCACCACCGATGGCGGAAAATATCGGAGCGACCACAGCAGCTTCGACTGGGAACAGAGACGAGAACCAGAACACCACCACGAGCCACGCGCTCGAGCATACAAACCCCGTCACGTTCAGGGCAATCACCAGTCGCTCGCTGAGCCTGTCCAGCATCAGTCCGTAGGGTATAGTAAAGATGAAGTTCAGCGCCGCCCCCAGAGACAACATGTTGCCGGATATGTGCGCCAGCCGCTGCTGAACGGCTGGCACGGCGCACATGTCCTCGGAGAGGCTGCTGCTGGCGCTGGCGACAGACGGGTCGTCATGCTTTAAGTAGTGCTCTTGGCAGATGATCTGGCTGAGAAGCTTCAGGCACGCGAGGTAGCGCGAGATGTCGCTAAAGACATATAGCGTCGAAACAAGGAGCATGAGGCTGAGGGTGTAGGTGGAATCCCTGGTCCAGGACTGGTCGGGCTCGGTCGGCTCATCGTCAACTGGCGCATCGCTGCCCTCGAGGCGCACATATTGACTGCAGGGGGCGAAAATACCGTGTCAGCATGATAATTCAACATCTTCCTTATAGAGAGTAGGTATTTACTGCGACATTGCACTGTGCTTGCCCAACGATACCTCAGGTCCTCAGGTCCTGGCTGTGGCAGTGACAACTGTTTTTCTGGGGAATCGGTTCATATATACACGGGCCACACACCCACTCTTCGGTCAGGTGCCGTATATAACACTAGCAGCCACTATACATCCACGGCCACCTATTTTTAGTGCGTTGTCTTTAACATATAATAAGTCTACTAATAACAATTTCTATAACTTAGTTTAAGGAAAGTTAATATCTAAAGATATTATCTTTTTTATAAAAAAGAGTAGTACTAGGGGAATAGTAACTTTTTACTAGGTAAATAACATAGCAAGTACTTTTTTTCTTATATAAGTTAGCCTTAAAATCTTCTATATTAAGTTACTTTCTACCTCTATTATACGTTAATAGATTAGGGATTAGCTATAAAGTATACTATATAAAGTACTTGCGGTTATACTGTGATCCTAAGTCTTTTTAAAGGGCTAGCGACTTGTAACTTAAGGGTTTTTTTTAATATAATTTATAATAAAATTATACAACTTTAACTACCCTAGTTAACACCCTAGTTAGCTATAATCTACCCCTAGTTAGCTATAATCTACCTTTGGTTAGCTATAATCTACCTCTGGTTAGCTATAATCTACCCCTAGTTAAAGTACCTTTTCTAATAGAGGTATCCTATATAGATAAAAAGAGTACTTTCTTATCTATCTCCAAGTCCCTAGTAGTTAAATAAAAAATAGTAACTTAAGGTGCTAGCAGCCTTATAGCTACTTATAATAAACCGTTATGGCGGCACTGCTCTGCGCTATATATACTGCTATTACGCCTTTGTTAATTACTAGAACTGCTTTTAATGACCTAATCTTTTGCCCTATGGTCTGACGGTATAGGCGTACGTCACACTACTATATAGCTGCTATACTAGCTATACGGCTTCTATATAGGGGACAGACGGTACTTTATGCTATGGCCCGCCGTGGCCCACCGCGGCCAGCCCTATGGGTTCTTCTTCGATGTATCCTAAGTTGCGAGTCGCGAGTACTCAAAACACTCAGCATCAGGGTATTAATTAGATCAACTGAACGTAACTGGGTCTTGCAGTAGATTGAGTTGAGTGGTGTGTAACCTTGACCCGCGCTCGGCATGAGTTGAATACAAGCCTCGCCATCTGATATCCCGCCACCCGGTATAACAAAGGCGGAGTCCCGCCGAGACCCGCTTCTTCTAGAACATGATTTGCAGGGAAATTAAATGAGCTACTTATGCGTAGCTGTTAGCCCTGTCACGGCTGTGCACCGATACTGATAGTACTGGTTTAGCTTGGGCATCGGGGGCTGGTGCGCAATCTCCACCGTGAGCTTGGAGTTGTCGCGTGGTTTCTGCAAGGCACGAGACAAATCTGATAGCGGACATCAACTAGCTGGGCTGGGCTTTCCGTACCATTGCCTTGGCCTTTCCACAGGGTCCCTGTATTGTCTGTGTTGTTGACTCTTGGCTTTAAAAAATACCAGCTAACTATGTACCATGAAGCTGATAATGAGGGAGCACGGTTATCTTATTTACAAGATCAAGTGCTCCAACCTCTTTCGGCTTTTCTCTGCAAGTATCACCGCAATTAAACGTCTAGTATACCAGCAGTCGGGAGGGGACGTCCTGACGATCCCGCCGACCAGCCGCGCCAGCTAATACGCAACAGTAATAAATACGAAGTGTCGTGCGAAAGTATGCCTGTCCATTATCTTTCGACGATTGGCCCCTATTCTGAGCTAGCAGACATGGGTGCTTGCAGCCCTAAATATCGATCTTCTTTGTTGGTACCCAGTTATTAGACTCTTCGGATTACGCCGTCTGATCCACTCGATGCCAAGGGGAGAATTGGAGGATTAATTAAATAACTGTTGCGCGGCGATATTCGAACACTGCAAGTCCTGCCAGAAATGCATTACCATCCGTCGGAGTTTGGGGGCAATGCCATTAAGTCACGGCCGTGCACTCCAACGTTTATTGTAAGCAAGTGTGACTGGACCCAAGGCCAAGTCACCGCCACGATGCTTAGCTCGATGGAAATCAGGACAAACCAGACATATACTAGCATATACCAACAGAGTACTATTAAGCACTATAACAAAAGGTCCATGTTATAACTAGCCCACGTTCTAGGCAACTGATCATCTTATTTGAGCTCCGCAATATGTAATAACAGCATCTGATAATGTGCTTAGCACGCGCCCCTTTACTGAGGCGTTTGAAACATATATAATAACTGCGTCACTCACTCTATGCCGCCTCTCATGCCATTGTATGCTTTATTAACAAGTTATCATCGCCATCACAATCATGCCGTCACTCGTGTCTTGCCTTATGGCAGGCTTCGCCCTTGCCAGCCGCGCGGCGGCCCTAAGCTACTCGTCGTCTGAAATCTACGAATCCTCCAGCTTCGAATCGCATCACTCTCAGACGGTACGTGAGATGCAGACTTTCTAGGTCCAACGGTTCCATAGTCCGAAGCTAACTACAGATTCCCAGAGCAGTTCAAGCACAAGCTATCTAGATGCAAATGGGAAATGGGTGACGCACCGACTCTCACTGGACAGCAGAAGCCCGTTGCTCACCTTTGAATATGGGACCAGCCAGCCGTCGGGAAACAACTGGATTGGAGTCTGGCCTAAAGATGACGCACAAGCGCCGACCTGGGGCAGCGCCGCGTGGGATTACGCCAAAGAAAGCTCGGGCTCCCTCCGCATTACACCTCCCAGCTCCATGAAGGCTGGCGAGTACAAGGCCTATCTTTTATCTAACGACCGAACTATTCTCGCTTTCATCGAGAGCTTCGACTACAGCCCAACCAGCAGCGTGGCTTTCAGCGTCAAAACTCACTATTACATCAACTGCCGCGGCAGCGTCAACAATAACGTCAACGTCATGCCAGGCAACGGCGTCTGCGTCAACACAAACTGCGGCGTCGGCAGCCTTGAAATTCCTAGCGTCGGAAGCTGCCCTAACGGCCAAGTCCGCATTAGCTACTGGCAGAATGCTGACTGCGCAGGCGAATGGTACGGCTACGGCTACGGAAGTAGAGGTACCTGCCGCGGGCTGTGGTCAGACGGCTGGAGCTTCAAGTCCATGTGGCTGTCCTGCGCCGAACCAAGCAGCGACTGCATCGAGCAGGGAACCTGCACCGCCGACCCAGAACCGTCTGTCGGCGTCTGCCGCGCCCCCTCCCGCCTTAGGACCCGGTACAGCGCAGGCCGTACCGTGTCTGCGAATTAGCTACTGGGACCAGCCTGGGTGCTCGGGTAAGTGGTTTGGATACGGCTATGGTAGTAGGAATACTTGTCGATTGCTATGGTCTAGTGGCTGGAGCTTCAAGTCCCTCTGGGTGACCTGTGCAAAGCAAAGCGATGACTGTGTTAGTTGTGGAACTTGCACAATTGATGATGTGCCAAGTCACTCTATTTGCTAGTTGTTGTGGCCTATGGAGGCACGTAATTCTCATTGGCTGGGAGCCATGAAGGCCTTACTTTATTTATACGATAGCTCTTGTGTGTGGTAGCCTCCGACTTGTAGGATAACCACCAACAACACGAATACAGTCATTTTGGACCACGATAATTATCGTTGATAACCAACAGTCTTGGTTCTGAGAAATTGTGCCGACATACTTTCCTACGACCGTATTGTGTACTGCCAGCCAGCCATGGGAGTCGAGACAAAGAAACGGCCCCGGTCGGTCAACGGGTTCAAGACACTTTCACAATGGGCACAGTGGCTCGAGAAACAACGAATGTGTGAGAAACGAGGCTGACTTCGAAAAATGTACATCTTTTCATCTACTCTATTTTTGTCGCCATGATTCGCGCACCACCCAGTCGTCCCCCACGAAACAGCTCATCAACGGTATTATAGAAGGTCAACAACAAAGGCTCTGGAGCACTGGATTGCTTATATTCGACCACGCGACCGTGCACAAATTCAGACCACTCCTTTGTCATGTTTACAAAAACGACATTCCCAAATCCTGCCGCCTTCAAATCAGCAATGTACCGCGCCTGGCTCGGCAGGTACGGACATGAGACAACGTCTCGCAGCTGGCGCAGCGTCGTCTCATCGAGCTCGCTCTGCGCAAAGTAGTCCTCGATATAGATGGTGCCGCCTTTTCGCAGCATCGATGCCGCCTTGCCAAAAACACTGGCCCGGTTCGGTATATGCAGGATGCAAAGAAATGAGACGACGTGGTCCGCCGGCTGGGCATCGGCGAAAGCGGCAGCGGGCAGCTGGGTAAAGTCGCCGTTTATAGAGCGCACCTGCGCAGACTGGCCGTTGCGCGCGGTAATAGTCTCGGCCATTTCGTGAATCTCTGGCTGCAGCTCCACGCCCGTCACGTCTGCGCCGTAGTGCTTGTTGAGGAACCGGCCCGTGGCGCCGAAGCCGGCCCCGACGTCGACGACGCGCGCGCCGGGCTGAAGCTCGAGGGCATGCGCGGCGGCGTGCAGCGCGGTGTCGCCCTGGTAGTGCATGCAGTCAAAGGATGCCGTGTCGGCCGGCTCCCACCGCGGCTTGGCCTCTAGAGCTCGGAGACGCGAGCGGGCGCGCGTCAGCTCGTAGAGTGCCATGTCGGCCACGTTGAAGTCGGCGTCGACGCTGACGGGCAGAGCTGGGGCCGGTACGGCATGGCGATTGGCGGTGGTGGTTGCTGCCATGGCTGCTTCGAAGGAAGGAGAAGAAGTCAAGCGGCTTGGGAGGAGAGTGCTACCGGCTTGGGTATTGAAGTAAATTCACGCAGAGACGAGTTGTCTAGCTGAAGAGAGTACGCATAGGGTCCTAATACAGGGCCCTGGCTCACCTTGCTCTCCTCTTATGTGCTTTTGACTGTTGATACGATAGTACCACAGGTAGGGCTGCCCACAGGACAGTGGCTCGAATAACACGATCGCTGTCCCACAATCGCTGACATCTCGATTGACGCTTCATTGCTAATGAGTTGGCATACTGGGGTTCTAGGCAAGATGGGGCGCGAGTGTTGACGTCAACCGCTGCAGGCGAGAACCTGTCCTTGTCATCAACCAGGTTCTTCGGATGACTTATAGTTGCGATGATGTCTTTTGGTGACAGCAACTCCTACTAATGTGGAACCAATAGAAGCAATGCCGCTCCATAGAGTGGCACCTAAATATGCCGGCCCTGCTCCGCGAGTTCCGTATCCGTAGACGGCTGTTGCATCCGGTAAGACGGATTATAGGGCTAATGCAGTGGTCTGGAGAAACCCTCGCATTAGTATCCACGAGAATGGGTCTTGTGCGGCGACTCTGTGCCGTTCTTGAGTTGTCGATTTCTATATCACGATGACAGCGGAATCTTTCAGCAATCACGAGCGCTTGAACATGGTAAAGCTGTGAAAACTGATGTTGTTGTAAAGCAAAGAGCCAACAAGAGGTCTCGTCTCCTCTCTGTTGCAGTTTTGTTGTTGGTAAAAATAGTTCCCAGGAGTCGAGAACGATTTTCAGTGGATAGGTAGGTGGCTCCAGTGGGTTTACCCTGCTGACAGAGATGACAGTTTGGCACAATGGGGATAGTTGAAAGCCTTGTGCATTTATCTCCTCTTCTTTAGATGATAAAATGACATATCTAAAGTGGACGACTGTGGTGTCTGCGGCTTACCCTAACTAGGGCGAATCTCCCAGTCTGGCTGTTGTATAAGTGTGAGCGTGAGCAGCATCATAGCGCTTTGCGCTGTCTGCCTGCGAAAGCCGACAAGGGGCAAAAAGCAAGGAGACTTGTATAACTATGCGTAAACAACAATTCACAGACTCTCCACCCATTGCCCATTGCGCCGCCGCCTCTGGATGCTGACCAACTTGCCAAAGTCCATGCGAATCTTGACATTCATGTCGGTCAGCCAGTCCTGGTGATGTGCAATTTGCAACACGACACACTCGGAAAAGACGTAATCCATGAGAGCCCGTGTTTGCTCGTCACCCTCTTTACTCATTGCGCTGGTGGCTTCGTCTACAAGCACAATCCTTGTGTTTGCCGTCCGCTGATGAACCATGGCACGAGCCAAGAAGAATAACTGTCGCTGACTGGCCGAGAAACACATCTTGGACATGGTCTTCTCTATCCCACCGTATGTTTGAATATGAGTCCATAGGCCGACAAGCCGTAGAGTAGAAGTAATTGTATCCTCCTCTGGATGAGGTCCCGAAAAAGGGTAAATGTTGAATCGCACGGATGCATTGAGTTCCACGCCGTCTTGCGACATGGTCGTGATCCGAGAACGGAGAAGCTCTCGAGGGATTGTCGTAATGTCACGGCCATCGATGCTAATGCCGCCGCCAAACTTCATCATTCGCAGCAGCGCAAGAAACATTGATGACTTCCCACTTTCACCTGAAGCATTAGCATCATATGGCTACATTGTCATCTGAGATCTAGTTACCTTCCCGTGCGACCGCTGATGCCGACTTTCTCGCCGGGGTAAATCGTGAAAGTGACATTTTCCAAAGCTCGTCGGAGGCTCCCGTCCTCAGCGCTACATCTAGTTAGCTGTTAGTTCAGCATCAAACGCGAACGACCACTGCAAGTACAGTCCCGCTACGTACGTGTAACTGGCACTGACGCCATTGAAGTCTATGAGCCCAGTAGTAGGCCAGTTTTCTGGGAGCTCTGCACCCCGGAGTGTGTCCTTTTCAATCGGCGTGTCTGCGCAAAAGTCTTTAATTCGTGCGACAGCGCCCAGCGTAGTTTCGAGGTTTGTCCAGGAGCGAATGAGAAATGATGCGTTGAAGCTAAACGTCACCAAAGTGAGCCAAGCCAAGCCGACAGCATGATCAGATGTTGTACCTGGATAGAAAAGTGACAGGTACGTAAGGATGACTGCTGAGGTTGTGGCGGTAAAGTCTAGCGCAAGAGAAAGCCACCTCTGGACGCAGAAGAGTAGATAGTATGGCGTTTGAGAGTCATTTAAAATCTTAAACAGTTGATTTGTATACTCATCCCGCCACCCAAAGCTGCGAATGTGCTGGATTCCCTTGCTGGTTTCGGTGAAGTGGGTGAATAATCTCTCTGACGATTCAAGCTCGAGAAGTCGGAGTTGGCGCGAGGTTCGTAGGTAGAAAAGTTGAATAGCGTAAAGAGCAACGAGAATAAAAGCCATAGCCGGTATAAAGTACGCAGTACCAGCAGCGACGATACCAGCTTCACAGATCACTGTGAAGAAAACTAAATATCGTTAGGCATGAGTAAGTCGTCTTAGCAATCGGAGCTTACCAAAGGCGAATTGAAGGAAGTGAATTGGGAGCTCATGAGCTACAAAGGTCATATCTCGACTGAATCTAAAGGTTGGAGTCAATAATACATTCCGAAAAGTTAGAGCAAGTTTACTCACCGACTTAATAGATATCCCGCGTCTGTTTGGCCCAAGAAGTCCAGAGTCGCACTTGAGAGTGGCATTAGTCCAAGCAATACAGTTGTGTGTATAGCGATGGGATCTTACAATAGAACAGAATTGGCGACATTCAAGTGAATTTTTTCAGCACATTTTGGCAAAATCTTAAAGAAGAAATGCCTAGAGAGACACGTGTCAGAGGAGCACCGAAGACCAGTGACGGTAGACATACATTCCCATGACCGTATTACAGAATATGCTCGCCACGGCAAACAGGGCAAAGCCGATAAAATAGTAAAAATTGTTGAGGTCTTGCGAGTACCAGACCCGAACAAAAACAACTGGATTCAGCATTAGTTCGCGGGCGCTCCAGAAGTTCCGAGTAGACTTACGCGGCATTTTTTCAATGGCGGCAGCAATAGCCATGACGAATACCCAAGAGACGACCCAGAACAACCCTGCAGGGAGTAGGTAGTATGTATAAAGGGACCAGGTACCGGTCCGACGCGGCATTCGAGCGTCCTTGAGCTCGGTATCATCCTCCAAAGGTTGTACGGAAGGTGGCTCTGTTGGCTTCGGAGCCGCCGCGCAGAGTGCGTCGGCCTCACTCTCGCTCACTATACTAGTGGTAGCACTGGAGGTTGAAGCTGAATCATCGCTTTCTCCACGTGCTTCTAGCTGAATGTGGCCTTTCATATCCATTTCATACACAAGGCTCGCGTAATCAAGAAATTCCACTGCAGATCAAAGTCAGCTAATGTCTACCCTCAAGGGCAAGACGCCTGCCTCACATCTGTTGGTAGTCATGATGACTGTGCGGCCCAAACGGCGCAACAGGCCATTGACGCCAAATAGACGGCTCATAATGGTCTCTGCTGTGAGGGCATCCAAGGAACTCAGTACATCATCGAGGACAAGTACTTCCAGCTCATCGTAGACAGCGCGAGCAAGGCTCTGGGTATCCGTCAGTAAAAAAAAGACCTCTGTAAACGAGTCACTGCATTGTGGCTTGGACATACGAGGCGCTGCTTCTGGCCTCCACTGAGATTGCATCCCGCAATGCCCGTCATTGTCTGATCACCTTGGGGCATATGCAAAATGTCAATGTCGAGTGCACAGCAGTAAATAACCTCATTGTAACGCTCTTCCAAAAAGTCACAGACGCCGATCACGACGTTTCGAACCGTTTGGTTTGGGATCCATGGTTGTTGACCGCAATAGGCAATCAGCTTTGTTCCAGCATTGACCGTGCCGGTAGTGATTTCAGACTCTCCAACAATGGTTTTAAGGAGAGTAGACTTCCCGCAGTTGATTGGGCCCCAGATAATTGCAAGTGAGCCCCAGGGAACTTGCATATTTATATTTCGAAGAATTGGGCCTTGCATCAGAGACGTGAAGCCCATGACAGTAACTTGGACTGCAAACATCGAGACTTTGGGTACCGCGTCCGATTTGTCGTCCGCAGCTGGCCCAACTGTTTGCAGTTGCCAGTCGCCCTCTTGTCGCGCATCCTCAGCCTCTGTAGACACGAGAAAATTCTGAATGCGGCCGAGCGAAGTAGAACCGACTGTCCATTCCATGATGCCTTGAAGAAACGGGGTGAGAGGCTCGGAAGCGATGGCGACAATGGCAAGGATTGTAAAAACTTCAGCAGCGCTGAGGCTCTCGCCGCTGCGTGTCCAAAAATAAGCACCACCGAGAACGAGAACAGGTGTCGCAGAGTTGTTAAATGCCGCTTGAGGAGATCAGCAGAGTACCATGTTCAGGCCGCACGTGATAGAGCTCCTACCAAAGGCGAACGTCCACAGCCGCGCGTGTCGGTCTTGCATTGACGTTTGTATTTCTTCATGTCGCTTCTCTTGTAAATACTGCCGCACCGTGTGTGACATACCCATTGCTTTGATATCTCTGATCTGTGCGATTACAGTAGATGTAGCAGCTACTAGGGTTTGAATCGCTCCGTTCCAACAAGTACGGGCTCTTGAGATCTTTTTCGCAACGTAAAAGGATGCAATAAAGAAACCTGCCCCTCTTTGGTTAGTATTTTCTTTTATTATAAGACTTGCCGTTGATAGGAGAGTCGCATACAGCATCCAGGTATCAGCATCAGAAAGCATGCATGTCCCACGAACATATACAGCGACCAGATACCCAGACCAACCTGCAGGGAGGAAGACCAAACCGCATATGTCAGGGAAATGAGGCTCTCAACTCCAGTTACATCTGCAGTCATCAGCGTCACAGCTGCCGCATCGATAAGGTCCTCATAATACAGTTTTTGCATTTTGTCATAGATCGCCGCGACAAGTATACCACGGATCATTGTCACCACTCGGAAGTGATAATGCGCTTGCAATACTCGAGAGACCTGTACTAACGGTGTTAGTGATAAGTTCATCTAAATTAATGTAGGAAGAAATATCGCACAGTAATGCCAACAAATACGCACGCCGTTGCAAAGACTAAAGCCCAGGAAATGTCACGATCCACGCCACCATATTTGACGGCTTGGACGATATGCAGCAACAAGAACGGCTGGGAGAACTTGAGTAGAGTAAATAATAGCCGTGGAAGAATGGCCTTGGTGAATTGCTCAGGGAGAGTACGCAGTAGCACTTTGGCGAGGGCTAGGCCAGATCTCTTGTCGGCTGAAGGATGGACGTCAGTAAGCTCTACGCCGTGGGACGGTAGATGATATTATCGTACCGCGCTCCCATAATGGGAAGAATTTATCAAAGTTTTGCAGGCAATCAAAATCTTGTCCGATTTGCGGTAAATCGTCTCGCGATAGTTCCTTGCCAAAGCCGGCGGTCAGGAGAGGGTACAGCCACGTGAATGTTGCACGATTCCAGAACCCAGCAGCTCCCTCTCGAGATACAGTACAACGTGACTTTTTAGTTTGAAATAGGTTGCGCTTCGATACTTGTTCGAGCATAACTATAGTCAATTTGAGAATAATGGCATAACTCGATAAAGCGCCAGTAGTGTCGAAGCCATGCCCGCGGAAACAAGAGCACGCCATAGCAATGTCGAAAATTATAGTCAGACTCATAAAAACGCCAAGAAAGGTCGAGGGTTGCAGCGAGTAAGTGTGGGCGACGCAGAGAATGATGACTATGCCGACCGAAGCCAGGAGAGACATGGCTGCCGCTGGCAGAGCAAGCTTTGACCTAAACAACGACGCCGCGTGCCGACCGACGAGATTGCTCGTCTGAACAGCAACTAAGATGATACCGACGGCGAGCTTCAACCATAGCAAGCGACCGGAGCGAACTTGCCGCGGCGATCGCAAGGCTGTTTGGAGATAGAAGGGAACCATGAGAGCAACGATACCTCCGGGTACAATGGCTAGCATGAGAATGAATCGAGCTCCCAATAGGGATTCCAGCCAAGATTCCATCCTTTAAAATGTAAATATTCTAGGTAACGAAAAGAATTGAGGTCTATTGGTGTCCAATCAGTGAGCCTGAAGTCGGAGAACCCGGCGTTGTACACTATGAATTGTTGCAAGGCGCCAAACTGAGGTGGGATGTTCTTTTCACGATTTTTGGCATGGCACGCACATACACATGGCCAAAGATGAAGTGATGGCCGGCCACGACTTGATTTCTCAGGCTTTGGAAACCTTGATAACGGTAGTAGCGACCACCAGTCAACAGCATCGGCCGTGTACTTCTGCCAGGAACTAACCATCGACACTGGTACCAGTTAAGGAGGTGGTGGGTACGTTGAGAGCTGCATTTTGCTCGATCGGTCAAGTAAAGTTGTAGGAACTTTCGAATCAAGACTCGGCAAGTACACCCCACAGTAGGCGTGCGGGGTTGCCCTCGCGGACCGGCTCGGACGCAGGCTATTCTCGTACATTCTGTACTTGCTTGGTGAGTGACTAGCCATCTTGCCTAAGGATTGCAGCGCTATAAAGCGAGTTAGAAAGGGGCATGCACAATCCATAACGGCGCCAAAAGTTCCTCATTTCCCTGCTACCTAGGCACTAGGCAGGCATGGGGCAAGAAATGTGTTGAAACATACTGGGCAACCAAGGCCCAGGCGTGCCGCACTTCCGTTGCGATATCAATATGCGTTTCTCCGTGGCGTATTGACAGGGATAGATAGGCACGGGTACTTATCAAACACTGTATTTCGGCTCGCTGCGACTGCGCACTAATAATTGCTACCCCCCGAATTCTCTCCAAAGTACTGTAGTCAGCCTGCAAGCGACGCCCATTCGTGCGTTCAATAGCGTGCCAAATACGTGATAGCGTCGCAGTAGGATTCTGCACGTGTGGATATGGGGAAGGATTCGGGCCACGGACCTGAAAGGCATTTGCAACATCCATAGTATGAGCATTCCTTCCAATCGACCCAGTTAACTAAATGCTGTCTCATCACGGCCTTGCTACTTAGCAAATGTCAGGGAAGAGGGAGAGGAGGTAATGATGTTGTATTCTCTAGGTTCTGTGTGGGCCTCCACAGGGCCCAACAGCAACCCACATGGCGGCCAACTACAATTTCTCCATCATTCTCTGGCCTTTCGAGAGCACCGTGCATGCCTCAGCCACCATGTCCTCGACAATGCGCCTCGCCGGTTGCACCTCATCTACCAACCCGGCGACCCGGCCCATTGCCATAAAGTGCGCATTATCCAATACTTCATCATCATCCGGCTTCGTGTCCAAATCATGTTGAACTGCAATAATACCCTTAGCTTGAAGGTCAAGCATCTCTTGTCGCCGCTCTTCCTCCCATCGCCGGATATAAGAACTTGCGTGGACGTTACAGGGCCGCCCTGTGTACGCCGTCGTACGAATAACATCTCCAAAAGTCGACTTCTTGAGAGTCTCTTGATGGTGCTTGGACGCACCAGACTCCTCAGCCAATATAAACCGCGTCCCGACCCAAGCGGCTGACGCGCCCAACATCAACACTGCTGCAAGCGATTGCCCATTGAAAAGACCTCCAGCTGCAACCAGGACAACCTCCCGGCCGGTGAAAGCACTCTTCTGTCCTTTAATCAACTTGGCCACCGCGGGGACCAGAATCACAGTGGCGATATCCCCTGTATGGCCGCCCCCCTCGCCGCCCTGAGCACAGAGGAGATCCGCTCCATTGTCAATGGCCTTTTGTGCGTGGCGCGGATGACCTATCATGTTCATGTAGAGAATTCCTGCATCATGTAGACGGTCCACGATTCGTTTGGGTGGCAAGCCGACCGCACTGACGAAGAGCTTTGCGCCACTTTCGATAATGATAGTGATTAGCTCGTCGAGATTGCCATGTGAGTAGTCGTGGCTGTGAATTATATTAGTGTCATAAATTCTACCAGGATGATGGTGGTCCAATGTACTTTGTTTTCCGGGCGCTACCCCCGATCTGAGGTATGAGGAGATCTACCCCGAATGGTGCGCTTTTATCGTGTAGATTGCTTTTTAGTTCCGCCAAGGCCTCGCGCATGGCCTCTGGCGTGTAGTTTACACCACCAAAGACACCAAGCCCTCCAGCGTTTGTAACCGCTGCCGCTAGCTTTGGCGATGCGACTGCATCCATGCCAGCTAGTATGACGGGATGCTTGATTCCCAAGAGGTTGGTAGCGGCGGTTCTCAACATGGTTGCTTTCGAGTGTTTCTTAATTGGAAGTTGTCGGTGGATGATTGCGAGAGTGTGCAAGATCTTACTTTGCCCTCGTTGGTACGGAGGCAAGGGAGGTCAGAGGAGATAACCCAAGGTCAGAGATAACCGAGGTCGGAGATCTCCGAGGGAGATAGGCTGTACCAGATCCACCAAGTTGACATGGCCGAGCTCGGCTCGCCGGTTCAGCAGCTTCCGGAGGCGGGGTAAGGAGGCGCTCGGTGGACAAAAATCATGGCGCTAGTCTACCTAGAATCGCCGCTAATCGTGGGCGAAAATGAGTATATAGCCGACTGCCGCCATGTTTTTTGTCCACCCCTTGGGAGGGAGGCAGGCAAGGAGAAAACGAAAAGAAATGGGTGGAGAAACATGACGTCAACATTATTAGCAGATAATCTTGCTTTTGCAAGCGGCCTGCACCGCGCAGGACTCGACAACTCACCGGAGTCCTCGGAGCCCGACTCACACAGGGCTGGGACAACTCACCCGGGTCCTCGGAGCCGACTCGCACAGGGCTAGACCACTCACCCGGGTCCTCGGAGCCGACTCATAGCGGTATATCGCGAGGCCTACTCCAATTTTCTGGTAAGGGATAGTTAGGCGGCGGTTTGGCATTTCCTTACCGGAAACCGACTGCATCAAGATATATCAAATTAGAGTCTGTGTGGCCGAGGAGAGATGGAATGACGTTGAACTCGGTTTAATGGAGGGCGGTTTGACATTTCCATATCGGAACCCGACGGCAGCAAGATATATTTAGATCAGAGTTTCTGTGGCCGAGGAGAGATGGAAAGACGTTGAATTCAAGTTGAATAGAGGCCGTGTCAGATGGGATTACATAGGGCGAGTGAGTGGTATATAAATCATGCATCTACCCTTCCTACAATACTCATCGAGTTAAACAAACAGAAATATCCAACGCGGCTGCAACCGCCAACAACAATACAACCACTTGTTACAAGAATCTAACAGCCAAAACCTATAGCTAAGCGCCGCCATCTAAGCATTACTGTTTAAGCAACACAGTCAGCATCACAACAAAGACACTACAGTATCCAAACATGACCGTCTACGATACAATCGTCATCGGCGCCGGCATGGCGGGACTCACTGCCGCTCGCGACCTCTCCACACGCGGCCACTCGGTTCTCCTTCTTGAGGCCCGCGATCGCATCGGAGGCCGCACTTACACTACCGATGCCTTTGGCGGGCAGTTCGACCTTGGTGGTGGATACGTACACTGGACCCAAGCCGCCGTCTGGTCGGAGCTCGAACGCCACGGCCTCGCGCACATCGAGCCGCCCCTGGAGTCCCAAGTCTACTACCAGCTCGCGGATGGTAAGGTTCACACGACTGAAATCGAGAAAACATATGGACTTGTCGGGAAACTGTTTAAGGATGCACGCAAGAGGTTTCCACTGCCATGGAACGTGATGGCGGCGGATAATAGCGACATCAATATGGAGACGATGGAGGAAAGGATCAACGGCATGGGGCTTTCGAAGCATGATGCCGATCTGATCAAGGGCGCGCTGAGCGGGCTAAGCCATGATTATAAGAAGCAAGGTTCGACGCAGCTTCTATCTGCGACGGCGAGTAATTTCGGGAACTATGCCGCGGAGCTGGAGACGGCCGGGTCATGGTGGATACCCGGTGGCATGACCAAGTTGAGCGAGGCTATTCAGAGCACCTCCAAAGCCGAGCTTCGCCTCAACACGCCGGTCGCCAAAATCGCCGACAGCGGCCACGGCGTCACCGTGACCACCTCCGCTGGCGAGACGATCCAATCTAGGACCGTCGTCGTCGCCGTGCCCCTTAATACAATGCGCCTTTTGGACATCTCCCCTGCCCTGCCGGAACCCGTACTGGCCATGCTCGAGACAGGCAACCCGGTTCGTGGCTCCAAGCTATGGGTACGCGTCCGCGGACATGTCACTCCCTTTTCCGCCCTTGCACCCCCTGGCGAACACCCCTTGAATACAATGCGTGTGGAGAAACGCTGGGGTGACGATACGATGATCCTGTGCATGATCTCTCAATCTGACAGCATCAAGCACGACGACATCCACGCTGTGCAGACTGCTTTGAGAAAGTTTGTTCCCGATCTGGAGGTCATTGACACGGCGTGGCACGACTGGAACGCAGATGAGTTCTCCCGGGGCGGGTGGATGATGCATGCGCCACGCCACTTTCTCGACGGCGCCGTCGAGATTCGCAAGGGTCATGGAAGAATGAGTTTCGCAGGGGCGGACATTGCGGCCATGGGCCCGTGTACGATCGAAGGCGCCATGAGCTCAGGCGCAAAGGCGGCGCAGCGCGTGGAGAGCATTCTGGAGGGAATGTAGTGAAAGGGCATAATGGCACGTGGCTATAGATCAAACGAGGTTATTACAGCTACCTCATCCGAGTATAGGGTCCTCTATATTAACACATAAGTACTTAATAAGCTACTAGCAGGTCTAGTACCTAGTTATAGTTAATTTAGCTAAAAAAAAAAAAGGCATTTTTCTTCCTTTTAACTACCTTATAATAATCTTTATTTAATAAAATACTATAATATATTTTTTTTCTATATATTAAAAAATATTTATAATATATTTATTATAATAGCTTATTATTAGTTATATAATATATTTGTTCTTTACTATAGTAGACTAACTTTTATTAATTAATATCTAAATTAATATAATATTACTTAAGGTTATTCTGGAACTTGATAGAAGCTAGAAACGCAGCATCATCTAATACTTTCTGTCCGACATTCGGCAGAGGTATTATTCTAAGTTCAAAAGCTAAACCAGGCGTCCTAAAATCCAGAGCAAAAACGTCGCAAGATCCCAGCCCATCCTTAGTAAAGAGATCACAGCACGCCATATAAGCGACCTAAAGACCAAACGAATATTAATCTCTGCCGGTATGCTTAGAGAAGAGCGAGAATAGCGTTAGCAGATTCGATCTATTACCTCCAGCACACTGCAATGATGCTTCCACAAAACACGTTTATAAGCTCTGGAAAATCTTGTCGCTTGTAGCGCTCCTCTATCTCATCGATATCAAGCTCTTCGAATGGAGGCGCACGCTGCATAACATGATAGATGGAAGACCCCAAAGCAAAAATATCGGTCTGTACGTTACAGGCCGGCTCAGGGCGCGGTAAAAAGTACCTTGTGCTCTCCAGACAAAGCGGCGGAAGGTCATCGATAGAAGATCCAGAGAAATCAATGATTTGTACGCACATGCTGTCGTCGAGAACCATGTTTTCTGGTTTGATATCGCCATGAATGACACCAGAGCTGTGAAGAAACGCAATACCCTCGGTGGCTTGAAGACACCAGTCCAGCTGTTGCGACTGTGTGATCACGGCGTCAGAGGCAAGATAGGCTTCGAGGCTGCCGACTCGCATATACTCGAATATCACGTAGCCATCTATCTCGTCGGCGGACCATGAATAGCTTATCATCTTAATCAGTCGCCGGTGAGCCTGCAGTCGTTTATAGATGAGGACTTCACGCATGAGTTGGCTAACTTGGCGATGCCTCTCGCTAGAACACAGAAATGGATGCGGCGACTTCTTCACCAGATTGCTAGACGGCAGAAGCTCTATGATTGCAGTAGCTCCGAACGTCAAGCAACGATCCTATTGAGCCCTGGTTAGACGGATTGGGGCGGCCTGCTGCTCGGAGAGAGGGGCTGTTTAGCGCTCACTAGTCTGTCGGACATGGCTTTTGGATATGGGTATTCGAGTCCATCATGGTGACATCTGCGTACGTCTCGGCAGTCGCAAGATTTGGCCATCGCTGGGTGTCTTTACTATGCAAGGCGATGAAGATGTGTATTCCCTATGTCGCTGTCCGCGCATCCGTTTTCTGATTCACTCTCCCGCGCCATCACGTGGGCTGGCCGCTGCAGCCAGCGGCCACCCCAACTGACCTCTTACAGGTACCTGGCCCAACTTGCTGGAAGTATCCCGGACACTGTTCTAAGGCAAACCATTGACTATCCCTTGGAAGTTGAGGCGGTGTCTAGAGCATCGCCATCCTTATTGGCCCTCTAACGCTAGGTATACTTGGGCATTGTAGAGGGAGCTCTACTCTACCTAGGTAGAGTAGAGTGGAAGTGGGTAGCTCTACCCTACCTATTTCTGGTTATTTAAAATAAACTGGTCATTTGATATATTGTAAGACTAAGAATAATAAAGTCGTAGAGAATCTGTGTAATTTGGTTGATTCTAGCAACTATATAATGTTGTGACGTGTTTTATGTAATTGTAGATGCTGCTGGTCTGGGAATTTCCAGCGTTAAGGGGTAGCGGGGTAGTGAAAGACGCCATAGAGAGCACTTATAAACGAACGCGTCCAACACGTCCACGCATTCACGCCCTTACCCGCGTCTCCTTCCTCTTCATTCTACGGAGTAGTATTCTCGCAATGCAATAGTATTATCGTTCAATTAGTTTCATTCGGTCCGTGACAACATATATCTATGCTCTCTACTGTGTTCGGCATCCGCGCTTTGCTCGCTTCATCGATCTCTAGTTGATATATCGGAACGCCGCCTGCCATGCCCATTCGTTCAAGTAGACCACTTCTAGACGAGAGCTGCTAGCCAAGCTGTTAGTTGTCGCAACAAGAACACGGAGACTGGGATATGCCATATTACTAGGGGTTGCTTGGCTTGCTACGTCAATTTCTGGTTGATAGGCCAAGTTATCAACGCCTGCCATGCCTATACGCCCAAGCAGGCTATTTCTAGACGAGAAAACTGCATACAAGTGTTAGGTGCTGCAAGTAGAACACCGACACACGGGGCATGCTGGCTTACTGGGAAGTGCTTGTGTCTCCGCACATAGCAGGAAAAATTGGGCCAGTACGAAAAGTTGCATGATGAAGCCGTCAATCAAAAGGGCGAGAATAATGTTGCAAGGTGCAAGACGATGATGGTGGCAGACCTTGGGGTATTTCCTTGTTATTTATTTATTAGGGCTCCTTGCTCCGGGTCACAGATCTCCCCTCCTACCTGGCGCATGATGGCAGACTGGTCAAGTCACATCTGCAGAAAGCTACGCACATAATATTTACCAAAGTGCTCAATGCAGTAATACATGGCCAACATTCGATAGAACTTTTGCAATCGTCCCCGCCAGACATGCATACGCCACGAGACCGTGTTTCCCACGGCCAACCGCTGTAACTGCAGCGTTCTGTGAGCCCGCCACCTGCAGGTTGGCCAGCAGGCTGGGCTCCTGCACAAATTGACATATAGATTGATTCATATTTGTTTTTAGCTAGTTTGTTTTTGAGCGCGCAGAATCACCAAACTCATCGCCATCGTCTGCGCTTCTCTTACCTTCACTGTCATCCCCTTGTATCGAGTTGCGCGACACTCTGTTCTTCAACCTGCGTTGCCTTACTAGGACTATGGTTCCGGACATGGATCAACGGTTTGGTCCTCAACTGGCTGGCCATTTTGATTTCACTCTCCTCTTTGAGCAGATCATTTTCGAAATCGCCCCCAATTCCGTCTTCGTCTTGGCGACTCCGTTCTTCTTCAAGAGCATCGCTAGCCATGCTGCGAAACAAGTGCGCCCAGGCCCTCTGCTCTGGGCCAAGATGGCTCTCGGCGCGCTTTTGCTTGCCGCCTACATTGCAAAGGCGGCCCTCTGGCAATCAAAATCCGAATTACATTCTCAAGCGTCCATTGCCAGCTCCATCATCTCACTCGTGACTTCGCTCTGCACATTGGTCGTCATCTATAGCGCGCACGTGTACAGAAGACGGCCGTCGGCATTCATGAGCGTCTTCTTTAGCATCACAATGCTTCTAGACATGGCCCTCACACGGTCGTACTTTCTGCGGCATGAAATGGGCTACAGTTCCATGCAATCCATTGCTGCGATTCAAATTGTGGTTGTAGTGGTAAAACTCTTGCTTGTCGTCACGGAGGAAATGCCCAAGACAACACCGAGTCGCAAGGAAAATGTCCCCTCACACTTCAACGGCGACTCAGAGCTCGGCTTTTGGGGCAAGGCCTTGTTTTGCTCCGTCAGTTCTCTTCTACTCTTTGGCTATAAAAACGAACTTGGTGTCGAGAATCTACCCCCGCTCGATGAGCAATTTGAGTCACGAGTCCTGTTCGATGCATTCTTCAAGCATTGGAGCAAACGTAAGCTTACACAACGACTTTATATCGCATTTTTACTTAACGACTGTGGCAGTGGACCGAGATGGGAGATTCGTGCTACTGCGCGCTTGTTTACGCACAATTCTTTGCAAGTTCCTGGCCATGGTGATTCCTCGTCTTTGCTACGCTGCCTTCTCTCTTAGCCGACCGTTCCTCATACAGAGAGTACTTGAAGTTGTCAACTCTGGAATCACAACATATCAGCATGCGACTGGGCTGATCGGCGCAGCTATACTCATATATGCTGGTATCGCAGTAAGCAAATGCTCGCTGCTTGACCCCTGCGTGAGGTGAATGCTGACACAATCTAGATATCGAGAGCCATTTTTGAGCGAATCCAATATCAGGTCAAAGTCAGCATCAGAGCAATACTTAGCGTGGCTTTGTTCGACAAGATGCAAAAGCTAAGCATTGATGAGAAGCAAAGCGCAGCTGCCATCACGCTCATGACTACTGATGTAATGGGTGTCGAAGCAATCATTGCCCTCCTTCACGAAGTATGGGTCACATGTCTCGAACTAGGTTTCGGAGTCTACATTCTCTACATGTTCGTGGATCTAGCCTGCTTTCTTATATTTATTCCGTCAATTTGTATGTCATCACGTAAAGGGCCGAGGTCTCTACAATAGCTCTCGCAGAACTAACTGTCAGCACTTACAGTGGCCACCATCTCCACGTACTATTCGGCAAAGAATATGGCCAAGGCTCGAGGTCAATGGAACGCAAAGATCTCGGATAGAGTGCAGGCTACTTCGACTGTGCTTAATCAGCTCAAAGACATCAAAGCCATGGGACTATCGCACTCCATCTCCGACTACCTCCAGAAAAAAAGAAAGGAAGAAGTCATTGTGTCATTACGCGAGCGACGATCTCGCGTTATAATGTTTGCCACATGTTAGTCCTTCATCATCGAATCGCTCATCTGTGTTGGCCCAGCTCACGAAGAAACAACCGCCTTCAATCTCTCCATGACGCCTGTCATCGTACTTGCTGGGGCACGCTTCTGGACCAGGTCTAACCCTACAATGACTGCTGCAGAGATATTCTCAGCCTACTCTGTGATTCTAATTACATCGGAGCCTCTTGACAGCTTACTGGAAAGAACAATCATGTGGGCGAGTAGTTATGCCTGTATCACACGCATCCAGAACTACCTTTCTCTGCCCGAGCTGAAAGATCCACGCCAAGTCACAGAACCAACCCAGGACGACGGTGATTCCAATGAGAAATCGGACAAGCTGCTACTGAAAAAAAGCAACAATTTTGCCATTCGCATGGAGGATGTCGTTGTCCGATCTGAACATGGGCGGGACATCTTGAAGAGTGTGAATCTGAGTATTCCACCCGGTAGTCTTGCTATGATGCACGGCACTGTGGGAAGCGGAAAGTCTGTCTTCCTTCAGACAATTCTTGGCGAAGTTGATCCCAGCGGAGGAAAAGTCTCCATCATGTCAAATGACATCTCATTCGCCGCTCAGAAGCCCTGGATTCAGAATCTAACCATCCGCGAGAATATCATTGGTCCAAACCCAGTCGTCGAATCCCTGTACAAACAAACCATACATGGCTGCGCTTTAGACATCGATATAGCAGATCTTCCCGCCGCTGATGAGACAATGTGCGGCACAGACGGGTGCAATCTAAGTGGTGGTCAAAAGCAACGACTGGTACGTTGTCGGAGCCTCCACGTCTGCTCTCAATTACACGTATGGCTAACCACCCGATCCTCAGGGGCTTGCAAGATCCTTATACCGTAATGCGTCAATTGTCATCTTGGATGATGTTTTGAGTGCCTTGGATACCTCGACAGCTGCGGCTGTTTTCAGTCGGCTATTCGGACCAGGTGGCTTTCTTCGTCGCCGTGGCACTACTGTCATCATGACAACAAACAGACGTGCGTTGCCCGCTATATAATTAGCCACTTATAATAACAAGTGCTACAGTGAATTTTCTTCCGGCAGCAGACATTGTCCTCGAGATGAAGGGTGACGGTACTATCGACGAGCGACGCGGGGCGGACATGCCTTTGCTTGCAGAGTTTGCGCCCTCTTCTGCGGCTTCCGCATCTACAGATACATGTGAAAGTGAGAAAAAAGTTGAGCCTATCAAGTCCACAACTACATCACCGGGTACCAATGTGGACAAGATGAGACGAAATGGCGATGTTTCCCTCTACGCCTACTTGTTTCGCTCAGCCGGACCGTTGTTGATGTCCTTGTGGATTTTGGGTACTGCAGTTGCTTCTGTGGCCGAGAAAATGCCAAGTAAGTTGTTTCTTCTACTTTTATGCGTTAATATTACGGCGAGGTAGGCTAATCGATGGCAAGAAATCTTCATCAAGATTTGGTATAGCAACGATCCCGACAACGACACCTACTTTGTCGGGTTCGCAATGACGGCCCTTGCAAACATATTGCTCACTGCAATAACGACACTATTCTATTTTATCATGATTGTTCCGAATCTGTCCAACGAGCTCCACTGGAGACTTTTAAATGCTACCGTCAAATCTACTTTATCCTGGATTACACAGACCGACACTGGCACTTCGCTCAACAGGTTTAGCCAAGACATCTCCATCATTTCTCAGCAACTGCCCATTGCACTTCTTCAGTTTTTGTTTATCCTCTGCAACACGCTAGTTGATGTAGGCATTTTTGCTGCCGGTGCAAAATACGCTGCGCCGATTGTGCTCATGCTTCTGGTTGCTCTCTACGGCGTCCAGTACTTCTACCTGCGCACTTCGCGTCAGCTCCGGCTACTCGATCTGGAGACCTCGGCGCCGCTCTTGACGCACTTCAAAGAAGCCTCGGCGGGAATGCAGCATCTGAGAGCTTTTCGTTGGCAAGAAACATTCATGAAAGAGTGTTGCAGACTAGTGGACCGCATGCAGAAGCCATACTACGCCCTGTTGTCTGTGCAGCAGTGGCTTGCGCTCGTTCTAGATATCAGCACTTGCTTCATCGCCACGATTCTCATTGCGGTGTCTACTACACTACCAAACTCTACTTCGGACACCTCAGTCGGCCTCGCCTTGATCAACTTGATCTCGTTTAGCATTATGACGTCTGCTCTAATTAGAGTATGGGTTGCTTTGGAGACGTGTCTGGGCGGCTTGGCCCGTATAAGAACTTTTTGCGCGACTACACCGCAAGAGACAGACGGGCCCAGCTGCTCCCCTGTTCCGGAGCAATGGCCCTCGAGCGGCAGAATTGAGATTGAATCGATCAGTGCGAGCTATACGTAAGAACAGACAGAATCTCGTAGGCCCAACCTTGCATCAGCTAATCAGCATCCAGGTACGAAGATGGCACCTTGCACCAGGCACTAGACAATGCCAGCGTCGTGATCGAACATGGTGAAAAAGCAGGCATGTCAGGTCGCACAGGAAGGTATGTTCAATCCCGCCTAATGCAGCCCTCTGCGGATAGTCGTTGAATGCTGCGTTTAACTGACCGAATGACTACAGTGGCAAGTCGTCGCTCTTCCTCGCGCTACTACACATGATTGAATGCACTGGCGGCACCATTCGGATCGACGGTCGCGATATAACCACAATACCCAGAGAAGTCCTCAGATCGCGTATCACAGTTCTCACTCAAGATGGTGTTGAAGTAGAGCACAGTGTCCGTTTCAACATGTACCCATTTGATGACCACCAGCCAACTGACGAATTGATCCTCGAAACATTGGATCTGGTCGGGCTGAGCGAGCAGGTACAATCTCAAGGGGGAGTTGAGGTGGCTATGGCGAGTATGCAATTCTCGCCCGGCCAGAAGCAGCTTTTCTTCGTTGCAAGAGGCATCCTGCACCACAAAAGCGTGGGCTCCAAGATCGTCATGATGGACGAGGCGACTAGTTCCATGGACTACGGCGTCGATCGGCAGATCCAGAAGCTGATAGATGAGCAGCTCACGAACTGCACGATTGTTCTGATTGCGCATCGCCTGCACTCTTTGGACAATGCAGACGTCGTGGTGAAACTCGAGGCTGGCAAAGTTGTCGAGGTAGCAAGACGTTGCCGGACCACGACAACTGAGGACGCATAATGCGCTCGCTTGCGGAGCTGGCCGGGTTTAATCAAACGTCTAAGGCTATTGGAGTAGTCGTAGTTTTGTAGGATGTGGCGATCTAAAAAGAAAATATAGAGTTGGGGCGCAGGACTGAGGACTCTGGTTTGAGCTGGTGAGTAGATGCAGCTGGCAACCAACAACAAGAAGGAGGTAAAGATCGGAAAATTAGTCATGGCGCTGAACAAAACTTGTTTGCCTGTTCACGGTCAAGATTGACTATCTGATGACGGTCGCACAATATAATGATGTACGTATAATAGAAACGACGAGGCCAGGCTCAGCACCCGCGTGCTTGATCGACCAAGACCCGATAATGCTGGAGGAGGAATTGCGGTCATAAATAACGAACTATTCACTATTGGTCCAAGATCACGGAAATTAGCTGCATTTTCCCGATAATTGACTAACCCGTCTGCATGTTTGCGGGGCAGAGACAAACAAATGCCATCGCGACACAATAGTACTGCAAACGGCGGACGCTGTACAGCCAGCCTAAAGCCTCAACGCCACGATTATGAGCAGACCGAGTCATCCGTGAAAGAAGTTGCTACGTATCGGCCCATACTAAGGGAATCCTAGGATATTTAGCCCGATGTGACTACGCAAATCTGGTTCTTCAGGCTGTGAGACCCTTTGTACAGCGTCATGCTCAAGTAGCACTGTTGTTTGCGCTCCACCCTGCTGACCCCTCCGCACATGCAGGTGTCCAACAAGCAGACCAGCCTTTGTCAACTTGCGATTTCTCACCTTTTCATCTTCGAATCGTTGATTAGGCACCCATTTCGGTAACAGACGGCTCTCTTCAAGATCATCGTGCGACCGCGGCCGAATACTAGAATCCAATCATGCGCTCTGCCGCCGAGGCCAAGGGCTACCGCCCTGTCGACGCTGCCGACGAGACTGGCGACTGGGACGCCGATCTGACTCGTCGCGAGGCGCGGCTGGCGCAAAGAGAGAAGCGTTGTCGGGCCATACTCTTTGGCAACGCCCTCGTATTTTTCCTGTCGCTGTGCTTTCTCGCCATGGCTCGTCTCTCCAAGCCCTCGCTGCTTGAGTGCGACAAGATGACCTCGCCGTACTGTGAGTGTGTTGGGCCCTGGATGGCCGCGTCGTGGCGTTCGCCTGCACAACCTGAAACCGCCGGATAGAAATTGCTAATGATGTGAAAAAAATAGCACCGGTTTTCAACGGAGGCGTCAAGCACTGGGAGGGCGACTTTGAAAACACGTTTAATCAGACGTCAAAGTATAGAGGGCCGCCGACGCTCGAACTTGAGAATGCTTGGGAGGAACTTTGGTATCGTGCGTGCCAATTTATACTCAGCCAGCGCTGCATATCTGCTAACTGTATGTCTTGCAGAGCCTGGTGTTGGCCTCACCCTTGACGACATCGCCAAGCTCAACAAGACCCGTGCCGGCGTCAGCTTTACCGAAATCGAAGGCAGCGATCCCAAGAACCCGACCTACGCCAGCACCCTCGAAGTCTTTCACCAGCTTCATTGTCTCGTAAGCCGCCGCCGCTGCCCTTTTTTTTTCTACTTTCTGCCATCTGCTGCCATGAAGCTGACTCTCTCTTTTCTCTCGCCTTACCAGAGCCTCATCCGCCAAGCGACCTGGCCGTTGCGCATGTTCAACGAGAGCTGGCATTCGTACCCGTGGTTTCTGACTGACGAGCTGGGTGGCCGCATGCACGTCGACCACTGCCTCGAGTCCCTGCGTCTCAGTCTCATGTGCTACGCCGACGTTACGCCCGTCCTGGCAGAGAATAACCCAATGCGGCCCACGGGCCTGCAGCTCGACTTCAACGTCCACCACAAGTGCCGCAACTACGACAAGTTGCTCGAGCATGTGCAGGCTCACGGCGTTGATGTGCCGGCTGAGTAAGACATTGGAAGGGGGAGTCCAGAAATCTGAGAATTGCAGCTCGATCTGAATTTTTTTGAATAGCACATGAAAATTTGAATAACGATTTGATGACCTTATAACCATGAGCAGACTCAAGAACCGCGTGCAAAGTAACATTACAAGCATCACGCAGTGAATAATAGTCTAGATCCAAGAAGACCGGGCAGAAAAGCGACGGGTATCGATAATCAATGGTCCTACTCGGCATCAATGCTCATCTCATCTACTTGCGGGGAAATCGCTTAAAAGGTGCCACCTCCCCGCATCATGATCCCGACGCCTAAAACCGGGACCGTCTTTTCATCAGACAAGCAGGTTTCTCAAGCAGGTTTCTGTGCATTGTCAACTTGCCGATCATTCTGCAAGACTACCAGTAATTAGAACAATTATCAAATCATGTACGAATTCCCCGCACTCCAACTGCGACTGGGATGCATCGTTTCATCGGACTAGCTTCCTGTGGAGCAGCGGCCAAGCAATAGCCTGCAATCATTTAGCCGACGGCAGTGCGCAACCAGCGTCGTATCGCAGCACTATGATAAGGATAGCCTGTGTAAGGTCAACGGATTGACTTTGCCTGTGCGGCTTTGACTATTTAAAGTCTGCATTGCCTCGTATTCTTTCTCTCGCAGACACTCATTGTTAAATAACAATAGTCGCTACGATGCTTTGGCTCGCTAGCATCGCCGTGGCGGCGTCGGTGGCGTCAGCCCTGCCAAGCACAGACGAGACAGATAGTATTTGGTTCAGTCAGTTGCTCGTTTCTCAGCTTATTGCGAGACGATATTTTTGTGTGCTAATGATAAATTTCTAGGCAACAACGCGCCTACCATAAGCATCGTCAGTCCCAATCTCACCACCAAGTGGTTCGACGGCAGCGACTTTGTCCAGGTCGTGGAGCTATTCGTGTACAACACGCACAAGACCCGATTCCTCACCAAAAGCCACAACCTCAGTCTGACAATCGACTCTGCGTCGCTCGACACCGTCCTGCCTGGCACCGTCAAGCGGCTGGCGCCAGGCCAGCGGGCGCTGGTGCAGGTCGGCGTCAAGAACAAGGCCGGCGTCAAAGCCGGCGCGCCCTGCCGCGGCAAAGCAAAGGCCACTGCTGCTGGCTCGCAGACGGCGGCATCGGCTGATTTGGCTGGTTCCTGCGGCATTGGCGACTTTACCAATACGGCCGAGAGTTTGCTGACGCATCGCACGCCTGACTGGTTCGACAGGAGCAAGTACGGCATCTTCATCCACTGGGGGCTGTATTCTGTGCCGGCGTACGGCAGCACGGGAAAGAATGAGAATTACGCCGAGTGGTGAGTATCCTCGTTTGAATTTTGTAGGTTAAAAAAAAACAAAAAGGGTGGCTGTTGATGTTGCTCGCAGGTACTGGAAGTGGCAGCACAACCCCAATGATAAGACCAGGACGTATCAATATCACCTCGAGACGTACGGCAAAGACGTCAACTATGACGACTTTGCCGCCAACTTTTCGGGCAAAAGCTTTGACCCCAAGGAATGGGTCGACCTCTTTGCTGATGCTGGCGCCCAATACTTTGTTCCCACCACCAGTACGCTTCCCCCTTAGCCCTTCCACCCCCTCTCGTCTCGTATAGCTCTCTCTCTAACATGATAATGCCAAGAACACCACGACGGCTTCGCCATCTTCAACTTTTCCACCTCCATCAGCCGCCGCTCCACCGTTCACTACGGCCCGCGGCGGGACTTTCTCGCCGAGCTCTTTGCCGCCGCCAAGCAGCACCAGCCCCATTTGCGCCGCGGCACCTACTTTAGCCTGCCCGAGTGGTACAACCCGAGCTACAAGAACGGCGGCGGCAGCTTCGCAGGCGGTCCGCCGACGAACCCTTACACGGGGAAGACGCTCGACTACACGGGATATGTAGAGGTGGACGACTTTGTGGCTGATGTGCAGGCGCCGCAGATGGAAGCCCTCGCGTACGCATACGACACGGAGATGCTGTGGTGCGACATTGGCGGGCCGAACAAATCGGCCGACGTCATGTCAAAGTGGATTAACTGGGCGCGGAAGCAGGGTCGGCAGGTGTCGTACAATTCGCGCTGCGGTCTCAAAGGTGACTATGACACGCCAGAGTATGTCTGCCGCCCCTCGTTAACTACCCGCTAGAGCAAAACGAACGTTTTTTTTTAATACATTCGGTTTTGTGGGCTGACTATTTTCTGACAAAACAGATATGATCCCAACCCAAAGCATCCTTTTGATAGAAAGTGGGAATCCAGCCGCGGCATGGATCCGTATTCGTACGGCTACAACCACGTCACCCCCGACGACCAGTACATGACGGGCGAGGAGATTGTCAAGACGCTCATCGACATTGTCGCCAACAATGGCAATTTCTTGCTCGACATTGGTCCAGCAGGCGACGGCTCCATACCGGCCATTATGCAAAAGGGCCTGCGGGACGCGGGCGCCTGGATCCGCGGCCACAACGAAGCCATTTTCAACACGACGTACTGGTCCGTGACGGCCGGCGCGGACCCGCTGCGGTACACGGCGACGGCGGATGCATTTTACATTCACCATGTGGGAAAGCCGGGAGGGGTGGTGGACATACCGGATCCGGTGCCGTACTTGCCGGGGGATCGCGTCAAAGTGGTCGGGGGCACGGCGGATGGGAGTGAGATTCGGACGAAGTGGACAGGGCCGGGGACGCTGCGGCTGGTGCTGCCGGACAAGGTGGTGGAGGGAGACCGGTACGTGTGGACATTTAAAATTGAGTACGTGCGATGAGTGGAAAACAATTGATGGGGAGACTTTCCATCATGATGACAGGGTAAAATTTCTGAATAAGACGATTTTATTGATTGCTTCTTGGCTTCTAGAGGGGGCGTGGTTCGTATATACAAGCATGTAAGCCAAGCAAGCTACAGACCAGCGAAGCTGCGCCACGAACCGCAGTCATACTTGCTACATGAAGAGCGAAATGCACATCATTCCAAGTCAACCTACCAAGTGGCAGCACTTTTGAAGCATGTTCACAACAGAAAGAAGAAATTTGTTCCCCCAGGCTTGGCGGTCCAGTCATGAAGTGCGGGGTTGACTATGAGTCAACCGCCCCAAATAGGCAAAAGTTGGTACTATACAGAGTGACTCACCACTACTTGCATACTTACAGGGCCTCGATGTACTTTTCTATTAGTGATTACCCGCGGCACACAGCAGCGAGCTCTGACGTTAGTAAAATCCATTTTGTAGCTGGGAATTTTAGTGTGAGGTCGGTCCACTAGAAATGTAAGCCAAAAAAGAAAAAAAGAAAAACGAAAGGTATATGAAGGCACGACGCCGTGGCATCGTATCAGGTAATTCAATCACGAGCTACACAGGCCAATTGCCCCCCAACCCCTCATTTCTTGTTATCAATATTACGTTCCTTACGAATTTCATCATGACGGGAAGCTCGAGCAACGGTGTGAGCTCGTGCGGCGTCTGTAGTCTTACCTTTGATCATGTCAGCGCATTTCGTTTACACGCCAAATCACCAGAACAGTACGTTGAGTCAACAAGTCTTGTAATGCCAGCCATACTGACAGTCATAGCGTCGCCAATCTCCGACAAAGAGCTGCACAGTCTGGCGCTGAAATACGCACCGGGACTGATTCCGATTCGGATAGCAGCAGTCTTCCCTACCTGACACCGAGCGACTCCGACAGCGACTCCGACGCCGACTCGGAACCAGGCAGCCCCTCAGACGCAACCCCGAGGTTCGTCGCGGAGCAGTGTCTGTTTTGCGACGTGCAGTCTGCCGACCTTGACGCGAGCCTGATCCACATGGCGAGCACACACAGCTTCGTGGTGCCGTACCAGTCGTCGCTGGTAGTCGACGTGGCGACGCTGATATGGTACCTGCACCTCGTCATCTACACGTACCACGAATGTGTCGCGTGCGGCAGCCGACGACGGTCGGCGACGGCGGCGCAGCAGCACATGCAGAGCAAGAGTCACTGCCGCTTCGACATGGCCAGCCCCGAGATGCGCGAGTTTTACGACGTGTCGGCGCTAGACGGGCGGGTGGTGGTGTCGGAGCTCGCGCGGCAAGACGAGGGTACAATCCGGCTTGCGTCTGGGAAGCTCATCTCGCAGCGCGGTAGTAGCGGGTTGAGCACTGGTGCGGGCGGCAGCAGCAGTCGTAGGGGATTGGCGCGAGAGGAGACGGAGAGTGTCGAGGAGGTGAACAGTGCAGGAGATGCGGAGCTGGCGGTGCGCAGCGGCGATGAGCAGCGGCAATTGGTGCTGGACGGCGCGGAGAGGAACATGTCAAGGCAGATGGCGCAGCTGAGCGTGCGCGACCAGCAGGCGTTGGCGCATCTTCAGCCGCATGAGCAGCGCAGGGAGCTCACTCTGCGGAAGAAACAGGCTGATCGGGCGCGGCGGGCAGAGTGGCGAGCACAGACGGCGCTGGGGCGCAAGGGGAACAGGACGCTGATGAAGACTTATAAGACGCAGGGTCCGGAGCGGCCGCTCGGTTGAAAGGGAGACGTGCTGGTAACAATCTTCTTGTGTGCGTGTGTAAAATTTGCTGCAAAGAATTGGAAAATTATAGCAGAGCGGCTTCGGCTGTATAGGTTCTGGAATGAATGAGGATACAGCCCAAGTATTGGTATGAACGTATTCCGACTGTCAGTGCTTGGCTTGTGATTGATGGCCGGGGCTGTGATGTGTACTGGATAGTGCAGGTGTAGGTCATGTGGAGCAGCGGCTCGGCAGAGGCAGGGGCGCCGCGGGGCGGTATAGAGAAACAGCTGCAAAGGGATTCGGTAATAATGCACGAGGGTTATGAACAAAAATGAACAAGAAAACCTCAAGTAGCGCCGTCATTTTTTTTCCCTTGTTCACACAAGGTCAGATGAGCATGCAGCAATTAGCAGCTTGGCAGCCAATCTCGGTTAAGTGTGCGTGGATTTTCCGGCCGGCACGGCCGTGGCCATGAACCCACATGAAGCCGGAGTGGGCGCCGCCTCGGCTGCGACGAGGTCGGGTTTGTCAATTCTCTCTGTCGTGCGCTTGGGAAAGATGATGAATTAAATGACGGACAATTCCAGCGAGGCTGCGCAAGCTAAAATTCGGTGTATGAGGGTATATGACCGTGCTGAAACTGCAAATTGGCGTTGGTGGTTCGTGGAATCGGAGAGCGGCAGCAAAACTAATTGGTTCATGGATGAACAGCAGTAGCGCATCGTATTTGGAGCCGAGGCCATAGTTATTGTAAAGGTTTGCCAAGATGTCAAGGGCGAATGGTTTTCTGTGTGTAGTCTGCATGTTGCAGCTGTGTCGGACTAGGTGCTGGTGCTAGTGCTGGTGCTGATGCTGGGGTCTGAGTGTTATTTCGTCATGTGTGTCTAGGAAAGAGAGATCACTTGTCGATCAAGCAGCGTCCAGGACAAACGGTTTCACCGACGAAGAATGGCACCAAATGGCAGTCAGGCCTTACTAGTGTCTAGCAAATCTAGTTAGACAACTAGACGTTGATCTTTCGGGACATTTTGAGAGTTCAAAGGGCCGTGCAAACGGGAAGCGTGCATGAGGACAACTGGCGGCCCCCAAGGTTTCAATCAGCGGCAAGCGGGTAGAGCGTCGACAAGAGCAATCTCTACAGCTGCAGTCGGACAGAGGGCGAGACAACTGCAAGGAATAGTAGTGGCGGCGGCGGTGGCTTGCAGGAAAAGAGAGGCTTTGCCTGTCACGTATTGCCTTGGTGCGGGGGCGTGAAAAGCTGAGAGGAAGCGACGGGTCCGTCACCTTGGTCACGAGCCAGTCATCAGCGAGCTATTCAAGCTTGACCCGCTGGGCCGGAGGGGCCAAGGAGACTACGGCCGCTGCATTGAGGGCTACCTAGGTAAGTAGAGGAGCACACGAGGTGCGAATAGTACTGAACGACGACGAAAAGGCGTCGGGATGGTTGGCGAAAGGGTGTAAGACTGAGCAGAAAGCTGAAGAGAGCTGAAAAAAATCCAGTCAGATGAAGAGAGGTGTAAAAGGAAAACCTGCAAAAAAAAACCCCGCATCCCGTGCCAGACAGAGAGGTGCAGCCGGCCGCTGGTAACCAACGTATGAATGTATTAGGTAACTTCCTAGGCAGTTACAAGCAGAATAGTTAGTTTCAGCACCTTGTAAATAATCAAATGCTTGGCGCGGCGCCTGCTTGCAACTTTTCCGGCTTCTTGTGGCCAGGCCTCCATCCACGTCTTGCTAGCGTTCTTTTTTTTTTTCTTACGGCCAGTCTTGACCTCGTTTTGCTCGTCCACCTGCCGAGCCCGGCCTGGCCAGCCTCATCTCCACCAGACCAAACCAACGCTGGCAAACCCAATCCCAGCTTGAGCATATCCGACAATAGCTGCCCTCCAATACGGTTACCCTCAAACTATGCATCCCAATCTATTTACCACTAGCATACCGCTTCTCCTCTGAATTTCTATTTCCCCATCTCCAGTCTTTTTCACCTTTCATACCTTTATCCGCCGGCCCCTCCATCCCTTCAACTCATCTCTTGCCCCGAGACTCTTGCCCACACCTCGGAATACCTTCGCCGACTAAACGCTGCTGCGTCCAACACCACACACGCGATCCCGCATGGCCCTCCATCAATACCGCTGCAATTCTCCCATGGCGCCAATTTAGCTATTTCGACGCCCATTGCTCCCCTAGTCTTGATTTTCCGTCTCTTTTTTTCGAGAAAGCAAATTGGTTTTTGGGCGCGTGCAACTCGGTGGAAATAACGCCTTCACTCATCCCTGCCGCCCACTCCCCGTCAATTCGCTTCAGTCCTGCGCGACACACACACCGGGCCAAAAAATAGCCAAGACACACACGACCCAAGACACAACTTTTTGACGCATGACACACACACACATACACATCTCCCTCGCATCACGTCAATCCGACACTACCAGCTGAGCTCTAGTCTCGCCTGCGCATCGCCACCTGCGTATTGTCCGTCGCGCGCCAACGCCGTCGCCAAAAGTTACCGACTCGACACCGCCACGTGCTAATGGAAACCACTTGTCTTGCTCAATCAATCCCTCTAAGCTTCTTGCTTCAACGACAACCGGAACATCTTCCTCCAAAGCGACGTACGACCATCGCTCGATCCGTCCCCGACACCCGCTCTGCGTCGCACGCCTAGCCTCCATTGCCTGCCCATTGCCTTGTGGCTAGCCGAGTCGACACGTTGTACAGCAGCTCCTCTTCTGCTGCATCTGTGCGAGCAAGTCAATCGGCCTTGCTCCATTTTAGACTCGCCTGCAGGTAATACGCACTGACAACGTCAATACTCTCGGTACCTGCGTAATTGCTTCTCTCGCTCTCCAACTCCCGAGTCAAAGCTGCGCATTGTGGACCTCGCGACTCCGGCAACCACGCTTGCGACCAACGGGACCAAACTGGCCCTCCGACTCGATCGAGCGACAACGGTCTCGGTTCCCATACCAGCCGACACCACAATTCTTCACCGAGCCCGGCTACCTTTGTGTTACCCACGTCTATCGCACTGCGCAAACGCCACCTGCAGCTGCGTCACTAGCTACCTTGCTTCTTCCGTAATTCATCCTTGCATCTCCACGGAGCGCGTCAGCTTCACCATTCTAGCTATTCTTCTCCACGCGAACGAACCTTCTTCTTGTGTAGCCCAATTGCCTTGTTAAACAGCCAACATGCCCGACGACGTCGACGACTCGACGGCCGACCTCTCGGACCACATGTCCGACATCGAGGAAGATGGCGATATCAAAATGGCAGACAAGTCTGACGACAACACAAATGGCGAAACCAAGAAAAAATACGACCCCAAGGATCCTTCAAGGCCCAGGCGCAAAAAGGCCAGGCGAGCCTGCTTTGCCTGCCAGCGAGCACACTTGACGTGCGGTATGTATTCAACTCAGCGCTCACTCTACTCATGCGACATCAAGCTCGAATCTAATGGGTGACTTTCAGGTGACGAACGCCCTTGTCAACGCTGTATCAAACGCGGTCTCGCAGACGCTTGCCAAGACGGCGTGCGCAAGAAAGCCAAATACCTCCACGATGCGCCTCCCGAAGCGCTGCGGCCCGTGCTAGGGCCAAATTACAACCCAAGTTCGGGGACAACCAATGAAAACAATGGTAATAAACAAAACCCGGCAGCTTCGGACGCGGCTCTCTCAACTCCAGGAAGCGCCTTCATATCTGCCAGCACCGCTTCTTATCCCGTATACCCGTCTACTACCCAGGCCGGTGTGGGACTGTCTCCCAACCTTGGTTTTAACTCACAGTCAACAGCGGCGTCAGATCCCTTCACAGGCGCCAATGCGCAGTCCCAAATTGGTGGCATGTTGGGTGGGAATACAATGGATTTCAATGCCCTGTTCGACCCGAGCAATCCTGCTCTGTACAACTTTGATCTAGAGGGCCTCAACTTTGGCAGTCAGTACGCTGGCTGGGAGTTTGGCATCCTCAACAAAATGGGGATGGGTGCGGAGCCGCAATCTCGAGAAAACTCAATGTCACAGTCGACTGATCCGGCATACGCATCTCTCTTTGCAAATGGCAATGGTGCCACCATGCTGAGTGGTGAATACGCCGGCGCGGATTCCGCCGTCAACATGTACACGCAAGGCAATCTACAACACGGATTACCGCACGCTTACGCCATCGCAGCGGCACCACAGTCGTTGGCCAGTCCCAGCACGGACGCGACGACAAGTCCGCAGCCAATCAACAATGCCGAAGGATCTCCAAAATCCAACAGCTTTGCGGTGCAAAACGCCCACAGCTCACGTATCAAGACAAAACCGGACAAGGTGGCTCAAATTCTTGGCAAGCGACAGCGCGACTCGGCCGGCATCTACTCGGCCGTCAAGGAGCCGTACCCTTACACCAAGGGCTTCCATAACATGGTGCAAATGCTGCGTGACCGATTACCGCACAGCAAGGTCATCAAGGTTGCGCGGTCACTGGCCGAGATCCGCCCCTCCTTCATCGCGTGCACAAAGGACCTCACCAGGGAAGACTTGGTGTTTATGGAAAAGTGCTTCCAGCGCACGCTTGTCGAGTTTCACGACTTTCTGCAGCATTGCTGCGCGCCGACGATAGTGTGCCGCCGCTCCGGCGAGGTCGCGGCCGTTAACAAGGAATTCACGGCACTGACGGGCTGGACCAAGGACGTATTGCTCGGCAAGGAGCGCAATTACAACGTTTATAGCCGTTCCGCGTCTACGGAAGGCGGCGAGGTCGTAGGCCCGGTGCCGCGGAGCAAGAAGACAGGTGAGGCCCAGCAACCCGTATTCCTCGCGGAACTGCTCGACGACGACAGCGTCGTCGACTTTTACCACGACTTTGGCCAGCTAGCCTTTGAGGACTCGCGCGGCAAGGTCCAGCGCAGCTGTCGCCTGATGAAGTACCGCACCGGCGCCGGGGATGAAAGCGGCGATGGCAAGACGCTGGCGGCGACGAATGGTGGCACAAAGATGGCGGGCGGGAGTATATTGAGTAGTCGCGTGACCAAGATTGACGGCGAGCACGGCATTTCGCGCATCGAAAAGGATGGCAAGGTGGACTGCACGTATTGCTGGACAATAAAGCGGGACGTGTTTGACATTCCAATGATGATTATTATCAACGTACGTTTAATAGCACGAACAGAGGCAAAGCTTGTTACTAACGATGGGTTTAGTTTTTGCCGCGATATTATCCAAACCAAGAACCCCATCAGCTTGCAGTATGAGCGCTGACGGTCACGTTTGGTGGAGGTATGATGTACCTGGATTACCATTGCATGGGAGGTGTTTATAGTGGTTATTTTCTTTTTTTTTCGGTTTTTGGGGGTTCGTTTTGGGTTTTGTTTGGATTAGTTCTGCATTGATTTACAAATACTGGGAGGGTACCTTGTTATATCATCTCGTATCGATTTGGGGTAGAGAAGTGTAGAGGTCCAGCAATGAGGCCGTGATACCCTCGGCGGCGAGGTCGCTGAACAATTGGACAAGTAAAAGCTTCATTGTGCGTTGTGCGTTGTGCGTTGTGTGTTGTGTTTTGTGTGTGTTCTAATTTTCGGTCATTTTTGACAAGAGAATAAAATGACGCACTGCAGGCTCGATGAACGCTTATATTATACTCGTGTTCTGAACACATGCTTTTGTCTACCTCGTTGCAAACTCGGGCCAATTTCACTCATTCTCAGACACCTGGCCATCCCAATTCCCACTGCTCTCTCCCTACCTATATAACCACATATCTCATCCTATTCCGTACTCTACAGTTCCTTTGTCAACCACTCGCCCCCTTCCAGCGTCCCATACGCCCATCCCTCCCTCTCCAAGCTTTTCCTCGCCACCTCGCAGTCAAAATTAATATCCTCAATGAGCGCCTCCAAGCTCTTGTAATCCTTTTCCTCGCGAATAAAGCCCGTAATCAGCAGCCTCATGTGGGCGTCGTAAAAGTCCTGCGAAAACTTGTGCAGCACGTGGACTTCGGCGCTACGCACCGTGTTTTTGTAAAACGGGTTGTAGCCAATGGACATGACCATGGGAAAGACGGAAAAGGTGGAGGAGGAAGAAGAAGAAGAAGCAGAAGAGGGGTTGTGGTCCGGGTGAGAGGCGGGGAGGGAGAGGGAGGCATAGCCAAAGTAGACGCCAGAGGTGACGTCGCCTATCCAGGGCGTGAGGGTGGCGTCTACGGGGAGGTTGGCGGTGGGAATGCCGAGCTAGCGGGTTGTTTTTTTTTTTTAGTATGTGATGAGTGAGGAATCAGGAGGAAGAGGAGGGGTAGAAGGGAATGGAGAGAGAGAGACGAACCTCTTTGGAGCCGCGACCAAAGCCAGAGATGACTTTGCCCTCCATCCGCAGAGGGTACGGCGGTTCAGGGCCAGCATCCACGCCGACAATCGCTGGTCTCTCCGACATGATGCCGAGGCGTCTGTGAGGCGAGTCGACAAGGGCAGCTCCGAGTTTATTGCGCTCTCAAAGACAAGTCTAGAGGCGAAAACTATCTTCTAGTGCCTTGAGAAAGTAGCTGGAACCGCGTGAGACTAAGGAAGGAGTGTAAAGGTTGGTAAACAAGGAAAATGCCGTAGTTTTGCGTGCGGTTGGCAGAAAAGGCGCCTGTGAGGCTGGCTGCAGTGTGGGCGGGACAGCGCGGGGTGGGTAGGCGAGTTTTCGCTGATAGTGGGAGAACTTGAGTCACTCCGGCTGGTGGGGTACAGGGTAGGCTGCGGGACGGGCGAGAATTGCGTCAGTTGTAAGTTAGCATCACATGCGGCAAGACGTTGCAGTCGCAGTCGCAGGGCATTAAGGGTGATGGCATGGCCTGAGATGACCAGGTTTGATGTAGTTAATCTTTTTTGAAAAAGTTTAACCAGAATGCAGTGTTGCGAGCGACTGTTTGGTTGTGAATCCATGTAATCAAGGACGTGCACCAGATTTGATTTATAAGCGCTTCAATGATAACGGTTTACAAAGCATTATGAAAAGTGTCATTCTGGTATCATTAAAAACAATTCCTCAATCAATCCCATAGCAATTTCATTACCACATTCCCCACGCATACACCCCATGTTGCCCCCAAAACCCGCCCTTGCGAAGCCGCCATCATTCTCACAGCCTACGCAGCAGTCTTATCCGCTTCCTTCCACTCCGTCCTGCCCAGCCTTATAATATCACTCGCCTCCACCACCCAATACTTGCTCGGTGCCTTGCCCTCCTCCGCAAGCTGCGCAGCCCTCACCGCCGCCTTTGCAATCACATCCGCGTCCTGCCCGATAAAGTCCCTGGCCGCCCCGCTCACCTTGCCCAGGCCGCTTGTCAAGCTCTGGAGCCAGCTCTCCGCCGTGCGGCTCTCCTCGCGCTGTCCCAGAATCAAACCCGGCTTGAGAATAATACCATGCTCGAAATCTAGCTCCTTGATGGCGTCCTCGACGCCATTCTTCATCTTGCTGTATGGCACGCTGCTCGACAGCAGCCCGCGCGTGCCACCGCCAGAGATGAAGACAAAGGTCTTGGCACCGGCGGCTTTGGCGGCGCGCGCGAGCTCAATGTTGAGGTCGTGGTCGATTTTCCACTGGTTGGCGAGGCTGCCGGCGGCGGCGCGGGTGGTGCCGAGGGCGGAGAAGACGGTGGTGGCGGGCGAGGGGGAGAGCGAGGACAGGAGAGAGGCCCATTGGGTGGTGTCGGTGTTGACAATGGCGTTGAGGGCAGGAGAGGAGGCAGAGGATGCGGGACGAGGGCGCCGGGTGATGGTGGTGACGGGGCGGTGGCTGTCGCTGGCGAGGACGGTCGAGAGGATGTGCGAGCCGACGAGGCCGGTGGAGCCGATGATGGCAGCAGAGGACATTATTGGCGGTTGTTGATGTATGGTATCGATGGTTGTAGATGGATTTTCGTAGTTGAGGATGAGATTTGATGGGATGAAAGGGGGAAAGAAAAGATAGGTGGGCAGACGAAGAAACGTTCTCAAAAAAAAAAACGTTCAAGGTTGCGCGGAGTGCGGAGCGGATTTCATCATCACTGGCCACCAAAAGCTCTGGGAGCTTGGGACCTGGGGGGGAGCTTCAGCGGCCGATTCGACCCAGCCCCGATGGGAACCCGCTAGTTTAAATCGGGTGGCCGCTGCTGCCGCTGTTGCGCGCAGGGGTTTTTCTTTTCAGTGGTTCACTCCACCCCACTCCAAGTCTAAGGCGGGCGGGCGGGATGCAGACGTAACTGCGTCTCTGCCTTGTCTTTGCAAAGCAAGCATCTTGTTGTAAATTTGGCATTGCGCATTGCGACTGGCGCCTGAATTCACGTCCTTTTCTCCCTCTCAAATCCTCGTGCTTCTTCTCGTCGACGCTTTTCTTTTCTTCCTGGCCTCAGCTCACACATTCGTCTGCACCACCATGGCAACCCAATACGAAGGTCCGTCTTTCCCCCCCTCCATCGCCCACCACCCTCTGACTACACTCGCGCGCTCACAAAAAATCCCCTTCAGTCGAGCACAATGTGCAATTCTCCGAGCCCCGTCGCGGCCGCCGCGTCGACATGGCCTCCTTCTTCTCGCTCCTCAACCGCGTCGCCGAAACGCCCGCCGGCGCCGCCACCCCTGCCCACAACCCGCACGCCACGCCCACGCCCGCCGACACGGCCGACCTTTTCCGCATGCTGCAGGACCAGCTCCTCACGCTGCACACCACTGCGCCCACCGCCGACAACCGGTCCTTTCTCGAGCAGCTGATATCGACGCTCGACGGCGAAATTCAGGACCCACCGACGTCGCTCAAAGGCGTGTCGCAAGAGTTTGTGGATAGTCTGGACCGCGTGAGCCGCAAGACGCTCGATCAAGAGGACGATTGCGCCATTTGCAAGATTCCGTACCTGGAGGACGAGTGGTGTCTGGTGGTGGAGCTTCCCTGCAAAGGGCGGCATCAGTTTGATTTAGAGTGCGTAGGGCCCTGGCTGCGCAGCGTGGGGACGTGCCCGATGTGTAGAGAGGAAATGATTAAGAAGAAGGAGGTGCCAGTTGTGGAAGAAGATGACGAGGAGGATGGCGATATGATGTATGCATGAGATATGAGTGCGGGAGTGGCATATTAGCGTTGTTTGCTGTTGCGGTGCCAGCTGTGGTAGTCGAGATGTGGAAAGAATTCAATGGGCGTATTGGAGTTGGGCAATTCAAAGCATATGAAGCAGTACAGACATTTAGTTGCAGAAAGAGAGAGAGACAGAGAGAGAGAGAGAGAACACTCGCTTCGGTAGATTAAAACTGTATATAGCCTCGCATCAAATCGCTTTCGTAACACAAGCTAAGCGACAAACATGATCTTGGACTCTCTATTTTCCGCCCTTTTCAAGCGTGCTCATCTTCTTTACCACGCCATCTACTCTCTCCTTGAGCCCCTCTTCCTTGGCCGCGCACGACAGTTCCGACGACAGCTCGCCGAGGCGCTTCTTCCAAAACACCCAGCGGTCCTTGGACGGGCCCTTTCCAGGCACCTCGACCAGACTTCCCGTCTTGGTAATGTCGAGCTCCTGCTGGTTAAGCGTATTCGCGGCCGTCGACAGGCGATGGAGCTCGTCGCCAGCGTGCCAGAGCCACTCGCTGGCCGTGTTGAGATGCAGGTCGCGCGACGCCTCGGACGGGTGCTTCTCCTCGAGGCCAGCGCGCAGCTCCCACAGGCCGAGGTTGAACGACGACTGAATCCGTTGGCCGAGGATGCGCGCCGCAAACGAGTTGAGCGAGATCCATTTCTGCACCGCCGCGTGGTCCTCCTTGCCGTCGAGCTCCGGCTTGACTGTCGTCGTGTTAGTGCATTTTTTCTGTTTTTCATTTTGCCATAGTGCCGACTTACAGTTCCACGCATCTCTCAGCGCGGGGCCCAACATGGGCAGGTCCTTCCAGACAGACGTCTTGGCACCCCAAATCTCGACTTGGGCAGTGTCCTTTTTCTGCAGCGCCTGGATGACGGTGATGAGCTGGTGCAGGCGCTGATCTGTGGCGGGGATGGTGGCGACCGCCTTGAGCGTCACGTCCCAAAAGGTGTAGAGAAAATCCTCGGCGCCGTCGCTGTTGGCAGCGAGCGTGTTTTGAAAGAGCTGGTCAATCTTGTTGGCCGTGTCTTGGGCAGATGTGGCCTTGGTCAAGGATGCCGCGTCCTTGACTTGAGTGTCGATGATCTCGGCAATCTGCTTGGCGAGGTCGTCGCCGGTCGCGACCTCGGTAGATTTGAGAGGAGCCGTCGACATGGTGGAATGTGAGGTTTTGTGTAAAGAAAATGGTAGAGGTCGTGGAGGACAGAAGGGTTTCCGGCTCGATGGCAGCCACGGGATCGGAGCAGGTACCGGGACCAAGGGTGCTGGATGACGTCGATGGAGGGCGTGGCAGATGGTGTGAGTGTGAGTGGCGCGGGACGACGGCGAGTTTGATGATGGAATCAGCCAAGGGGGTGAATGCTGAGGCAGAGGGGCAGAGAGGCGGGGTTTTGCAGTCTTCATACAAGAAGAATGGACGAGAAAAAAAGTGTATTGAAGTGTCCGGGCGCGTTTGTAGCTTTTATCGAGACGGAACTTTGATTAGCCTGGTTGCCTGGCTGTGAGATGGACCAGCGGGCAACTAAATTATTACAAGCACCACCTTACGAGCCAGCATGACCCCTCATGACCCCTCATGCCCTCCTCTCTTTCGCCCGCTCGCGCGTGGCGGGCCATTTATTTTACCTTGTCAAACCTGTGCGCCTCACTGAAAGCCGATTCTGCAAGGCATGACAAGGAACCCTGCTCCTAATTGAGTAGGTGCCTGAGCAGTAGGCAAACCGCGTTGAAAAGGCCTCGTTGCAAGCTGGTGGACGTTTATACGTAGACGTCGATCATTTAGCGAACCCCTCCTTTTAGCAAGACCAATCACTAATCCAGCTTGCGCCACGATCTTTTGGCTTTCCAACGCCACTCTCGCTCACTAACGATCATTTCCCGTCCCATCCACCAGTCCGAGGCCGACGACGATTAACTAGGTGGTATTTATCCTGTGTGCGTGGTCTACCTATTGCCTACAAACTAGGCAGCATGGCGCAGCTCAACAAATATCCGATACGTCGATGACAATTTCTCCGACCTCCCGCTGCGCACAGCCACCTGCACCGCCAACAAAGTCAATTCTGCCAGACAATCAAATTGCTTCTCGCACACTTTCCCAACTGCAATACCTGGCCATTATTTGCATGCCATTCGACCTTTGGGGCTCTGCCACATCACCCTGACGGATTCCCGTTAAAGGCAAGCAGATTGACCGTGCCAACCGGGACACCAGTCAAGACACCCGACGTCGCAAGTTGTTGAATGCGCTTACACAGTGCCTCGGAGCCCGGAAACCCCTCCAGTCCCGCGATATACGCCCCGAGGCCCGTAATGTGAGCCGCAGCCATGCTCGTGCCCGAGAGCGTTTGCTGTTTACGCCGGTCAGCCATCTAATCTGCACGAATCCCCCCCCCCACGAAGAAGCCGGCCTCCATGACCAAACTCACCGTTGTGCCGTTTCGCCACGCAGACTTGATGCTCACCCCCGGCGCAAAAATGTCAATCACCGACCCGTAGTCTGAAAACGACGCGCGTGCGTCCCGCTCCGTGCTCGCCGCCACCGTGCACACTGTCGGCTCCGACGCTGGCGACGTCCTCCCCGCGTCGCCGTTGTTGCCGCCCGCCGCCGCCGCCACAAAGACGCCCGCGCGCACCAGCGCCCTCGCCGCGTCGTTGACGGCCTTGGAGTAGGACCCGCCGATGCTCAGATTCGCCATGGCGCCCCGCGGGCACGTCCGCGTCTTGGCGTCGCTGGCGATAAAGGCCATGCCCGCAATCACGTTGCTCAGCGTGCCGCTGCCGCTGTCGTCGAGCACCTTGACGCCGTAGAGACGCGTGCGCTTGGCGACGCCGTGCACCACGCCCCCGATGACGCCCGCCACGTGCGTGCCGTGGCCGTTGCCGTCGGTGTTGGTGCTGACAAATGATTTGATCTGCGCGGCGCGACCGCCGAATTCCTGCAAAAGAACATTTCAGAAAGAAGCGGCTTATCTGGGATGTGCACACATCTGGCGGGACAAGTATTCTCATACCGTGTGGTCGGGTGCAATTCCCGTGTCTAGAATGTACGAGCATGTTCCGGCCCCGGCAGAGCTGTCATAGGTATACGTGTTGTGTCCGGGCAGGCGGTGGGAAATACGTCCCAGGTTCCATCCAGCATTCGGCTGGTCAATGTAGCTAAATGGCTTCACAGTCATGTCGTGCTCAATGTACTCTACCTGCGTCGAGTCTGTTAGAAAGAAAAGCCATCTCGCCTTCGAATCCGTAAACGTACGTACACTGGGGCTGAGCCGCAAAAATGCCAACTCTGCTTTGTCCAGCGACGCTGCAAAGCCAGGGAACATGTTGCTATAGACATGCTCAGCCGCCGCGACATGTTTCAAAACGCTTTCGCTTGCAGTACGCAAGTGGCCATCAGACTTGAGCTTGACAATGTAGCGACCTGGTATGATTTCGCCCGCTGGTCTGAACAGGGGCGCGACGGTGGACTGCAGTTCTGCGGCTATGGCCAGGCCGGCCAAAACGGACATGATGGAAAATTTTACGCTCATGGCGGATGAGTTGCACTTTTACTATACAGAAACTGCACAATTTGCGCGAAAGAACCGACTCTTATACAAACAGCGCGGCGAGTCTACTTCTATACTCACTACGGCCACACTGTCTCATCTCACCACTCCAGCCACAATATCCTCTCATAAAGCCAAGAAGCATTGTCTTTTAGCCATTTAAGCCATGCTTCTTATTTGGACTTGCCTCCTTCCCCATTTCGCTTGGATTGCGGGGGATCCGTAGCATTGCATGACAGCTGAAGACACCCGTCAGCCACGGCGTTTTCACACCAGCACACAACGTCACCTTCTCTACTACCATCTCCTACAGCGGCCAAAAAGTTCAACATGCTCCTCCTATACTTTACGTTACTTGCTCTGCGCAATACTCATCTTCAGCCCTGAGTTGGCGCACCACGAGCATCCCGTTGGTGACCCCGCCTCTCAGCACAATCTATCAGCCGCGCCCTGCATCTTCCGAGTGCTGGCTCAAGGAGACGACGGCGGCACTGATGCGAATCTCGACTCTAAAAGATTGGCTCAGGACGGCAGAGATGTGATTTATGTCGTACAGCCTCGATGATGGCGGCACAGGTAGAGGGCACCCTGAGCGGGATACGCCTGGATTGCGGCGCAGAAGAAGTCATGCAAGGGTGATGATCTTGTTCGCCATATAATCGACGGGGGCTGCTGAAGTATTTTGAGGTGTAAACAAGCATAACTTGGTTTTTCTTGGCGGAGAGTCGTCTTGTGACAGCCTCGTCAATGTCTACTAGAGGGATCAATCAGTACGCTTCACCTGGTGCGATCCGCCGCCAACGATGCCTAGCTTCCATCATGAAGATGTGCTACATTCAAAGTCTCTTTTAGGCTTTTTTTTGCGTAGTGAGAGGCTAAAACAATTTGAGATTGGATTTTATGCTTCGACGTACAAACTAAAGGACATGATTGTCTCCTTGAAAACCTGACAACACCAAAAGTCCTGACTTTGCTATAAGTCGGGCCAATCGGCAAGATGTTGACTTTGGCTGTTGATTAGATTCTGTATAACGGGATGTACTTGTTTACGTTCTGTAGACCTGGAAAACACTTCGCCAAAGACACAAGCAACCCAGGTCTCGCCTTGCTCATGTCTCGCTACTCCGGAACTTAAAAAAAGTCAAGAGGCTGAGGCGTCACCTTGCTTTCTGGCTGGATCTATGCCTTTGGCATTGACGCAAGACCTCGCTGCACAGAAACAGTTCTGCTAGTAGCCCTGCATTCTATTTGCTCTCCTATTAAGCCGTCCACTTGCCTGTTGAATTAGCCTACTTGATATCTCACATGGCTCCTGTCTGTATACATGCACTTGGTGGAACTGTAAACAAGCCGCAACTGGCTCATCCAGTCTGTAAATATTATTTCGAACGATTGCAGACTATACACGTCAACATGACACACAACTAGGTCCAGCCTCCATCGACACGAATGCTCTGGTTCGTCATCCCCGAGCTGTCGTCCGCGCACAGCCACATGGCCGTCCGCGCAATCTCCGCCGGCACAATCAGCCTCTTAATCGCCTGACTGCCCAGGACCTGCTTCTCATACTCTGGCGTCATGACGTCGCGCAGCTCGCGCTCCGTCGCCACCGACCCGGGCATGATGCTATTCACGCGGATGCCCCTCGGACCGAGCTCGTGCGCCAGCGTACGCGTGAGCCCAACCACCGCCGCCTTCATCGTCGTGTACGGCAGGACGCCCGTCGCCGGCAACGCCCACGTGATGCTCCCCATGTTGACAACCGCCGCCGTGCCTGCTGCCTGCAGCAGACCCGGCAGCAGGGCCTGTGTGAGGAAAAATTGGTGACTGAGGTTGACGTCGACGGCCTTGGCCCACCACTCGGGCGTAATCTCTTCCGTCGGCTTCTTCATGGCGGCGGCGGCGCTGTTGATTAGACAGTCGATGCGCGGATAGTCGGCGAGGATCCGCGCAGCGACGGGTTGTAGCGAGGCAGATATGTCGGACACGTCGCAGTGGTGGTAGACGGGGGCGTGGGCGACGATGCCGCCGCCGAGGGCCGACACGCGGGCCGCGGTGGCCGCGGCGGCGTCGTCGTCAATGTCAAGAAAGATGACTTGCGCGCCCTGCACGGAAAAGTGCTCGACCATGGAGGCACCGATGCCCATGCTGCCGCCGGTGAGGACGACGACGCGGCCCTTGAGGCTGGGATACGAGGCGTAGCGGTGGTGGTCTGTCATGACGGGCACTCTTCAACTACGTCTGATGGTCTGATATCGGGTAGTAGGTTCAGTTGGCGAGACTGGGACAATGATTCTGTGATAAAGACGGGAATGAGAGAAAGACGGAGTAAGTGTCAGAGGTGTGAACATGCTCATCTTGTAGTTCGGCATACCTCTGGAAATGAGAGAAGGCGCGGGGTTGCTGCACAGGCGGCATCTTGTCCGCAACGACGGCGCAAAGAGGCTGCAGAATGATACGTTGCGCCTCTAAACTTGATGTTCTGGGAACGTAGAAAAGCCGTGGTGGCCCTGGGAGGTTGATACAAGCCAGAGATGACGTTTCAACGCATCAATAAATTTCTTGAAAAGGAATCAATCAAAGTACCTGGCCACGATTTACCAGGTCTCTGAATTCTCCCTCGTTGGACAAGTATGGATAGCCTGGTAAAGCTAGCCATGTAAGCGGCCGTAGCGATTTCGTCGCACTACTACGCCACACCAATGTCGACCGACATATGACGTAATTCTGTTTATAAACATGCAGGAAACTGTTCGAGTCCCTAGCCTGTGATGAGATGAAGCTCTTGAAATTGACCTTGGAAAATGGCTGCCAGCAGGCAGAACATGGACTCCCCCCCTTGGCTCTCACCGCACACCGCCTCAAAACGAACCAGTCGCCTAGCACCGATCGACCAAACTCATGCGAGGTAGAGTAGAATGGGAGCTAATCCTCTGCTCTCATTGTCGCAAGGGTCTGTTGGGCATGAATTCGACCCGAATTCTCCGACGTCAGGTCGTCTGGATGCAACATTGGACGAATCAAATAACCCACCAGTATGGGGAACCTGGGCTACCATGCCTGCTAAATCGGCGCAACTTTGGCCTGATTTGAAGACTTTGAAACGGCGGAGCCTCGCCATGACTGCACATCAAAATGACTGCTCATTCAATATGCTGTGACAATATTGGCCCTTTGCCATTATTTTGGCCATTTGCAGGCCGCAGCCATGACTGGCAGCATGAATGCCTGCAAAACACCGAGCACGTGCTCGCAACAATTGGACACGCATACAGTTGTCCGAATCTGTCTCCTTCGCCGTGCTTCTGGATCAAGTTTAATCATCCATATAGTTTCAAGTGAATGAGCTGATGTCTGTGTGACTGCATCATGCGGCGACATGACCATACGAGCTCGCCATGGCCCGGAGCAATCTGAGGCGCTTGACTCACGGGCACAGGACACGCGGGAAAAGTTCATTGAGAAGATTTCCTCTGCCATTCGTCAGAAAGAATATCTCAAAAGACGGTCAGAGGGTAAACATGAAGCAATGCTGGAAAGGCGGCTAAGGGTCGATCAGCTTACACGGCAAAGACGAAATATAGAAGCCTGTCCTGGATGAAACTGCAATCTGAACCTCGTGTTGTTGAAACGGGCGCTCACTTTCGCCCAAGCACGAGCCCCATCACGACCGCGCCGGAAAGAACTAATTTGGAAGGACCACCGAAGCATATCAGTACGGCTGCCAATCGCTATTGCTGTACGTCGGAGCTGGCATTGCTCTTCCGACCGCTTGTCTAGCGGTTCGGTTGTGTGCTAACAAGGCTGGGCGGGCGGTATTATTGCTCAGGGACCATGCCCGGAAAATATTGAAACAAGCCCACTGAGGAGCACTGCGGCGAGCACAGAGTCTGTAAAAATAGAACTCAAGTGCCGGCGCCGTCAAAGTTGCCGGCCGAGCAACCGCATGTCCTCTGGCGAATATGGCTCAGCTGGGGGCCTCTTTTGTCTCGGCATGGCATCGCGGAATCTCGCGCCTGGCACAGATGAGCATTGTCTTTTGGAAGCGCCACCACGAGCCTTGGCCCCATTGTATACAAAGTCGAATGCCCCCGTCAAGCTTGGTCACTTCAAGTCATCCCCGTCATTCTCAATTTCTGTCGCAGCTTCGATCGGCGGGCCTGACATACCGGGGCGGCTCGGTCGATGTTTTCCTGCGAGCCTGATTTCCCCTTCACGGATCCTAAAGGGAACGAGAAGAAAGAAAAAGGCAAACAATACGGGCATTCCGACGGTCGTCTGCAGCACACGAGGCTGCAGAGCTCACGTAATCTGGCCATGACCATTTGACTGAATGTATTTTCAAGGAGCGCGACCGGGGTCGGCGGCCTAGTCACATATTGTAAACCACTTGGCGATCGCATGCATACATGCATAGGATATGCGGCAGGCGGACACTGGTAAGAGACAATATATAAATATGTACAAGCGTAGTCTAGTCTCGTGCATGCGACGGCACGACGGAGTATAGCCTGGCCTTGTTAGTTGCTGTCGGTAGGCAGCCAGCAAACAAGGCGTGCGCCGTCAATGGTACTGAGTCAAGCCATGCTCAGACGGCAATCGTATTGATAGGATGCTGCCTGGAACGGGACTGAGAGAAGAGGAAGTGATTGTCACGCTCGGGCGTTGTAGCAGGCGAGAAGCATCACAACAACTATATGTCGCTATAAGACCACCGTCAGTATATTAGGACTGTGTCACATTGTTAATTTTAAAACAATTTCTATGGCGCCATTTGGGGATTTGGAAGTTGCCAGCCTGGTCCCTTGGCTAGACTTGCAGGGCGCAAATCACAGCCGTCGTCAACCTGTCGGAGCAACGGCAGTGCTGGCCCCTGCATGGTAGCTCAACTTGCTTGGTGACTCTGGCCGACAGTGGTAGGCACAATAGTAGTTGATAGCGTGTCTTTTATCCGTAATAAGTCGTGATCTTGAGTCGTGTTTGCGGTCAAGTCGGCTAGGTTCGGAGCCCGCTCCAGCGGGAATCGACCTTGACACGTGGTGCAACAGGGATAACGACACCGTACGTGTTGACGCTCCCCAAAGCAAAGCACTGGAGAGGGGTGGGCGGGCAATTTGAGGCAAACTAGCCGCACCGGGTTGACTCGCGCCAATGGTCGGTTGCACAGACCCTTCCCACTGCAGTTTGTGCATGGCAGAGACCAATGAGCATACGTCGCTGTCTGGGCTCAATTGTTCTGGAAGCCACGGAATGTTCGCGAGCGGAGCAAAGACAGCAAGACAACACAATGTTACTCATGGTGGCGCTCTCTGTTCTGGGCAAGGCTGCAGCAGGCCTGCAGGCGTCCCCATATTCACATCTCGTAGCCGCTGCTGAGAATCGCCCAATTGAAAAGCGCTTCTTTTGCTGGTGGGCGCTGATAAAGATGAGTCGGTCACTCGAGTTTTGGAAGGTAATCAGAAAGTCAAGGCGATGGCGGATGGCAGAAGCCGGCCACAAGCCAGCCAGGCAAGGTGAAAGGTATCAGTCTACTGGGATCAAGGTATTTGACACTGGGGGCGCAGTGCTGGTTCCGAGTTTGTTTGAATGGTTTGATGCACAACTGTCTCCCCGCGGCAAGTATTGACGCCTGCAAAAACACGCCACAGCTCCGGGGGCGAATAGATTGCGCAGGCGATGAAACTGTCGTAAGAATGCCATAGACGACGTGGTAGACGCATAATAGGCGTTAGGTGTTTAGCAGTCAAGAGAAGCTCTCGACGACATGCTGGTGGATTCTTGGTTGGCCAGTAGAATGGAGACACGGACGTCCCTTTTTCGACGTTGGACGTGGTCGGAGACCCCGGGCCCGCTGGCCACGCCGCGGCATGGTTGGCCCTGCACTAGTCCAATAAGATTTTGACGTACATGGATTGTGCCACAGAAAGGTTAAAGTTAATATTTGAAACAGCTGAGGCAGCCCAGGTAGCGTCGGTGTCTGGGACGACTCGGGCGAGACAGAGGTTGGCGGTGACAACCTATTTACAGGCTTGCGGTACAATATGCCGGGGTTTGATTCGCAATTGCACGCCGGAACAGACCAAGACTTTGCCGAGCAGCAAACAGAGCCCGACGTATGCAGCCCCTAGCAGTGCTAATTGAGAGATGATGACGCCAATAACGATGGGCGGGCTCGCAGTTTGCTTTTGGTATGGAGATGCGTACTATTCAACAGTCAGCCAGTCCAGCCGCATTGTCAGGGGGGCATCAATCAAAGGGACGATGAGCCTGAAAAGCGACAAGGCTGGCTTTATCAGTAACACTGCTAGTATCCAATGGCATCGTAGAGCGACAAGCTTGCTGTCCTGCCATGAGAAGCTGATTGGAATGCCAATCCCTGCCGGGCTGTGGCAGACGCCCAACGCTAGGACCCAAAGATGCGATGCTGAATCAAGATACAGTTTGCAAAAGTAGGGACAATGGGAATGAAATTGTGAGATGCAGACTAGTTAGGCGCAGTCGTTGGTAGGCCTTGTGGTGGCGAGTATGACGCTGCAAGCCAGAGCCCCTGTGGCTTGATTGTGTCTCTGCGCAGCGGCATTCGCTAACAATACTTGAGCGAACCGGGTTACAGGTGTGTGCAAGGATAGTTCTCAGCTTTTGGGTGTGGCTGAAGCGAGATGCACATCAGATGCCAATTCGTAGTGGAGGATCAAAGTGCGAGGTTACGATGTGGGTGCAGAAAAAGGTGGTCATTCGCTCAGTGCGTCGACTACAGGGGCACGAGGGGCGCTTTGCAGGGCCTTGCAGCAGGATCAAGCCCAACTCCAAGCAGCCAGGTGCCAAAATTGCTGCAGATCTGACATCTGCACCGTCCATCTGCCTGGACAGCGAACAGAGAGCATCTGACCTGGGTACCCATTTCTAAGTAGGTAGTGTCTGAGTGTCCGCGTGTCGTTTGCTGATATCGATACATGTCTACGACTTTACACTTGCCTGGGAATGACTCTAGTTCCTTTGTTCTCAGTTCTGCTCCGCGTGGGTGCACCAAGATATTCTTCGCCTTATCTTCGTACGGCAGTGGCCACGGGCTGGCCGCCGACCACTGCCAGGATTAAGGTAGCTGCGGAACTGGAACCGGTTTGCTGGTGCTGAGAAATGAGATGGCCCGCAATGAACAGTGCTTCGAGGTATTTCCGAGCAACAATGAACTTTGTAACTACCGATAACTTGCTAACCTACCACATACCTATTACATACCCATCTAGTTATGGGAACCTGGTGGTGATTTGCTCTGAATTATCTTAGATCCACTGTAACCGTAAACTCGTCCATTCTTTTGGCCATTTCCAAGGCGTCAACCTGCCCTTATTTCCAGGCCGCGGTCCCTGAAAGCCCACTATAACTCTGTCTTGTGGACGCTGTACCGTGCCCAGTCGTGCCAGTGTGCCCAGTTGCCGTCGACAGTGGTCCTCCAGTGGTCCTCCAGTGGTCCCTTCCCCGCCCACGGTGCCCGCTGTGCCCGCCGTTCCCGCTAAAATAAAGCGCTTTTGCTTTTCAGCATTTCTCGGTTTTTTTTTTCTGGCCCACAGCGGCACCACAGCGCCAGTAGGTACCGAGTACTGCAGCACCTCATCAGCACCACACCAGGGCACTCTCTTGCGCTCACTCAGCTTGCTTCTCTCTCAAACTCTCACCCACTTTCCGGCTCCAACCAGCTTCCCAGCCGCTGCACGACTTTCCCTTCTCGCAACCCAGCTTTCTTCAGTCAAGACATCTTCAGACCACACGCATCTCTCTCGACGGCTCTCTCCTCGTCCTCTTCTTCCGGATATACGAGCTTTCTTTGTCGCACCACAATTGTAACTCCAGCATCCGCCCTCCGGTTTCTTCTTCCTCCTCTTTCATCCTCTGGCTGCAGCCTTGCCAACCCTCCCACCGTCGCAACGAACGGCCGGCCTGCTCCGTCCCACGCAACCACAACGCTCTTCGCACGACGCCCTTCATCCTCGACGACGCCTGAAAACGCCTTCACACGTCCATTCAGCATGCTATTTGCCTAATAAACATTTTTTGTTCTTCATTTCCACATCTCGTCGCCCGCATCATGGGTAACGGTCAGGGAAAGCCCGTCGACCTCAACGGCGAAGGTATGCTCTCACTCCTTTGCAATGCTATTGCACCGCCATGCAACACAGGCCTCGCCACTATACACCTATACACCTGGTTCCAGGGTTCCTACAGCATACCTCACCGGCATAGCTCACCGATAACCCCTCTCTGTGCTCAAGCATTCCTTTCTGCCTCTCCCTCTGCTCACTGCTTGCTCCATCGCGTTCGGCCGCATCTTCTGACATCCCGATAGTTAGTCTCAACCACTTCCGCCTGTTACGAGTCGTCGGCCGCGGTGCCTTTGGCAAGGTAAGAATTGTCGAGCGAAAGGATACCGGGTTGTCCTTTGCGCTCAAGTATATCCGCAAAGATGAAGGTAAGTCTGGTCCCGCCCGTCTGGCATTCCTACCCTGGTGGTGAATCAATGTCTCGCTAATTGCCGACGCTCCTTACTAGTTGTCAAATCCGAGAGCGTTCGCAACATCATTCGTGAGCGTCGTATGCTCGAACATGTCAATCATCCCTTTATCTGCAACTTGCGCTATAGCTTCCAAGATATCGAATACATGTGCGTTCACACTCGCCGCCTTGCGCACTGCCATATCTAATCCGAACTCACACAACGCCATAGGTATTTGATTGTCGATCTCATGAGCGGTGGCGATCTACGCTTCCATATCTCCCGAAAGACATTCACCGAAGACGCTGTTCGCTTCTGGATTGCCGAATTAGCTTGCGCCCTACGGTATATACACGCCAACAATATTATCCACCGCGACGTCAAACCGGACAATGTTCTTCTTGATGCAGATGGTCATGTGCATCTGACTGATTTTGTATGCAGACCCTCATTCCCTGCATGACGCATGTACTGACTGGTCCAAGAATGTTGCCTCCGATGTTGTTCCCGGGCGAGTCCTCACCAGCAAATCTGGCACTCTTGCTTATCTCGCCCCCGAAGTATATGCTGGCAAGGGCTATGATGTCCGTGCCGACTGGTGGTCGCTTGGCGTTCTGTTTTACGAATGTATATACAACAAGGTATGTCTGTTGCGTACTCTACTCAATAGATCTATCCAATTAACCTATGAAGCGCCCTTTCGACGGCACATCCGAGGCAACATTGAGCCAGCAAATTCAATACCAGCAGCCTAAGTACCCCGTTACGCAGCCTCCCGTCTCTCTCCCTTGCTTGTACGCCATCGGTTCAGCGCTCGATTCCAATCCCAACACTCGCCTCGGCCACACTTGGGATCACTTTATCAGCAACGAATTTTTCCGAGATATCAACTTTGAATCGCTCGAACAAAAGAGAATCGAGCCGGTTTTCATACCCTCCTCCGAAAAGACAAACTTCGACGCTACATATGATCTTGAGGAACTCCTACTGGAGGAAGCTCCCCTAGAAGCCCGAGCTAGACGACAAAAACCGCGTGAGCGTTTAAAGGAGGACGCCTCACAGCAAGAGATTCGGGAGGATGAGCTTTATCGCATGATCGAAACCGATTTCAGCCCATTTGACTACACAATAGCTGCTTACAAAAAGTACGACGGCCTGGGCTCTCGAATCGCCATACCTTTAACTCTGGTTTGCTGACAATGGCTACAGATACACAGAAGCCGCCACAGAGGCCGGAATTTCACAGTATCCGAGACATCCACCTCCGTTGCAGCCCTCTCCGGAAGATGGTCCCCGAGCCATTACTACCGATGCTGCCGTTCCGGCACCTCCCGCAAATGATGTGCGGCCAGTCGAGACAGCGGGCAGTGACGAGGCCGTTTATCCCCATCCAGTCCGCGCCGCTCCAATGCCTTCCAACTACCGAAGCGGGTACGTTTCTAGACGTAATCTGTCCAACGGCAACAGAGTAATGAGTTCCACTGGTGGCGTTCAAGTTACGCTTGATGGCGGCAGCAGCTGGTCTGACCTTGCCCGCCAGGACGCGACATTGCCTATCGATGCCAACACGACGACTGTCATCAAGAGCGAGAGCTCTAGCAGCATGTTTGGATTTCTCAAGAGCAAAAGGGGTCGCAATCACAGCCCCAAGCCCAAGGAGCGGGGAGTTCTGGGTAAAGAGGGTGCTCGTGTAGTCATCAGCTAGACTGACTACCTTGCATCTGCTCTTAAACCGGAGTTTATTGGGTCCCTTTTTGCTGTCTGCTTTTTTGCTCTTCTCAACTGTTCAGATACACCGTTTTTATACCCTGGGCCACGGATAGAGGGCACACACCTTTTGCACACACCCACACCCAAGAATATACACTGCAACATCGTCGCAATCTTGTCCGTCTCTACTCTGCGGCACCTCTCGAGAGTTAACGTCACGACAGCCCTTTTCAACAGGTTCCTGCGATGCGCCGCATCGAAGACTTTATCTTTCCACTTCTGCTTTTATTGTTTTAAATAGCACTCGTTGCATTTACCTGGCGCCATGTGTAATTAGCAACATCAACAGAAGACGTACTTCTTTTATCCTCTCTACATATTATACATAACATTGCAGTATCGATTGATGCAATCTCGGTAAATCCGTGTGCATCTTCACCCGTAGTCTCAACTGCTAGTCCATGATGCGACTGTGACGCACAAGTAGCCAGCTTTGTTTGGCAGGTGACATAAGCGCAGCAGCCATGAGGATCAATCAGCACAGCGAATTTTCCATGTCAAGTCACGAGTAACCTCCGTCAACATGAAGCCTCGAAGCGACTTTGCTTTCAAATTACAAATTTTGCATTGCGTATACTAATAGTAGTCGTCTGATTTTGCTTTTCCAAGAAATTTATTGCAACATTGAACAGCTCCAAAGCACGGGGAACGAAGCCCTCAAGAAGAATGCGCACGAGGAAAGATACAGCATTTGCAATCCAAGAAATAGCAGCAGCAGAGAGCCTCGACAAAAAAGACGCATGGATTTGTAAATGCAAACAGATAGCCAACGCCGCAACAATACTTGAGCGCAAAAAGAACCAAATCGCGTCTCTCCTTTATCCTCCTCAACAAGGTCCAGAAGCAACCAAGAACCAAATCATGCAGAACCTTCCTGTTCGGCATATAATCTGGTCCCATGTCAGACCGAACCATAGCTGAGCCGCCCTCGCACCGAGAACAAACCCGTTACTGACAACGTGCTATTCAAGTAGTCCTCCACATAACGCCTTGTAAAATCATTCATTGTATTTTGCCGTCGCAAAATGACCGTGTTACCCAACTCCTCGTAAGAATACACCTATATGTCCATTTTTGTGTGCCGCACTCGTAAAGATTGTAGAAGCTCGCGAGCGAAGGAAACCTGCCACGCCGACTATTTCTTGATGGAAGTTTTGCTCCTAGTTACTTCGATGCCGAGCTTGTCGGCGACACAAGCTGAGGTGATGTCCGAGGTGGCGTCCTTGCCCATGAACTTTTTAAGAATATTGTCAAAGTCAACCTCGCCGACAACAGGACCATTGCCAGAGCACTTTGCTTTCTTGGTGAGCTCGCTGCACAGGCCGTCGAGATCAAAATCGCCGCTCTGAGCCTGAGGGCATTCTTGAAGTTTCTCCCTGTATAAATGGTTAAAGTCTGAGTCCGACTGCGGTGGCGGTGGCGGGGTAACGTACCAGATCTCGTGAGCTCCTCTATTCTTACCACCCATTGGAATATCGTCTTCAACCGCCTTCTGTTGAGCGTCAATCTCGGCCATAAGATTGCTTTTCTTGGCCAGGTTGGGACTAGGGGCAGTGTTGAATGGCGTAAGAAAATCGGCATCAAAAGCGTCGTTGAAAAAGTCATCGAAAGAAGGGTTGGACAAGATATTTTGCTGGGGCTCTCTGTAGTCATTGAACAGCTGAGGGTCAAACTGGCCACCATTCTGCTGTGCAAGCCAGTCAAGGCTACTATTGCCAAAGTCGGCATTGCCAAACGTGCTAAATGGTTGCTGTGGAGTCGTCGTGGTAAGTTGCTCTTCGCCGATTGTGCTAAGCGCCTCCACAGGCTTGAATCCCATTGGAGACTGGCTGAAAGGTTCGGGGGAGGTGCCGCAGGACGAGCTGGGTCCAGCATTGGAGTTCGACGAGGCCGATGGTGAGCTTGTGGCTCCGGGGAAGCCATAATTGGCAGAGTCAACGCTAGCGCCCGAGCCATTGCCGGCGGAGCTACTCATCGAAGGAGAGAAAATATTTGAGAATTTGGCCAAGTCTTCCTTGAACTGAGCAGCGGATTGCTGAGGCGGCTTCCTATCGCTGTTCAGGCTGAGGGCAGGGCTAGACACCTGGGTGCCGTTGTGGGGGCTGAGAGGCTGCGAAATGGATCTTTGGGGTTTGTTGGGTGGCGGACCTGGCAGAGCGCCAAACTTGGGAAACTCAAACTGAAAGTTGACATCGTTGATCCTGTTGCTAGCGCCGAGAGAGGGGACCTGCGGTGAAGACTTGGACTGGGCGAGCATAGACATGTTCTGCTTGTACTGCTTCAGTTCTATGTTCATCCGATCAACCTGAGCTCGAAGTCTTGTGTTTTCATGATTGGCAGCCTCGGAAGCCTTTTCAAGCTCCTCCACCTTGATCTCAAGATCCTTGAGGTGCTTCTCCTTTCTCTCGCGGAATGCCCTCTGGGCAGCACGGTTCTGCGCCTTGCGTTTCTGGCATGTGTAAGTATTGAATAGCTCGGTCTTAATGAGGGAGTGTGCAACATACAGAAGTAGGCTCAGATGTCAGCGGCTTGCGGCCAGGCTTCTTGGGAACCTTTTCGCCAGCCTCGCGCCTTTTAGCGTCATTCTCGAGAGCTTCGTCATCGTCGTCAGGATAACTTCGCTTCTCATGAATGTCATCGTCGGGCGTATCGGACTTGTCCGATGTGGACGGCATATCGCCAATCATGGCAGCCTGGTCATTGCCGGCAAAAGAAAAGTCGAAGCTGGAATCGGCGAACTCGTAATCATAGTTGTCGAGAAAAGGGCTATCTTGGTAGCCTCCAGCGATAGCGGAGCTATTGCCAGGAGAGTTTTTGAAAGAGCTGGGCGAAACAGATACCGGATTCTGCGTGGCTGAAGCAGATACCTGCTGCTTGTTGGTGTTGAGGGCAGCAAACAGCAGATTCTGCTGATGCGGAGTTAAGAAGAAGCCCTCGCCGGTACCCTCATGGTTGTCTGCGGACATTGTTGAGGATGTGAGTCGCACAAGGTATAAAATGCTTCACAAAATGAAACGGGCTAAGTTCACGGGACTGGAATCGAGCCAACCACGCAATAATCAATGCGCGTGGACGGTTGGGAGAGATCGGGCGACGAGGCGACGCCCTGGCGATGACTGGTGATGAAGCGGGGCAGCTGGTGGCAGAGGCAAGATGCCTAGGAAGGGCAGCGTTTCGCCACTGAAGAGAGAAACAAGTAGTTCGCCTTGACGGCGCCCAACTCTGGGGTCAAAGACGGTAATGGAAGAGGTTTCCGAAACAAAGACGATGGCGCAGCCAGTAAATGAATATTTCGACTATCCAAAATACGCTCTGCGGTATGTCTCGGGAGTAGATGCGAGAGGCAAAGTAGCCAGTAGTTCCAGCGGTTTCTGAGTGAGGAATCAAGTGGTTCGGACCCACTTGCGTCAGTCAATGGTAACTTGGGAAGGGGAGCAGCAGGGCACGTAAAAAAAAAAAGATAACGGGGATCGGGCAAGCGGTAAAAGGGATGCACTGTGTAGTTGAGCCAGGGAGAGTTTCGGAGGCTTGGACCAGAGGTTGCGCAAGGCTTCTTTCCCCTGGCTTGGGGGGCAGAGGAGGCTGGTCGCAACAAGGACAAGCAGCGCACAGTGGATATCACAGCGTCTCGACTCCTCAGCATTCACGCCGCGGCCGGTTCAGCACTGAATCAATCGCGGTCCCCGCTTGTGGAATTTGCCAGCAGAAAAACGCATTTGTAAGCGTTGAGAAGAAGCTGCCAGCAGCCAAGGCCCAATAAAGGTAAGGAGGGGCGGGAGCTCCTGAGAGCCAATCCTGCAACGGCGCCTGGCCTGTTGAGTTTCCGCACCAATCAGAACTGTCAATGCTGGCCCGCGCTGTCGGGGAGATCCCGTGACTGTCACAGAAAGTACTTGCTCCAGATATAGGGCTTTGCGGGCAGGACCAAGTACACCCCACATACCTCAGAAATAAAAGACCAGACCAGGCGAGACCCTGCACCGTTTCAAAAAAACTGGTTGACACTGTGGCGTTGACTGCCGAGAGACCTAAACAGATGGCAGACAGGGATTCTGCGAGATTGAATCAGAATAATGAAGAAGGCCCTGCACGATGAGCCGAAGTTGTTATTTTTTTCTCAACAATACCATCATCAGTACGGATTAAATTTCGCTATATCCTCGCAGGGCCAGGCTGCCAACTGTCTAGGTATCCAGTATTTCCAGATGCTAAGTAATCGGCGTTTACTTTACAGTCCTGAGCGCGAGCACCTCAACACCTCGCCCTGAGACCTTGATGGCGGGGATGTTTCCCTTTATAATTCTATCAGTCCTCCGACCGTTGTCGAAGCATGCTCAGTCTTTAATCGTGTTCGTGATCGTCACCCTCTGAGCCTCACTGCCAGGGTCTTCCCAACCTCCCAGCCTTGCAATCCACCCCTTCTCTTCGTCCAGCCGATACACTCGGCCCGGAATGACCCCCAAACTCCTCTAGTCTCCTGGTCCATCAGCCCATTTCGAACCTTAATGCGCGCTAGACTTGAGCACCAGTCCTTCTGCCAGTCGTACAACTTGTGCGAGGGCCTTGCGCACCAATGACTTATGCGCCCTGCTGCAAGGCCGAAACTCATCACTGGCAGGTGAATGCATTGTCGCCTAGTCTCCGGCGAGAAGGCCCGGCTAGCCGGCCACGCCAAGCAGGCCACGCAGACCATGAGGCTTGGAGCCCCCGCTTGCTCCCTCAACGTCGATGCATCCGCGGCCCATCAGACTTGTCATCGAGATGTATCCTTTTTTGTCGTACATGACGAGCACCAAAATCAATGCCGCTAAATATTCGTTTCATAGCTATTTCAGGTTCTTGAAAACTGCTAACATGTAACAAATTAGCCCGCGCAGCTATCCGTGTAATGTGTCATGGGCCTCGTAGAGGAGCAAGGCCTGGCAATGTTTGCACAATATGTGGCCTAGATGCTGCAGTTACATATCTTTTTTGGTCACGTACTGGAAAATATTTTGCACAATCTGTTTTGAGATTATTATTTTTTTTTGGTATTATTATATAGGCTTATTGGTATTTGACGAGGCCGGAGCGATCAAAACGCCGCCGTTGGCCGTGTGATTTCGCATCCAAGAAAAGTGTCCTCAGTTGAACCATTAAAAAAATTGCTTAGTTCTTGGCGATCTCCTTGTGGGCGTCAGCCTTGGCGTTGTGGCCGCTCTCGTCAAGCTTGTCACCGACGGCGTCCTTGGCAGCGGACAGACTGTGGAAAGATTGTTAGTGAATACATTCAGGGAGACTCAAAACTATTCCATGAGGGAGTCACATACCGGGTGCCGACATTGGCGTTGCTGTCCTTGGCAATTTCCTTGTTAGTCTCCTTGGAGGCACCAGAGATAGCACCCTGGACGGTCTCCGAGACGTAGTTGGCGGCTTGCTTGGCGGTCTCCATTGTGAATGTGAGGGTTTTTAACTCAAGTTGTTGTAGAAAAGTAAGTGATTGTCAAAGGTTTTGTGGAAAGTATGTGATGTGGAAAGAAAAAGGATTTGGAAGGGGACGGGGAAGCAGGGTATATATAGACTTTTCCGGCTACGTAACTCGGTCTTTCTACATTCACTCCAAGTTCACGATGGCCGGAGAGAGGGGTCAGGTACACCCATCTCACATGCCGTGCCCCTCCTACCCTTTCATTCCGTCTGTTGGGGTGAAGCTAACGAGAGGTTGTGGCTTGCGCAAGCTGAGGTCCACCCGAGCCCGTGGACTACGGAGAGCAAGTTCTCTAGTCTACCGGTACATTCTTACCTAAAAGTGGCTTCTGTACCTGCCTCTAGTGATGCGTGACAGGGATGTTGAGCGAAGAGAAGATAGTTAATGCGTGTCAACAAGACACACTACGTCACATGGAAGGCATGCCCCGCGATGTGATACGCTCAAACTCCCCTCCAAGGTGTGGCGCAGACTGCGCTTTGTCTCCTGTAGCCCCGCCACTGTGTCACCCAGCTCCTCTGATTAGCGCTCAAGGCTACCCGCGCAACCTCAGTGGCTTACCCAAAGGTGACAAAACAGATCGTTGTTCCCAACCCGGAACGAGAATAATTACTCGCAACAGCTTCAATTCGATAGTCGGGAGCATAGAAAAGATGCATATTCGGAGTGGAATCAATGTGCTGTCCGTTTCTGACCATATTTGATCAAATCTGTAGACGTCGAAACACAGAGTCGATGAAGAGAGCCTTCTTCCGTCGCCGGCAATCACCATGTGCCAGGTGGCTTATTACCCGCGGTTGGTTCCGACAAGCCACGCCTGTGCATCCACCATGACGACATTGACTTTTTTTTAACACCAGCCACGATGCGCTTCCGATAATATTAAGCCGAGGCCGTTATTTTAGCGACCCAGCAGTACATCGCCAATCACCTTGCAAGGCACCGGTGACTCTGACCTATCTAAAGCGATTTTCACCGTTTCCCGCGGGTTTTTCTGTTAATCCTGCTCATCACCTCACTCCCTCTCTCCTCCTCGTGTCACCCACTCTGCTAGCTCGCTGCCTTCATTTCGTCCAGCGTGTTATCAAACGGTTCCCAGTCGTGAAAAAGGCCGCTTTCGGCGGGGTCATGCTTCAAAGCGTTGCGAGTCAAATTATCGTCGTTCATACCAGTAGCCAAATCGGCGATCCAGAGAGAGACAAAAATTACGCCTCCACATCGTCTGTCCGATAAAGTTACACGAGCCACAGGGTCCCACTGCGCCCAGCCACAAATTGCATGTTCAACGCTGCCAAAACCGGTTTTAGCCACCAGTTCCAATCCGCCACTGCATCACGCCTGTGGCTAGTGCGGTAGCTGTCCCTCATCATGCCCATGGACTGGTCTGGACCTTTGGCGAACTTGTACCTTTGGCGATGGAAAGCCGGAGAATTCCATAACGTCATCCCGGAATCCGCACTACGCTTGGTGTGGCTTGCGTATGCATACAACGTGTCAATTGCCTTGATTCTGAGATAGGCGGACGGCAATTTGCGGTTGTACGATGTACAGTTGATTGCGGCTCAAGCCCAATATCTCATAAATTTCCATGATAAGCACTAAACACGTCATTGCATTTATGGCAACCCAAATGCGTTTTCTGTATTAGGAAAACTTTGGCCGCCAAGCCGTCCCGTTGATGTACCAATAATTGAGGTGATGCATGTATTCCAGCCTCGGCTTTGGTGTTGCCCATTACCGCGTAGTTTCAACTAGTTTTGGCATCACACCTAGTACTAGTTACATCTACCCTACAGCAGAATTGACCGTTTTGACGGAATCCTGTACCGCAAAAGACTGGGCATTGCTCTCAGTACGAGCACTAGCCAGGATACCAACTATGGCTTATAAAGCTGTTTGTTAGTTACATCCTTCCTCCCATAAACCAGAAATCATCAAGAGTGCCGGATCTGTTTCTATCGGCTCTCTGCATTATCTTTGATCCACTGCACTATCGAGTCAATGTTGTCAATAGCCACAGCAAATACCTCGGAAGCAACACTATAACGGGTGCTAAGCAAAATGGCCCCCGTTTCATTTGCCCGGGCAGCCCATGTGCAGTGGATGCAGGCCGTCAAACATCAGTGTGTGAACCGATCAATTGGCGAAGACGGGGAGGTCTTTGGCGAGAAGGAGCGCGAGAACAGATACGGCGCGACTAAGATCATACAACCACGTTGAGAAAAATTGACTGTTGTAGTATTTATCAATACGCGCACCTCGTGTTTTAGGACATGGCTGTGTTGAAGAGGCCGACCAGCAGCGGACCAGCAGCGGCCGGAAAAGACTTCGGAGCCCATTATATAGGCTGTGCGTCATTGCAAAAAAAGAGATTCTATGAAGAAGAGGATGCAGGAGAAAAAGTTGAAGGGTTTTCATACGAAACGCGGCGAGGCGTCCTGGCAGTGCGGCTGAAGCCATGTAGCTGGTGCTCGAACGGCTCCGACAGCTTGACCACAGCGGTGGACCAGGTCCTGCGTACTTCTTCCGACGACCGGCATTCTTCCAGCGTGGTTTCTTTCCTCAACATCAATGGCGTACCTCAATGATTGATTTCAAGCATTTAAATGCAAGCGAATGACGAGCCTAAGCTAAGCGCCTGACTCTCATCCTCACGTTGCCGCCGCCTCGCGGAAGTTCCGTGTCGCGTCAGTCATAGAAGCTACTGTAGACCATGACACTGTCTAGAGTAGGCATGCCGTGATATTGAAGCTATCGTGGGTCAAGCAGAGCTGATGAAAGATTGATGCGAAAGAAACATTGAAACTGGCGGTACTAAATCATCACGTGCCTGAGAATCAGTGGCCTGTGCTCGATCGTGCTTCGAGACCCCACTATGCGCTAACTGGCTGCACTAGTGAGCTTGGTTGAGACGGACTCTCTGGCACCGCCCCGTCTCGACATCTCGCGAGTAAACAATCTCATTCACGTATTAGGAAAGCACGATTTGGTGATCGAGTTGGCAAGCATGGATCTAGCGTACGACCACATTCAAGAGGAAGCCTTCCGCCGGGACACGCCCAAGCCAGGCGAGCAAAGTTCGTCACAGCCGCCTCCCTCCTCCCTAAACGATGAGATTCAAGATGCATACAAAGCATTCTATTCCAGCCCTTGGGGCGCCAAAATTGGCGGCTTTTTTGGAAACATGGTGAAGCAGGTACGACTTCCTCGACATTGCGCAGCACGCCAGGACCAGAAAGCCGTACTGACCGATCCAGGGCGAATCCGTATACAACCAGGCTTCCAAGGAGCTGGCCGAAGTGGGCGAGGACGCCAGCAAGGGACTCGCCGACCTACGCGAAACAATCATAAGCCGGACCCGGGGCATGTCGATAAATGCCACCGGTGACCAAACCGCCAGATCGGCCGAGGCTGCCGAGAGCAACTCGACAGTGACCAGCTCTGGCACCGACTCGGAGACATACTTGTCGCGACTACGAGCCGAGGCCGCCAAGCGACTCAAGGACCTCCAGCGCGCAGAAGACGCTGCCGATGAAGCGCTTCTGCGATTCGGCGGCAATGTTCGCGACTTCCTGCGCGATGCCATCCAGGTTGCGCCCCCGGCCGACGGTGACGAAGAAAGCACGGTACTCTTTGAAAGTAAAGACGCCTCTGGCAAGCGCGTCATACACACTTCCCGATTTGATGCACAGCTTCACGTTATTCACACTTCTACCGATGGCTTCGGCAAGGACCCCGAGGGTGAGGAATTCAACAAGTTCACATCAGGGTTTGACGTGGAGAAGAAGACGGACGATATTGCCTCGGATCTGGAAAAGTACCCCGAGCTGCGCACCACCATGGAGAAGCTAGTGCCTGCTCAAATCTCCTATGCCGACTTTTGGAAACGCTACTACTTCCTTCGCCGGGGTATTGAGGATGCCGAGTCTCGTCGCAAGGAGCTCCTCAAAGGTGCAGTAACCCTCTACAATCCGAGATATGCCCTGTTGACTCATATGCTGATGTCCTTATGTAGCTGCCTCTGCCGAGGACGTTGTTGGCTGGGATGATGATGGATCCGACGACGAAGGCACCGCCCCCAAGAAGCCCGCCTCTGTCGAGTCGTCCACCACAATTAACCCCCGCAAGGATGGCCTGCTTAAACCCACCGAGACGCGCAAGTCCAACGACGAAAAGTCGCAGGCCGACAGCGAAGCGAGCTACGACGTAGTTGGCGGTACTTCTGGCCTCCCCAGCCAAGCTGCTAGCAGTCCAAAGGAGTCGAAGAAGGATGAGGACAGCGACGACGATTGGGAATAAGGGCAGAGCAAGGTGTTTATAGATTGGAGTGAACCCTGTCTGCTTTTGATGTTTATTTTGTGTGCTGAGATACCGTTTTGAGGCGTTGTTGGCGTCTTTGACAACCTGGAACATGTTTTCACCCCCCTGTTCTCTTATTCTTTTCTTCATTCCTATGTTGATAAGCGTAAATTTTATATCTATGCATTGGGTATCAATACTCAAAGACCCGTCTACTGGCAAGTCTTTTTGTTATTCATCGTGCCCTGTAACCAAGCAAACTCAAGACTCCCATTTGACGCAGCCAAAATTCTGCCCAGATCCTGTCGGTCCCTCTCCCAATCTACCTCTTCTTCTTCGTCACCATGGTAAAGCCGTCCTCATCCACCTGCGGTTCCTGCTTTTCCTTTGACACCGGCGCCGGCGCATCTCCCATGTCCACATCACTCCCCTCATCCTCGTCATCGTCCTCGCTGTCGTCGGGCTCATCGTCGGTGTCCTGGTTCGGGTCCTCGGCTTTTTGGAACATTTGCCCGACTTTGCCGCCCTTGAGCTTGGCGAAGCGCTCCGCCAGCGCATTCGTCTCGTCAAACTGGCCCGCGGCGCACTGCGTGCGCGCGCGCACAATCTGCTGCGCGACCTCGAGCGCCGAGTCGTCGTCGACATTCACCTCAAACTCGTCCACCATGACCTGCAGTAGCACCGTCTCCACGTCTTCCGTGTCGGCCTCGTCTGCTGTGGATGCAGCAGTGCTGGATGTGCCATCGGGCGCCGCGGCCGCGTCTGCGTCTGTGAATTCGGGAAACAGCTCGACAATGGCGCCGGCGAACCAGTCGCGCTTCTCGGAGGAATCGGGGCCACCCCAGCCGTTGGCGACGGAGAGTGTCAGCGCAGGCCACAGGTGCAGCGCGTAGGCGACGGCCTGCTCAAAGTTGTGTTGGCGTGTGGCTAGGTTTTTTCAAAAAAGAAAGAACAGGTGGTGTTAGTTGCAAACGGGTGTGGTGTAGATTGTCACGGCTACTTACAAGCCGGGGGCAGCTGTGAAGTAGAAGCCATGATTGCGACCGTCAGGCGTGAGAATTGCCTCGTGGTCTTATTGTGGTGTAGGTAGAAGCGGATGCTAGAACCATTGATGGCTTGGTTGTCACTCTTTTGTGTACGAATTTTTTTTTCCTTAAGCTCCCGCTTTGGCGGGGTGGTGGAGGGAGGGGCAGAAAAAATTGGTGGGGGTGGTTTGGACGGCGCTGTTTATCAAAGCGGCAAGTCTTCTGGATCTTGTAAGTCGGTCGTAGAGGCTCGCAACTGCTTGGCAATCAGCGTGATGACTTCATCTTTGGAAGTGATATGATGATTGAATCGATCAGTGAAGAGCTTACCGAGCCAGGGGTAAGCGCAGTTTGTAGGATGAGTGGCGTCGATCAACGACATCGTTCCCCTCCTTGTCCTCATCAGCCGAGACGTCAGCACGGATGAGCCGTCGAATTAATTACCACGCTATTGTATTAAACTCCGCGATACAGTTTCGATCTATACGCCAGGTTAATGGTTTAGAGATGTGATTTATACCGGTAGTGGGAGCTTGATTGACGAATTGCAAACAGCTTAAAAAAGTGCATTACCTTGATTCAAGCTAAGCACATATTATATGCCTCTGGTACTTGGTTCAGTGTGTAACAGTGTTGGCGTGACCGAGCTGCAGGCGAAAGATGCAGTGCGGCGTGATCTCGACTGCCGGCGTTACAAGGCTACGGTCCTGCTAATTGATGCTTCCTATGCTCTGACCATCGGATCCCCGCCAAATGACACTAATAAATAACTCCGCGTCGGTGATGAGTTGGTGCAGAGCACAGCTCGTGGCCTGAAAGAGTAACCAAACCAACTAATTTGTCCCCACTGTAGCAGCCAGAGTCGACACGCCGAAAAGTCGGCCCTAGACAGCTCTAAAAAAAAGAGCATAGAATCAACAACGGCCAGGCATATGTGCCGCCAATTCCTTCTCCTATCACCACGCCATGTCACGAGTCTCTTTTGAGCCCATCGTGGCCGACTTCAACGTATCCCGCTCGGCCTGGCTTGTTGCCCACCACAAAGACTTTGCTGGCGTTCACTCGAGCGCCGTCGTCTTTGACTCACTCCATCCCTCCCCTGGGCGAATTCTTCTCGTGCAGCGCTCCGCGACGGACAGCATGCCGTGCAAGTGGGAGCTCCCGGGCGGTGCCGTCGATGACGAGGACGCGACGATTTTGGATGGCTGCGCCCGGGAGCTCAAGGAGGAGACGGGCCTGACTGCTCTGCACGTGGTGCGACGCATCACCGAGGGTCCCGACGGCGAGCAGCTCACTGTATTCACAAATTCGCGAGGGACCAAGATATTCTGCAAATTTGTCTTTGAGATCAAGGTGAATGATGGAGAGAGCATTGTGCTGGACCCTAAGGAGCATCAGGCTTGGGTCTGGGCGTCCGAGGACGAAGTTGTGGCGGGGAAAATCAGGGATAGTGATGGCGTTGACGGGTTTGAGATTCCACTGACAGCGCCGCATGTACGGAGATTGATTATGGAGGCATTTCGATTACGAAAGACGGATATGATGCAGTAATATGTCCAGTGTATATGTACCGCTATATATATAGACCCTTTTACGCCCACAGCTTACTACGCAACGCCGCGATTCGCTTAGTCGCCTCGTCAAATTGGCTTCTGCTCAGCCGTCCCGACTGCACACCACTTACAAGCGCTGTTCGAATAGCATCACCTTGAGTCACATTCCTCCCGCTCGCCAGCAGCAAATCAATACCAGCCTCGGCCGCCAACTTGGCCGTCTCCTCTGTGCTCCCGAACCCCTTTAGCCAGCCCGCCTCCATCGCGTCGGAAATCGTGACGCCGGCGAATCCCAACCGGCCCCGGAGCTCATCCTGCACCCACTTGTTGCTAAGGCCGGCCGGGCGCGCGTCCAGCGCGGGGTACACGGCCCACGACGGCATGATGAGCTCGACGCCCGCGGCAATGGCCTGCACGTACGGCGCCTCGTCTACCCGTCGAATCTCATCCAGGGACAATTCCAGCGTGACGGGGCGCTCGTCAGTGTTGGCGTCGTGCGAAGCGGCGCCGAGGCCCGGAAAATGTTTCGCCGTGGCGGCGACGCCAGCGGCCTGCTGAGCGTTGATGAACGGCACGGCGGCGTTGATGACTGCTTGCGAGGTATTTCCGAAAGAACGCCCGTAATAGTCCAAAAAGTCTCCCTCTTGACGATACACGCCCAACACGGGTGCCAGATTCACATTGTTGTTGTACTTCTTCAGCGTCGCCGCCGCTCCCGACCCCGCCGCCTCGCCCCCCGCCGCTGGGTCCGCCGACGCACCAATCTGCTTTGCGGAGAGCTTCGGTTCTTCGTCCCTCATGCGGCGCACCTGGCCGCCCTCTTGATCGGTCGTAATGAGGAATTTGGCATCCTGGCCCGTCGTCTTTTTGAGAAGCGCGGGCGCGGGAGAGGCGGCGTAGGCGCGCCGCAAGGTGTCCATGGCGGCGGCCGTGCCGGCGTCGACGTTTACGCCAAAAAGGATGACGCCGCCGACGAGACCGGCCTGGGTGAGCTGTACAAGCTGCGCGGGCGGCGCGCTGGAGTTGGGATAGGAGTAGATGACATGCTGGCCGGCGAGGATGTCGAGATCAGAGGCGGTGCCATGGCAGGGCTGAACGTGCGTAGCAAGCAGTAGACCCAGAGAGATGGTTGCTTCGACGAGACGCATTTTTTGCACACTGTTTCAGTTTCAAATACGATATGGCTTCCAGGTTAGAGATTCATGGATAGAACGGTTGGCAACTCCGGTTGTCATTGAGATATATACTAGTTAGTACTTCTCTTGACTCAGTTGAAGCTGTAAGCCCCACGACCATTGCGGAAGCCGCTAGCTCATCTTACAACTCCACTGCATTTTTTCAGCTCACTGACGATCAATGCTGAGGAAGAGCGTCTATGTATCTCAGGGAATGCTCCGGCAATGCAATCGTAAACTTGGACTTTCCAGGCCATTTGGTCAGGGGTAGTCGCTTTGGTGCGCCGGGGGTTGGTAGTCGCACATTCAAACTAGAAATCATGATCTGAGGACAAGAGAAATGTTTCTAATGCCATGTAAGAATGCCCAGCATCTTTTTCCCTTGCTCAAAAAGGAAGGAGTTCGGCCCTGAATACCCTGTGCTAGTGCAGACATGACACAACAAGAACTCATCGGCAGTTGGAGTTGTGTGACCCGTCGGCCCGTTTGCATTATCCTGCTTACTTTGGCAGTAATACCAAGACGATCAGCGCGGCCACAGAGTCCGCTTGACAATGACGACGAGTAATAAGTAACTGGATGGTAGGTGTAAATGGCGGTCTCGGTAGCTGAGGAATAAAGTGTCCAGGTTTTTCAATACCCAGCCTGCACAGAGGCACAAGTATATGAGGACTTTTATCAAAACCTAGCCGCATCTGCGGCGTGGGAATTTTGCCATTGGATCTTCTTTGTTGGTGATGCTCGGCCTTCGTCTACGGAAACTGTACGGTTCGCCCTAGAGCAGTAGCCACCCACGCTCCCAACGTTTCCCTTGCAATATTATTACTGCTCCAATTCCGCGACGGATGCACCCTGTTGGCCAGATGCACAAACAGCGTCCCGCTCGCACGGTCAACCACTAGCGAAGTGCCCGTGAAGCCCGTGTGGCTCGCTGCTTGGCTGTTGGCCATGGGCCCCGCCGTGTAGTACTGGTCCAGCTCAAAGCCCACGCCGTGCCCGTTCCCGGGACCAAACCGCGCATTGAAATTCGTAAAGACGAGGTTGACCGAGTCGCGGCTCAGGATCCGCCGGCCCCCGTACGTGCCATTGTTGAGAATCATCTGCCCAAACTTGGCCGTGTCCAGCGCGGTCGAGAAGAGCCCCGCGTGTCCCGACACCCCATCGAGCGCCCACGCATTCTCGTCGTGCACGGTGCCGCGCACTGGCTGCGGGCGCGGCGGCTCGTAGCTTGTTGGTATCACGGCTTGTTGGAATTCTTGCGCGGCCATGCGCGAAAAGTACGGAGACGCGACACCTTCAATGTTGCCGCGGTTGAAAAAGGTGTCCTCCATGCCAATCTCTGCCGTATACTCTTTGATCACGTCATCGTGCCTTTCCCCCGTCACCGCTTCCACGACGAGCATCAGTGTCATAAAGTTCAAATCAGAGTAAAGATACTTGGCCCCCGGTGTGTTGATGGGCTTCGTGGATAGAATGTCGTCGATTCGAGACTTGTAGGTAGGAAATTGCGGCATCCACAGCCCAATCGCAGGATCCGCGCCGAGACCACTCGTATGCGTCAGCAGCTGCAAGAGTGTAATCTTTTCTTTTCCATTGACGCCGAATTCGGGCAGCCAAGTGACGACGGTGCCGTTGAGCGTCACAAGGCCCTTGTCCAAGCACCGCAGCACCGCAACGGTGGTAAAGAGCTTGGTCAGGCTCGCCATGTCGTAGATTGTGTCGACTGTCGCATCCTCCTGCGCGGACTTTGACAGCTTGGTTCCATTGTACCCGTCAACAGAAGCCCAGAGGTTTCGTTTTCCAAAGGCAAAGTGGCTGACTATGCAGCCCTTGCGTGCCACAAGCACAGTGCCGCCAGGCTGAACAGGCAGAGTCTGGTCATGTGTCGCCGCCCCCCAATTCCTGGCTTCGGTGAAGTGTGACATGTTGCTCACCATGTCTTTCAATGGCTGCGATAGCATGCCAACCGATTCTGGTGTTCCGGCCCGCAGAACATCAGAGCACGAGCGTGCAGTGACAGAGGGCGCTAGCATGGCAGCGAGTATGCACAGTATGATATTCAGACACGCCATGGTGATGTGCGGCAGTTTTGTCAGGGTGTGTAGTCTGAAGTTATAATGACAAGTAAAATATGGACAATGAGAGTCAAGTCTTTCGAAATGGGCTTGCCCGTGCGTCCAGGACAATTGCACAAACTTACTTATAGTGTAGTGGAGTGGCGGAATGGCCCGCCGAGGCGGATGCCGAGGCTGAGTGTCGCAGGAACTCGATCTCTAGCCCGCCATGGGATTTTCCATGTAGGTCTGGATTGCAGTTGCATTTCTATCCTCAATTGGGCAAGTGACTCACACCATATCGCCGTGTGTAGACTAGTTGTCATTTATAAATGTTTGCTCTGCTAGTTTGATGAAGACTCTTGCAGCTCTTCTGTAAGGTGTTGTCACCATCCAAATCTTGCATTCATACGATGTTAAAAATGCTAAAGAAAACACCCAATCGTTCAAGTCAGCCTAGAACGAGTTAACCGTGCTTTCTGAAATCTTGATACAGGCAAGCATTACCGCACAGATAAAGCATCCTCAAGAGACACCTGATCTGCCGGCGGGCCAAACAACATGCCCAGGATCTTGAATACCCCCAAACTATTCAAGACGAACATCAGTCCATGGAGCAGCACAAGCTCCCAAAGTGCCTGTGGGTGCATCATACGCGGCATGCCCGGGGCGAGTTTCTGCGACTTTGTCACAATTGGTCGCATTTTCGTTTCATACTCTGCAAAAGCCTGCTCAGGCAAGTCTGTATACCTGAGAATAGCTGCAGCGAGGCTACACGCGCCCGTGAAAGCAAGCGTGGTCCCCATGCCCGACATGGGAGACGCGCAATACCTACCATTGTCAGCAACTACACTCGTCCTGTCACGCTCAAGTAACTCTTACCCGGCGTCACCAACAAGCACCACTCTCCCTTTGCTCCACCGGTTCATCTTGATCTGTACCAGAGCGTCAAAGTAAAAGTCGTGCGCTGCCACCATTCCCCGCAAGATTCGAGCCGTCTCCCAGCCTGTGCCCGTGAAATATTCCCGCATCAGTGCCTTCTTTTCTTCTATGCTATTGTGCTCTTCTCCTGCCGCGCGTAGCCTCGCATCCTTGTTATTCATGACCGTCATGAAGATGGTGGAGCGTACGCCGCTGTCATCTGGTCGGAGCATGATAGCTCGTCCACCAGTCGTATGCAACCATTTGCGCCATTTCGTGTCGTGGTCTTCTCGTGGTATGCTAAAGAACGCACCGTATACACCAAGGCTGTGCACCGCTTTGCCCTCGTGTTTAGCGCCCCAGGCCAGCGCTCTCGTCTGGCTCTTGGAGCCATCTGCGCCAACAACGATATCATATGCCTGCTTCTGCCCGCTCCTTTCAAACGTAACATGCACCTTGTCACCGGCTTGCTCTATATCGGAAAGGCAATCTCCAAAGATGTAGTGGATGCCGTGTCCACCGCTAGCCTTGCAGTCATCGCTCAACTGCATGCTTCGTTTCCAGCACAGCTGAGCCAATCGACCGCGCAAAATCTCAATGTCGCTTGTGGGTGTCTGGGTTTTCCCCGTCTTGTCTGTGCCGATGGACGCCCAAATGCGATGGTATGCGTCCACCAGCTGCACGCCTTCCTCGTCAGTGGTGGAGGCGCGTACTGCATCTTCAATTCCGAGTTTGCGAAGCATATCAACACCGTAGCCACGCACATCGATATTCTGGCCATATGGCCGAAGCTCGGAGGCTCGCTCTAGGATGGTGATTCTCATCTTCCTTTTCTGCGCGTCGTTGGCATCCAGCAGGAGAAAGCTTGCTAGCGCCGAGCCGGCGATGCCACAGCCAACGATGAGGATATTGGCCATGATAGAAGCTCAGTGTGGGTGACAAGACTAGACTCGATTTGCCTTTATTTCTGGACCACAGGCCCTTAAATACAAGTATCTAGATTTCATGGAATAGCTGCAAGTCAGCTAGCTAGCAAGACTGAATTGTCCGAAATTCTAGTTCGGCCTCGGAGTATCAAATACGGCCTCGGGTGCATGTCAGCCGCAGATAATCGGGCAGTCTATACTGTAAAGGATTATCCACAAAAATTACCTTTGCCAAGGGCGATGTGCTCCATGTATCTTCGATTGAAGCCATGTCGAATCAGACAATTCAGAGATTAGTAAATGGTCGAATACATGAACAAACCATGGCCTAGCCACTCGCTACACAGTATAAGGCTCTGGACAGACTCGGACCGGCATGGAAGAGAGGGGGCAGAAAGGCCTTTGCTTTCTTAGGAACAGCCTACTAATGAGGCACGGGAATAAAACAACGGCCATCTCCGGCCAGTCTGTTGTGGCGGTGAGCTTACTAGCCTACCCTAACGCACCAACAAGGTCCAGACTTTTACACATGTTGGTTTCGAGCGCAAGATGTACATTTAAATAAATAAGAAAGCTTATGGTTGAAAATAACCGGATTCATTCTGTAACACGGTGCATGGTTACACAGAGGGGCCATTGTGAGCCCTCGCAGACTAAATCAAGCAAGTTGCTTGCAGGATACTAGAGACTGAGTATACTCTTTGAGCTTATTCGATAACTCTGGCATCAGATGCAGGATATTGTATCTAAGATTCTGCTGTAAATAATGTAGCAAAAAAATTCAAGAGAGTCTTGGCAGGGCTTGATCATTTTTGTCAAAATACCTCGCTGTCAAAAGAGCCAAGTTTTGCAATAGCGGAGCCTTGATCGAGCTTGGCGTATGCCAAGCTTCACAGTCTGCGGAGTAGAATGCGCTGGCCGTGACCTCATCAGTGCCGATCCCTGCCTGCAGCGCGGTGGCTTACCGCGGTGGTCGCCATCGTTGAGCGGGTGAGAAGAGGGGAATAAGTGGTCATGCGGCCCAAACTCGCCCTCGTCCGTTGTGCAACTCGGCATCTTCCATTGACAGGCGCGCCAAGTGACTTTCTGACATTGTTGGGCATGTTGGCCGCTCGACAGCTGGCAAATATGGGGCTTTATATTCTGAGGATTGTCTGCAAGTTTGACCGGCTTCTCTGGAGGGCACGCAAGTTCTCGCTTGCACTGTGTCAGGGCTTCCAGCGGTCGTCAGAGTGGATGATTTTGTTTCGTGGCTAGTGCGTTTTGTTCCATTGAGCGAATGATAACGGCTTGACGGCTTGTAGGTAACTAGTCACGAGTAATCCGTAGGAAAAGATTGGGTTGAGACTGCAGCGTGAAACATCGGGGCATGCGAGCGGGCGGTGATCCTTGGCAGGGCTGGCTGTCATGCGAGTGAGGCGGAGCACGACGTTGAGAAAAACCGGGCAGGTCGAGAGACAAGCCCAGGATCAGCTTGCAATTCGGCAAGTCGCATAATACTGAGTTTGCATGTGTAGATATTATATTAGGCATCTACTACAAGACATGCATGACAGCCGGCGTGGTATGGATTACAGGGACGAGGGAAAGGACAGTGGCACTTTGCACTTGGATTGGGTACATGTGCGCGGGCCGCATGAGGTCGCAAGAGCTCGAGTATGCGCCCGGGAGAGGCGGATGTGCATGTTTCGAGAAAGGGCTTGTTATTAGGTTGTTTATTATTAGGCCCGGCGACTGTTCGGAGAGCGGGGGCAACGGGGATTGTGCAAAGTGAAGAATCCCGGGCCGGGAGACGAGCAGTGACAAATGCCGTGGATGCTCCATGGGAGTCGAAAATGTTTTACTATTACTCGGTGCAGGCAGTGCTTTGGGCAAATCCGAGGTAGCATTGGCCGTGGAAGAGGAGAGGCGGCTGACCGCGGAATGTGCAGCAGGGTAGAATTGCGACATTGGCAATGGAAAGGATTCTGCCACTACGATATGCAGAGACTAACTAGGGGCAGGATATATCAACAATGGCATATCAAGAGGAAGGCAATGCAATAATGGTCAATGTTGAGGCATCCCATGCTAACAACCAGGCAACCAGGGACCATGGCAGCCCAAAAAAATTATTTATTATTAGGTAGCGAGAATCCCAGGTGGAGCGAGGACCGGTTTATTTGACCAAAGTGGCAGAGAGCGATTTCGTCATGCATCCGTCAAGGAGCGAGTAATTAAGTGCTGATCTGAAAGACTTGAAAGGGGACACGCAAAAGGGGGGGCAGGGGGAAGGCGGAAGCGATGGGCCGTTGGAACCGAGAGACTTGAAATAACTAGCACGTTGGTGAATTCGGGATGATGCCGCAAGTTGATGGGTTCATCCATTGGTACGATTACTAGCAGATGGATGAATTACGTCGATGAAGATGTTCGGGGCTATCGGCACAAGAGTAGAGAGCTAAAAGAGGCAGAGAGATAACTACCTAACTAGATGGTGGGCTAACTTTAGGGCTTTCAGGGCCTAGACCACCCTATTTGGGCAGTACTACAAAGGCACCTGCCGATAGGTACCTAGGTGGGTAGCAAACGGGTGACAAATAGACCATGGTCGACCTGCCGTGCCGAGATTCGCTTTTTAAATACCTTTCGGATAGGAAAAGGTATGAAAAACATTATAGGACAATGATATATTCTTCACATGCATTTAATACCATGTGTGGCGTGTCTGGATGTTGTTTGTCACCCCCGGGCCGTTGGGTATCTACCTAGGAAGACGGTTACATGGTACAGCAGAGACGGTACACCAGAGCACTGTGGCGTCTGGAACCGTCACCCCAGTCAAGTCACCCACCCAAGTGGCGGTTTCGGCGGGGTCGCCGTACCGAGCTAGTTAGCAGGTGTTGGCTAACCGTGGGTGTAGCGGCATCATCGGAAAGGTTCGAAACGGAGCGTGATTATTATTGCTTTAGATTCTGCAGTAAGAGTCAATTTGTCTCGAGCGCGTAAATAGCTTGATCTCCTCAATCTCCGTATTGCCTGGAATTTCCGGGCCATTGATTCCCGAAACATGGCCGCGCGCACATTTCTCAGAACGAGATGCCTACCTACATGCTCTTATTCCTACAAACCTATAATAAACAAACGACTCAGGCTGAATAATACCACCAAGGTACTGGAAAGCAATGACTGAATAATTCCCCGCCCAACTTTTTTTTTTACGGCAACTATCATAATTACAGAAGCCCCGACTGCCCACCCTGCATCAGTCATTTTCTAGCGCCGCTCTGCGCCCCGGCTTTTACTGGTAGTCCTTCTCTCACTTTCATGCGACAAGCCCACGTCGCTGCCTCCGACTCTTTCTCACTCGCTTCACTTCGAGTCATCAATCGCAGGCGAGGGGAAAAAAGAAAACGATTGCAGTTTCTCTTCTGTTGGCTTGCCATCTCCTTCTTTTCTTCTCTACTTTTGGTCTCTCTCCTCATTTCAATCCGAGCTACACAACCTCTCCCAAACCTCAAAATCCCCTTGTCGAATTCACCCGGCATCTCCAGACGGCAATAAAGGCTCTTCACACGACCATCTGCGTCATCCCCAGAGACAACTCGATTCTGCCATTGATTCCAAGGTGGTGGACCCAGTCTATCCGCTTCATCATCTCAAGTCCCCGCCACTGACCAGCCTCGGTCACCGCTCGCTCGCCTGTGCCTCTCGTCGCTATTCAATTTTGTCGATCCTCTGCAAAACCTGCAAGACATTGTGAGAAAGGGCATTCATACCGCTCGTCCATCACTGTCGTTGTCGTTGTCCAATTGCCGGCGCTGCTTCTTGGGTCCGACACCAATTTGCTCCCCGCCCAGCCACGCCAGCCTACGCCAGCCTATGCCATCACTCGGCTGACGCATTCCACATTTGACACCACTGCATCACACGGCTACATAGCTGCCGATAAAGCGCACGCAGTTGGGCGAAACTCGAGATAGTACCAGGTAAGCTAGGCTTGTTTTATTTGCTTCTTTTCTACATTTTTTTTTTGTTTTTTTTGTTTTTGGGCTCTTTGATATTTTCCCTCATTGCAGCTATACACAATTTGTGATGGGCCGTCTCATCATCTTGTCCACCAGGCAGGTATCCTGCACGGCCTTTTGTCCATCCAGCGATGCCATCTACGCCTCTTCTTCCACGCACATCACTTGCTCTCTCACAACTCTTCTATACTCACTCATGCCCACTCACACTTTGCTCTTGACACTTGACACTTGGCTAGTCCACTTCCAAAAGAGAGGTCATGTAGCTTGTTAGCCCAATCCTGACACAAGCTTTAAAATAATCTCGATCCCTTGATTCATGCAACCCACCTCGCATATCCTGCCTTGGTTTACGACTCAGTTACCTCCTTATTTTCATCCAGTCTACCCAGTATTAACCTATGGTCGTGCATTTTTCCCTCGTTCCTTCATCATTGCTTTCTTCTATTACTTCATCTTTCTCCTGCCACGCTCTCCAAATAAGATCGCGCCGCGCCCATGCCCCCCCCCACAACACTCTTTCTCTTACAGCCATCCCACCTTTTCGTGGCGCTCATCCTTGCGGGCAAGTGTCCTCGGCCAAGTCTTGGCACGGTCTCTTTGTTGCCATAACTTTGACGTATGCTTTGGCCAACGTTTACTTGGCAGAGAGCTCACAGCCTGTTTGATTTATGGCAAGACGCGTCACACTCCATCTCATCTTTGCGCTTCTCTTTTAATCCTTTTGCCGAATTTCTAGTCGCTGTGCAGCGGCAGCTACACTTATACAATTTCAACTACACAGTTGTGGCGCAACTGTTAACATGACTGACTTCAGATCCCAGCACAGCCAACGCTCTGGCCCTTGGTTGATCGCTGATAGCGGCAATATACACTATCGTCCAAGTTACCTCAAATTGACCAGTTCCGATAGCTCAACTGAGAGCTTTCCTCTGCCCTTGATTGGGCCTCGTCGAACTCGGCCCCAGGCAATCCATATCCTCTCCTACCCCTCTGGCTACATACCTCGCGACCTTCGCCCACCTTCAAAATCATCATTTCGCTTGAGGGTACAGTGGCAAAGACAACAAGAGAGATATCTTCGCAAGAGCAAACGACGCACCACCTCTCGCGAATCTTCTAGTCGCAATCTCGAGTCTGCATGCCATCGTCAGGCGCCAATTCTCCCATTCAGCAAACCAACGAAACCTGCCCGCGACAGGCTACGCCAGTCACATAGAGGCGGTTCCTCGACCAACGCCGTACAGTACGATCAAATTACTCCTGCGTCACAAAGTACTGCGACGACTAGCCTGACGTCGAGCCCAATCGAGAACGTCGTCACACCCCCGCTCACAATGACATCGGGTCGCAGAGCCGCCGACACAGCTGCTTATCGTCTGCCCGCCGACAGCGGCTACCTCTCTTCCAAAATGCACAAGTCAGCTGTGACATCCATTACAGAGATACCCAAACCCGTTGCGTCGGGCAGCGGTGTGACCTGCTCCATATTACTCGGCGAGCAAAATGTGTTTCTTTACGGCTTCGAACATGACAATCACGGACGCAACGATCATCGCAGCGGTACGGCGCTCCTCAGAGGCAGGCTACGACTGCATGTCACCAAGAATGTCAAAATCAAGGCTGTCCAGCTCAAGCTACTCGGTCGCGCCCGCACTGAGTGGCCCGAGGGCATACCTCCGCTCAAACAAGAACTCTTTGAGGAGGAGAGCCTAAGGACACAGGTTTTGACCTTTTTCAACGCCATGAACGATGGTTGGGAAAACGAGTATGGGAACCAATGCACCTATTCCCTAAAATCCAGCTCCAACAACTCAAGCAACACAAACCTCGCCATGCCTTCTAATCAATCACACCGCGCCAGCCTGAGCTCCAAAGAATTGAAGCGCTTGTCTCTACAAACCGTCCAATCTCGTAGTTTTGGCAAGGGCGACTACAGTGTTGCGTCCCCTACACAGGCAAAGGGCTACAAGGTCTTTTACCCTGGCACTTACGATTACTCTTTTGAGCTTCCAATCGACTACCACCAACTCGAGACCACTAAACTGCAATACGGCTCCGTCAAGTGGGAGATGCATGCCACGGTCGACCGTGCCGGAGCATTCAAACCCAATCTTCATGGTGTCAAGGAAATTCCTATTGTTCGTTTGCCAGACCAAATGTCGCAGGAAATGTCTGAGCCCATTTCCATAAGCAGGCAATGGGAGAATCAGCTGCACTATGACATTGTCATCTCTGGCAAGAGCTTTCCCATTGGCTCCAAGATACCCATCGCCTTCAAATTGACGCCGCTCGACAAGGTGCACATTCATAAGCTCAAGGTATTCCTCACAGAGTCGACCGAGTATTGGACCAATGATAAGCGCGTCACTCGCAAAGACCCTGGTCGAAAAATCCTTCTCTTTGAAAAGGTGGCTGGAAAGCCTCTCGACTCCCACTGGCGCCACTCGTCTGTCCGTACTGTGCGCGGTGGCGAGCTTACGCCCCAGCAGCGACACGAAGCGAGAGAAACAGCCCGCCGGCGCCGCGTGGCCGAAGCCTCGAGACGACGGGTGCCTCCTGAGCCCTTGCCTGAGCCGACGGATAATCTCCTCGGTGAGCTGGAGCTCGGACTGGAAAACATGTGGGGTTCGACAGAGATTGAGGCCAATGTCCAGATTCCAACCTGCGAGATGATGGCCAAGAACAAGGACCTGCGACTCCATCCCGACTGTAGCTGGAAGAATGTCAATGTCTACCACTGGATCAAGGTGGTGATGCGCATCAGCCGCCTCGACCCTGATGACCCTTCCGGCACCAAACGCCGTCACTTTGAGATTAGCATTGACTCCCCTTTTACCGTCCTCGACTGCCGTGCAACACAAGCCAACACATTTCTACCTTCATATGCCGGACTCGCCACACCTCCTGATGTGTATCACGCATCTTGTGGCTGTCCTGATGCCCATGTTGTCGCCTCGGATATCTCTCCCAGTGGCTCATTGACGGCACTCGCGTCGACCGAGGCCGAAGCCTCCGCCGTCACCGATATTCTTCCCTCTGCACCGCGCGCAGCTCATGTCCATCAACCGGCCCACGAACCCACCACCAGTGGCGGCACCAACACCAGTCCTATGCATGCCTCGGCCAACGCTCCTGGCGACCGTCGTTCGCGTCCCATTCACCTTTTGCGCACCCCGAGCTTCAACCCCCCGAGCTTTGACGAGGACACTGCTCCTCCACCGATGCTAGTAGACAGCGGTAGCAATCATCCGTATGGTGCGCCAGCTACGACACCACCACCAACTTATGATGCCGTGGTTGGCACGCCGTCTGTGGATGGGCTGGCCGACTACTTTGCACGTCTCGCAGACTACGGGCTCGAGGGTCATGAGGAAGACTCGGGGTCGGACGGCGACGAAACGCCCCCACGCATCTTGGAACGCTCAGGACGCGTCAATGTAGCACACCCGCGTACACCCGGTGGGCGCATGCCCAGTCGAAGCTTGGAACTTTCTCGACCATTGATGAATTTGAATATTGAAAACATGACGAAGCGTCGAAACGCAGCAGGCTCTAACCCCGCCAATTAAGGGTCGGACTTTGGGCAACGCGTCTTACCTATATCTCGTTCAAATCTTTTTTCTATTTCAGATATTTTGCTTTGGAAATCATGATACATTCTGGCTTTTTTGGATAGGGGCAGAGAATGTAGGCCTGGATTTTGTATACTTGTGCTTTGAGAATGGAGTTGAGGACATTGGGACATTTGGATGTGGAAGCGGGAATTAGGGAACATGGCTAGAATTAACGAATTTGACGGTTTCCTTGTTGGTATTTTCCAGGGTCCTTTTAGTGGCGTTTTTAGATTATAGAACCCAGAGTGGGGGGCATATATACCAAGATGTATCATACATGACTAAATAATTCAAATATGCGAAGCAAAATGTGTTGGAAAGAAACAGTTCAAGGGTCAAGAGATGTCTTTTTCCCTCCAGGGTTGCCCTTGTGGAAAGATTACGAGTGCGAGCAACAAGCTGAAACAAGACCAACCCTTGCGCACTGGTAGTTGAAGTGGCGCATGTGTAGGCAACACCATAATAAACTCCGGCACTCTTCTTCGTTGACAACGTTCTTGTGTCCTTTCAAGATCATTCTACTTTTGCAGCGCCAAGTGCCGCATCGCTGGATATCATTTCTGCGCCTCTTATAAAAAACGTTGCCATATATCTCTCACAAAATCGCATTCTCTCACCAGTTGCAACACTCCAACCAGTAAGCAACTGGGCTGACATTGGTGCGGCTGCGACGATAACGGGCCCCATAAGCGCTATTTTTACTAGCAATCGAACACACTTGTTGGCGACGAATGGATTCTTGCAAAGGCACAGAACTTACTCAAACTTTACAGCTTCACATCATACCAGACCAACAAGCAGGCAGGCATGGCGGAACAGTTGGACCCCACGCTTCGCCTACCACGCATCCTGTGCCTCCACGGCGGCGGCACCAACGCCCGCATCTTCAAGATTCAGTGCCGCAAAATCGCCCACGACCTCCGGGAAGAGTATCGCTTCGTCTACGTGGAAGCTCCCTTTGCGTCCGAGCCGGGCCCGGACGTGATGCAAGTCTTTTCCGAGTGCGGCCCTTTTAAACGTTGGCTGCGCTTCGGGCCCACGCACCCGGCCTTGACCCCGCAGGCGGCTGTCGCGGCGCTGGACGGGGCCGTTGAGGCGGCCATGGCCGAGGACGACGAGCGCGGCGGATGCGGTGCCTGGACGGCGCTGCTGGGATTCAGCCAGGGCGCAAAGATGTGCGCCAGCCTGCTCTACCGCCAGCAGAATCGCGCAGCAACAGCAGCAGCAGCAGCAGCAGCAACAGGAGCAGTCGAGGCTGCCGATCCGTCGGCCGTGCGGTTTCGCTTTGGTGTGTTGATTGCGGGCAGAGGGCCGTTTGTATCGCTAGAGCCGGACAGCGCGGCGAACGAGTCCCTTCCCAGCGCCGCCGACTTTTCGTCCATGACGGAAAAGGAGGCGCCGGGCAGGCATGTTTTGCGGATACCGACGATTCACATGCACGGCTTGCAGGATCCGGGCTTGCAGGAGCACCGGAAACTGTACCGCGAGTACTGCCACGCCGAAGCTAGATCGCTGCTCGAATGGGACGCTGGACACCGCTTACCGGTGAGGTCTGACGATGTCGCACCGCTGATTCGGGAAATACGGCGGGTAGATGGCGAGACGGCGGCGGCGGCGGCGGCGGCGATTACGGCAATAGATGAGATGGTGGCTGTTTGAACGTTGCATGGCTTTCTTCATCACATCTCTCCATCGTTTCTGTTTCTAGATTGGCTAAATGGTTTTAGATGTAAGAATCTCCAGATAGATTTGGTTCACACCACGGAAACTTGGAAGCTTGTACAATGTCTGAAGAATTGTTATACACGAATATTACACAGTTATCTTGGGCTATTATTAACATTACTCTTCAGGAACTTCAAATCTCTAGTGGCGTCTTTTCCCACTTTCATTGACATCTAATCCGAGTCTGGATCTAATTTGGCCCCCGAGCACGCACTCGCACACGCACACGTCATATACGCGGTGCCCCTGCCACCGTAGTCTATTCCGCCTGCACTGGGCTCGTAGGAGCTCTACACCCGCTGCACCAACAAGTCGCATCTCATCCCTCTCGGTAACGCGTCTAGCGTACCTAGCTGCTCCATGCTTCTACCATTCGTCACAGAAGTAGGGTCCTCCGAGATTCGGTACCGCGATAGCAAAAACGCAACGGCCAATTTGACCTCGACATTGGCGAAGTTTCGACCCAGGCACACACGCGCTCCATATCCAAAGGGCATGTAAAAAGTTTCCATGACGCGAAGTTGTTCCGCGTCTGCTTCCAACCAGCGGTTCGGGTTGTAGACATCCGGTTCGGGGAATACGGATCGCGTGCGCTGAATGGCCACGGTCGACGTCGACACGGTGGTCTGGAGTTTGACTTGTTACATTGAGACGTTCATATACGGTGCGGGGGGTTTTTGATGACTTACGCCTTTTGGAATAAAGACACCGTCGTACTCTTTGCCAACGGGGGCGATCCTCTCGGCTCTGCCGCTCGAGCTGGGGTTGAGCCGGTAGGATTCTTTCACGCATGCCTGCAGGATGGGAGCCTTGTTGATATCGTCCAGCGACGGGAACCCGTCCTCCTGCACCGGCAACGAGGCTATTTCATTTCGAATACGCTCCTGCCACTGCGGGTTTCGCGCAAGATTCCAACAAATATACGTCAGCGTCACCGTGACCGTCATCTGCGCTGCGTATAGATCATCTAGCAGCTCGGCATTGATCCAGTCCGCCGACAGCGGCTCTCCCCGCTTGGTCTTGCACGCCTGCAACTTGCCCAGCAGAGTGTACTGGCTGTCTTCGGGGCTGGGGTCGTTGATCTTATCCGCTGCCCGCCTGCTGTTCCAATCCCCGATGCTGTGCTCACCATTCAAAAAGTTTGGATTACGGTAAATCAGGTAAGCGACAAACTTGAACAGGTAATACGCTGGGGAGAAGTTGAGTAGCCATGGCTGCGCCGCCTCACAGTACTTGAGGTCGTCAATCATGTCCCTTTCCTGGCATGGCTTCTCGACCGTGTGCGTACAGTGGCCCGGACCGTAAAGCAGTCTGGTAATGTTGTCAAAAGCATAGCGGTTGCTGAGCTGGAGCAGGTCAAATGTGGCAGCACCCGAGTTCTCGTCGACGCCTTGTCCGATCTGATCCAGCAGGGTAACAGTGCGCTCACGTATAGGTCCAACAACGTGGGGTGAGTGGATTGAAGCTGCTTGGAAAAAGGCAAAGCTGTGATTTCTCCTCTCTCGGTGCTCTTCGTAACCGATGCTGCAAAAAGTCGACCGCTCCCCGTAGGCGACAAAGGCGTTGAACCATGAGCTCTTTGGGTGGCGGCTGGTAGGCCCGTAGATTTCGCGCTTGGTGGATGGTTCGGAAAAGGAAACTTCGCCGGGCGCAATCAAGACGATTGGACCGTATTTCTCATGCCACTTGCGCACTTTGGCCGTTCTCTGCAGCCTCACGTCAAAGTAGACCATCCACAAGCTGGTGATTTTGCAGAGCCTGGGCCCTGGAATATGGGCATAGCTCGAGAACCAGAGACGATGGACCACGATGAATGTAGTCAAAACTACCACCAGACTGATAGCTAGGCCGACATCAGGGACGAGTGCAGGAATATGCAGGAGCATCTTGGTCGAAGAATGGGTGCGCTGGGGGTGCCTGGTCCTGAAAGACGGTCAGACGTAACCGCGGGTCGAGAATATGCGCCTCGAAAAATGTAGAAACGAATGCGATTAGGTTCAAAAAATTTGAACAGTGCAGCGCCAAATGTTAGTACCTTTATCGGTTACACCGCTCAGAGTTTCCTTTGTCCAGACCCCCTCAACTCCCCAGTGCCTCCCCGACACGCCCACTCGGTGCAACCAGACTAGATGGTAAATTCGTCCAATGAAAGTTTTTTTCCGGCGTAATGATCGGTGTGTTGACTTAGACACGTATGTACTGGCTGAGACGGCGTAGGTCAGCTGGCATCAAGCTGCAAAACGCCCAATGAGGTTCAATCTTGGCGTAATTGTCGGGGTGGTAGCCGAGACACGGCCGAGCCTGACTGAGGCGGGCATACCACCCTTTCATTATTCGTGAGCTGCAACGCAATAAGATGTCTTTTAATTTTTTGGGGTATTCGTGCCGTGCTGAATACTTTGAGGTGCCGGCCGAGACACGGATGAGCAAACTCATGTACGTCGTACGGATACGTATATGGTAGATCCAGTCAACAGAATTCATCCCCCCCTCCTTTTCAGCTGGTATACGGATAGAGTCGGATAGAGATTCACGTTTTATATGTGCCTGCAGCTTGCAAGGCTTTGACTGCCGGGGAGGAGCTTTGCGGTGCGAGACTCACACTCGCGGGGGCCAAACCCGGTGCTTCCTCTATGACGTAATTTCACTTATGATGGGGTATGAATCAGAAATCTACAGTGATTACTCGTGATACTTTTTCGGGAAAAGACAATCTAGGAGTAATTCAACAAAGCCATCTAGTAAAATTGATCATTTTCCCTGTCACCTGTCTACTGGGTAGCTTTGCCAGTGGAGGAGGAGGGGACGACAATTCCGGGGTTCTTGGCCAATTGCAGCATCACCAAAGAAATTACCATGTACTTTTCCGAGCAGCTTTGGCGCCGGAAGCGACATGTATCATGGATCAGCAGGCAATAGGTAGCCTCACTGATCAGCGAGTGGGGCGAAGCACATTGGCAAACGGATAGGCTGGCGCAGCTGGCTGAAAACAATTTAGTTTTTTTTTCCTAAATATTAAAGTCTGATTAAATTAACTAATACTACTCCGTATTTTGAGTGACCTCAGATCTCAGTCATCTGACATTTTGTGCAAACAAGAAAAGCGTGCCTGCCCACGGGGCTGTTTGTCGAACCTTTGGCATCATTCCTTCATCGACAACATCTCCCCAGCCATGGCAACGCCGTCTGCCACCGAATCGTCGCCTTTGCTGCCCCATGCAGATGTCGAACCTGATGCGAGGCCTGCTGTCCTATCGCAGGGCCGGGCTGCCATTGTCATTATGCAGGTGTCTGGCCTGACCTTTTTCAGCACCTTTTGCAATGGCACGATTGTCATTGCTCTGCCTGCCATCCAAAGGTCCCTGGGTCTGGACAAGAGCCTCCTGGTCTGGCCAAGCTCCAGCTATTTCCTTACCGCAGCGTCGTGTCTGCTATTGGCCGGATCGGTGGCCGATGTCGTCGGAAACAAGCGGGTGATTCTGGTCGGATCCTTCTTTGCCGCCTTGTCGGCCTTGGCCTGCGGCTTGGCGCGCACTGGTGGCGAGATGATTGCGTACCGGGCCATTCAGGGCATCACCTACGCCGCCATTACTCCGTCGTCCGTTTCCATCATTGCCAATCATGTTCAAAAAGGTCGCCCCCGGAACATGGGCTTTGCCTGCATGGGTTTCGCCCAGCCAGTCGGTCTCTGCACCGGCCTGGTTCTGGCTGGTTTTCTCACGGATACCATCGGATGGCGTTCGGCTTTCTACCTTGCTGCCGGCATTAGTGGCCTCTTGTTCCTGATTGGTATATGGGTGTTGCCGCGTGACATTGGCCCGGAAACCGGCCCGTCGATTTGGAAGCGAATTGTTGTCGAGATTGATGTCGTTGGGGCTCTCGTGGCAAGCACAGGACTAGGCTTGCTGTCGTATGTTTTGGCGTGAGTTGCTCTTTTTTCGCATGCATTACTATATACACTACTAACCTACTTCCAGAACACTGTCGCAAGACATCAGAAACATCTACAAAACATCCAGCATAGTTATACTCGTCATCACCTGCCTATCAGTTCCACTGTTCGCTAGGTGGATGCACTACCGAGAGCACAATGGCCGTGTCGCACTTATCCCGAACTCGCTCTGGCGAAGCCAGGTCTTCACCAGCCTCTGCATCATGGTACTACTCACCAATGCCCTTGCAAATTGCATGGAGTTGTACAGCAGTCTTTTGTAAGCTATTGCCGTTATTTTCTTTCCACTTTGTAGTACTATTGGCTGACAACCCTCAGCTTCCAGGAGGTCCAAGGCTCCTCCGCGGTTAGGGCGTCTGTACAAGTTGCACCTTCTCTTGCCGCTGGTGCAATCGTCAGCATCGCAACTGGAATGACGGCGCACTGGGTGTCGGCTTTGTGGATGCTATTCATCTCCGGCGTGATTAGTACCATTGCGCCGCTTTTGATGGCCATCATCCGAATTAACCAGCCATACTGGCAAAATGCCCTTTTTGCACAGGTGAGCAAACTAATCCCATCTCAGTCAGCGTTGTCCACGTCCAGGCCACTGATGCAGCTCTTACCAGATCCTTACTCCGATCAATTGCGACGTCCTGTTTACTCTTGGCCTTCTCATCATATCCGACAGCTTCCCACGAAATATGAAGGCCTTGAGCGGCGCTGTATTCAACACATGTGCACAACTCGGTGTTGCAGTTGGTATGAGTGTAACGCAGTTTATTGCATCGTCTGCGACCAACCACTCCTCGTATCCAGACAAGTCTTCGCCCGAAGCGCTTCTGCAAGGGTACAAGGCCGCCTTTTGGACCATGTTTGCCTGGATGGTGTTTCTTTGTATAGTTTGTCTTGTTGGCATGCGGAAAGTAGGCAAAGAAGGCCCCATGCATCGGTTTTTTAGCAACGTGCCAGCTAACGGGGCTACTGTACAATAAAGCTCTGCGGAGCGCAAGGAATACAAAAAGAATATGGGTTGTATTACTTGCTACAATTTGTCAATATTTTCAGCTTATAAATTTGTGCTAAAAAAGAATAATGAATTGCACCTTACCGCCAACGACAAGACTGACGGCACACTCGAGTACGGCCACTACTACGAGACTTGGTATCAGGCTTTGGTCAAGCTGTGGACTGCTTAGCTGTGCAAATTGAGAAATAGACTGGAAAAATGAAAAAAAGAAAAAAAAAAGGAAATAACGTTGACCATGTAAATGAAAAGTACGCTTCGAACAATGCATTACTGCAATTTATTAAATGAAACAACAAACAGATCAAATTTCCATCACACCCACCATAGCGCGAGTAAAGCAAAACACCAGCTCTACCCGTCTCTAGATAGAAGTAGCTGAACAATCCTCTCATGTCCACTCTCAGCAGCATAATTCAGAGGAGACTGGCCATATTTATCCCTTGTATCCACGCTGACATCCTTTCGTGCTAGTAGTAACTGCACGATTTCTCTGTGCCCACCCCAGGCGGCCTGTGACAAGGGTGTCGAGCCGCAATTCCCTCTCGAGTCTGCCTTGACGTCTGACCGAGCCAGCAGCAACTCGACGACTTCTTTGTGTCCACGGCTTGCCGCATACCAAAGCGGGGTAGAACCGTTGCCGTCCATTGAATCTGCTTTGACATGTGGTCGAGCAAGCAGGAGGAGCTTGACAATGTCTGCATGTCCATGCTCAGCAGCATACGACAGCGGCGATCGGTCATCTCTGTTCCGTGAATCGGCATTGACGTCTGGTCGAGCGAGCAGTAATTGAGCAACTGCCTTGTTTCCAGTGCTGGCAGCATGAGAAAGCGTGGTTGAGCCGTTCTTGTCTCGCACGTCTGCTTCGACGTCTGGTCTGGCCAGCAGCATTCGCACAACATCAGTGTTTCCGTTCCAGGCGGCATACCACAGCGGTGTCAGGCCATTGGCCGCTTTTGCGTCTGCTTCAATGTTTGGTTGAGCTAGCAGTAGCTTTACGACTTCTGCATGTCCACGCCAGGCGGCGCGCCAGAGCGCGGTTGAACCGTCATTGTCTCTCTCATTCACGTTGACATCTGGTCGGGAGAGCAGTGACTGGACGACGTCCTTGTATCCACCCCAGGCAGCATGCCAGATTGGGGTCAAACCATTCTCATCTCTTGAGCTTGCCTTGACGTGTGGTAGGCTTAGCAACAACTGAACGACTTCATTATGCCCGTTCTGAGCCGCATAGGAGAGCGGAGTCCGACCGGCTTGATCTCTCCAATCGGCCTTGGTACTTGGTCGAGCTAACAGCAAGCGAACGACGTCTTTATGTCCATTGCAGGCGGCGTGCGAGAGTGGCGTCCGACCGTAGTCTTCCCTTGACTGTGTATCGCTTTCTGGTCGGTCAAGCAATGCCTGGACGACTTTTTTATGTCCGTGTTTTGCGGCGAAGGACAGTGGAGTCATGCCATGTTCATATTTTTCTTTGGGATCGTAAAACTTTTGGTGCAGGAGAAACTCGAGTAGTACGCAGTCTCCCGCCGCGGCCAAGAGATGCATCATCCCTCTGCTCTTGTCGTCTTCCGTCTTGAGGTAGTGATCCTTGCGCAGCCGTGCTGACAGAGGAGTTGCTTGTGAGCGTGCCAAAATGCCATTGGATCTGTGGCTTTCGGCATTCCAGGAGGAATAGGTTTCAGGTAGACCACCCATATTGACTGCTCAGGGGTTCCTTTTCGTATAGACGTTGACAGTAGCCGAGAATCTCAACAACAACAACGCGGTAATGGGATTGAATTGTTCACAACGGTTCATGGGGCTGATTCTGTACGGCCAACATATGACTCCCCAGGCAAAACATTCATCCTGTTGTAGAAACGTTGACCGAAAGGAGTGCTGGCAGACTCGACGATTGAAGTTTGTTCCTATATATACGAATATTGGGCGAAAATTGTGTACCCCTGTATGGTATTCTTCCTTTTACTCCAGAAATTGGCCCCTGTTCGATGACGAAGCTGTAGCCTGGCCGGCATGCATGTTTGCAGCCCTGTATGTACTTTGATCTTCCTTGTCGATCGATACCAGCTACGCATGCGAAACTTGGCCATCCAACATCTTTGCCCTGCAAGCCAAACAAGGTCATAGGTCGTAAAGTATTGCGCACAATAGCGAATAGCAGCAGTCAAGTCAATAGTGTTACTTTCTTGTAAGGATCAATGTCGCATAGATGACAGCAGGTAAGACAATAGCGCGCGGCCTGCGGACTAGACATACATAAGGCGTGCATGACGTGGTAGCGGCGTAAAAGTGAGGAGGGAAATGCGGTGAAAATTTCCGAGCCGAGACAGATGCAGCGACAATATAACTAATATATATCTTTATGCCGTGTGACATTAGACATAATACATATATACATTGTAGCATATAGACCATGACAGCGCTCATGATGGCCGAGGCAAGTAAATATACGAGGCCCACGCTGGATCTCGAGGCTGACGGATCTGGCCGTCCCATCTTTCGATTCATGGTAGCTTTTCTGGCTGCAACAGTCGTACTGCTAGAATAGGAATGGGTAAGGGTTTTCAGCAAAAAAAGCAAAAGCCGAGACCGATCAGCGCCCCAAATCACTGGCTACAGTCCCCGTATGTACTTTGTAGTAATAATATGCAGGGTTTTATATTTCAGCTTAGCCATGTAGGCAGATCATGCCTAGAATGTGGCGCTAGCAGAGACATTACAGGAACATGACGAATGTTTATTAATTAGGTGCCGTCTCAACTTGTCTGCAAGATGCCCTTTTTCTGTTCCAGTGCTTCTGCAGTTCATAGATCCATGACCAGTGGGCTTTTCCCCAACATACGTGCCCACTCAACCACTTGTTCCTACCACCCCATCTCACGTGAAACCTCGACATTTGGCGGCTGTCTGTAACTAGGAATCCTCAACGAACTTTTTGCTTGACTAACTAATTAGTCTCAGTCACTTCGAAGGTTGCATCCTGTTTGAGAGAAAAATCTTCAATCCCAAAGAAACTCTGTCTTTTGCATAGTGTCGTTTTTAATTATTGTCTGGCGCGTCAAGCGACGATGCCGTAGCCGGAGAGTTACATGGTAGCACGCCCACCACTGAGTGACTCAACCAACCTTGGGGCCTTCTTTGCTGTCGCCAGAGCATAATCAGCTACAATTTCTTCTTTCAGTGATATCATATATCATTACGGATTATATACACCCGATCTGCTTTGCTTTGCTGATGGCTCATGTCTCTGCCCGGCTCGTGAATGCCCTCACCTCTTTGATTCGCGACAGCGACGTCCAAGGTACTTAATATTAGTCACAACAGCCAGAAATTTATTATGAGTGCATAACCAGTAGTGCACGCCGTGTGCATAACCAATGGTGCATTACTTGTGCATAACCAATGGTGCAACCCTTGTGCATGATCAGCGAAAAAAAAACTTATGATGCCTGAAAAGACTGAGTGCTGATGGTAAGGATTGCGGTGCCATGGCTGAGCATTGGCTGTTCCGTGATGCAAACTGTCAGTATAGCGATGCTTCCACCCAAAGATGTGGCGACAATAAAACGCACGCACCACAGTAGTATGCGATGCTAATGGAAAAGATAGGCCTCGCAAGCGTCTTGTCGCAAATGACGGCATCCTCACATAATGAAGCAGCCCTGACAAGACGGCAAGTCTACTTGGATAGCACCATAGGTGGCCTCTTAGTCATTCCACTGCAATGAAGCAGCTTCCGCGCCCCTGGCTAGAAACCAACGAGTTGATTTCGGAGTTGCCTATAAACGCTTATATAAAAAAAAAAAAGAAAAAACTTGCCAAGGTCTGATTCGTATCAATGCGAATACTGCACCTGTGTTTTATAGCGACTCACGCTGCCCCACGAAGCTGCGACTACGCCCCCGGCTGGGCCACAGACAAACTACACCTGTGTTTTATGTTGCATGTTAAATTTTGGATCCAACTTGGAGATGCTGAGCACTCGTTTCAATGATTGTAGTGGGCATTCCGAGTGGTTTCCGCCCCAGAGCGGACATTTGTCTCGATCGTCGGATTAATAAGTGAGGTGAACATGGGATATCCCGTCTGTGACAAAAGGGGGGGGGCTTTGGCCATCTACGGATATAACGAGCGTCCCTGGTATCCCCTAAAAGGGCTTACGAAGTACGTATGCTTGACCTTTTATCATGGCGCTAACGCCATGTGGCGGCCAGCTAGTCGAAACTTAAACCTGACGACCTTCTTTTGTTACTGCCATCACTACATCATCGTTGGTCGGGCCGCGTCACTGCGAACTGGGGGGCGGGGGGGATTTCCGATGCCAGGGGACAAAGTGATGGCTGTCCCATTGATCGTCGGCCGGTCCGTCCGTGCCTGCGAGCAGCACCAGACTTGCATCGCCTACATAGTTAGGATCATCAGTTCGCCTGTGGCCGTTACCTTTGATTAGGCGAAAAAACGTGGGCTGGCCAAGATGCAAGTCTCCACGTGTATGGGAGGGATAGACATTCCAAACCGCCGTCTTTGGTCATTATTCAGGGTCCGGGTAGATAGATAGATGCATACGCGTCCATGCGTGCGTGCTTTCCTGTTTCTTCTGTATCCCTTTACACAGTCATGACGGCCCGCTATTGAGTATGTTACATATAAAAATGGTATTGTGGGCTACCGTGTTAGATGCTCAATGCGTCCCCTTTCTAATGGGGGAGACTTAGTTCCGATGTTTCATGACAATCTTTAACAAAGCTGTCCAGGAGCGGCCCGTCTCCAAATACTTATATTCCGAGCCAACACGGCGACCTGTCCTAAAAATACCCCAACTTCTCAGCCATTGCGTAGCGTTGTCTCAAAACACTTACAACTTCAGTTAGCCATGACGAGAGCATCGCCTGCCATCATGTCGGCCGTATTCGTCAGGGTCCTATCGTTTCTCACGGTTTTCTTGGTGCTTCTCGGCCTAGTTCTCCACGGTTTACGCTCGCACCACCCCGATCCTTACCGATGCCAGCAGCTGCTTGACGATGGCAGCTGGCTCGAGCCTCCCAATGAACATGGCGCGAGGGAGCCATTCATCAACTGGCAGCCGCACGGCTGTAAGCTCCGAAACTACACCAATCAGGATATTCACGAATGCATGGAGCATCGCCACATGGTCTTTTCCGGCGATTCAACCACCCGTCAAGTCTTTTGGGCCATGGGACGCCTGGTATTGTTTTTTTTTTTTTTTTCCTTTCTTTTTGTTTCTTTTTCTCTCTCGTCATTATATATTCAATTCTCGAACAAGCAACTTACACCACAAAAAAAAAAAGATTGACAGGAACAAGTCCAACGAGCGCCGCAGTGCAGCCAGTATCCACTCGGAATACGATATGGAATTCGACGGCATCCGCCTATTGCAAATCTGGAATCCCTATCTCCACGTCGGCGAGGGTACAAAGGAGGGCCAAGACCTCGAGTATCAACTCAACCTATGGCAGGAAGAAAGCACAACAATGTCCCCGTCGCCGACCAAAAGAGCGCCGGCCTCTTTCTCATCGGCGCAGGTAGCTGGTTCTCGCTCCACATGTTTCACGATGATGCCATTGGCAACTTCTCCGAGGCCATTGTCAAGATTAGCAACATTATCAAGATGAGCACCTTGCCGCCGTTTGCGTCTGCGCCCATGACACCGCATGACGGCGTGGGCAACGGGCTCTTTGTTGCTCCTGTCGCTCCGCCCTTTTACGACAAGCTTCCAGACTATCGAACGGGCCCCGTGGGCATTCACAAGGGCGAGATTGAGGATATCAACGAGTTCCTCGACGGCATCAGCGCCGAGCAGCAAATCCCGCTGCTTCGCGCGTTCCCCGCGCTCTCCAGGGAACAGCCCGGGGCCATGGTCGACATCACCGAGACGGGACTTCATGTCATCGACTTGGTCGCCGAGACCAAGGCCCTGATCCTGCTCAACGCCCGCTGCAACGCAAAACTACACGCCCTGCACGGCTCCCCCTACGACGGCACTTGCTGCACCGACTACGGCCGAACAACGTTTGTCCAGTCCGTGCTGCTCGGCCTCGGCATCCTCTATGTTGCGGCATGCATCACCATCGAGGTCTTACAGATGGTCGGCCGTGGCATCGACTGGTCTCTGTTTGACATGAGCGCGTGCATGTTTGTCACGGCGCTGCTGGCATGCTTCCTCGCGGACCGCACGCAAGTCTTTGCCAAGGGCAGCAAGCAGTTTGTCGGCAGCGAGCTCGCCGCTCTGCTGCTGGTTACCGCGGTCGCTGGCATCGTCTCCATTCGCCGAATGAAGCCGCTGCGGTCCGACTCACTGACTCGGCCCGACGAAAAACTACAAGACGCTGCACCGCTGTCCCGAGACCAGACGGATGAGTGGAAGGGCTGGATGCAGGCCGCCATTCTCGCATATCACTGGACCGGCGCATCCAAATCGCTTCCCGTGTACATTTTCATCCGCCTCTTGGTCGCCGCTTACCTTTTCCAGATGGGCTATGGCCACACCATCTACTTTCTCGTCAAAAAAGACTTTTCTTTGAAGCGCGTTGCCGCTGTCATGCTTCGCTTGAATTTACTGAGCTGTGCTCTGCCCTACGTCATGAATACCAACTACATGCTGTACTACTTTGCGCCTCTGGCCAGCTTCTGGTTCGTAATCGTATACCTGACTCTGGCCATCAAGTCCGACTACAACGACACGACCACCGCCCTCCTTATCAAGCTTGCAATCTCGGCATCCGCCGTCGCGTCCGTCTTTCTGTTTACGCCAGTGTCGGAGTGGATCTTCACCGCCCTTCGGTACGCCTTCCGCATCGACTGGGACCTTCACGAGTGGCAGTTTCGCGTGTCCCTCGATAGTCTCATCGTCTACGTCGGCATGCTGGCGGGCATGGCCTCGGCAAAAGGAAAGGCTTGGGATCGTTTACTTGTGCAATCCAAGTTGCCAGGACTGATTGGGTTGGCTGTCTTGGCCGGATATTGCTATCTAAGCAGCCAAATATTTCAGGTGAAGCAGGACTACAACAAGTGGCATCCCTACGTCTCGTTTGTCCCCATCATTGCCTTGATCGCAGCTCGCAACGTCGCTGCTCCGCTGCGCGTATACTACTCCAAAGCGTTTGCGTGGCTCGGTCGATGCTCCTTGGAGGCCTTTACCCTGCAGTTCCACCTATTCCTCGCCTCGGACACCAAGGGTATTCTTCTTCTAGACGGCCTCACTGGCGATGGCAGCCTCGCCACGGATAGATGGAGGCACCTGGTCGTCATCGTTCCATTGTTTCTATGGATTAGTCACGCGACGGCAGAGGCGACGGGCCACTTGACCAAGCGGCTGACCAGCGAATCTGCGGAACAAGGCAAGCCCGAAGGCAGCCATGCGTATGAGCGACTTATGCCAGAATCAGGTGGCTTGGATGAGTCGCGAATAATGCACTGGCTGAGGGTAGCTAATCGTCTGGGTGTTAGATTAGCCGCACTGCTACAGTGGGTCCAGGTAATTCCGCTCACAAATCCACCAAAATATATACTAGTACCAAGTCACGTCGCGTAGAATATCAACACATAAACTTTAAAGCCTAATTACACCCCATTCTAATGCCTAGAGTCACCTAAAATACTAACTATAGTCCTTATAAGAGGGGAAAGGTATAGCGGCTACGTTTAATTAGTTATTTAACTAAGGACGTGGCGTAGTTAGAGCAAATACTATAAGGGAGTATATCTAGTATCGCGACGCGCTATAAACATTAAATTAAGGGTTAAGATAGATTACGCCCTAGAGTACTAAGATAAGTATTAGACTATAATAAAAGACATATCCTTTAAATTATTAATAATAACCCTTTTATCTAAAATAGAAAGCTTATTAATAAGGTCTTTTTATATTATTCTATAATAACTCTTATTATTTACTTATAATTATAGGGTATACTTTATAAGTATATAATTTACTAGCTAAAATTAACATCTAAATAAGTAGCTATATGCCTAAGATTTATATAGGAGTATATTTATAAGCTAATTAAGTACTAGGAGAAAGTTTTTTTCTCTAATAAGGTCTTTATTACTTATAATAACGGCTTAAAGATAAAGTAATATTTTACTTATAAGGTATATATATATAGCCTATTAGAGAACTATAAATAACTTACTAACTATAAGGGCTTAGGAAGAGAGATTTAATAAGGATAAAGTCTAGCTATAGGCGTTAATAGGATGAAAAATTCTAATATTTTAGGGTATAATTAGTGCCTATTAGAGGTTATCTCTTAATATACTTTTAGGTAACCCTAATAGCCCCTAACATAGCGTCTTTATATAGATAATTCTTAACCTCCTATAGTCTAAATTACCTATAATTTTAGAACCTAGGAATATATTTATATAAGATAATATATATACTTATATAGCTAATTTAGTATAAGATTAGCTATATAACTTTATATAAGAGAATAATATTAAGATTATAACTTAGCTAGCATATTCCCCTAATCTTAACCTTATTAAAAACGTCTAGGCATTACTAAAAGAAAAAATAATATAGTGTTATCTAGAACTATAAGAGATACTAGTTAATAAGTATCTTTCTAATTTATTAGAAAATATTACTATTAAGTGCTAGAAGGATTTTAAATAAGAGCTTTTTTATTAACTAGTTATAATAGTAATATATAGGCTAGAGGCTATCGTCTACGCTAGGGGCTAGTATATAAAATACTAGTTATATTAATTAATATAGAATTTAATACTCTATTATTATATAACATAGGTAGTATTTTAATAGAGAATTAGTGCTATAATACGGGTTTTAAGTATCTTAGTGATGGTACTACTACCCCGCCCAAATTGATCGTGAGCGGAATTACCTACGACCCACTGTAGTGTTGATGTGGCTTTTAAATCTCATATATTAGGCTCTAAAGCTGCCCGATATACGCATTAAACTACTAGAATATAGATCAAATATAGTATAATATACAAGGAGTTTCTATAGATGTCAAATCACAAGACTCGTTGGCGAGCCTGATTATATATGAGCTGCATGACAGTTGTCAATGTCTCACCGTGGGCTGAAAATCGTACCAACTTGACCATTGACGGCATTCATGACCAGAAATATTGCCGCTTCTGCAGAATCCTTCTGCAATCCTTTGACAATACTTCTGCAATCCTTCTGCAGAAAAGTAAGACAAGCCCGTGCTCATCTTCCCGCTCATCGACCGACTGAGTGTATTCATCGAGACTTTGCGGCCTTTTTATATTCAACAGCACAAGTATATAAAATTATATAAAGAGCCATCTTCTAGTTTACAAGTGACCATCCATCACATTCACACTTACACATCATTGAAAAGCCTTTGTTGATTACCTCTTGTGCCATAACACTTCACTTCATCTATCAACATGAAGACTACCACTGCCATCCTTTTCCTCGCCAGCACTTGCCTGACCTGGGCTGCCAATATTGACCTCCGCGTCGCCGAAGCCGAATGCGGTGCGCTAGGCGTCATGGAAGCGCCCGCCTCGGCCTATGCCAACGGAGGCATCGTTCGCAAGTGCCGCGACCACCCTCTGGGCAGCAGCGGCATCGGCCCCTCGGTCAGCGAGAAGCGCGACGAGAGTACGCTCACCCTCAACAGTCTCGAGAAGCGCTGCAAGACCCCGCTCAATGGGCCCTGGGGCTGCACCCGCGGCTATTGCTGGAAGGGCTGCGGCCAAGGCTACAAGTGGTGCTGGACGGCCGCCAACTATGGCCACGGGCCCTGGGCCCGATGCACCAGGGGCGGGGACTGCGGGTTTGACGACCTGAGATTTGCCTGCAGCGGTGGCTGCGGATGTTGAGCGGTACAGCTCCTGCCTAGTCGATATGTACTCGGGTGGCTATACGGGGTAGAGCTAAAAGCTTTACTTGGAACAATGCTCAGCCATGTATAGAAGCAGTAGTCTTCTGTCGAGATACTCAATAGCGGCTAGGCAGCTTCTCTAGATCAGTGTCTTTAATGATCACAATAAAGCATATAACATGTTGTAGGCCTTATAAAGCACTGGGTTCGTTGAACTCCGCTGCACTGCACTATATAGCGTCTCACGGTGCCTTTCTGGAGGTGTGTCGTCCCATTTCAAGGACACTGCTTTGGTACTACACTGTCACAAATGCAACAAAAGGTGAGGGCCAGTGTAATATAGTCGCAAAAAAAAAAAAGAAAGAAAGTCCTATGCTCTTGCAACGCTGGGCATCTAGCTCCCCGACGAAAGAGCACCGCTCGTGCAAGAAGTCGATAGTGACTGAGTGAGAGCCAGCAACCACTCTTCCCGCCCGCTAATGTGGTAGAGTCAAGAGTATCCAAGTCAATATTTGAATAGGCCAAGATATATAATCGTGAGGGGAAACTCATTTTCGGAATTTATATGGACAAGAGGTGGAGTGAGTCTACAGATTGGGAAGAGCGCATGATACACGAGAGGCAGTCAGTATGTCTGACAGACCGACCGACGAATATCATTAGGCCAATAAAATAAAACACTCGCCCCGGTCTGCGTCGGTATATAGATAATGTAACACAACGAAATAGTGCCAGAATTATCTTATTATAGGCAATGAAAGAGCAAGCTAGCTCTATCTTCGGGCCGTCGGAAGGGTCGACGGGACGGAAGCTCCCGCGTCGACCCCGCTCGTCCCGAGAAGGCGTCATCTCTCAGCCTTGCAGTCTGACGAAGACGGCCTTTTCTTTTCTTTTTTTTTTTTTCTTAAAGTGGGCTGCTTGTCGTTGCCTTTTGGCAGCCCCCTCTGCTCCTTCTTTGTGACGGCGGTCTATACATGGCTGTGTGGTTACGTCAAAAAGACGTTGAAACATTTTGTGTTCAAAGATTTGTATTCAAACAGCCAAGTATCCAATGCCACCCACTGTTCCAACTATACCGAGTATTGCTACCCACAACACCAAATCATTTGCATGGATTCTCTCATCTTTTTGTTTTGATACTGAAATATTGTTGAACGGGCTACCGCTCGTCCCCGTATAAAGACCAAGCGACGACAGGGATTGGCCCTCGGGCGCGATACTACTACGCATTTCTAACTGCTTAGCACCGCGTATGCCTCTTCATGATGTTTCTATGTACTTTGTACGGACGACCTTCTAGAGCCCTCACGCCTTGCGGACGCCGTCTATTGATAGTCAAAGTTACTTGAAAGACCTATTAAATTTGAAAGATGGCAAGACATCAATACGGCATGCAAGACATGACAACGCACCAGACATGACATGGGTGATTTTGTATTTATCATAGCATAGTAACCTAAGTCTTAACTCTCTGCGCCTACTGGTATAAAACATAGGAATTCTAGCTTCCGCATCTGATCCAAACACTCATCAATCGTGTCGAGAATTCGTTTTGGGCCACCAACCTTGATCGCAAAAGTACAGCTTGCTCTGTAATCGATTGCGCCCTCCCTTGCCATTGTCCCCTTTATTTCTTCACCTATTTCCTGTCCCATCATGCTTCCACTGAGTTTTACTCAATGCGTCACGGCTGGTATTGCCCTTGTTGCTAAGCAGTACCCGAAAGCAGAGCTACTCGAAGCCTTGTGCACGTCTCCCAAAGTCGGTTATGTCAACAGTCCCTCCGAATTCACGAACCTGGACCTTGTATTCAGGGCCAATGACGGCACATGGGGAAGCGTGCGCATGAATACGACCAACTGCGCCGACTTTGCGCTCGAGTACGTTTCGGAACCAGTGATGGACGATGTCGCCATCCCATGGCCGGTGGAAAAGGACGCTGTTCAGGCGGACCAGTACCTAAAGGAGTCGTCATACCCTTCGGCTTACGATAGTATGCTCTTGCGCTGGCCGTTTTACCCTGGCGACGACGAGCCATACTACATCTTCCACTTGGAAAAGTATGGAGATTTATTTGCATTTGTTCCTACTCGTTCGATCAAAATCTGCTTATCGAAATGAGTCTTGTCCACATACAAGCCAGTCAGCAGAACGAATCACGGTCAAGAGTAGGGCTGACTGGAGATTCCAGAACAAGGCTGGAAGGAATTTACATGACGTATATTTTTCAAACAAATATAATATTAAATGCCAATACAAGCGCTTAACTACACCGTAGCGACGGTCACTCTCGGGATTTTTTTCTGTCGTCGTCCTCAATGTGCCCTTTCGCGGCGCTCCGCCTATCGGTTGTCTGCTCAAAATGCCACCTCTCTCTGGCGCCCACAACTTGATTGGTAAACAAGCAAACTTGCAGTCACCTGGGGAACGCCGAGCATCCTCATCGCTGCATAGGCGCCGATCTTCGCCAGTTTCCTTGCCCGTCTCTCGAAATGATGTGCTTTTTAACCGTGGCGGTACCGTCTCTGTCTTCTGTCCTCTACCCGGGGGAGGCCTATCCTATATGGGCGGTGCGAGAGGGGGCGGCTACGGATGTATCCGCGATTTAGCATAGCCACTAACTTTCCAAGGAGAGGCCGCCGTCCATACTCACATTTGTGAGTGAACCGCAGCCGCACGCCATGCAGGCCTTGCGCCTCCACCTCCTCCAGGGCCTTGCGCTCGGAGGCGCAGCGCACCCCGCCTTGAATGCTGGTGCCTGTAAGAACGCCTTGCTACGTGATTGTGATTTGTTCTTGTACTGACCATTGTCCTCAAAAAAGTCTACAAGAACATATTCATGCTGCGAAGCTCTACGCGCTAGGTCGTCTTGAACCAGACAACATCTTTAGCAATCATGGATCCGCTCTCGATATGTGCATCAGCAGTTGCGCTGATTGGGGCTTCAAAATCCGTAAGAACAATTCTGAAGTAGGCGACTAGCCAGAATCACTGGGCTCACTGCTCTCAGGTCACAAAAGCGCTTTATAGCTTCACGCAATATGCCACCCACGCCGAGGCCCATGTAGCGTTACTCTGCTCCGAAATGACCACTTTGGCAAAATATCTCTCGTCGATAAGCAAGACGCTAAAGAGCTGCCGTCGCAATAAGAGGGCTCTTGCTCTTGTCGATGCCGAATTGTGGCGCCAGAGTGACCTGGCACTCCAAGACTGTGAAGCGACATTGAATGAGTTGTCCACCTTTGTCGCAAAGCTCACAACATCCAATAAGACGCCTTTTTGGCGCGCCAGGGTCGCTTTTGACATGAGCATCTACGCTCGTAAGCTCAATGAGTTTCGTGTTAGGCTCAAGCGGTCCAATTGTGCGTTGCAGACGGTTCTGCAGACAATCACCGTGTACGTGCCGTCGTTTGTGTCTTGCTTGACAAGGCGGAGAAATAAATGTCTAACGTCACGTGTTAGGTCGCTTTCGGTCCAGAACAACGCTTCGCAGGACCTCATCTTGTATGAACTAAACGAACTCAAGCAGTGCATTGAGGATGCCGTCTGGATCGCAAAGCGGTCGCCGGTCAGCCCTCAATCCAGCTTGACAGCGCTGTCAGAATCAATGGCTACCAAAAACCTACACAGCCTCGTAAAAGCGGCGGAAAACTTTCATTCTAGCGCGACAAGCACTGTCGGAAGCTCAATTGGAGGCTCCATCGCCGGTTGGCCAACCCCGGCCATCGAGACAGGTTCAATTGCTGGGTTGACGCCATACAAGACAGAACGTGTGCATGAGTACATACAAAACATCAGCCAGGAATCAAATCCATTTGCTGCCACTATGACGGAAGTAAGATCTTTCGAAGCCACCGATTTTCCCGAATATACCATCGCAGACGGGTCTGCTGAGCTGCCAAAAAATCTGTTCACGCCCATAAAATCGGCTCTCGATGCGGATTTTGAACTATGTTTGCACGAGGTACTCGAAGACTTTGCCATAGAAAAGATGAAGCTCAGAGATTTCGAGAATGCAGCTGCATATCTAAAAAAGGCCTTGTCTGGTAAGATGGGGCCAGTCGCTGAGACCAAAGATCGAGTGCGGCTACAGATTCGCCTTGGGATATGCTACGTTTTGCAACGCAAAATACCCGAGGCATGGATAGTCATATCCAAACTGGAAAGGAATGACGGACTTGAGAATATCGAGGTCCTTCACCTGATGCATGCTCTAGCCATGGTCCATTTTGCCATGTCTGAATTCGCAGAGGCAAAGAATCTTTGCGAAAGAATCCTCAAGGCCAAGATGAAATTTTTCGGCAAGTCGCATCCGGAAACTTTGATATCATTAGGCTTTTCGCGATATCTATATGATCAGTTGGACCAGCCGATAGAAATGGAAGCCACCCGTCGCCTGATGCCCCACGACTACGTGTACAAGCACCCGGAGAGCGAATTTGACTTTTTGGCACAGCATGCCGTGTTTATGCCCGTGATAGCGTTGGAGCCGCAGCCGGGGCCAGTCGAGCTACCTTGTACATATGTCGCCGAGAATTCTCAGGACGCACAGACGGCACAGACGCAGTACGTGCCGAATCACCACCTCAAGAGAGCCCTGACGCGGTACGAAACTCAGCAGTCGAATACAATGAAGGTGTTCTTGTCCGCCACTGTGACTCATCCAGATGAAGAAGAGTTTTGTCCCGGTCCCGGAATAAGCGCCTCCAGAAACGGACGGAGCCGGATGATATCCCGCAGTATGACTACGATGCGCCGACACTTGAGTACCTGGAGGTCCTCTAAGCTTGCGACGGTACGCGAGGGGCAAGCTTCAACGGAAAATCCGAGTATTCAAAGATGCGGAACGGTATTGCACAAGGCACCATCAGGAAGCCAGATGGAGTCCGCCAGGTCCACAGGACTGATCAGGGCAAAGAGACTTCTCAGCATACTCAAGAAAGAGAGGCCAATCGTCACCGCGCCCACCGAGGAGACCTTTCAAGTATTTGAGCTAGATGCGACATGTGTTCCCAGAAAACACATTGTCGAAGGGCTAGAAGACACAGGCGAAGCCCAGAATTCCTTTGCAGATCAAGGGGTCCAGGCCTCGCTGTCTGACGTACTGCCCTCTGAACCACTGCGAGTGAGCGTGCCACCATTGGACATGTCGTTGGTTACGATACCTGAATTACCAGAGCTCGATTCGGGCTACGGTTATGATCTGGAAAATCCGCCGATGATCGTCATCGAAGACTCGAGCAACTCTTCCGACGGCAGCATTAGCAGAGGATCAAGCAATCGCAGTACCGTTTCCGGCAGCAGCTACAGCACAAACACAACAGTTTCAGAAGCATCTCCAGCATCTCCCGTCGATTGCGGAGGCATTGACAGTTCAACAGCGCTGCGATCAATGTCGCAACGATATGAATTGTTTCAACCCGCCCAGAGTGATCCTGATTCTTCTATTAATATTCCAAAGACTTTTCCATCATTTCGTAGGGAAGATATGTTGCTTTCATCTAATGGCAGCTGTGGCAGCACGCGGCCTTTGGGAGGCTTGCTAGCCGCGCATCGCTATACACACAGCATGCACAAACCCTACGGCCATACATTACCGAAAGCGACAAACATCAAACATGGGTTGACCAACAATGGATATTGCTCACAATCTCCGGATCAAACTACCGAGGCGCTACCGGATATTTCGCCTGGCGGCTGGAGTGATGTTTCTGGCGAAACACATGGCCTGCAACGTACTTTTTCTTGGAGGCGTGGTGATGAAAACCTCTCCATTATTAGATTATCCGAGTCAGAGTCTTGAATAATGAATAGCTAAGAGAAGACTTTTATGTAATAATTCTAAGCACTATATGCCTGTATCAGTCCCCAACTATTCCTGTAGATAAAGGCCAATCTCGTCTAGTTTATACCTATTGATACGAAAGTGCCACTCTATATATCCCATCACAAAGTCTCGGTAAATATAGAGCAAATTACCGGGAAAAGTAGCCATGACGGAACAGTGGTTCAAGTAGAGAGTCACAGTATGCTCCAACAACCAATCCAGTGATTCCATCACGGTGCAAGAGTTTTCCCGTGAGATTTGAGTAATAAAACAGTCCTCTTTTCTTTGAATCCACTCTTTGTAAAAGGACAAGACGTCGTTGACATAATTAATCATGTCGTTGACCGCTGCAGTTAGTTGCATGTACTCGAAGCAGTTCTTCTCAAAATCCTGCTCTGTCGGAATCAGGAATTGACAGACAGCAGCCCCGCCACCAGTATTGGCTCTTATCCATGTGTGATACCCTAATACGGTCGTTGCCCGATTCTCCGCGAGCTCTGACTCCAAAACCATAGAGTTCAGAGTATCTATCCACGAGGCCAGTAAAATGCCAGTCCGAAAATCGCCCAAATCATGACCGACTTCGACCTTTAAGTACTTTGCCAAAGCTTCGAGATATGGATCTGTCTGGGGATAATTGTTCATGAGATTAAAGGTGAATTGCTTAGCAGAGCTTTTGTCAACAACATGCTCTTCAACCATCCAGATGAGCTCCGTAAACACTGCAAGAGATACCTATTCATAAGAAATATTGTAATTAGCCCCGACAAATTTTTAAATCCAAGATAAATGTCGATGATACCTTGAGGTTTTGGCAAGCACTTCTGTTGCAAAGTGTTGTGAACAAACAGGCTTGTTCGTGGACTCGAAGTAGAGGTTCAAGTTGAGAGTCCTGAATGCCCAAGTCCCTGACTTTTGCAAGTACTGTATCCTCAAGCTCAAAATCTCGGGGGTTGGAGGCTCGCATATCAAATCCCATCCTTTGGATGAAATCCGCAGCCTTGGCAGCAAATGCCGCCTTACTAATATTAGTGTCTTGGTGTGCACTAGACTCGGTGGAAGCTGGCGCCGGCATTGTTGCGTCCGCGTGCTGGTAATGATACTTGGATATAAAGAGGGGGGAATAGCAAACACTCGGAAAACACTGAGAACAGGGTAGAAAGCAGTATATCAGCGTTCAAAAGTAATAGATGTAGCGATACTTGAATATATAAGTTGTGACAGAAACTGTGAGCCTAGATTGTGTCGGTTTTAGCTGAATAACGAAGGATGTATTGCGCACAAGGCTCAGCCGCCGAGTAGCAGCGGTCACGCCCGTGCATACTACCACGGAGTGATCTCATCCATGAGTAATCTTAAATAGCATTCGTATGTGTAAAGGTATAGAGTATTTTTTCCAAGCAGAGAATCGTGTTTCTCGTCGCCACTACGTTGATTACGACAGCCATGTGTCTAATTGTGACTCGTCATGTTGATGATACTAGCTACGTCATGTCCGACGGGCTAAAATTGTCTGGTGCGGTCTGATTACTCAGATACTTGGAGATTTTCTTGCCCGAACAGTAAGAGTATATGCCAACGCATTGCGATGGTGGCCTTTGTGCCCACCGAAAGACGACCCTAACTCGCGTAGATATATCTAGAGCAAACTCGCGTGTTTCGGAACTACAACCATGATGATGCAATAGAAAATTTGGTTATAGAAAAGGCTGAGTCCTGATGTTTCAGAATGTGCGAAAGTGACAACGGTACTTGTGCAGCAACCAAGTCAGACCGGAGCGAGGTTCAAGTCAGACTTACTCTAAGAGACTGGAGCCTTCAAACGTCGCAGACCGGCAGATTATAAGCCTCGGTCTTAGTCTATCGGCCTGTTAGACAAAATAGGCCAGTTCATAGCCAAGTCAAAATTTAGTCATTGTCGGTAGGTCTTCTCCACTCCCTAGAGACTGACTATCTGGCTGTCACTAACATCTATCAAAGTAGAGACGGACGGGATTCAGCGTTTCGGCACAATTCCTAATATACCTTGCATAGTGCCATGCTTAAACTAGAAAGCTTCTACCCCAGACACTTATGAGTGGTTGACAGAATCTGTTTGCATGACCGCAGGCATATGTCGTGCTGCGTTTCTGAATCCTACACCAGTAATACTGCGAAGTGTACTTTTGCTAAGTCGCCACATCAGGTCTCCCCGAATGCCCACTAATTGCAATCATCCGCAGCTGACTTGAATGCGGCTACATCCTAGGTGGACCATTTCATGTCAAACCGTTTTCCGCCAGCGCCAACCCTTTGGTGGTCAGGGAGGAACCAAGTGCCAGCATGAGTGACAGAGACACGACTTTTTGATACTCCACTGCCTCGTATACAAGTGTTGCTCATCATTGCTACCATAGATCAATAATACTACCATCTAGCCACTGCCTCAAATATTGCGGTACGGAACAAAATCGCACGCCCCTGTCTGCTGTCATCACCCCTATAGCGACATGATGTGACTGATCAGCCTACTGACTATAAAATTTTGCTTGGTCTTAGTACTAGTGCACCTCGCACGATAGTGAGTACGCCTACGTTTTTTGATCGATGATTCAACTGAAATTGAAGAAGCCGCGTAACTGGAAAGCCTCAACAGTATAGGAAAGTAGAGAGACCTGCATAACACAGGAACCATAAGAGGAAGTAGAGATCTATGATATCAATTTTCTTATATATATACTATATTAGTTTTATCATATTATAGTCTAAATTTGAGCAAATTCTCAGTAATTGACTGATTATGAAATGGTTATGATTTATCATAACCTAAGTATATAACTATAGTATCTCTCTTGGTTGGCTTAGATATCTATCTCATTATCCAAACCTACCTCGACATTTCTACAGACAACTATTGTAACCCGAGTTCCTCCGTTCCAGGCACGCAAATATACTAGTCTCTATCCTAAATTGATGTTCTCGGCTATATAAGTAGCGAGCAATCTTACCAGGGTTCTTCCTATCCACTTCCGCATCCCCCTCGTTACCGTTGTCAGCGACTGTTGAACCGCGACACTGATTGAGGCCCATCTACATCCACTCACCTTCTCCTTTCACACCAAAGAGCTATAACCAAACAGCGATATGGAAAGGGTTCGCTTGGACCTAGCGACATTTGTGCGCAGTACGACAACGAAACCCTTGGACAAGATCTTCAAGGCTGTGGGCGTACTGTGCTGGGCTTTGACGTACGCGTGCGTCGTATACGTCAACTTTACGCAAAAGACGAGTCTCATCCGGCGCGATGTCGTGGCGTACAACTTTACTTGGGAGATTTTCCGTACCTTTCTGTGGAACGACAACGACGAGAGGCTGCTCACCATGATCATTGGGATAGGGTGGACTGTCCTGGACGCCCTCATCGTGGCTGCCATTTTCCTGTACGGCGACGGAACTGATAATGTTGGCATTCCCGAGCAGCGAGCGCAATTTGCAGCATGGTCCGCCTTCTACATTACGTTGAGCATGGTGATGCAGAATGCCGGGCCAGAATACGCACGAGTTTGGCGACACGCCTCGTACTGGTGGGCCATTCTAGTCAACATGTCCATCACGCGCCATTCATTTGCATACTCGACTGAAAATCCATTCATTGGGGTCATGGCTTGGTGCAACTTTGTTGGCAATGCCACGTACTTGTACTCATGCTGGGGCTTGTACCAGTCGTGGTACTACCCTATGAAGCACCCCGTTCGCTTCTTCATGGTAGCGACGTGTTTTATTCCGGCGCTCCTCAACAACCTTGTCTTTATTGTCGACGCTAGACTTTACATGACTACAACGACGTCAAAAGCTTAGATTCCGTTGAGAAATATACATATGTAGATTTATGTAAATTAGAGTTTTACTAGAGCAACGGTAAGTCTTCGAGAACAAGGGAATTATGTATAATACTACTGATACTGTCAACCAAAAGATCCACATGAGTTCTCTGCTTATAGCCCAGCGTATTGCAATATTGTTTGTGTTGAACATTGCATAGAATCTTTTTTTTTTCAACTGCCACGAAGCTTCCTCCAAGTGTGTCACTGAATAGGCAGACCTGGTGCTCAATCTGCGCGAGGATATCATCGGGCGGGGACTCAAGTACGAGTATACACGGTTCAACAAATATTCGTTATCATATGGGATACGATGGGCAGCATTATAAGCAGCGTTATAAATGTGCTCTGGGCGGACTCCCGTTTTTAGACAACTGCGACTATAATGTATTTAGCTAGCTGCTTTTGAGCTTCTCGTGGAAGCCCCCCTGCAGCCACTATTGACGTCACTACTGACACTGCCCTGCCGCTATCACGAGAGCTGATTCACCGCGATTGCGTGACCCGAGATCAGACAAAGGCTTCAAATAAAGGCTAGTCTGATTGCCGAATTGATAGTCTCAAATGAGAATATGCATCAAAGGTGTTCTTAGCATAGAATAATCATTCTTAAACCGTCTGCACGTTGGAAAAACTATAAAGATGCTTGACCATCTCTAGAGTAATGACTGTAACCCGCTACTGATCAGCCGAGCTTAAACTCCGTTGGGAGAACTCCATACAATGACCAGCTGCTTTCGGCGTGTTTCCTGATGATGCTCCATCTTTCCTTATGCGCAAATTTCCTTGTCCTTCAGAAACCCCTTCAAGGTGTCATTCTCGATTTGGACCTCCACTGTCTGATTGAGTCCACTAACAATCCCACTTCCTTGTAAATGAAATTTTAAACCAACGGTGCCGGCGCTAATGATTTTTGCAGCAACATCAGCGTAGATGATGGTCCCAAAGGGGGGGATGTCGTAGGTAAACCTTCCAGCATGAAGATAATTCCTGTTGAAGAATATTGTGATCCATTCCTTGCTTGATTTGTAATAATTCGCACAGTCAAAGCCGAGGCTCATGCGGACACTGAACCAATTGTTTGCCACATTGGCCTGCTCAATGCCATAATACAGCTGAAGACTGCAGAAATCCCCCTTTGTCAGCGGAGAAGAGCCGCGGATCTCGACGGGGACTCTGAGTCCCTTTTCAAGATCCAAATAGTGGACGTAGAATTTCGGAGCCTTGACGTCAAAGCAACATGCTTGCACCTTGTCGTCGGACACGGCGACGTATGCGGACACGCGAGAGCCATATTCGCATCGGTGATTCTTGGCAGCGTATACTGCCGGCTCTAAACCAGATGGACAGCATGTCTTGCCATCAGGCAGTAAGTCTGTTGGGTCTGAAACGATTGCAGCCAAATCTGTCTCTCCGGCCGCGGCCGGGACATCAACACTCCTTGCGATGCTCGATCCTTCGACTGCCGCAATCTGGAACACCAGAGACGCAGCCAGCATCAAAGCAGATACAAGACCCATGATGAATGACAGAAGCTTTTACAGTACTCGAAGGCTTTCGAGACAAAAGTTGTTTGTGGAATCAAGTTTGTATGAAGCAAGCCGAGTCGAGAAATTTCTTGTATGAGATTGGTCAAGAGACTGCTGTGATACGATCGCAAGGAGGAGGGAAAGGACAGCAATTTATGCATGAAAATAATCAAATAAAAAAAATCAGCTGAACTCGGATAATGTCCCATGAAGAGAGTACCCGTCACATCATGTCCGCCAGCGAAACTCGACCGACATGTGTAGGCACCCGAGACTACTAAAAGCGCCTGTTCTTGACTTCTAACATGGGCTTACGTGTTATAGGCGTGGTGTGTATTACAAATTTTACATTCCATGGCAGTTCGGATAGCACCCCGGTAATATTGGGCAGAGTCTCACACACCGAGACAGTGTCTAAACGCCTCAAGTATTGATGTAGTATGTGACTACTTTGCAACTAAGTATTTCCCTTGTCCATGTTTCTCTTGACGCCTTTTGAGCGGGCAACGGGCCCGTGCAACTAAGATTGTTCTTGAAACTTGCACTGGCAATGGCGGCCCGGCTCATTGTTCTTGCTATCCGTTCCTAAAGCCCACACAGAGCGTAGAAAATGACAGTCATCATCTACTCACCACCCATCATCTACTCACCACCCAGACCAAACTTGACCATTGCGTTCTGGCATGTCTGCTACTGTCACAATTGGAATATTCCTGTGGTGCGCATTGTGTGCGCGAAAAGCTCGAAGCCATAGATTGTGAGATCCAACCTCGGCCATGTCTGGCATGGCCTCACGCGTTTTCGTATAAGACGGCTCAAGCGTTCACTTGACGTCGTGATCAACGTCTTCTTACTTCTCATCTATGCTAGATTGCCGTCAAGTTGACGATGGCTTCCATAAACATTGTCGCAATCAGTCTATGAACCTCCTTCACAGGATGATACACGTCGAAAAACAAATGGCGCTCTGCGTCACTGCATAAACGTCTTTGGACTCCTTCGCTTGGGTATATGCCTGTTAAGCATGCAGTTGGCGGATCCACGTACTCTGCTTCCATGTGAAATGCTGTTGGATGTTTGAAGATGCTTTGAAATAGCCCTCCCACGTTGACAAAGGCAATATTGGCGCAGGTGGAATAGCGGCGCACCATATCCCTCAACTCATCAGCAAGTTCCCCGTTGAAAACATGAACACTCGAAACATTATAAGTTGGAGAGTCGTATGTTCCCGGAAACGTAGCTATATCACCATAGTCTGCCAGAATTACCGTTTTCGCACCTAAAAGTCTGTTTAATATTTTTCATTAGGATGCCTTGATTAGACCTTACCAGCATGATATAACTGATTTATATTCCTTTCGATTAGGCTGCCGACTTGTATGGCTGTAACACTGGTGTTGAAGAGAATATCATTGGCACCGCTCCAATGCACGAAAATATCGTCTGCCCTGATTGTGTCCCAAGACAAGAAGGAGGCAATCTGGTCCGCGGTAGATGGTACATGAATTGTCGAGTCGGGCCCTGTCCCCCCGGCGACAAACGCGTTATCCGTGGTTGCCCCGCCAGTAGCTAAATTTATGAGCTCTAGGCCAAGAGCTTCTGAAACAACGTCGTTCCATTTTGGCCCGTTCCTAGCTAGTTGGTTAGGCTGACGCTGACGAAGTAACGAAGAGCATGATGTACTTGCGAGAAAGAGTGTCCGAAATAAGCCTGGTCAGCTGGCCAAGTCCCGTTACTAGCTATCCATGAGCCGTTCCCATTATCACTGTAGCTATCGCCAAACACAATCAGTCGCGGACGAATAGAGCTTCTCTGGGGCGCACTAGGTAATACAAGTCCCAAAGCGCCACCACACGCGCAGGCAAATACTGCGATGGATCTCATGGTTCTCAAGATTAGAGACGCAAAGTATAGACCAGAAGACGGGGATGGCGGCAGTTTTTATGTCCGACGGGTCACAGATCGGGTTTCAAATTTTCCTAGACGTCAAGAGAAGAACACGGCCAGATTGAACTGCTGTTGACCGTCATGGATGACAAGAAATGTTGTAGTCTAGAGATGCCGTTAGAGGCAGCACTATTTATGCAAGGCCCTGCGGACCTTACACAGGTCATTTCTCAAGTCGGAGCCCGAAATGCCGCGGATGGCGTGGACTCTCGGGTGAGAATAGCATTTGCTAATAAGGCGATGCGGTATAAGCGTCTGCGCACGAGTACCTGAGTGCCCGACAAGGCTTGGCCTTGGGTAGCCAGCGAGAGGGTCAGCGGGTGGGGCCAACGCGGGCTACCTGGAACAAGCCATGCATGCACTCAACGCGCTCCTGCTCCGATGCAGATAGCGCGGCCCGTGACAGGGGGTATCCGTCATTAGGTAGGTACCTATGCGGGACGGGGAGGCTTCTGGACATGCCCTCCATGCCCATATAGGGCTGCCACCCTGACCCAGCCAACATTCTGTCTACATGAATTTGATATCTACGGTCATGACTAATAGATGCTGTAGCCACTGTACGGCTGCTGTACGGCTGCTGTACGGCTGCTGTACGGCTGCTGTACAGGGGATAGTCGGTACTTTGTGATGTGGCCCGCCGTAGCCCGCCGTGGCCCGCCGTGGCCCGCCGTGGCCAGCCCTGTGGGTTATCTTCGATGTATCCCGAGTTACCAGTCACCAGTGCTAACAAAAACTCAAGATTAGGGCATATGCGATGTTGCTCCTTGACTTGAGTAGTGACGAGTTGCGAGTATAGCGCATATAGGTATAATGACTTGCGTCTTAGGCGGCTTATCCCGCTTGGTGCGGGTCTGACTAGGGACCGAGTGTACAGACTAGCTAGATTCCATAATTCTAGGTATTAGCGCGTAAGATTACCCGACAGAGCCAATACTAGAAGAGTTACCGGCACTACAGTAGAGTAGTCGACGTTACATGGTAATATATACCACCGCCCTATAGTAGGACGCGGAGTACGTGGCACGCGTACTTGTTACGACTTCCGCTGCGTATTAATACTAGTAATGTACTCCGTACTCCGTATGTCTTTACCTTTCATATCCGTGCTCCCCGTGGCATTAACATAGCGCTAGGCCGCTTCGCCGAAATCACTATTAATCTACGAATAGGACGTCTTAGGAAACTAGCGTCCGTTGCAACATAAATAAGCCTTTATGCACACAGAAGAGCGATAGTGCTGATGTCTGAATTTTATAATGTAAGATCTAAATCGTAACGTAGCCACATAAAGGTGCCAAGTATTAAAGGCTCGCTAGAGGCACGACACTAGTGGCGCGGTGGAAGGCGCGCTAGAGCACAAAAGTACACAACCAGGGGAGCGGCGACTCTGACCACCGACACAATCTGCCGGACCACGTACGCGCTCTTCGAAGCAAATAGTACGACGATGGTGTATAACAGGTCAATAAGCGACCACGGCGAGAGCCACTGAAAAAGACAGCGAGGGGCGTGAAGAGCACTATTTAGAGAATAGAGTTAACGGCGACTAAGATAACGCAGTACTACCGACCACGAGATATTCATAATGACCTAGTGGTCTATCGGTATCGACAAGTCCTCTATTCGAGACTACACTGATAATCAACAGGATCGCTAGGCTACTCGTTTTATTACTCTACGTGAGGTATATAGAATTAGTGAGTCGATGTTTGATTTTCGAACTAAAATAAGTCCAAGGCTACTCTTTTTCTATATGTCCTATTACACGTGCGTGTTGTTCAACTCCAACTGCGCCCTTGCCGGATTGAGCGTAACAGATTGATTGAACCAAACACATGTCCAGCAATCGCCCTCATCAAGTTGACGCTTAATCCAGGAACTGGAACTTGGTTCCTTTCTCCAAGGCCTCCGTAATAGCCTGTAGAGTTACCCCCTCGGCAACCTCTGACACCCCGTCCCTCGGCCTCTTCGCAATCGGCTCCGAGACCAGCACGACTCGACTCATTGGCTGAAAGCCATTTTCTTCATATACCGGCAACTTGAGCTCAATGTCGTAGTATTGAGGGTGCGTTGTGACCCAATTGCCACCGCCCTCCAGCAATCCGTGTTTGTCAGGATCGCACCACTGGTCGAGCCTGTCCGTAAATTGGTTGCAATCTCTCAGTTCGGCCTCCATGAAACAGAGGTAGCTTTGGTCCTTGTAGCCATAAGCAAAACTCCACAACTGATAATACGGCCAGTGAGCTGGTTTGGCATAGACACTCAAATGGATTGTCCATGTTTCGATTCGGCACGCGTAGCCAGGCTCACAGAACGCCTTGTGGGAGACGGTTTTTGTTTCCGTGTAGCTGTTGGTTTTGGTATTCGAATATGATGCTGACAGCTCAACACCACCACCCAACACGTCTTTCTTACCACCTGAGCCGGAAATCTTTGCGCCAACTGTCCAACCCTTACTTTCTACCTGCAAAGTGGTAGTAGACTTGGTGATGGCCATTTTCGACGTCCTTGGTACGGCCTGTATTGGTCGTGGTGGCTTCCACTGGGGGACNTAATAGGCCTAACTTTTTAATGCTTCCTGGCGGATCATCGCTGTATG